CAAACCTCTGTAAATGCAGATGCAGACTCGGACGACGGATCTTACGACATGGACTTTACACACCTAGACTCCCAAATCGGGGACGCCGAAGTAGAGCCTCCAACGTCCAGCAAACTGACCATCGACGTTCCTGCCGAAACGTCCACACCCAACGACCAAAACCCGCCACAGAGCGCAACAACAACCTACTCAAACTCAGCTCTGACATCTCAACTCGCGCACCTGGAAGCTGCTCTCGAGCTCTCCCGCAGCGAAACCTTCCACGCACGCACAGCACTGCAATCACAAATCTCCTCTCTCACCACTGAACTCGAAGCCACAAAAGCCGAAAAGACATCTCTACAGCAAAAGCTTGCCAACTTTAATGCTGCGATGGATGCGAGAGATGAAGAAGTGTTTGGGTTGGGTGCTGTGGAGGATGACGATGTGTTTTGGACTGGCGGGGAGGGAGAGAGGCAAGAGGGGACGAAAGGAATGGCAGGGAAGAGCAGAAGAACTATTGAGGGGACGTTGGCTGGGTTGAGGTTACAGGCTAAACAGCTTGAGGAGTTGAATGAGGAGTTCTTGAGTCAGAGTATGCGGTGGAGTGGGATTTTACCGTTAAAGTGAGGAAGAAGAGAGATGGAGAAGTGTAGGATTGATAATGTAGGATAAGAGGGATGGGTTGGTGTTGATATAGAATAGGTGATTCGTATGTTTTTTTTTGTATTTGTAGATTATTGGAATCTGTAGTTTCCATTTTGACCTGCCCTTTGGGCTCTTACAAGCAAGAGCTCTCTGATCTTCAGATGATTGTTGTTTGATTGGTAGTCGTTCGTTGCTCTTTTTGTGACTTTGCGGCAGTAGCGACTATCGCAAGACCCTTCCACATCCCACATCATCCCGCACGAGCACTTTTGGCAAGAAAGATCGATCCATGTGAGATCAACGAATTGTACTTTTTGTATTCATCACGCAAGCTATGCTTAAACCAAAACCTAAAAACAAGAAACGAAAAAGAAAAAAGAAAAAAGAGCTCTAATCATGGCTCAGGGGGGGTATCCTCTAGTGCGTGCGTGAACAAACGTAGCTTCTCAGACTCTTTCCTTCTCTTCTCCACTCAAGATCTCCACTACAGATGCCTCTTGTCTATTGCGACTGGAGGTACTGTGCCAACTGCATGACCTTCTCGCGAGTCTCGTCGCTGAGTTGCTCTTCAGGAGGATTGAGGACCTTTTGCAACACGGGCAAGATCGACGAGGTCAAGCCCTGGATAACAGTGTTCTGCTGTTGGTAGAGGGAAACGATCATTTCGAAGACGGCTTCGTTCTCCTCGTAGTCTTCTCTGAGAGGAAGAAGTTGGATGAGCACGGGCAAGACGTCGTTGAGAGGGACGTTGTTAGGGTGTCTTTTGATCATGCGGGCGACGCAACCGGCGGAGTTATCGAGGAGACGTGCTTCCTGCTGTTGGTGAAGCAAGGGCTCCAGCTTGGCGAGGATGGTGTTGTATTGTCCGGTGATTTGAGCTTCGTCGGTGGATTTCTCGCACAAAAGACCAGTGCCGTAAGCGGCGTTGGAGCGGACTTCTGGGTCCTCGTCTCCCAGGCGCTTCAGCAGCATCTTCATCAAAGAAGCGGTGTATGGGGTGACTGAAGCACCCATGTTTCCGACAGCCTCGGCGATGGTGCCGACAGCGGCACTGCGCTCGTACTTCTCCTGGCCTGAGACGTACTTGACGACGGGCTTCTCGAAAATCTGCCACAGCTCGCCGAAGCTCTCGCCCAAAGCGGCAGCAAGGCAAGTGATGACTTCCATGGCGGTCTCGATGACCAACCAATCGTATTCTGAGGACTCGAGGTCGACGTCCAACTCGTCTTCGCCGTCGAGGTCTTGTTGGCAGATGTGTCTCTTTTGGAGGATGGAGAGGATGAGTTCGACGATTTGCTGGACTGGGGGAGAGGCGTTTTCGCCAATGTTTGCGGTGAGGATGGCAGGGCCGCAGAGCTTGAGGGTCGCGGCGAGATTACGGTGGATGTCGGTGACGGTACCACTATTGAAGCAATGTCAGTGATTTGCTTCAAGGCTCGAAGGAAGGAGTAGCAGTGTGAGATGGGGACAATCAAGAGATTGAAGTCAGGAACAGAATCGCGTTCGCATCAAGTACACATTTTGTGCATCAAAGTGAGCTGGGTGTAACGAAGAGTGGTCATCATGGAAAAGGGATGTGTGTCAGAGGAAGAAAAAAGGTTAGATACGTACCGGTCAACTTCGTCCTGCCAGAGGGCAAGAGTAGCGGTCATGATCAAGCTACCGAGCTTCATCAGGTCCTCAGAGGCCTGGACCTTGAGAGGAAGACCAGACTGCCACTTGGCCATGCCGTTGTCCTCAGCCATGGCCCAGAGAGATGCATAACCTCTCCAGAGAGTGCCGATAGCAGATCTGCGAACACCCTCAAAGGTGTGGTCGACAAGGCCAAGAACGGCCTCAACGCACTGCTGGAAGTAAGGCAGGAAGTGGCCGCGGGTGTGGGTGAGGACATCACCGATAACCTCGACAGCGATCTCCTTCTCCATGGCAACAGCAGTGACGGCACCAAGGTCATCCCAGTCGTCCTCGTCCTCGTCGTCGATATCGACATGGGTGTCGTCATCGTCGTCAGCGCTCATGTCTGCGACCTTGACCTTCTTGCCAGCGATGGTGATCTCCTGGCCAAGAAGCTCTCTGGCCTCTTCGCCAAGGGTGATACCATCCTCGCTCTCGTCCTGCTGGAGGCACTCGATCAGGCCCTTGACAACACCAGCGAGGTAAGGGGCGAACTTGTCGTCGTAAACCTTGGACATGGTGCTCCAGAGAATGTAGCTGGTCTCGCGAAGTCTGGGGTGGTCGAGGTGGAGAGCCTCCTCAGAAGCCTGCATAAGAGGAGTAACGTAAGGCTGGAAGGCATCGGCGCCAACAGCAGAGGCGATCTTGCCGAGGGAGTCGCAGACAACGCCACGGAGCTCGAGCTCGTCCTCGGAGTCCTTGAGAGAGACGAACTGACCAAGAGTCTGCATGGTGTTCTCGAAGTAAGGCATGAAAGCCGAGTCGCTGGCAGAAGCGATGGAACCAGTGGCACCGATGGCCGAGATCTGGACCTTGACATCGGGGTGCTGGAACAGAGGGCTGAGTCTGGGGATCAGCTCACCGACGTACTTGGAAGCGTCCTCCTTGTCGAGACCCTCAATCATTGAGTCGATGGCCATACAGCTCTGCTTGATGATAGCAAGGTTCTCGTCACCAGCGGGGCCGTTCAGCTGCTGCATAGCGAGATCGAAGTTCTTGACGAGAGCAGGGATCAGACGGGCGTGCTCCTTGCCCATCTCCTCGGCAAGATCGTCAGCAAGTCTGGCGACACCGTTCAGGGCAGCCGAACGGACGCGGACCTCGGGATCCTCGAGCAAGTGGAGGACCATGGGGAGAATCTCGGAGAGCTGAGTGCTGATGAAGTCGGGAGCACCCTCGACGCACATACCCAAAGCGAGGATACCAGCGCGGCGGTAGTCGGCATTAGGGTTCTGGACAAAGGGACCGATGGCACGGAGAAGAGGAACGGCGACCTGGCTGGGAGGGAGGTTCTCGGAAAGGATATCGAGCAGACCAAGAGCGGAGCGGGCAGGGGTGATATCCTCGTCCTCGGCGGAAAGCTCGCCGAGCTCGGTGACAATCTGGAGGGAGGTGGTTGTGAGCTGCTCACCAATGCGCAGACCCTGGACCTTGAGCTTGCGGTATCTGACAGCCTGCATAAGGAAAGAGAGAGCCTGGGAACGCGAATCGTCGTCAACGTTGGTGTTGGCCGAGAGTTGCATCATGAATTGCATGAGGTCGCCGAAGTGAGCGTTCAAGAAAGCCGACTCGTAGCTGAGAAGCTTGTTGAAGACCTCGAAGGCCTGCATGGCACGGTCCTCCTCGCCGTCGTCGACAGCCTGCTGCAGAACGCGGACCATGTAAGGGATGGTGTCTTGGAAAGCCTTGAGCGACTGAGGGTCCTCGTCGGTGTCGAGAACCATGCAGATCTCGGAGAGAGCAAGCATGGTGTTGATTCTGACCTCTGCGTTCTCGGGATCCTGGATGGTCTTTGTGAAGAGCTGGAGCATAGCGCCCATGTTCTCCTGGAACATGTCGGGCATGGTCTCGAGGAGAGTGTAGATGATGTAGACACCGACTTCACGGTGGCTGGCGGTCTGGCTGGTCGAGGCATTCTGGAGGAAATCGGGAAGGTCGGACCATTGACCATCGGCGAGATCGATCTGAGCGATCGAGGCAATGACGCGGGCCTTTGAGTGACGGGCAAGCGATTGCTCCTCGCTGAGGGTGGACTGCAAGAGCTGCTCACGAATCTGGGGCTTCTGGTCGTTGGGTAGGTCGAGCCAGTGCTTCTTGACGAGCTTGCGGGACTCGATAGCGGCGAGTTGACGGAGGTTGGGGCTCTGGTGCGAGACCAGAATGTGGAGCAGGGCTGTGAGAGAGGCAGGGTTGCCGTAGTATGTCTTGTTCAAGGTGGCAGTTGCAGACTTGACACGCTCGGTGTCGGCTGTCGTAGTTGGTCAGGCTCCATAAGAAGTGGCTCGAGGAAGTCATAAACTTACGCTGCATCAGACTCTCGAGGAGTCCGACAAACTGCTGCTCATCCATGATGAATATGTATGTAGTATTAAGAGGTAAAGAAAAAAGCAACAAACAACAAAGGCACAGAGATACGCCTTTGGCAGAGGATGTCGAGAGAAAAGCGCTGCCACTGGCCGGTCCGTAATTTTTTGTCGCTCAGGAGGCCCAAGCTTTGAGGGTCTTGCACATTTCATCGCAAGCTCCGACTCGCCGACTGCTTCATCTCATGAAACGACCATGTTACTGCTCAACTAAAACTCTAGAATTCAGACAAAGTCTCCTTGGTCATCCATATCTCCTTATTCATTCAAAACTATCTCCACGACGATTTCATCATGATCATTATATACAGGCCATCACGTCTCGAGAGTCCATCTCTACTCGTCCAGCTTCCTAGCCTCTGCCTTGATCTCTTCACTAAAATTGATGCCAGCATCATGGTTGTAGCCGACTGACTGGTTCATGGATTCCAGTCTGCCAGTCGTGTCGAGGATCAGCTGTTGAGCCAGCATTGATCTCATTTGAATGTCCTAGTCTCGAGTCAGCATTGCGTACGGGATTGAGTATCCAGAACATACCATGAAAGCCTCACCACCAGGGCTTCTCGGGTCGACAGTTGCTACGAGCATCTGGAAGGTACGGGTGACAAAGTCCCACCTGGTCAAATCTGTCAGCACATCGAACAGACTGCCAGCAATGAGCCAATCTTACATGAAGTAGACCTTGTTCTTGCTGTTCGCAGGTGTAGAGAAGGTCTGCTCTCGGTTTGCATCCATAGCAGAATCATTGATCAACATCCTCATGAGATTCTGATGAGTGTCGAATAGGTGCTTGTACTGGGGATCAGCATCCTGAGGGCAGTTTCTTTCGAGGAAGAATTCGGTGAAGGGACCACGCTTGGTAGTCTCCGGGTTGGGAGAAACGTATACTGGTTGCGGCGGCATTTCTTCTGTATGTGATAAGATTGATCCGTCTGGTATCAACGTTGATGAGCCAGTTCACGAAGCTCTCAAAGTGTCTCAAGGCAAACACTGAGTCGCGCATGCTTGTGACACTTGGCTGACATCACCGGTTTTCGCGTTGGCGCCCGGATTTGTCTCCATCTTTGGCCCGTCGATCTGCAGAAACGTTCAAACATTATTCGTGCCTGTTGATCTCCTTGCCTTGACACAACGGAATCGATTTGAAGTCAGGTGTCATGTGTATGTACTACACAGTGGTCCTGGCTGTCCAACGCAGCTGGACAGAGTACGACACGATAGACCGCTATCTCAAGAGCGAGGGCGAAGACTTGCCAGCGACTTAAGGTTTCTCGTTGCCCACAAATCATCGAGATCATGTTAACTTTAGCACATGACTTCACCGATGGTTGAACGTTTGCACCATACTAAACAGGTATGTGGGAGGCTTTGTTAGTTTACCTATTTGACCTCATGATTTCTTTGTGTCCTCGGTCCTCTGCTTTCGCGACTTTGCTTCCTCCAACTCCATCATTGCGCTTCAACCACACACACCACACTTACCATGGGATTCCGTTCGCTACTGAAGAGAGCCTTGACGGAGAACGACAATGACAAGTTCCTCAAAGTCGAGATCGGCCAGGTCTTCTATGACCGATACAGAGTTGAAACTCATCTAGGCGCTGGTAGATATGCCTCCGTTTGGCTGGTCATAGACAGCACGTCAGTTTTCCTCGTAGCCAACTCTAGGATACTACTGATAAGCCACAGGAACGGTGAACATGCAGCTCTCAAGATCCTGAACAGCGACTTTTATAATGGCGGCCATCAAATATTCGAATTGGAGGTGATGCAAAGAGTCAGCGCTGTCTCCCACCAATCCACACATCCCGGCCGAAACCATGTCACATACCTGAAGAACCACTTCGAACTCGAAGGACCCACCGGCAAGCACGTTGCAATGGTGATGCCTTTGCTAGGCGACAGCATCGCAGAAAAAGCCACCACAGGACACATCATGCGCATACCTCCCCCGACAGTCCGAAATATTGCAAAGCAAATGCTCGAAGCATTGGACTTCCTCCATAGCGAGTGCGGCGTCATCCACACCGACCTCCAACCCTCGAACATCCTCAAAGACGACCAAGGACAATCGCCTCAGGAAATCGATGACCTTGTGCGCACGCATTCTTCAGGACCTGGCTTCAATGACCCGAATATGCAATTCCGCCTCAACGATCTAGGAATCGCTTGTTTTGTAGATCAGCATCTCACAGACAATATCCAATCTGAATATCTACGCGCACCAGAAGTCACGCTCGAAGCACCTTGGGATCCCAGTGTCGATATTTTCAGTCTTGGTTGTTTGCTCTTCCAATTTATCACTGGAGATTTGCCATTCGTCGGCCGACCTGGTCCAGGTGTGACCGCAGAACAAGACCGGATAGCTTTGCTGGTCTCCACTTTTGGACCCATCCCTAATGTTGTTTTGGACAACGCTGCGCTCGGAAAGGAATTCGAGCATCAATGTGTGAATGGTCATGGTTTCCCTGTTTCTCTGGAGACGATGGTGGGACAGAGTTTCGCGGGTGATGCACAGGGTATGTTACCTATCGATGAGTTGGAACTGTTCTGCGATTTCTTGAGGAAGATGTTGGCGTCGGATCCTAGGGAGAGACAAAGGGCGGGTGAATTGGGTAAACATCCCTGGCTATTTTACGTTCCTGAGTAGGCGGGACCAGTCGATAATACTAATACTTCCATCTTATTTTGTTCTCCTGCGCCTTGCTGTATTATTCGCTTACGGAGTCTTTCATCCTCAGGACGGCTCTGCGCTATGCTGGGTGTTGCCTCCATGGGCTTCCTGGTGGGTTCTCTTGAAAGACTAACAAAAACTTGCATGAAACGCAAGCCACAACCACATCCCCGCTTCCAGGCCGAATGGCATCAGCTCGGGATGATAAGGCGAAGAGATCCCATCTCCTAAATCTCTGTTCTCCCAAGAAACCCGAATATTCGAAAGAGTCACCGGCCTGACGATGGCGGATGTAGTGGGACTGGTTCTTGCCGCGACCAGTCTAGCCAACCTACTCGACACAGCAACCAAAATCAGTACTGGCATTGGTGTTGACAATGGCGTACGGCCTCGAAGACTGGGGCTAAAGATCAAGTCCACTCAGCAGTCTTTGAACACTCTGGTCGAAGTGGTGGTGTTGACCAGGAATATCCCCGACGATGATCTTGCCCTTGCTATCAAGACCTATCGTTCGGCTGTGGCGCAGATCACTGTTGTGGTGTATCATGCATCGACACACTACTACTCCGCGCCATTTTCCTCGACCACAGGTCAAGCTTGCACTGTCCTCGATGCCGTCTCTGGGGACATTGAGATGTTGTCTCGGATCTTGACTATGTATGCGTACCCTTCTACAATTTCTGAAGATGTTGTTAACATCAGTGTCTTGAATCGCTGGCTGGCAGACAAAAATGAAGGCAACAACTTTCTAAATGGCTTGGAAGACCTCCCATGGACCGATGAGCGAGCCTCCGACTTAGTAGCACTCTCCAAACGTCAAAACGACCATCTCACAACCTGGACAGCTGAGTCACTGATTCCTTGGTTCCTTCGAAAAGGCTTCACATCAAAGGTATCCTGACAAAACTCCCCAGCAGTTCCTTTCCGCTAATCTGAGAGTTTCCACCGGCGCTAGGCTCCCCTTCTGGGCCAAGAAGAACCCGGCATGGTCGAGTGGTCAGACGATAGCTACACAACCGCTTCCCGCACCATATCAGTCATAACCTCATCTCTCGTTCCCTCATTGGCAATCGTCATTCTCTACTTCATCCATTCGCTCCTGGCACGCATCTTCGCAGCGCTGGGCTTATCTTTTCCGTTCTCAATCGCGCTTGCTTTGTTGACTTCGGCAAGAGCGGCTGAGATCTTTCGAGTACGGCTGCGTAAGTCGACTTCCTCCGACGATAGGGACAAGGTTTGTACTGATGCTGAACATAGTTTTGCTGCTGTGTTGGTAGTGTTCATCGGGAGTACGAGTACAGGATCGTTAGGAACCACGTAGCTGACAGGTATGATCTCTTGGACGAGGAAATAGTTGTTGAAGTGCAATGTAGCTACTTCCATACATATCAACGAAGCAACAAATTGTGGAACTTGTGTTGGCTCGTCAGTTGAATCAAATTCCGGTCGATGAGCACCTTTTGATTGCGGCTCACTCTAGGAAACACAAACAGAGAAATTGGAAAGACTGCCCGGCTGCAAGACAGCAAGCAAAAGTTGTTTGGTCGCAGATAGTCATTTCCAAGCAACAAGCTGGGCATAGTAAAGCTGCTGTCGAGAACGATATCTTTCATCCAAGCCCTGATGTATGTAGTGGCTAGCAGCAGCTCACGAAACTCATCATTCTAAAACATCTGTGCTAGGAGAAACTCCATACCTGACACACCGACCATAGCCTGTTGTTGTCCGTCACTGCTGATTCTGCAACATGAATCAATAGTGAATCGATGTCTCGCAAGAAAAGCTCACTTCTCCATTTCCCTAAGCCTGGTTTTGAAATACCGCTCAACTCGATGCGTCCACGCAATACCTTGAACACAGTAGTCAAGAGGATTAGAGGACACGCCTCGTTTAAGACGGTCATTGACGCCGTTGTCGTACTTGGGTGTCCGCTTGGAGTCGAGACTATGAAGAGAACAGACACTTCCAAGTGTGGGCTTTGGCCTTGTGCCTGAGGACCGGACGTTTGCAGTGGTTGCAGCGGACAATATTAGCGGCAGTTTGAGTGCTAGAGTGAGATTATATACTCGTTCAATTTACATGTGGTCCATCTTTTTCGCAATTGTAAAAGGCGATCAAACTTGTGATACAGTACATTGGATCTCTGCCTCCCTGATCCTGATGCTAAACCACCGTTTGACTCGTTGTGGCCCCGCAATACTAGAGAGACAGGCAAGCAGATAGGAGAATAGAGCTTGCCCGAGAGCGATCACGAACATCGTTGTCGTGCTTGCGTGTCTTAGTGCTATCTAACTATATTATAGGTTCATGCACTCTTTAATGTGTACTTTTGCTTTATGCCTCGGTACCGGACGTTTGCAGTGGTTGTAACGGGGAAGAGTGGTAGCAAACTTACGAAAGCAAACATTACATCTCCCTAAGCTTGATACAATCCCATAGCTCGACCCTTTGCGTTTACGCAAGGTATCTCGATACAAGCAAGTAGACTAGAGAATGAATCAAAATGAGGCACGGTCATAGAAGCCGTTGCCGTACTTAGGCGCCTTTGCTACCGTGCGGGAAAGAGCAAAGCAGGGGAGCATGCACTCCTCGATGTGTGCTTTGGTCTTGTGCCTTAGTGGCGTCTACAATGGTTGCAGCGGACAATGTTAGTGTTGATCTAAGTGCTGAGGTTAGTTTATATACCGGCTTGGACCAGCGCTCTCAATCTGCTCTCGCGGTGACAGAGCGCGATGGGAAGGCTATAGAAATGCAGGAAAGTGTTTGGGAAAAAGGCGTATCCAGAGAAAGCCTTCTCACATACCGTAAGCTCTCCTGTCATGTCAATGTCAAAGACCAGGCAGGGTGAAGGAAGTGAAAACGAAGATACTCTTAATGTCAAACAGTTCACAACACCCAAAAAGAGCAAAAACAAAACCCTCTATGTGGACCGGGGTAGGAACCCCCAGGAGAGAGCGCAACAAACAGCACAGAGGGCGGTATATGTTTGCTTGAAACAAACCTCCCATGAGTGTCAGATAGCAAATCCGAGGAGAGGGAACAAAGTCTTGCAAGGGACTTTACTTTATTGTGGATGGAAACAAACTCACGTGAAGATTGGTTTGCTAGGCCGCTCGACACATGATGAACATACCCCTCAACGGGGTTTGATTCTGTTATGGCTTTGGTGGAGGAAAGTGAATAAAGGTGGGGGAGAGAGTGAATGTGAAGAAGAAAGAAACGACTTGCCTTGCACGGGCTCGAACCCAGTATCTTCGAAGGTGGCGGCGACGATGTTGGCACTCAAGCCACTATGCCATCCTACCGAAGTGGTAGTATTGTTGACTTGTTCGCTAGTATAGCCTCAGTGAGTGAGTGAAAGTGAGTGAAAGGCATGGAGATGATTGGCCAGACTTTTGATAAGTGAGAGTGAAACTACAAGACGCGAGCAAGACCGTTGTCTCAAGCTCATGAGTAGACATCCTGAACCTGCAAGCCATACGACAGCATGTAAGGAAGAATAGGATCTCATCAGAGCCAATATGTGCTCGTGTCTGCGTCCTGGCTCCTCAATCGCGATGAGGAAGTATGTTGGGCACAAGCTGCATGACGGTACGGAATACCTTCGATGAACTGAAAACATTGTTGCACATGTCTTTGGACTGGATGCACATCGAGCCACGCACGTGACTGTCTTTTGCGCCTGGAGGGCCGAAGTGAAAAGGAGAGAATGAAGACAAGCGAAGGGTCCGATCTTTCTGATACTTGTAACGATCTGATCTTCTGAACAGCAACCTTGAGATCCGAGCAAAATGAGCAGCCAAATTCGAGTGGTAATCCTCCGAGCAAAATTACCAAGAAAGCAACAAAAATTTCCGTAAAGCAGAGGCAAAACATGAACGACTAGCAAACAATCTGCCACTTCAGGTGATAATACTGGCAACGTAGTCGACATCATCAAGAGTGGCTTGCCAGATGCTCACCAATTCGAACACCCACTTACTTCCACGTCTTGCCATCTTCCCCAAACATCTGCACAACTTACCACCGTGGTCTTTACCATCGAGGAAGACTCTTGCATCATCATCAAACAGCGGCACGCCCTTCTAAGACGCAAAAGTAGCATTGACAAAAGGTGGATTGTCATTAGTGAGATCAGCAAGCACGAAGTATTGAGTGGTGTCTTCGCGATGAGATGACATGACTCGGCAGTAGAATTCGAGGAGTATGTCCTGGTTATCACGAGCGGCTTGACAACCTACGTTCAAGGCTTCTCCAAGACAGAAGAGCGTGCGCAGGCAGATCGAGGATGTGAGACCTGGAATTGGCGAATTTGATTTCAAGGCTGGAGGGAAAATGCCGCGGATGATTCGCTTTGGCGTTCGGTGAGCGGATGTATCAGATGAGGAAGATTCTGGACGAGTCTCGGGCGCAGTCGACATTGATGCCAAGGTCAAAGTCGATGCTGTGTTAGAAGAACCAATGCCTTCCGTCTCGCGAAGGAAGGTTTCAAAGTCTGCAGTGTCATCGAAGGATTCATCGTTTGTTGGAGAGAACAAATCAGAGCCGAGAATGGCCTTCGAGAAGCCATGTAAGGGTGGTACAACACCTTCTGTTGAAGAAGATAATGCAGCTGTGTTCAAGGTCGGTTGAGGAGGAGTACTCGGCAGCGATATGCTGTCCCATGTCATATCGACATCTGCAAGCTCCTCGAGCCATGCACTGCAGGATCGGAACAAATGTCAGCCATGCTTCCAACAAAGGTTTGAGCAAACGACACATGTCGTCCATACCTCTGCGGATGTGAAGCCTCTGTGAGACCAGCCATCTGTAGATCTCGGACAAAAAACGTGGGAAACGGGTATGCAGGTGGATGTTGTTTCACAAGCCCATGTGTGAGGAAGGGTCAATACTTGCAAGTTGCAGAGAAGGCGAGATTTGACAGTCGGTTTCATGCAGTTGCCAGTTCTGTAGACTCAAGCATGAGGCATATACCGTGAGCAATGAACGTTCATGCAGAATGTTGGTCAGTTGCCTTTCGACGCGACGTCGGTTGTGCTGGAAATACTTGGCTGGCGAGGGCGCCAGTCTGCCCCGTGCGATGGAACAAGTGACTTTGGTGTATTAGATCGAGACCAGGTACCGGTATTAATAGCAGCGGTTGGATGTTGTGCGAGGTGAGGTCCAAGAAGGAAGCAGCGCCCGGGATTAACCTCCGCAATCGGGCTGCAGCGGGCCGGAGTCGAAGCATCGACCACATGGTGGGGCATCCATGATGGAGGTGACGGCTGTGCTCACCGACAACGTTCCCAATCACGAGCTGGCCAACAACAAAACGTCTTTATCTTTCTGTAACTGCTGTGTGAGAGAGCTCTTGCTGACAGTCTCCAACCTTCACTCCAGACCGAAAATCTTGTGTAACTGACAGAATCGCTCCTGCCTCGCGTAAGCGCAATCGGTGAACAGGAACAAAGAAAGAAGATCGAGCCGACTGTTCCTGCTTATCGGCTCCTCACTCTGCGGTCCTGCGTCCAGCTAATCCCAGTCGAAACCACACGACCGAACGCCATCTCTGACAACACGGGCTGATCTCTCAATTTCTGTGGTTATTCTTCTGTCGTGCTAGGGACATCTCGAGTGCCTTCTATTCCTTTTGGTGAGTCGCGCTTCCGACATGGCATCGAGCAGCACGCTATTGGGTCATCTTTGCGCCGCAAGGTTGATACCGTGGTTCTTTACAAGCCTCAGATCCATCATACCGCTCTTGCATGTGAAACCATGGTTGAAAAAGGCTGACGGATGCTTGTTTCCTTGACAGCTAGGCACGTTGAAACACCTTAGGGTTAGACGGCTCAGAGCGATCTACAATTACGGATCCCCCATTTTCCCTCGCTCACTCAGTCCTTACCACAGCACACAGGCTCTGCGTGACGCAATCTTGTTGGTTTAGCTGCACCTCTGTCGATATCCGTGTCACTACCTCTACCGGTGCATACTTTGGTGAACCACCACCATGTTGGGAAGCTCATCGGTATGTCACACTTTCGATGTTCCTTTCCTATTTACAACGAGTCTCTCCCCATCACTTCCCATGTTCCCTCCAGTCCCCTTTCCCCACACAAGATCACACCTCACCTACCATGGAGTTCTTTACCTGGTGCATGGCCTACCCATGCCCATATGGCCCTTGCAATCCTTCGGAGGTGGAGGAGTGGAAGCAAGAGTGTGAAGCTATTCACGAGAAGCGTCGACAAAAGAAAGAGCTCAAGAGAGCTGCAAGGTGCAGAGCTCTTGGGCCTCCTGCTCGTCCACCTCCAAAATACACCGCCCTCCCATGTCGTCTATCACGTTACTCATTATCTTGTCCTGTCTGCCGGTTGCGTGATCTAAAGTCAATACTAAGACAATGGGTTGCTCAACAGAGAAAGCCATACTCGGCCGTGTCGGTACAAATTGACCGCATGACCAGCGAGCAGTATGAAGAAGACGATCTCAGCGGAATCATCGACTTGGTTGAAGTCATCCGCATCCAATCTTCCGGGCCTACCGAAGCTGCCAGAGCTATTCGCAAGAAGCTGTAAGTTCACTGAACTCGACCCAAGTCGTGCACTCAGTGGACTGGTTGGCTGACTCGAAGTAGCAAGTATGGCAACGCCCACCGTCAAATTCGTGCTCTCAACATCCTGGATGGTCTGATTCAAAACGCTGGAAACCGCTTTCAGAAGACTTTCGCCGATGAGCCTTTGCTTGAGCGTCTCCGACTTATGGTCAGGGATGACATGGTCGACCTCGATGTGCGCAACAAGTGTAACGTGCTCTACCGTCAATGGGCTGTTGCCTACAAAGACACCCCTGGCCTTCACAACATCGCCACACTCTACAAACAACTGCCCCAAAAGCCTCGTCCTCGCCATACTCAGGCGCAATCCAAGGTCCTTCGCGAGACGGAAGACGACGCCCATGAGGATCCTTCGCCGACTCCTCCTCCTGCACCTTCTGGTGGACACTCTCGCGGTCACTCTCGATCGAGCTCTGCAGTCAACGCTTCGGCCTCGACCTCTCGCCCAGTCTCACTCACTCCTACACCCCACTACTCTATTCGCGATGCCGTCAAGGCATCCACAAGGAAGAAGGACAAATCCGGCACCACCACTACGAAATTCAATTTCGAAAAGGAAAAGCCGAACATGATTCAAAGTATTGCTCAGGCCTCCATCGCCTCTAATAACCTCTCCAACGCTCTCTTACTCGTCAACCGCGAGAACGAGCGCGTCTCCGAGAATCCTGAAGTCTTGAACCGTTTCGAGACTTGCAAGATTCTCAGAAGAAACGTGCTGAGGTATATTCAATTGGTGGAAAGTGATGAGTGGATTGGAAGTCTGTTGTCCGCAAACGACGAACTGGTCAAAGCACTTACAAGCTACGAGATCATGGACAGATCACTGGACGATGACAGCGACAGTGATGCTTGGGAGCACATGCCAGAGCATGGCTCTCACGCTACTGGTGCTGAATCGCAGCTTGCTGGACTCAAGATCGATGGAGAGGGAGCAGCACCGCCCAAGCCACCTCGACCCACCAACCTCGCTATGCCCGCTAAACCCGACTTTGGCAAAGCCAAGGCAGAGGAAAGCGACGAAAGCGAGAACGAATACGAAGAAGATGATGAGGACAATCCCTTCGGAGACTCCAATGCCGTCAAAACACCAGGCGTGGAAAGACCGGGCATGACTTGGAAGAACGTTTAGAAGAAGTTCCCATGGGATCGGTTCGGACGAAGGACCATGCACCCCACTTACCATTAACGGATGTGTTTGAAGTCAGTCTCCTGTTGATGTTGTTTGAACTGTTTTTTTATCATTGCTATTGCTTTACTGTACCTAGCCTTTCTTCAAGCTTGTTCCATTGTCGATATACCTTTATCTTAGCAGACAAGCAAATGCCAATACTCTTCGACAGCTTTACGTACCCGATCGAGTGGTGAGGTTTTCTGAGGGATAGAGGCGGAAATGCAACTCAATGAAACAAGGCATGTTAAGAAATGATTAATTTCGCACTGCCGCATAGGAAAAGTCCCTCCTCAACTCCAATATAGGTCTCTTAAGCAAAAGACTCCCCTAAACCAAGTAAAGAACACCATAACCTCCTTATCGCAACCCAACTCCACAAACCTAAAGCAAGTTCTCCGTACCTTGACTTCGTAGTATCAACGAGTCAATATAGGTAAAACGTCCCAACCCAACTCTCCCTCCTCCCAAAAACTTCCTTCCAAGGCCTTTGCACCTTCCTCCACACACGCTTCACTCTCTTCTTCACCCTTTGCTTCTTTTCCTCTATCTCAAGTTTATTTCCGTGACGCTCTTTCACACACCCAGGTTTACCATGAGCGTGGAAATGCTTTATCCACACTTTCCTCATCCTCTCCTGATCTCGCTTCCACTCCCTCAGACGACTGCCAGATGTGCGGATAGAAGGATGGTGTTCGCTTGCAGGTTGGGCTCCCTACATCACCGTGCAAGGAATGATACAGCAGGAACAGTCGTCTCCGCACCAACAGGGGAGTTTGACACCGGGGGTGATGCGTTTGATTGCTGCGGACGAGGAGCCGGAGGAAGTGGCCGAGGAGGATGAGGAGGTGGGAGTGGAGAGGGCGGTGGAGGTCGAGGTGTTGAGGACTTGTTTGGGCATATTGGCGGTTAGGGTCGTTTGGGTTGTTTGAGGTGGAGGTAGTCGAAGGTGGTGCGGTTGGTTTGATGCTCGGTGGTGAGATGGAAGCTGCAAGGCGTTAGTGATTGTTGGTAGTCACCGTGAAGAGCAGTGACGACGAATGACAGCGTATCGTTTGGAGGAAGCAAACGACTCACTCTTTACAGGTCCACTCTCTCAGATCTTCTGAAATTCGAATCTCGAGTATATCACTCTTCGAACAAGTTGATATCACAGGTGTGCAAGATATAGAATAAACGCTTCAGGAGCAAAGGAACAGGCGAAACAGAATCGAGTGTATACCAGCGTGTTTTAGGGGTGGTGGAGGCCTCGGCGATCAAAGGACGCGTCATACGTCACTGCACAGTCCCGCGGCAGCCATGGCGCTAAAAACAAGTTCATGGAGAACATTTTTGTGGCGCGGTTTGACATGGCGCAAGGGATGTGGCTGAGTGGGCAGTATTAGTAGTGATATGGTTTTTAAAAGGCACGAGCAGGGGCATCTCGTTTCGAAAGCAAGGAACTTTGGGATATACTGGTAATTGATCCAGATACTTATCTCTCTATCATGGCTATACGAGAGTGGATGTATGTATGCCAAGACTTGTTGCTGTCAGTGTGACCCTGGGTCCAGATTGTCTTGAGATGTATGGCTAGGAAAGAGGGGTGGCAGCTCTAGCACGCAGACATGGTGAGTGGAGAATATGAGGTCGGTTGGTTCTTACAGTATTGGTGTACTAGGATCGTGCTGTGGTCTCAAGAGTCTGATCGACCGATTTAGAATATTCAACCAGCGGGCTTGGATATATGCACAAAGGGATCGGCCGACCAAAACTGCACAACGATGATGTTGGCTCTGAGGACAGACAAGAACCAGTCACATAGAACAAACAGAGGTAATTGAACGAAAGTGATTTCATGATACATAGAGGAAAACAAGAACGCCACTATGCTATATCGCATGTTATAATACTACAATCTCATCCAAGCCCTAGTACTCGTCTGAGTAGTACTCCTCATCCGGCATCATAGCGCGGTAACGTCTGCTGGCAAGATCTTGCTCAAGACCGCCATCTGCATCGGGATCTGCGTAGCCTACAATGGGGAATGTTAGTCATGGTCCTGTAACTACCCGAATTCGGGGAAACTTACCAACACCGCCGAAGAAGCTCAAAGCAACCGGCAAGAAGACCAACGCGTGCAGAGCAGCCCAGATGACAAGTGCCAACCAGACTCGGAAGTAGTAGATCTCGAAGATCTTGCTGCGAGTGAAGGCGAGCACAAAGACACCAAGAAGCTTGGTGACAGTGATACCTGAGAAGACCGAAGCACCCACGTTGACCAGCGCAGCCCAAGCACGAGCATCCTTGCCACGGAAGCTGTGGCAGCGTTCAAGGAGCGATGGCGAGGGTACTGAAAATGCACGGGCGATGTGAGCGCAGAACTCAACCGAGATACCAACACAGATGATAAGGTTGACAAGGGAGACAGCATTGAGCGAGACGCCAGCCAGTGAGATGGTGCCAATGATGTCAACGACAGTCATACCGACAGTCACGGTCACAACAAGACCGGTCGCCAGAGATCCGAGGAGAACACTGCTCAACACCAGAATGAAACCCAGAGCGCCCCCGATAAGAGCACCAGAGAGGCGTACAATCGAGACATACTGGTCGAAGAAGATGTAAAACTTGCTGTAAGGGAAGACTTCGACACCGGTGCGAGCTGTAATGTCATTCGCAATGCGGCGAGCGGACTTGTAAGCCGCGATGAAGTCACTCTGACTATGCATTGGCGTGTGTGATGTACGGAAGTGCGAGGCTGGAATGCTCAGACTGCTGTTGTCAACAACGAGAGCATTACCATACGCGGCTTTGCCAGCCAAGGGACATTCACTAGTGGTAGGCGACTCGAGCCAACGTTCGAGATATGAGACAAACTCCTGGCCTTCGGGCATACCGTGAAGGGTGACGTTCCATGGAGGGTTGCGGTTCTCGAAACAGGTTTGGGATCCATCAACACAGCACTCTTCGAGTGAAGGGTTGAGCCAGAACAAGAAGTCATCAATCCAGCTGGCAGTCGAGTCAGAGATGTAACTGATCTCTGGTCGCTTACGCTCTTGCTCGAGGATATTGGCCAGAGAGAACTCCTCGCAAGTAGAGAAGCGACCACAAATCTGCTGCTGGTGCTGACGGGCAGTTGCGTTGAGGTCCTTGGTGACGAAGTAGACTGGTGGTCCAGCCTCAAAGTAGTCGTATAGATCGTCGAAGTACTTGATCAGGTATGAGTCGGAAGGGATTGCAATGCGTTGGTCGAGTCCAAGCTCGACACCAGGCAGGAGGGCAAGACCAATGGTGAAGAAACCAAGAAAGATGGTGATGACAGCAGTCTTAGTCTTCTTTCCGAGCAGAGCAGGGGCATAAGTCTTGCGAATGAAGCGTTGAAGTGTACCCTCCTCCTCAATACCTGCCAAACCAGGCATACCAGCGATAGCCATAGAGTTGGAGTCAGCACCCTTGACCTTGACGAAGGGGAAGCAGTCTGCGCGACCGGCCTCGACACGCTTTTGATTAAGAGCCAGAACCGATATGAACATAGTGACTTGCAAGATGGCGTTGATGAAAACTGCTCCAGCTGCGTAAGCAGCGAAGTTGCGGACGGCGGGCATACCGACAGCAGCACCAAGAGCGAATGCAACGGTTTCCGTGGTCGCAGACAGAAGAATACTGGGACCCATACGGCCAAGGGCTTTTGCAATCCTTTCGCTAATCGGCTCGTCGGCATGGCTGATGTTGACACGCTCAAACTCGTGGACGATAAGGAAGATGTTGTCCACACCAACTGCAAGAACCAAGAATGGAATGACCTCAGCGATGATCAGAGTCGCCTTGACACCAGCAGCAGCGAAGAGACCAACGGAGGCCGAGACAGACATGAGCACAATCAGGATACCGACGACACCAAGCATGAACTTGGACTGAACGAGAGCATTTGCAGGATTGTTGAGCACATCTCTGACAGTCAAAGTAGTGGCACCCAAAGCGATGGATGCATACAAAAACATGATCAGATAGCTGACAACAACGATCTTGGCGTCAGTGTTGGTTGACTTGTTGAGCTCTTGTTCCAAACTGATCTCAGTGTTGAAAGAGAGACGGAGGCCGTGTTCGGCAGCTTCTTCCTGAACGGTGAGCAGGAGTCCCTTGAGACTCTCTTCCCAGTCCATAGCTCTCTCGAGCTCGAAAGTATCCTCGGCGTGGTTGGTAACAGCCCAAGTGACCACGATAGCGGTAGAGTTGATAACACTGCCATTGTAGCCACCAAAGAGGTAACGAGGGTTGAGCGGTTGCTGGAAATCAGGTAGACAGTTGACGGGAGTGTCAGCACAAGCCTCGAGATCCTCGGCCCACAAGTCGGGATCAAGAGCGTCAAAGTCACCACCGAAATAACCGGTCAGAGATTGGACCACACAAGCATCGCCGGTTGGCTTGTAGCAGACGTCATCGAGCGTGTAACCACCATCGATAGACTTCATTCTGCGAATGCGATTTTCGACATCGAACCACCAGTTGAGTGTGTCGTAAGAGAGAACGGGACCAGGACCTGTAAGCTGAGTGTCATTGACCAGGAAGACTTGCTCGGCTCTGAAGAAAGGGCCAAAGGACTGGTCGAAGAAGGCCTTCTCCTTTGCAGCTTCAGAGTCAGGAGAGACCCACAACTTGACAGGATCGGTCTCGAGGGCGAAGCGCATCCAGCCTAGGCTAAGCAAAGCTACTATGATGACCGAAGAGCTGATTGTGATAGCAGGGAATGTGGCAGCAGTTCGACCGAGACGGGAGAAGATTCTGTCACAGACTGTGTTGAGAGGGTAATTTCTGGTAGGCTTTTCGAGGAGGCCAGCCTGGTGTACAATGTCACCTTCGTCTTCATCATCGCTAGGAGAAGCATCCTGCAACAATCTCAAACGTTCATTGCGGCTCTTGGTGTGCTTAGCATAAGCAACGTGGCCAGAGACAGCCAGGATCAGGAGGAACAGGAAGACAGAGTAGACGATGATGACAGCGAAAGACAGGCACGGCAACACACCGACCTTGCACTCGTGTGCTTCCTTGACTGAAGGCAGCTCAGGGCACGAAGCAGCGCAGTCTACGCAAGCGCACTTGTATCTCTCATCAGTGCTGTTGCAAGGATGTGCCTTGTCGGATCCAGGCTCCATACCAGGAAAGTCGGCCTCGCTGGGAATAGGGAAGTTGATTTGAAAGGGACTGCCAAAAGGCTTTTTGTCACCTAGGAACTTTAGGAACTGGGTGTAGTTCTTTGCACCACCACCAATCAGGTCCATAGCCTTTCCTCCAGTGGCTCCAAACTTGACGTCCTTGCAGCTGTTGTAGAAGGCGCCTCCATAGTCTTCGGAGACGAGCTGATCAAGTTCGGTCACCAGCAGTTTGTCGCCCTTGGGAGCAGTGCTGGTGACGTTGACGAACAGAGATTGGTCGGGAGAGCAGGTGAAAGTACAGAAGAGGTTGAAGAAGTTGTCCTTGCAAGCGGGACAAGCGCCAATGATGGATTCAGCGCGCTTGAGGTTGGAGCTGAGGGCGCCCAGTTGCTCGTCTGTGCAACACACCGGGCCTTCAGCCCACTTATCACCACAGATAGCCATGAGAGTCTTGCGTGTGCTGGCAGTGGGCTCTTCAGCCAGACCGTTATCGGGGCATGGCAGATCAGAGCCGAAGAAGCCTTGCTTGCCACAATGTCCACGAATGGCACATCTTCCTGCTTCATGCTTGTGGGTGAAGCCATCAGGTGCTGTTGTCTCGATTCCAAAGGCTGATTGCTGTGATTCAGCAGATGCTGAGGCAGACAGCAGGCTCAGACCCGCCACTGCGAGCCATGGCCGTGTGAATCTCATTTTCCAAACTCTTTCTCGACTTCCGAAGGTATGGCGATTTGTCTCTTGTATACAAGGTTATGGCAAGGTCGTGTGTCGAGCTCGGGTGGCTGGGACGTGAGAAGTCGGCGACAGTCTTCGGACGTAATTTGACGAGCGCAGATGTTTGAATATGACACACGCAGAGTAACAGTAGATAGATAAGGCAGAAATGGACAACCGCGCTACCACGATGTCCGTGTCGAAACAGAACAGAAACAGATCAAGGTGGTGCCTTGATGCATCGCGCGCTCTGGCCGCCTCCGCATTTGCTTCCCGCGTCCGAACGTCTGATGACGCGCTGCCAAGCTCAGCCACATTTGTACCAGCCTCAGTCCATTCCTCCGCATCTCGTGCGCACATCAACTGTGGACAACACTTTGAGTAGCAGGGGGTAGCTCTGATTGTAGTATTACATGTTACTTCGTCTGTATAACGTCTCATGTAGCTAGCAGGGCTTCCAGCCTCTCATTCCAAAACCCGCCTCATGCTTTTACTCCATGTTGGTTCGTCAAGTGATCGATTCTCGTTTCTTCTTCTATGCACCTCTGTCTGCGACGCGGCTTCTGTTCCTGAATGCGCTTCCTTGAGTAGCATCCAATTGTGTGAAACAGCTGTGTTCGCCGCACGTACTTCATGTTATCGTTTTCTTCGTTCACGTCTGAGTCTCACCACCACCGGGAGCTGCGCCCGATGAAGGTCCACGGCCAGCACCGCCTCTGCCTCCACGGCCACCACGCTCCAAACCGCCACGGCCACGTCCTCCACGACCGCCACGTCCACTGCGGGCACCTTCGCTGTCGGATTGCCCACTACGGTATCCGCTCTGCTGGCCTGATGCTGTGCGTGAGCTGCCCCAGGTGCCGGCCTGGAAACCACCACGCGACGGGCGTTGCTTGAACTCACTGATTCTCAGTGTTGAGTACTTGCTGTCTGATGCAGGGCTGCGCTTCAAGATCTCTTGCATCTCTTCAGGCGAGTTGAAGTGTGCGATCCAGAAGCCCTTGCTAGTTCTCTCCAGCTTGACGATCTTCTTCTGATCTTCCTCGCTGAAGATTTGGCGCACATCAGCCTCGTCATCCGTGCCGTTGATGGGAGGAATGAAGATTGACTGGCTCTTGGGAGGCTCTTGGGCCTTGGGAGTGCTGTCAGTGGCGGGTGTGACAGAAGCCTTCTCTTCAGCCTTTGCAGGTGCGGGGGTGCCGTTCGTTGAGGCCGGAGGCTGAGGAGTTGCAACGGGCTTAGTAGGCGCAGGAGATGGCACTTGTTGAGGAGTAGCGACGGGGGGTCTAGCGGTCTGGTGAGGTCCAGGACCACGCGAAGGTGCGTTTCCGGGAGCGGGAGCCGATGCGGGAGCGACAGGGCCGGAAGGAGTAGGGGCATTGCTAGGAGTGGGTGCCGGTGCGGTGGCTGGGGCGGCAGGTTGTTGAGTAGCCTGAGCTGCTTGAGCGGGCTGTGCAGGGCGCTGAGCGGGCTTTCCGGCGCGGTGTGAAAAGTTGAAACCTTGAGCCTTCATCTCGGTGCCAATTCTGCCCTGATCAATGTCGAGCAGCAGCCAGCCAAAGGCGGCATCGGCCAAGTTGAAGTTCCACATGTTCTTGAAGGCGCTCTCATCGACAACACCACCCTGGGGACCAGTGTAGCCGCCACCGAAGGGGTTGCCGCCGTTTGCGACAGAGGGCATCTTCGAAACCAGCTCAAGGGCGTTGCTGAGCAGGCGCTGTTGCGACTCGTTCTCGGAAACAGCAGGCTCGACCTCGCTCTTGACAGTCTCCCAGACGTCGTTGAAAGAGGCCTTGGAAGCTGCCAACTTGCCGCGGTAGTGATCCAGAGTAGGGTTGACACTGAATTCGTTGTAGGAGCTGCCGTAACGGAAGTGCAAGCCAGCCGAAATGGAGAAGTCAGCCTTGAGGGCCACGGCCAGCTGGTTTAGCAGACCTTCACGAGCAGGCGATGCGTGGGTGACGAAAACACGGGTCTCGGTGGGGTCATAGACACGGTTTGCCGTGTCGATGAGCTCGCCAATCTGCAGGAGCGTAGTCCACATTGTTCCCTGTCCTCCAGCGATTGTGGTACGACCTTCGCCGTTGTCGAACAGCTTGTGCATAACAACGGCACCTCCAAGACCCAACAAGCGCAGCTTGACACCGCCAATGTCGAGCAGGCGAGCGTGCGACTCATCGATGACGAACAGGTTGTTGATCTTGTATTCTCCTGAGCGCAGCTTCTCCAAGACCGAGACGTCTTCACATGCACCCCAAACTGTGTAGACAGGCTTCTCGAGTGTGTAGGTGCCGTTCAGGAATTGCGGGAGTTCTGAAAGAGGCAGGTTCTCGCGCTGGAAGCGCTCCTTGATCGAGGATTGGGCGGGGGCGCGGGCAATGTCATTCTTGACACCATCGTTGAGGAGGGGTGAGTATTGCGCAACATGCTTGAGAGTCCTGACTGCGGTTAGTCGATGTGTGGGAGAGGTTGAGCGAGGCAGCTCACTTCTCAGCGATGCGATCGAGGGAGGTATTGTCATAGAAACCAAAGTCACCGGTGTGGATGATGTAGTCGGCTCTTGCGGTGCGTGCGAGTTCATTCAAGGATCTAAGGTTGCCTGGCCCACACGTTCAGCGTCGCTTTCTTCTCGTTCAAGTGCGCGGTCTGCTCACCTCGCACATCGGCGATACACAGGACTCTGGCGCCGCCAGCCTGGACCACGCGACCTTGGTTAGGGAGGAGTGGCGTCGCTCCGGGGACGGGGCCGGATGCTTGAGCGGAAGTGCCGTTCGGGACGTAAGCCTGGCTGTATGAGCGCGGTTGAGTAGGTGGTTGCTAGACCAGCATCAGCATGGATGGAGTAGCAAACACAAGAGGCGCAAAATGCGGACTCACAGCCATGAGGGATGGGTTCGAGCGAGGTGTGATGCGCTTTGTCGAGGGGTATCAAATTAAGAAAACAGATAGCAAAGCAGAATTACGACAAGGAGTACACAAGTCCTTAATCAGATGAACAACGAGAAAGAAGGCGGAGTTGAATGTTTGCCAGGAGAAGTGAGCTTCCACGTCCGTCGTTTACTCCTGCCACCCGAGCAGCTGTGCCATCTGAGGCGCTCGCCGCGTCTTGGCGCAACCTCCGGGCCGCCAAGCCATTTGATCCTCATTGCTCCTCCTAACACCTAATGCGAACAGATGATTGTCACAGATACGTGTTAGATGATGGTATGTAGTTGATGATACAAGTAGTCACATTGTCTTACGCATATCGGTCTGTCAGTCTGTTGATATCAATGTTCAAGCATCTCCAAGCCATCATCGCCTTCCTTCGTCCAAGCTCCAGATCGGCCCAGCCTCCTGTTTCCATGACCTTCTCATCCTGCCTTCATCTCCATCTCAATAGTCCATGGCATCCTCGAAGAGCTGCTTCAATTGTGCTCTTTCCCCGTCCACGTTCTGCATGTCCAAGCTGGGTGCCAGCATGAGTACTCTTGCCTGTGGCATGGTTCCTTCTACCAGCTGGTCGATGTCGCTGTTGCCGAAGCCCAAATCCTTCAGTCCTCTAGGCTGATCACCCAAGTCTACCAAAAATTTGGCCAGCGCCTCACTCAAAACTTCTCCGGCGCTTTCCTTCTTAACTTGGCTAATGTCCACACCAAAACACTCTGCTGCCGCAAGATGTCTTTCTGGGTTGCTTGGTCCAGTGAACTTGAACACAGCGGGTGCGGTGACAGCAACGCTGACACCGTGAGGAATGATCGGATGGTCGACCTCGTAACCATTGTGCTTGTAGCCTGGATTTTGACCACTGACAGGGTAGCTCATGCCGTGGCATAGATGAACACCTGCATTACCGAAACCAACACCTGCCAGAGTTGCTGCCAACAGCATCTTGCTCTGTGCTTCGTGATCGTCCGGATCCTTGACTGCTCTAGGCAAGTACTTGACAGTGTCTCTCAATGCCTGTAAGCTGAAGATGTCTGAGATGGGGTTGGCACCCTGGTATGCTGGTCGCTCGATTGGGTTGCGAGGTCTTGGTACACGCTCGTGGTAGGGGATGGCTGTCCAGGACTCCAGAGAGTGACAAAGAACGTCCAGACCACTTGAAGCATGCACGGCAGAAGGCATAGTACGGGTGTTGAGAGGATCACATATACCAAGGGTCGGCTTCAGGTTGCGATGTGCAATGCCCGTCTTTGCCTTCTTCGATACTAGATCGAAGATGGCAGTACCCGTCGTCTCTGAACCAGTTCCTGCTGTTGTGGGTACCGCGACAAGCGGCTTCAGCTTGCCCTGAATGGGTAGTCCTTTTCCGAGTGGGGCATTGACGAAGTCTAGGAAGTCGGCTTCAGGGAACGAGGTGTATAGGTTCATGAGCTTCGCTGTGTCGATCACTGAGCCACCACCAACAGCGAGGAAGGCGTCCGGAGCGTAAGGTTTGGCGAATGCGATTGCTTCCTTGATGCTACATGCAGGTCAGTAACCAAGTCTTCCTCTACTCAACCTCATGCGACAAGACTTACGAATGGTCCTTGGGCTCGACACGACACTTGCTGTATATCTCGTACTTGATGCCTTCCCTGTCCAAACCTTCTTGGACTTGCTTCATGGCAGTCAAGTGTAAGACGGTGCCATCAGTCACGATCATGACCTTCTTGGCTCCCATGTTCTTGAAGTCCATGCCAACCTCCTTGGTGCAACCGGGCCCAAAGCGAATGCTCGATGCTGCCATCTCGAAGGCATACTCCTTCTGTTGCGAGTAATCGACAGGCGTGGCAAGAGCGCGTCGTCCTTGGGAGATGCTCAGAGGGTTGTGATGGTGTCCTGGGTTGCTGTGGCATGGGCATCCTGGACCGTGTGTGCCCACTGCACGTAAGAGATTGAGCGCTCTTACTGCTCTGGATGGTGCTATGCGTATGGCTGCCATGGTTTCGAATGCAGATCACAAAAGAAGATACAGAAAGGAATTCAAGGCCTCGAGAGGACATGTTTTGACATGCATCATCGGATCATGGTTGTGGGGTAGCGGGTATTGCGGGCAGGCCTCTGCTGCGGGGCCCTAACAGATTGGGTATACCGCTCAGCCGTCTGGCTCGATGATCAACCTCCCTGCACGTTTGCAGAGCCGAAGCAAATATCGGCGGCGCGAGACAATACCTGAACGCTATAACCAGACCTTCTTTCTCAGCAATTCTGTCACTCTCGTTGTTCATGATAGCGATTGCTTGAAGCATAAGCCGAGGCATCGTTGACCCCACAATCTGGCCTTCACACCCTGGGAAACTTTCAAGATGAACCGCGATGTCGGCGAAACTCTATCTGCTCGTTCTCAAGGTCGACGTCCAAAAAGCTCTAGCAAACCCTGACCACCCACTGCGTGAATTGAGGTTCATCATATCAAAGCAAGCATACCGCACCTATGCTTATCATGCTTCGGATGAACTGAGACGAATGGGAAGATACGACGATGCGGCTAGGCTCGACAGAGCACGCGAAAAAGTCCTTCCTCGGTCACGAGATTATGGGGATCGTCCGGACAGAGAGGGTATCCTTGCACAAGGGAAACCTGCCAAAAAACTACCGTTTCCAAAGTTTAAATAAGACAATCTAGAAGAGTATATCAACTCTGGTCGTCACTGCGCGTCTTCGACATTTCTCGGCTTTTGTGGCATAATCTTCGATACTCTCGTGCTCGTGGTATTGCTCGCCTCGCTCTGCAGGATGGCAAACGACAGAGCAGTCATGGTCTGCCTGTTCAGGCTACGGTCTATGCATCCTTGGAGACGTATTGCAAGAGCTTATCGAGAGATACCAGCACCCATCCTGGACAGAAACGACCGTGGTAATCGCAATACAAACCAAGCATCTTTCACGCACGATCAGGGGTTTTCCCAATCGAGTGTCATCCCTGCATCAACCACAAAAGAATCTATACACAAGATATGAATATCAACGCAGAAATTAGCAAAGTCTCAGCAGCAATAAGATGAAGCAAAGATGAAACAGCCAGTTACAAAAAAAACAGTGAATGTTCGATTACTGAAAAACTCAATGCACATGTCTATAACCTCGTCTCAAGTCATGATCTCCTTCAACGGATCCACCACAACCTCGATAAAAGATCGCTGGAGCAGAGCAGATACATAAGGATTAGCCTCATCAACATCCTCACTCAAGCCAAAAGCTGGCAGTCCTTCTATACAAGCCCTGGTGGCTTTGGCGTATCCATCATTCATGTTCAGACGCACTTGCTCGAGAATGGTGTTGCTGTCCAGAATGCGAGTTCGGGTGTCCTGTCTCTCATTGTCTAAGGCAGAATCTCGACCAGAGTGTAGAGACTGGAGGATTTGATCGATGGGCTTCCAGAGGGCAATCTCGATCAGGATGATGCCAAGGCTGTAGATGTCGTAAGATTTACGATATCCACTCTTTCTTTCTGTGTCGAGATATGTCGGATGACAGTAAAGGGCCCACTTGCTATCGTGAGGAGGTCCACTTGATGTGAATGAATCATTGGATGGCCTAGAGAATCCAAAGCCAGATATGGACAACCGCCTTGAACTCTCGTGGCCTGCAATTGCGGTCTTGTTAAATACAACACCAGCGCTTCGGAGACCTTTGTGTAGCCAGTTTACAGCATGCAGATACAATAAGCTTTCCGCGACCTGATGTGCGATCGCAGATCTGTCGATGCTAGACTCGACTTGATTGAACCAGGACAACAGTGATTCTGATTCATCCGATAAGGAGTCCAGGACAATTCCAAATCGAGCCTCGACTGGGTCTTCAACATATCCCAGGCATGTTGGAAGGCGAAACTCATCGGGTCGATCTGGCTGACTGAGCAACCAAGCCAATCTTTCCACGTTCTGAACACTCTGGGGGTCGGGCTGAGATTTGGTGCCCTGATATTCTCTCCACTCGATCCAGACCGGTTTCTGAGCAAAGGTCGCCAGCGATCGGAGCCCATCGTCCACATTCACCAGGATACGCAAGGTAGAGGTGTCACACGATTGCAGGAGCAATGATTTATGAGCTCCGATATTACTCATTCGGATGGCGAAAGCAGTAACTCTCTGCACAGTGGTATCGTGACGGCTGTTCTCTTTCTGAGCAGCTAACACGACTCTCATGTCCTCAAGATCCTTGGTGAGCTGGAGCATTTCAAGCGACACTTTTTGTCTCGACGAAAGAGCCTGGTCCATTCTATCGTCAGGAATTATGCCATACAAGCAATCGGTCAGCGCCTTAATCTCGTCGAGTCCCACGCGGAATCGCTTGTGATCTTTGATGGCCCAGACCAGTCGCTTTGGATCTTTTGATACCACAAAAACGTCCTCTCTAATTCGGACTAGATGTTCCAGGAATCGCTTTTGTTTGGTAGAACTAGGAGCTGTCTTATCACTGAATACCGCTATGACCTCGCGGTGGACTGAGTCAACCGCGGGTGATGGACCCGAAATGTCAAGGCTACGGGCAGTGTTCGACCTCAGGCTCGACTTGGACCCACCAGGTGGTGAGCTATAGTACTTTGTCAGCCCGGCGAGATGTTCCAGTTCTGCTTTGATCAGTCCAAGGGCATCCACTATTAGAATTTCGTTGGCTTTGACGTGCGATGCATCATCTGGTGAGTCGTCTGTATCAGACAGCCCGGCTAACTCTCCCCATCTGAATAGTCTGGATTGCTCGAACTTCAGGCGTAGAACGAGGGTCTTAATATCGCGATCTGCATTTGCTGCGCACCGGAATAGTTTGTATCCTGCAGTGTATCAGTGAAGCTCCATGTGTCCTCAGATCTATGACTAGCCTTCAAGAGCCGCTCCAAAAAGCTGCAGCGCCAAAGAAGTTGCTCCGATGCCAGCATCCATGGCGAGAACGAAACAGCGATGGCGAAGAAAGAGCCTGAACTCTGAGGCATTTCTGATGTCGGTCAACCAGATTTATGATACCTTGACGCAAAGGATGATTGCTAGGCTAATTGTTCCGGGGAGTTTACTCAAACTGGGCCGATGTTTGAGAAGCATGCAATGGCGCCAGCTTGAAGTCTTGTTCGTACCGCAGTCGCTTGATCCGAGACGTGCTGTGTCGTGATAGGTTGGATACTATATTCGTTATCGAAGGACTATGCAGGATGGCCTGTACTAATGGCGTGGCTAGCAAATGTGCCACTTATTGGTCAGACGTAACTGAAGGATTCGTTTGACAGCAATTGGGTGGTATATCTGCCGCGGGCTCTATCTTGGCGGGCGGCTAAAGCACTATAGCATGCAGGGCTTCATCACGCTCTGCAATTTGGCGTCGGGATGTGCCTCAGGTTAAAGCTTCCATGTATCCAGCCTAAGGACTATGTCCGGCAGACTAACTTTCCCGCGAATTCCGAGCTGGCTTCTATTCGAGTGACTGTATGCGAAGACCCGACGTCCTAAGCTTCTCGAACAAGAGTTCCCTCGATATGAGCCGATACAGACATGCCTCGAGCCTTACGCTAGCACAGTACCTGGAAGATCCTCCAAAGTTCTACTTTCCAAACGGGCATGGACTCCCGGGTTCTGTTGTTGGATCAAACTATGAGTTGATCGCCAAGCATCATCTGAACACGCTATTGAAATGGAGTGACAAGTCCACTATCCTTCTCGCTCAGCTCGTTACAGAAGATGGTAACCAGGAACTTGTAGCTGCAAAGATAATGCAACACCCTCCGGACAAGGATAAATTGACAAACGAGCTCGACATACTCCAAAGCCTACGCCACGAGCATATCGCCGCCATTCTCGGAAACTTCTCCATATCCCATCCTAATGGAACACGATACGGGCTCTTGGTGTTTCCCCTCGCTGTTGAAGATCTCCAAACCTCGTTGGAGACAATTTCGGCGCACAACAAAGCTCACCAGAAGGCAACCTCAGTGTGGCCTTCCTACCAAAATGCACACAAGCTTCTGCCGTACTTCGCCTGCCTTTGCAAAACTGTGCTGTTTCTCCATAAGCAGCCCCGGCCCGTCAAGCATCGAGACATCAAGCCCGCGAACATTTTGATTGACAGGGTCGGAAATGTCGTCCTTGCTGATTTTGACATCTCGGGAGCTTATGACGATGTCGGATCAGCGATATCATACGGCAGATACGACGGAACCCGCATGTATTCTTCAATAGACGTATGGAGTTCCTCGGTACAGAACAATCCGAAAAACGGCAAACGAGGACTGGAGTGGGATGTTGTCAGTCTAGGATTTGTCTTTCTGGAGATGGCGACCGTGTTATTTGGTAGGACCTTGGAGGAGATGCGGGATCGTATGAAAAAACGTTCTGAGTATGGGGTTTTGAGAGTGATGTACTCAGATGCGCTAGGGGACATAAAGAAATGGCTCGATGATCTCGGGGAGGCCCCTGGCCAGTTTTTGCGATTGACTGATGTCAATCAGGATGACGCCAGGAAGTTTTTGAGGGCAATCGAGGACATGACTTCGTCCAAGCAATACGATGACGAATCGCTTGAACGTGCCTGGAAGACTTTTAGATGTCTTTCTAACCATTGCTGACCTATATCCCAGTCCTTGTGAGAAGCTTCAGAAAGGCTCGCTCAGTAAAGACTGACAACATAGTTTTCGAGGATGGGCGTGCCTTCCATGGTTAACCGTCGCATCGTTGCATATCTTGGGGCTCAAGGCCCACCTGTGAGCAACATGGTCCATAGTGCAGCCATCGGTGCAGTACCAGAGGACCACTGCGTTAGTTGAGACCACAGCAGTAATATCATCACAATTTCATCTAGACTTCCACCTGAACTTGGTACACTCCTTGAATTGGCAAATGGTAGAAGATGTGGGCAGGCTCAACACGGCTGGATAACGCTGGCTCGTCAGGTATATCAGTGTTGTAGCGCTCTTTTCGACTTATTGAGCACGATTATCTGTCGGAGAGAGCGAATCCAACCAGTGTTCTAGCGTAGGTCTCCAGCTGATCATACAGCCCATGAACCATGCGGAACTTCTCGGCTTCTGTCAATGTTCCTTTGCCGATGGGACTAGCAAGGTCCAATCAACCGTTTATCCTGATCTTGTCGAGGTCTTTTGGATTCAGGACGTTCTTGACTTGGAGGTGCTGTCTGTCATATTGAGCCCTCAGCCAGCAAACACGAGTGGAAAGGAAAACCCCGTTTGGCCAACCGCCTAGTCCGACAAGGCATCGTAACGCTGAATTCTGCTTCGCTGAACAGTCATCTGTGTCGGGAGAAAGGCCCAACTTTGCGGTCTCAGCCTGCTCGTTTAGATGATGGCTGCAATTGCCAGTATATTTTCCCTTAAGCGCAGGCAAATGGAATGCACCTGAATTTCGAACCAAATCATGCGCTGTTCATGCCATTAAGATATTGATATGTTGCAATTCAATTGTGGTCAGGCGAAGTGCTGGAGGTAATGCGATGTTCGACAGCGCTTGGGCATGCTTTGCCGGACCAGACCAACACTTCTGTCAACTCATCTGCGTTGGCAACGGCATCCCACCATGCGCGGGTCTTCCAACCCTCTTTGTACTCTAAAATGTCTCTTTTATTGTCGTGCAAACAACGTACGATTTGCTATCAAGCCGATATCGCTCTTTGTCATGACAGTGAGATACCGTCTGACGCGCTGAACTGCAAGTATAAGCAAGAGCGAACGAGGACAAGCTTCCGAGATAAGCATCCATCCCCACCTTCCTCTTATCCAATACTACACCCTGCTTGAAGCTTAGCTTCTGTCTTGTGCAGACAACATGACGACCCCAGAGATAAGGAATGAGTCCGTCGCCTGTCTCGGGCAGCGGCACTGATTTGCGGTTGGGGTCGATGGAGATATCGCATCTACTTCCGTACGCAAGAGTAGCATAAGTATCAGTCGCTTTTCTTTGATCTCGTCTTGACTCCGTAAGTTGTGGTAACGACTATGGTTCTCCCATCAAAAGCCGCCTTTTCTTCGAAAGACACCATCAGGAAGAGATGCACAACTCTCGAAGCTTGGGCACTACCCAAGCAGGAATCGACAATTGCACCCGACTATGTCTGGACAAACAAAGATATGGATCCTGTGCCCATCTCTGACCAGACATGGGGCATGTGGACTTGGGTAGCATAGTAAGCTAAGCTGCCATGTCTGATACACTTCCATCACTGATGTTGGATGAAGTTGGGCAACCGATGTCATCAACCTAGGCACTTGGGAAACAGCTAGCTCGATCATCCAAGTCGGCTTGACCTGGCGCGATGCTATTCCTATCATGGCTGTTGGTTGTCTTTGCGTTGCCATTCCAGTTGTCCTCAACGGATCTATGGGTGCTCATCTCCATGTTCCGTTCAGCGTCATCGTCCGCTCTGGATTTGGTTACTACTTCGCCTATTTTTGTATTGCATCAAGATGTATCTTGGCCATGTTTTGGCTGGGCATACAGAGTGCAAACGGTGCTCTCGCCATGCAAATCATGATCATGGCTATCTGGCCCTCATTCGCTTCCTATGACTGGAAGGGACCAAACAACACCCTTTCTGAGAGCGGTGGCATCAGTACTGCTGGCATGATTGCCTACTTTTCCTTCTGGATCATCCAACTTCCAATGCTTCTGATTCCACCCACTCGACTACGCTACCTCTTCATTGTCAAGCTGATCGCGGCTCCTGTCACTGCCATTGCTACTCTAGGATATATGGTCCACAAAGCAGGTGGCAGCGGTGCTATCTTCTCGCAACCGGGCACAGTAACAGGAGATGCTAGAGTCTACCTCTGGTTAAGTTGCATGTCTTCGGTCACAGGTGTCTGGGCTACTCTAGCTGTCAACGTGGCAGACTTTAGTCGTTATGCCAAAGGACGTGCAGACGGAAAACCAAATCATGCACAATATGTCCAGTTGCCTGCTTTACCCATCCTTTTCACGCTATGCGGCGTTCTCGGTGTCATCACAACCTCAGCATCCAAAGTTGTTTACGGCGAGTTCTATTGGAATCCTCTCAATATCGTCGAGCAATGGCTCAAGAACGGACATGCCGGTAGGGCAGCAGCATTCTTTGCTGCGTTGAGCTGGTTCATTGCTCAAGTGGGCACAAATATCACTGGCAACTCTATCTCTGCAGCTAATGATCTCTGTGTCATGGCACCAAAGTATGTTAACATCAGACGTGGCTGTATTATCTCCGCTGTCGTTTCTTGTTGGGTCATGGTGCCGTGGAAGATTCTGTCTGATGCCGAAACATTCCTCAGCTTCATGTCTGGGTACTCGGTTTTCCTTGCTCCTATGGCTGGTCAGTCCTGAGAATCATCACAGACTATTGAAACAAATTCGCTGACCTTTTCGCCCCAGGCATCATCGCAGCCGACTATTGGCTGATTAAGCGCCGTCACATCGACGTACCGGCTCTGTACGATCCACACGGACGCTATCGATATCGCTATGGCGTCAATTGGCAAGGTCTTGCCGCTTTCCTTGTCGCTGTTTGTCCCAATCTTCCAGGTCTTGCGAACTCGATCAACGCCACCTCTATATCAGCTGGAGCTAAACATCTGTACTCTTTCGACTGGCTGTATGGTTTTGTGTCTAGCATTTTCGTTTACACGGTGCTGAGTAAGATTTTCCCTAGCAAGGAAGCGTTGATACCGAAGTCGATATATTCCCTGGAGGTTGTGGAGGGCAAAGAGATGGATTCGAGTAGAGACATCGAAAGCGAAAGCAGAGACATGTTTGAAAAGAGTGGAGGAAACGTCGAAGCTGTTGACTTTGGCAAGGTTCTTTGATGATGTCTTGTGTAGATAGACCATAGACTCTGAACTCATATAGACATCCTGAGCACACTGGTGTCTGATCATAATCTTTCCTCAAAGTCACAAAGATACCACTCAGCTCGTCAGCCCACAATCAATGATGACATTCTGTCCCGTCATACTCCTCGACAAAGCAATTGCTCGTACTTGGTCCGCCACATCCTGGATAGAAAATCAGTAAACGACATCTTCTCCGACATAAGCATCGGCATCCACTTACATCAACCTCAGGCAACCTCTTCAACTTCGTCCCATTCTTATGCGCTTCCCTCTTCTGCTCCGAAAACTTCAACCCCCACTCCGTCAACATCAACCCGGGAGCCACCGAATTAAACCTGATCTTGGGCGCACAAATATTCGCCAAACACTTAGTCAAATGTATACTCGCGGCTTTGGTAACCGCATACGGCAATGAACTCCCACTAGGCTTGACACCAGCGATACTAGCTGTGGTTATAAACGCACCTGCCGTGGCATCAAGGTGCTCACGGCAAGCATAAGCCAACCACATGTGTGCTTTTACATTGTAGAGAAAACATTTATCCCAGTCTTCGTCGAAATGTTGTTCGTCAAAGTTCATAAAGTTTGTGAGGCGCGTGTAGCCTGCGTTGGAGATTACGACGTCGAGGCGGCCCATGGTGGAGAGGGTTTCTTGGACGAGAGAGTTTATGGCGTCGCGGTTGCCGATGTCTGCTTTTATGGCGTGGAAGCGGGGGGATGCTGTAGAGGACACGGTGCTGGGGATGGCATTGAGTTCTTTGAGGACGTCTTCGGCGCGGGAGCTGTTGTTTGCGTAGTTGATTACCTGTGAGGGGGTTAGGCTATGGTTGTTGCTGAAGTGCTTGAAAACAACATACTACTCGAAAGTCTGGTGCTAGCACACGGGCAATGGCAGCACCGAGACCTGCTGTACCGGCTGTGATTAGGGCAACTTTCTGTGCGGCCATGATGATAGAGGTGGTCCTTGGGGAGTCTCGAGGATTTGGAGACAAAGAGGTGTGGATTGAACGAAATCAAGGGTAAGATGACACTAGATGGTATACTTGGCCAAGGAGAGTAACAAGAAGTGCCGCGGGGTAGGTACTTGTGTTTACCCATCTCTCCCGAGTCCCACCTTGATGCTTGTGCGGAATAACGCCGCTGGCTGGTATTCCGTGATAGAGCAGTCTTTCCGCACACCATGTCCACTACGACCAATGGATGGATGCCGGTTGCACATGGCACCGACTCTACAATTTCGAGGCTCGCACACACCACCGGTTCGACATGTCTTGAGCGAAAAGATGTTCGTTGTGCAATACAACAAGCTCCCGGCGAAGCCTCCGGTCGACAGATACTCCAAAGCTGAAGCCGAGATCGGGCGGATAAATGACGTACACGCGGTCGGAAGTTTTGTGATATCCAAGTCGAACTCGAAGCAGACGTAGTGCAATTGCTTCACAGAACATATACACAATGTCTTCATTCTTCAGATCAGCACCCAGAGCTCTGTCTCGCGCATCAACATGCCAGCCTCTGGCTGCTCGCGCCAGAGCTGCTCCTTTCATGTACCGTGGTCTTGCCACAACACAGGAGCAGCCTCGCATTCGTCTTGGTTCTGTTGCCCCTGACTTCAGCGCAAAGACAACCAACGTATGTTCTAAGCGTACGTACAGCTGAGAGTTTCAATTGATAAGTGTAGGGTGACATCAAGTCGTTCCACGAGTGGATCGGTGACAGCTGGGCAATCCTGTTCAGTCACCCGGCCGACTACACACCTGTATGCACAACCGAACTTGGTGCCTTTGCCAAGTTGAAGAACGAGTTTGATGCCCGTGGTGTCAAGATGATTGGCCTGGTATGTAATCGAAAGTGTTTGGGATGTACAGAACAAAGCTGACCGAGGCTGCAGAGCGCCAACGACCTTGGCTCGCACGAGGGTTGGATCCAGGACATCAACGAGATCGCAAACACCAACCTCTCATTCCCCATCATCGCCGACCACGACAGAAAGGTTGCCTTCCTGTATGACATGATCAACCAGGAGGATCTGGACGATGCAGCTAAGAAGAGCATCGCCTTCACGATCCGCTCCGTCTTTGTCATAGATCCCCAGAAGAAGGTCCGCCTGACCATGATGTACCCTGCCAGCACTGGCAGAAACAGCGCTGAGGTTCTTAGAGTTATCGACTCGCTCCAGACTGCCGATAAGAAGGGCATTGCTACACCCATCAACTGGCAGGTTGGTGAGGATGTCATCGTCCCTCCTGCAGTCTCGACAGAGGATGCAAAGAAGAAGTTCAACAACGTCAGGGAGCTGAAGCCTTACCTCCGCTATGCTGAGATCAAGTAGAGGATTGGTGTCAGAACAGACAAAGCCAAGATAGACATGATGAACCAAAATTAGATTCTTTGTAACTCTGACGTGTACCCTGTCATGGTTAGTGAACTGTTTCCAGAAGACGAATAGAACGAGTCTAACAGCTCTTAGCATCCGATCCGTTGCTGCGTGGGCAAGGAAGAGCTGCGTGTTTGGTGCTCTTTCGGCGTCCATTCGGCCGGGCAGTCTCTTGTGAGCCTCGGCTCCCCGGATTTCGTTGTGGTTCCCGAAACCCCTCGGGAAAGCTGCTGGAAATATTGCATGAACATGTGAAGAGCACGACCGGCATCATCGGCGCGGCCTTTTTGGCATCCAGACTTTCTTCTTTCTTGCCAGCCCTTCTCCTCTCTCTGTTCCTCATTCTCTCTTCAGTCCAAGGTCCAATCTCTCAAGGAGCTCTAACCCCAGCTGTCACTCCCCTCGGCTTCTCCACATCCGCTTCGGCGTCATACCATGTCGAAATCAAGCCTACCCAGCGTCGAGGATCTGCCGTCGGCAGAGGAGCTGAAAGAAGATGCTGTCGTCGCAACGAAACAAACATTCGCGAGTCTGCGATCCCTAGTGGCAGGAGGTGCTGGTGGTGTGGCTGCCGTCATTGTCGGACACCCCTTCGATCTGGTCAAGGTGCGCTTGCAAACCGCTCAAGCCGGCGTTTACAGCGGCGCAATGGATGTTGTGAGGAGGACTGTTGCAAAGGAAGGTCTCGTGAGGGTATGCTATCTTTTGTTCTGCTGCGCTTACGACGACGACTCACAATGCTCTAGGGTCTTTACGCTGGTGTTTCGGCTCCTCTGGTTGGAGTCACTCCAATGTGTAAGTCCAGCTCCCCAAAGCCCCATCAATACATTCACTAACCTTGCGTTACAGTCGCCGTCAGCTTCTGGGTATTTTTGCACCCGTCCCAAAGAAACCCGTCTCGCACGCGACTGACACAAGACAGGGATACGATCTGGGCAAGAAGCTCGTCAGGTCGCTCAGCACAGTAGAGAATAACCAGTTCACCACTGGCCAGATCTGCGCCGCCGGTGCCTTCTCCGCCGTTCCCACCACCGCCATCGCAGCCCCCTTTGAGCGTGTCAAGGTCTTGCTGCAGATCCAGGGTCAAAAGACATTGGCTCCCGGCGAGAAGCCAAAGTACGCAGGTGGTGTTGATGTCGTGCGTCAACTCTACAGGGAGGGTGGTATCAGGTCTGTCTTCAGAGGAAGCGCCATGACACTCGCCAGAGACGCTCCTGGATCAGCAGCCTACTTTGCAGCCTACGAAACCGTCAAGCGTGCACTCACGCCCAAGAACGCAGACGGCACACCCGGCGAGCTCAGTCTGCTTGCCGTCATGGCTGCTGGAGGTGCTGCCGGTATTGCCATGTGGATTCCTGTCTTCCCCGTTGACACCGTCAAGAGTCGTCTGCAATCGGCAGAGGGCAACCCTACCATCAGCGGTACCGTCAAGGAGCTCTACAGAAGAGGAGGCTACAAGGCATTCTTCCCTGGTATTGGTCCCGCAATGGCTCGTGCTGTCCCCGCCAACGCTGCCACTTTCCTCGGAGTGGAACTGGCCCAGAAGGCCATGTCCAAGATGTTTGACTAGACTTATAGACCCCTCACAAAGCAAGGTTCAAAAAAGCGTCGTCCGTGTCTTTTGCGATTGGTTGGTTTTGTCTGCATTTTCTGAAACGACTTTCGCGAGTCAGGAGGAACCGCCAAGACATGGAGGTCTGGAGCGGTTCGCCTTGAACCCCTTGACGATCATATATTTTCGGTCTCCACCCGCAAGCAACTGGCCAAAGGATTGGACTGGTCGGCCTCGGAGACTCCAGCCAATATCCACAGGTTTCAGTTGTTTATATATTCTGCAATCAAGAGCAAAGTATGGTTGAGCAGGCCTGATAGATTGAGGGCCACGCGAAGTGAGCCGCATAGAAACCTCTCTCCAGATAAAGTCAAGTCTTTCTGCCTCTGTAAATTTTCTTTACTCTTCGCATCCATATCTTGACTTTAGTTACCACACTTCCTTTCCAATCATGTCTGTCGAAACAATCGTTCTCACTGGCTCCACTGGCTTTTGCGGCTTCGCCATCCTTCAAGAAGCACTTCAGTTTGACTACAACATCCGCCTCGTAGTCCGCAGCGAAGCAAAAGCAGAAATCCTTCGCAACAATCCCTGCTTCAAGTCTTTGACCCGCAAAACACCCCTACGATGCAGTTTTCACATCATCCCTGACCTCGGTGTTTCTGGCGCTCTGGATGAAGTCACAAAGGGAGCTGATTACATCATTCATGCTGCTTCGCCATTGCCATTTTCGAATCTTGCACTCACTGCTGAGCAGCAGTATAAGGAGATGGTGGAGCCGGCCATCAACAACACTCTGAGGGCTTTGGAGTCTGCGGAAAAGAGTGGCAGTGTGAAGAGAGTGGTGGTCACTTCTTCGTGCGCTATCTTTATCTCTCCGGAACTGCTGGGTGGGCCGGTATCTGAGCCTGTGGTTGTCACTGAGGAGACTGTCAATGCTGACATGGCGCCACCGTATGCGAATGTGTTGCATGCATATGTCGCGTCAAAGACTTGTTCGTTCCTGAGAGCGAGAGAGTGGATGGCAGAGCACAAGCGTAGCTTTGACGTCGTCAACATCTGCCCGACGTATGTGCAGGGACGTAATGAGCTGGCCACTTCACCAACAGACTTGCTGTCGACATCCAACGTCTTGTTCTTGAGAATGGCATTGGGATTGGCGCCGAAGGATTCGCCTGCTGAGATTGCTTCGGTGGTGCATGTGGAGGATGTAGCTGCCATTCATGTTGCTGCTCTCAACAAGGAAAGAATCCCTGCTGGAGAGTATCTGTTTGGTCAGGAAGTGCAGTGGAATGATGTCAACAGGATCACCGAGGAGTTGTTCCCCGAGCAGGTTGCGCAGGGAATCTTGCCGTGTACAGGAGACATTGCAACAAAGAGCGTGGTGTGCAGCAAGGAGAAGACGGAAAAGACTTTTGATATTGAGCTCAAGAGTGTGGAGGACATGGTTGAGGATTTGATGGAGCAATTCCTTGAGCTCTCGGGTGTGAAGAGAGATGATGACGATGACGAGTAGAGTCCAGCAAGAAGAGTAATATGATAGATCCTCATAGAAACAGAGCTAAAGTTTTTATAGTTTAGCATCACCAGTGATAACATCCTTGACCAACTTCAAGCCTTCCTCGGCAAATCTGACCATATTGGCTACTCTATCGCCTCCCAGTCCCGTCTCTACTTCTCTGGTGAAGGTGCCCTTCTCGCAGTCAACGGCAAGGGCAACATATCCAGGCGTCCTGTTCCTCGTGTCACCACCAGTGGGCCCAGCAGTGCCCGACTCAGCAATGACATAATCAGCCTTCAGCTCTCCTCTAACGTGTTTGGCAAGTCCAGCAACAATATCAGGTGTAGGACCTGAATAGCCCTTGATGTTCTCATCAGTCCATCCCGCGTAGGCGATTCTGGAAGGTAGAGTGTAGAGAGTCAAGCCGCCCTTGTAGATCTTGGAGGCGCCGGGTGTGGAGAGAATTGACGAAGAAAGCAGGCCTCCAGCGGCGGTTTCGGCAATGGCGATGGTTTCGTTGCGTTCGCGGAGGAGAGAGGTTACTTCGTTCAAGGTGTCACGGAGAGAAGGTGGGGGGAAGTGGGTTGATGCGTCGGAAGAGGAGCTCATTCTGGCGATTGTTTTGAGATGTTTGTGATTGGAGTTTCGTGAATTGGATAGAGCTCTCCTCGACAGTAGCTGGAACATTTAAATGAAATTGCTGTGGTTGTTGCGAGTTATAAGACTGAGGTCACTCGGGTGTTTGTAAGCAAAGAGGTCGGTGACGTGACCATGGCACTGTGTGTAGGTATCTATCATGAGCATCACAACTATCAATTCAGCAACAAAAGACTGGCGAATATATAGTGATAACCATGTACTTGATTCGGTCTTTGACAGATGTTTACTAAAGAAAAGAATGTTCAGAATGATAATTTAAAATGATTGAGTGAATGAGAAATAGTTCGAAGGGCTGATTTCGTCATGACGGAGCTCCACACTTTCACAAGACAAAGACACCAAAACACCCTTCTTCTGTCTTCGTTGACACAACCAAGATCATCGCAACCATGGTATGCCGCCCTCTAGCTCACACAGTGCCAGGACAAACAACTGACATCACTATCAGTACCGCAACGACCCCCTCGCCATGTACAACCAAGGCCTGCTGTCGCGAGGCGGCCGCCCTCGCCGCTTCGACGAGTACTACCGCTGCTACCCAGTCCTCATGAAGACCGACCGTCAAGACGTCATCCACGGCGGCAAGGTCTACCTGCCCGCCTCTGCCCTCGACAAGCTCACCCAACTGCACATCACCTACCCCATGCTCTTCGAACTCATCAACGGCGCAAAGCAAACAAAGACGCACGCCGGTGTCCTCGAATTCACCGCAGAAGAAGGCAAAATCTACCTCCCCAACTGGATCATGCGATCGCTGCTGCTGGATCCTGGAGACCTGTTGCAGATCAAATCTACAGACTTGCCTTCTGGTTCCTTCATCAAGCTGCAACCGCAAAGTCCTGCTTTCCTCGACATCTCGGACCCCAAAGCTGTGCTGGAGAATGTATTTCGCAGCTACTCCTGCCTGACCAAAGGCGACATCTTCTCCTTCAACTACGTCGATCAAATCCACGAAGTCGCCGTCCTCGAAGTAAAACCAGACAAGGACTCCCACAGCATCAGCGTCCAAGAAACAGATCTGAGCGTCGACTTTGCCGCCCCGGTCGGTTACGTAGAACCAGAGCGCAACAGCGGCACCTCCACACCTTCTCAGGTCAAGAACATGGGCGGCGCTCTGCACACCCAAGGCACAATGGCCCAAGCGATAAACTACGATGCCATTGCCCCTTCCTCCACCGACGCCGCAACCGGCCACGCGGCAGCTGCCTCCCACTTCCTCTCCCAAGGCCACCGCTTGGTCGCAAAGAAAGGCAGCAAAACCGCAACGCCCTCCTCGACCGGCACTTCTACCCCTGCTGCTCAACAAACAGTGGGAATACCTGGTATGGCCAAGACTCAGCCTCGTAGAAATGGCCCTCAGCCACTGCGTTTGGAGCCGAACAAGTTGTTCTTTGGCTACGAGGTCAAGCCCAAGCCTGCGAAGAAAGACGAAGGCCAAGAGGAGCAACACCAGAAAAAACACTTTTTCTCAGGTGAGGGACAGACTCTTAGGAAGAAGAAATGAGCATGCCCCTTCGCTATGGAGGAGCAAGAGGTTGATGACTGGCGTTTTTACTCAATGGAGCGGCGTTTTTGGTAGCAGCCCTCGCTCATGAAGGCTGGGATGGTAGATGGTCTCTGCGCATTTGCATTTATTCTGGCGTTTCTTTTCACTTTGATTCCTTACGAATCAGAATCGCTACAACCGGTCCACATCTTCTCAAACCGCGAAGGAAAGTCTACTTCTCATCTCGGAGCTAATTGCTTTTGACCTTCTCCTCTGATTCGAACAAGATTCATTCCATATTCCATGTAAGGGTCAGGGTGCTACCACCGGGCATCGTCCCCTGAGCATCTGCATCTCATGTTTCTGCATTCTAAAGATGGCACTGATGGCTCAAGAGTTCTGTAAGAGGATATCATCCCATCATGTCCATCGTATAGTCCCTAGCGATCAATGATGCTGACCTTGCTTCTCCCGGTCAAGATGGCAAAAGGCTGTGGATCCAACTTGTAATAACGACACTTTCCACCTTACACAAGAACTATCATGCTTCCACAGATATGTTATGACAACCCAGATGCTGGATAGCTGACGACTACACTACATACCTCGTAAGACAGTAGGTAGGCACGGACTGAGCGAGACAGTTCTGTCGTCCTGTCTCCGAAGCATATGGATCAAAGAGAATCACCAAGCATCAGGCAAATCAAGAGAGAGAGAGAGCGAGAAAAAGGATGGACTATTCAATTTTCTATGATAGCCATGCGACTCTAATCGAGCAGAGATGAGGAAATGAGAAACGGAAAAATGACATGACCCTCCTTGTCCTGAAAGAGCTCCAACCGACACAAAACAGAACGCCTTCGGAAACTTTCTAGCTAATGCTCTTTCATCAATGGATTTCTTTCCTCTAATTACCAGTCTTGCGTTTTTTACTCGGTGTTTCCTCATCATCACCTACCGCTTTCGTTGCATCCGGCGGACTCGTGCCAGCGGAACTAACGCTACCAACCACTCTGCCACCACGCTCATCAATGCTCAGACCCCCATCGTTGACTCCCTGTGCTCCGGTGTCGCCAAACAGGTCATCTGTGTCCGGCATTCCATTCGCTCGAGCATAGTCCCAATCAAAGCCAAGGTCATCGTTGAGGCCCTGCGTTGGCGCAGAGGTGCTCGGGTATGAAGATTGCTGAGGCGCAGACGTCGTGTCAAAAGTGCCAAAGTATCCGTCATCGGTTTCGTTAAGGTAGGTGCCCAAGTCGAAATCGCCAGGATTGCCCAGGTCTTCAAAGTTGTTGGCGTTGATACCCGGGATGGCACCTGTGGGCGACAACGGTTGCAGGCGTCCTGCCAGATCTGCGACCTTGGAGTCTTGCTCCTGTTGCATTTTGGCTAACATTTCAAGTTGAGCGTTGTTCTGACGAAGAGCTTCGAGCGAAGGCATTGTTGGTGGATTAGGCATCATCAGGGCGTTGTTGGCACCAGGTTGAGCGGCCGTGGCGCCTGCGCCTGTAGCTCCCGATGCTGCTATCATCGAGAGCACCTCGTCACGCTCTTGTTGAGTCAGTGTGCTGTTGCTGTTGACCGCCTGCAAGTGATCGAGGGCACTGTTCATGTCAAAGTTTGCGGCTACACCGCCATTGTTGGGCGAGTTGCTGGCATTCACGTTGTGAATGAGATTCATTACGTCGTCGTTTTCTGGGAATTGGTGAACAAAGTCGGGTGTCGGTGCGTCGTCCTTAATGACAGGGGTCACCGAGGCCCTTTGTGGTTGTTGCGATTGGTGAGGTCGTGGTTGGGGTGGGTGGGGCCCATATTGTGCTGTGTTTTGGCCATGTTGCGCAGGTCCAGGACTAGTGGACGAGCGGACAGAAGGACTTGCATTCGAGAAAGGAGAGGCTGAGAGATTTTGCGCGCCAGGAGCAGGTAAAAGCAGCGGTCGTTTTTGGTAGCGTTGCAATTGTTGATTGTTGATGTTGTTGGCATTGCCTTCATTCATATCACCATCGCCCATGTCGAAGACACTACCTTGTTGCTGGGCCTGCTGCGGAATGGAAGCACTGCTGAGGAAGCTGGCCAGGTTTGGAGGACCGGAATGGCCATCCAAGCTGCGATTGTAGAAGGTAGCCAGGAAGGTGAGAATAGCGTTTATTGAATTTTCATGCCGGTCGTGAAGAGCTTGAAAAGCAGTTGCTTGTCGGTAGAATTGCTCATTTTGATCTTTCAAAGACGTGATCATCTTCGATATGACGCTTTGCTGGCGTTTTAGATTCTGCAATTCGGTACGGAAAGTGCCCATGTCCTGCCGCGGGATGGTCGCCATGAGTCCTGCAGCTCCATCGCCAGCGTCGGGTGAGTTCTTATGCTCATCGTCGCTATCGCCTGGCTCGCGCTTCTCCTGGTCTCGTTTCCTCTTGGAGCCCGAAGATTTGGCGGCAGGCTTTTGGATGAGCCACAAAAGATCAGGTCGGCCTCTCTTGAAGTACTCGTGCCAGTAGACGCTGGGATCCTTGACTTTCTTCTCGGCCGCCTTCATCGAGTTGGCGTTGAGACCCACCTTCTTGTGGAAACCGTACATGTTGAGTTGGCGCACAAATGATGCATAGTTGTTGTGTTTGAAGAGCTCAGGAATCAGAGTACGCGCAAATTCGTCTTCATCGAGGACAATGAATGAGTTACCATCGTCGGACCAGCGAATCAATTCGGTATTATTAGACGAATCGAGAAAGCTGCATGTGTGTTAGCAGAGGCTTCTTTGTAGAGCGGTTGGGCAAACGTACCTGCTCAGCTTTTGTACGAATGGCGGGATCTGTTTTCGCTTGGCTTGGGCGTCCTTTTTGGCGATGGCGGCCTTCTGGTCCAAGTCGTGCTCTTCTTCATGCTCCATATCCTCCCATACACGGTCGGACTGGTTGTTGAAATTACTCCATTGGTTTCTTTGGGGTGTGCGAGCGACCTGCTGGTTGGTGTTCCTGCGTACGAGCTGATTCGAAGGAGGAACTACCGGTTGGCTGTAGCTGGGCGCCTGAGTCGTAGGGACCTGCGGGGGGAAAAAGTTGGCAGCGCCGTTTGTATTGTTGATCGAGGTGTCGTAGGGCGGGAGGTCGGGGAAGGTGTTGGATACGTCGTTGGAGAGAGGATTCCGGTACGGCGACAGAGGGTCGTTGAGGCCGAAGGATGTGTCTTGAATGGGCTGTGGGTATGGGTATGTCGCGTCCTGGGCACTGCCGTCGGCCGCACGCTTGCGGGAACGTGCTTGGGCCTGCATCTGATCGTTTGTATGGCTGAGACGAGTCGTCGCTGGAGCGGGTAGATGCTGCCTGGTTACCCGTCGCAGAGGCTGGCGTAGGAAAGTGGGTAGCGACGCGATTGATATAGGCGGAGAGTGTAGAAGTCTAGTCAAGTGCGAATGAAATGGCTATCGTCCTTCCGGACCAGTTGGCATTGTCGTATGAAGGATGGTCTTATGGTCGGGTCAGATCAGGCCTCAGACCAGGGCCGAGTGAGAAGACGCGATGAGTCTTTTGTCCGGTCTAGCAAGTTCCGTGTGTCTCTGCGCGCGAGGGAAGTTGTGTGTGTCTCAGTGCGCGACTGGTTGTTGATACAGACGCAGATGTCCGAGACAAGTGTACAGTCCACGTGGATGAATTCAACTGCAATGGGTCGAAATCTCTTTCTCGTCATCGCTCTTTCCTTTCGGTCATGCTATGCGATTTTCTGACAGCGCGGGCAGGCACGCACGTCACAAGCGGTCCAAGCTTTCTCGATTCCCAGGCACTCACAGGACCCTCGTCTTTCGTTCCTGTCGCCGAACCTCACCTTTCTTTCGATCACTGAGCCCGTCGTTGAGATCGTCTGGCTCGAGTATTCATTTACGCCGTCTCTCTGTGTTGTCTACATGTACGGCCCAAGTCGCTTTTACCTGGCGTCTGGTACTCGGGCTTCCTCCGCCAGCGTCTTTCTACGACATTTGTGCTCCGACACTCTTCGTCCTTTCATCATTACTCAGCTTCCGATTTCATGATACACAACATGCATCCGCCAATCTGAAGATAGATCTCGACATCAACCATCGTTTCGTTCAAGGTGTCAATAACTGACGAGTCTATCAAGACACATGCGTGAGTGAGGCTACCCGAATACAGAATTCGCGGCTCTTTGACCGGCGGAAAGTCCACCCGAGCGGACCCTGCTACCTTTTATCGACATCCTGCCATCCCTCGGCCTTGAAAGAACCGTCTGTTGTGTTTATCGAGATTTTGTATGTACGGTATGCGACCATCGGTTCTTGCCAACCCAAAGAACACGTGTCCAATGAGTCTTCTCGTCTTCACCCCGATGTGTCCACGCAAAGTCTGCATGCACATTGCTCTGCTAATATTGCTCGATCCTTTCTGTAAAACTAGCAATCAAAACGTGAGTAAGATATAGAAAAGCACTTCCGCAGATTGATTCAATTCCAGATCACCAAAACGAGGCTCTGATGGCTCCGTCAATTTACTAGGTGAAATCATCCTGAGCTTCGCTTGATTTCCAAGGCTGCTATTTTCTAGAACCTTCTGAAAATTAGGTTCCCATCTGTCGGTGTGTCCTCGTACATCTTACATGCGGTGATCGGATCTGGTTGTCTATCTTCGATCGGCGCAAATTTATGTAAAAATGTCTAAAAAGTGCAATGAGTCCAACTTAGAGGGGTCTCGGTCATCATTTGCTCGAGAGAATGAATGTCAAGCATTATTCGGTCACTTCTCTCACATTCTCATGATCTATGCACTATCAGATATGCGAGAGTATAGTTGAGGAAGAACTGATCACTCCTTCTTCCCACCCTTCTCAACCTTTGTACTAGCCGGTCTGAGCAAACACCACATCACCCACAAGAATCCAAGCAATACAGCCACTCCAGTGCCCATCTCCACATACTTAGTCTTCGTCTCATCCAACACAGGTATTTCCAGCGTCTCCATCAACGTCTTTGTCTCCGCCCCAGCACCGATATGATGGAATAGAGTCTTGGGTCCAAAAAGCCCGTCAAACCCAACATTTGTGCGATCGAAAGGGTTCACAGCCATCTTCAGTCCATCTTCAGCTTCGCAGGCCCAAAAGACTGCTGGCCAGGGTATGTGTGCGATGTGTGTGCCGTCTGTGGAGGGTGGCATGTAGCGTGTGTGGAACGGAATCGTCACGCTCCAGGTCTCGTTGTTTGCAGATGGTGTTTCAGGGTGTGCGAGCTCAAGCAGTGCTGCAGAGCCCCATTGAGCTGTTGTCCAGACTGGAGCCTCGAGATCGGTGGCGCCGCTCAGACTACGCAGAGCGACCAGGTTCTGCGAAGCGAGAAACAGAGGATCAGAGAGCTGATAGCGGTCGACGAAGACGGAGGATGGGAGTGTCAGATAAGCGTGCAGTGCACAAGATTCGTCAGGCTGTTCCAGTGCATTGCTAGGGAACTTGAGCTCCAGTGTAGGATGTAGTCCTGTAGGTTGGCGGAAAGAGGTTTCGAACACAACATCCTCAGATTGCTTTGACGCAGCATGGTGTCTTGAAGGAAAGGAAAACATGGTCGCGCTAGGTTTCGTATCCTCGCCAACCACAGTCAGTAGTCCACTCAGTGCAATCTCTCCTTCCTCAGTAGGCTTCTCAACATTTAAGATGCCAACCTCGAGAGCGTCCGAGGAAGGCTGCAGACGCAGAGTCTCGTCCCAAACACCTTGACTGCCATCGGCAGCAACGGCCCAGTCCCAATAGGCACTGATGCGAAGCGCGTGAGATATCGTATCGTAGTCAAGGTCCAACGAGCTGGCCTGAGCAAGAGACGTGACTTGAGCATGGCAAGATGTATCTGAGGTTTCACAGATAGTCGAGGAGAGGTAGCCAATTAGTCTTGTTAGACGCGCCAGAGGCTTGTAGTACTGATATTTGGCGGACATGGCAAATCGCTCAGACAGTATTTGCGGCGTTGAGAACGACTTGAGCAGAACGTTAGCTTTGGTACGGCAACTTAGTGGTGGATGCAGTGATACCTCCAAAGATGTACATTCGACAGCCTCACCAAAGACTTTACCCAGGAGCGGGCATAGCGAATCTCTATACCATTCAGTATGACATCAAGTGTAGCATTTGAGAACATACGCAGATGCATTCTCCCCAGGAGAATAGAAAACATGGAAGCCAGATGGTACTCTTGACGAAAAGGGCGTTACGGCATCGTAATTCCATTCTGCAGACCAGCGAATATGAATCTCATGACTTTGCTCCAGAACATCGACAACCTTGACAGATATTGTTAGCTTGATGCTATTCCAGTATATGGTTCAAGAAAGGAGCATCTCCATACCTCTTTGGGCAGTTCCCGCGTGCCGACTGTAAGTCTCCATTCTTTGGCGGCCTTGAGACCTGGTAGCTTTATAGAGTCGCTGGTAACATCAAGTGTCGCAGGATCGACTCCGCTGGCCTCATGTAACAGGTATGTAATTCTTTGCTTCATTGTTTATTTTGGAAGACAAAGGCCAGTCTCGCGACTTGTTGTCTGGCTTGATTGATAACAATAGAGTGACTGCAAGCGTCAAAGCGTGCTGATGTTTGTCAGTCATGCTGAGATTTGCTCACAGCCAGGCAACCACTTCAGCTTTTTGTGTTCCAGCCACTATTTCGAAATGGCACTGCCACGGTGTCCTCGCCACTTTCAGGAACCAAACAATACAGCAATTACAGTGAATAAAACACAGCTGGTCTTCATTCTTCATCCCCTAGCCATCAACTTATCACACTAGACATCGCCACAATGCGGTTGTCCGCCCTCCTCGTGGCCCTCCTCGTGGCCCTCCTCTCAGGCCTAAACCTAACCCACGCCCTCCGCAAACCCTCCGACAGCGTTCTCCTCTCTAAGATCTCCTCCTTGACTCTTCGCTCTGGCCAGAAAACCAGCGCTCGCCGCAGCTCTCCAATCCCGCAACTCCAATGCACAGGAGGCAATGCAAGAGGTCTTTACGATGTAGATGTCATGCGCTGCAGCAATGCAGGCTCAGACTACGATGACGATAACGTGCAATGGACTTGCAAGGCTTCTCTACCGCCGGAGTTTAAGTTGGGAAGTACAGATGTTTCGTGTGAAGGATATGATTCCCCTGAGGATCCGTATGTGTTGAAGGGGAGTTGTGGGGTGAGCTATAGGCTGGTGCTTACGGAGGAGGGAGAGAAAAAGTATGGTCACAGAGTGGATGATGACGGTAGGAGTGGCTCGTCGTCGACTGGTGAGAAACTCATCTTCTGGGCCTTCTTCACATGTAAGTTGTCATGTGTTCTGCGTCGTGTTTCACCGACTAACTGACATCACAGTTGTTGCGGGCATGATTGTCTATGGAGTCTGGGACTCTTGCGTCAGAGGGAACAACAGACGCCCACCTCACGCAGGTGGCGGTTATGGAGGTGGTTGGGGCGGTGATGATAACAATGGTAATCTATACTTTCAAGCAAGGTCGTCTGCAAACTGCTAACAGAAGTCAGATGATGCACCACCTCCTTACACACCATACGGCAAATCAAGCTCAGGTCGCAACTACGGCACGCAGAATGGCCAAGCTTGGAGACCTGGTTTCTGGACTGGAACAGGCGCAGGAGCTGCTGCAGGTGCCGCTGCGGGATACATGGCTGGAAACAGAGCAAGTGGCTCGCGCAGCAATTCTAACAGATCGAACAGCGGAGGATGGGGAGGTAGCACCGGCTCAAGCTCTCCTGCACCATCATCGTCGAGATACGAGAGCACCGGTTTCGGCTCATCGAGCCGCAGATAAAACACCCTTGAAGGGCTTTTTGTAACTACATATCCCTACTATCGCTGATATCCCATCAACCGATCACTTGAATTGAATTACCGGGAAGTACCTCGGTCCTGCAAACCCTGTAGCCATGACGGTCTGTATATCAATATTCTTGTTGACATATGGTGTTTGTAACTTCAACAGAATGTGCGTCCCAGATCTGTTCGATTCGTTAACAATGTTTGAGGAAGCTCAATTGGTAGTGCGTACACAGGAGGATCGAACTTGATCGCTATCCGATTCCTGTTATCCTTAATCTTGAATCTTGCCCTCGCAACAGTGTCGCTCTTGTGTCGATCGGGCTCTGGACTCAACCGAGCTGCTTCGGACCGCTCCATGGGTATATGTGGTTGTCGCATACGCATGCGTGCATAATTGGTTCGATACCGTGATTCCCAGATGTCCTCATCGTCATACTCGCGAAGGTTTCGCTCCCTGCGCCTTCTATCGGCGAGCACATCTGGCCTGGTGGGATCTTCAGGCCAGGTGATTTCCTCGTCGCTCAAAACAACTATGCGGCCATCCGGAGACTCTCTCAAATCTGCGGGATCGTCACAATTCCGGCTGTCAAAGTCATTTCTGTTCCCAATCTGTCGGCTGGGAGGCCATGATGTGTCCCTAGTTGTGGGTATTGAGTTCCACACATCATCGGCATCGTCCTCGTCCTGGGATTGGTCATCTGCTGGGGAGTCGACGGGCGAGAAGAAGCCAGCACCTCTGCGCGTACCGATCGCACGGGCGACCTCTGGATCGTGAATACCCTCCAACAAGCTAAGACGCACAGGGTCGTGAGTACGCCTTGGCGGTGGGCTCCTTGGTGGATTCAGGTAATGCGTGGAGCTGTTGATGTACGGCTGGAGGTCGTCGCGACTCATACCGACATAGACCAGACCCTCCTTTACCCTGCTATGTATTAGCAGGAGATATAGAGAGACGTGGATGCGACCATCTCACGGAGCAGTGAAGCCGTTTTCAGGCGCGATGATGTACAGCTTCTCCAAACAGAAAGTCGAGTCATCGTGATGGCGCAGTACAATGTTGCACTTGGAGGCACGAGAGCAGTAGACGCTCTTGTCGTGCTTGAGGATGTTCTCGGGACCAAAGTCGATGCCGCTGAGCTCTTCGTTGTGTACTTCGCCATCGCAGCTTTCGAGTTCAAGCTTCAGCCTGCCCGGCTCAACCTGACCGTAGCGGCCGTATTTGTGGTTCGACTCGTGAGTCAGCTTTCTTCTCTTGACGTTCCACTGTCTGGGCTCGTCGAGGTCGGACGAAGGCTGGTCGATGGCAGAACGGGCAAAGCGAGGAGGAGACTGTTCGGTGGGATCCCGATAGCGTCTACGTCGCAAGCGCGAAGGAGGAGGGGCCCATCTGGCGTTGCGCTCGGCATCTTCAGACTCCCTTCTTAGCTCGTTGCTTCTCTGAACAACGCGACGAAGCCTTTCCATCCTCGTAGGGACAGTCTGGGTGGTAGCGTCATCAGGGTTGGAGGTCGAGTTTGTAGCGGAGGGGTAGTCGTAGTCATGCGGCTGCGCGTCCCAGTCAGCCATACGAAATCGCTACCGACAGAGGCCATGCGATCATACAGCAAATGGAGCCCACGACCTTCGCTCTGACATGGTTGCCCTGGTTCGTGTGTGCTCGTCCGGATGCGGGGTCTTGGTCGTCTGGAGCTGCGAGATGTCGTTGGCGCAGTGACTCTGCTCGGACCGAAGGTATCCTAGGGCTATCGTAGACAAAGATATGTCGAGTCAGTAATGGATGTAGCCGTTGTCGTGTCTCGAGTAGAGTTCTTGGAATGCAGTGGTCGAGGTGGATGGACTGGACTGCATGGCGCAGGTCGACGTGGGCTCGTGCGGGTGCCGAGCGGCGAAGATCCGCAAAATCGGGATCGTCCCCCAAGCCCTACCGGGCCAATCCGCTCGCTTTAACTTTCGGTAGACTTCGCCGTTGACGCCTCGGCACCAGCTCCCTCTTACTCTCCTCGCAATGAGTGAGCCATCTGGGCCGCAATCGGGCACATTTTATCAGCTAGTCCTCGACCCGTGTCGGCATCCTGTTTCTAACACTTGCTCACTCACCGGCCGTAACATCCAACCGTGTTCCTGCTTTTACCGCTCCGCTATGCAGGGCTCGCTGTGCTTTCTCTCGGTGAACATCTGTCCTAGGAGCAAGTCTTCTTGTGTTCGCGCTTGGTTAATCATGGCACGCTGACTGCACTGGTATGAAAAGTTGCTACAGAGGATGCTTACCATCTGAAGCACGTCCTAAGTTGACCAAAGTCCTGCGCAATCAGACTGCTAAAGCATAAAAAGCCACCTTTCGATCGGCTTGTCCGTTCTTGAACCCTTCTGGCGCCATTCCAGATTGCCGACTGGAGAATCGTTCAGCCCTCAAGGAACCGTTCGTGTTATTGCTTTGCTATCTGTGGTAGACCCGCGGGCACTGCGCTCCCGTCATACTGAAACATCCAATTGTGGAGGTTAATCCTCTAGCATCTTATTTTGACTCTCACCAACACGTACTCAACATGAGGTATATGAGCCCTTGTTCAACCAGGCAGGCTTCACCTTCGATACTTCTCTCCAACAACCCAGCCCCGATTCTTAGCCATGGACGCCCACACTCATGAGATTACGGAAGTGCCCGAGGCGGCCAGAGTCATCACCATGGCTCTCTCTATGATTACCATCAGCGTGCTCGCTATTTGCCTAAGTAAGACCTCCCACTCGAGGACTCTGAATCTAAGCCGTGTCTAATCTTTCAGCCCGCCGTATGCAGCTGGTCACGAATTGGAAGACCCTTCCGTTAACAAATATTCGTAAGATCAACAAGACTCTATGCTTTTTGTTGTCACATTCATCTGACATCTCTCAAAGTCATTATTGCGATATATGTCGACTCATTTCTCTTCATATTCTGCACAGCGGTGCTGTCTAAAGCATATTCGTTAAACCAATCGGCCGGTATATGCGATGGGGCCATCTTACTCTGTTTGGCGTCTTATATGACGACGAAAATCGTAAGCGACCAGACATGCTCAGTGTTGCTGGATTTGACCCCGTGATAGATGATTTACTACTTTTTGGTTGAGAAGGTTCACATCATCAGAACCACAAACACTTCGCGTATGAAGAGCAAGCTATGGCTGTTCAACTTTTTTGGTGTCATTTGTAAGTCTGCTGAGTACTGATTGTTAGTGCAATATCTGATCTCACTGTCAGGCCCCTACGTTGTCCTGGTTGTCCTTAACTTCGTCTTGTAAGTCACGATCTGGTATCGAACCCTACAAGAAGCTAATATCATCACAGCCGTATCGCATACCTCAACGAAAAGGGTGTGTGCGTGATTGGAATGAAAAGACTTGCTCTTGTACCACTCATCACGTTCGATATCATCCTCAATGTCTACTTGACATCGCTCTTCCTACACCCCCTTCGTCGTGAGTTCAGAGCACCCATTTAAGAGCTCTTTCCTTTGCTAACGCGACATCCTAGAGTGCTACTCGTTCAAGCAAGGAACAAAGTCTTCGTTGCGAACGTTGGTCGTTCGAACATTTGTAGGATCCTGCGCTACACTCCTCATGAGTGTCGTCAACTTGTCGGTTCTTACGATTCTTGACGGCGAGCCCGGATACATCTGTCTGTGCTTGTGCAACCTCGACAGTAAGTAACCGAGACTGAGCAAATGACCTAGTTGCTGATGAATTTACAGTTCTTTTCACTGTTTGCGTGTTACATTGGGCAACAGCAATCGATCGTCAAGACCGAACCACGACTTCCGGATCCCAAAGACCCAACTTCATCTCTGGTTCCAGGAGTGGGACGAACAGCACAAACGATGGGAAGGCAGACAACTATCTGGAGTTGGACGAGAGATATGTCGCCAAACTGACAACGGTCATCGAGGCCAACGGGGAGGCACCTGATTCGATCATGCGAGACTCACATGCGATTGGGATAAAGACTCAGCATGTGCGCGAAGTAGAGATAGAGCCTTACGATGTTGATTGCGAAAGCGGCAGTTCTAGAGAAAGCCAGGAAGCCATAGTAAAACCGACCAGCCTGTAGGGTGACCGGTCACGGAGGAAGGGCGCACTGTAAGACACGATCAATGAACACAAGTAACCACCGCAGCTCCGTTATCGCAAAGGCACAACGTCTTACTCTGCCAGCCATGATTGCTAAAGTTGAACAACGACGACGGAGCATACTCCTTAGGGCCGAAAACAAAGAATTTCGAGCGACCCCAAACCATGCTTATGTGATACTTGGTTGCCATGACCGAGTCCCCGAGGGACGTGGTCGCAATCTTGCCCTCTATCTATGACATCGCAGGTCCAGATACAGGTTCCAGGACAAACAACAAAGTCCAAGGCTTGGTCGGTCTGGGCTGGATGCCTGGCAACGCAAGATGCAGGAGAAGACCAAGAAAAGCGCAGCACGAGCTACCCGAGATTGCGGCAGCTCGTATTCAGAAGTCCAGCCGCACACGCGAGTCTACAGCATCTGACGAGAACGTGAGCTGAAGAGTAGAGTATGACCAGTGAAAACAAGAAGAAGAGACACCGACCGACTCCATCGAGTCGAAGAAGCGGTGGGAGTATGTGTGGTCTCACCGGCAGGCGTTGCATAAACGGCGGAGGTCTTGGGGTTTCTGCGTTTTTTTGGGGGCAGGAGCGACCGAACTAGCGGGTTGCTAAAGTTTGTCAGTGCGAAGATGATTGGACATGGTCGAGTTCGTGAATAGCAATGCGGTGCGACACACGGCAGGATGCAGCATTGCAGTAGTCTGAAGACGCTCGAGCAGAATGAAGGCCATGACAAGCGGATGAGGTTTGCCTTGCGAAAGTCATGTTTCGTTGATTGAAATGGCATGCGAACGGAGAAAAAGAAAGTATAGGTCCCTAGACGAGTGACACATGTGTGTGGTGATTGGCTGTCGGGCATTCTGTTTCTCTCTCAACTTTTGCGCTCGGGTCTGTGCGGTCCTTCGTCGTCGTCCTTGAACCACGCATCGTCCTCGACTCCTTCTTCTTACCCACCACCCTCGAGGCCTTGTGACTCTTCGTCAACTTCACCTCTTTCTGTATTGGTTCTGCTTGGATCAGCATAATTACCATTCGAACTGCCCAATCGCTTGCTCGCGCGCCCACAACCGGCTGTCAATTTTTCACGACGACTTGACCCGAGGCTGGTGATCGTTCTACAAACGACCTTCAGCCGCTACATCTCGCGTACTACACAACCCCTCCAGGCTTCCCTCGCTGCGGCGTTTCCACTCTGGCTACCACCAAGTTGGCGGGCTCTCGCCTTTTCCTGTCCCCCAGCCTCCCTTCTCAGGGCCCCAAGATTTGGGTCTGCGGAGGCGACAAGAAGCCACCATAATTGGTCCACAGCATCCATACCACATCATCGACTAGTATAATAACCAATTAATCCCACTCCTGCCTCCATCAAGACGGGGTAGAGACTGGACCGCGAAGCACCATCCACGGCTAAGTGTAGGGCTGACCCCTGCGCGAGGCCGCTATCAAGTTGAACATCTCGAAAAGGTGAGCGCGCGCGCGCCGCTCACTCGTCTGCCTATAAGCGCATAGACTTGGAAGGGACAGCATACAAGAATAACATAGAATCCTGATTGGACACCCCAAAATCGACAAAATGGCCGAGTCTCCCAGATCCGAGAGGTCGCAGACCAGATTCAGCACTCCCGTCTCTGATCTTGACGATCACCGCCACCAGCAGGAATCGCTGCCACGCGCACACGGCCAAGGCTCCCGTAGAGGAACTCTCGCTAGTATTGCTGGCAGCCCACATATCGCAGCCCTGGCTGCTGTTCAACAAATCGAACTCGGACCAGGAATGATTGCCCGTGACTTTGAGAATGCCATCGTCGACGACCAGGACGACGATAGCGTTCGTTCAGTACATGAGACTCCCACATGGCGCCGCAACTCTACCAGTCAGAACGTGAGAAGACAAGGAACCATCCGCCTCCCTCCACCAGCCTTGGAGACAAAGTCCAGGAGTCGCGAATCTTCTAGTTCGAGATCGACCTCCCCGCCAAACTCGGTCGATGCCTTTGCCAACCCTCAGAGACGTCGTCGCGGAGACACTATGAGCAGCGATGCCCCTCCATTCATCAACCCAAACCTTACGAGGACCCTCTCCGGAGCCTCCAAGCATCGTCGGTCGACCTATGACGATACCAAATCGATCCATACTGCTCAGTCGCGCCACAGTTCTGTTGAAGACGACGTTTGCTTTCCTGCCGAGCGCGACCAAAGCAAGACCTACTTGATTGATTTTGAGGAACTTGAGGAGTTCGTCGCCGAGTCTCATGAGAAGACTCCTGTCTCTCACCCATTCCAACCACCTTTCAACAAGCAGACTCGTAGCGAGCCTAAGGTGTTCCATGATCTCCGCGCTTCCAAGACCAATGCAAGCGACAGCGACGTTGTGGATGAGAAGCAGTCTGCGGACAATGTCAAGAAGACAGACCTGCCGGAGGTTGAAATCGAACGTGTAGCATCGCACACCGAGTACTTCAACAGGTTTACCATCTTCTCCTCTGAGATCGACGAGACTATTCACGCGCCCGAGTTGGGCGGCCTCCTCATGCCCGGCGAATCATTCAGGGACCTGTTCGAACTCGGTCCTGACGGTGGTGTCTGGTGGCTCGACATGCTCAACCCTTCCGAGGAAGAGGTCACAGCCATCTGCAAAGCATTTGGAGTCCATCCGTTGACCCGTGAAGATATTGCTACCCAAGAAACGCGTGAGAAGGTTGAGCTTTTCAGGTCCTATTACTTCGTCTGCTTCCGTTCTTTCTACCAGGAGGACAAGGAGAGCGAGGACTTCATGGAGCCCATCAACGTCTACACTGTCGTCTTCCGTGAGGGTCTATTGACCTTCACCTTCTGCAACAACCCTCATGCTGCTAACGTCCGCAAGCGTATCGGTCGTCTTCGTGACTATGTCAACCTCAGTGCCGATTGGATTTGCTACGCTTTGATCGATGACATCGTCGATGGTTTCGGACCTGTTCTGCGAGACGTCGAACACGAGGCTGATGCGATTGAGGACAGTGTCTTTACCGCACGCTTTGAGGATTCTCGCGCTATCCTGCGACAGATTGGTGTTTGCCGAAGGAAGGTTATGTCGCTGCTGCGCTTGCTTGGCGGCAAGGCAGATGTCATCAAGGGCTTTGCTAAACGCTGCAACGAGCAGTACAGCATGGCACCTCGTGGTGATGTCGGCTTGTACCTCTCTGACGTTCAAGATCACGTCGTCACCATGATGAGCAACCTGTCGCATTTCGAAAAGATTCTGTCGCGCAGTCATTCCAACTACCTCGCTCAGATCTCGGTTGACAACATCGCTCAAGGCAACAAGGCTAATTCTCTGCTCTCGAGAGTCACTGTTCTGGCTACCATTTTGGTTCCTCTCAACTTGGTTACTGGCCTGTTTGGTATGAACGTTCGCGTGCCTGGAATGGACGGCAGCAACCTCGCTTGGTGGTTCGGCATCGTTGCGTTCATGTTCATTTTCGTCGCAGTATGCCTTCTTACTGCATGGAAGATTGGTCTGCTCGAGGACGTTGTCCCTGAGCGCGAGGAAGAGTTGTAAATCTCCTGTTTGGTGTCGCCCAGCACAATTCGTTTGCTGCACATAGACCGTGCTCTTTTGTTCATTTCGCATTGCTGGTTGTTTCGCTTTTGGTTCATGTGGTAGCTCCTGCTTGGATTTTGTTTTCTTTTCGCGCTGCCACCGCACTTCAGCGATTGGTCATCTTTCACATCAAGGTAGTTGGAAGGTACATGGGTGGCTCGGAACTCTCCTCTTAGGGCTTCCTTGTTGTTTTCCAGCTTCCCGCTTACATGCTCATTCTATTACTAGTCAATTTACTCTGTCGTTCGTAACTGCTTTGTTTACTCTGTCAATTCATTTTCTCAACACAGACCGATCTCATCTCCTCCATTTTTTTTGCGTGACAGAAGACTCGAGATCAAGTCACGACCTTTCCCAGATGAGCCTGTGCGGAACTTTTTTGCGTCAATTTCGATCCGTCCTTCAGTCAGATCCTTGGTCGGATTCTCGAAGCGCGAAATGATCGATCATACAGCAATACCCAAACCTAGATTGCCAGCAATGTCCACCAACATCTGCATTCTCGACATACCATCACCACTCTGACCCAATAGTCCATGTCCAATAATCTCCTCATTCATTATACACATCTGTATTGACATCAACCCCTTACGATCGCGTTCCGCGATATCTTGCAACAGCCAGGGACACGAATAAGAAGCAGCCTGCTGTTTGGTGCGGAGGAGAATGAGAAACAAGGCCGGCTTGCTGTTTTGCTCACCGGCTTGGAAGGTGCGTGTGATGTTTGAAGAAGGAGCGGTCGTCTGCTGTTCCTTGGCCTGTTTGAGGAAAGAGTGTTGATCGTTTGAAATGATGAGAGGTACTGAGATGATATCTGCCAGCAGCGTCGAGAGGTGGAGTTCAACTCATATCCTAAATGATAGATCTGTATGTCAACCTCTGGCATCAGCCTCTTACAAGTAACGCTGCCTCGACCCCTTGCCTTTCTTCTCTGGGAGCCTCCTCAGCGCACGTATGAGGGCCAGGTGATGGTGTATACCATGTAACGCATCGTCCGTACTCTGTTCCTTTCTCCTTCTGTCGGTCCAACTCTCCACTAAATCGATCGAAAAGTTGCATACATAACATACCACCCTCTCCAACTCTATTCCTCAGTCCTCATCACTCAACAAGCATTACGAACAAGTTCACTCGTCCACTATGCTCTATTCTATCACAGCCCCATACAAGCACCTCGATACGGATGAGGATCAATTGCACAACGCAGTCCTCGATCCCTCGAACTCCCCTCTCTGAACTTCTACCGAGTACGAGTAGCAGGTTCGGATGCACTTGTTCGCCAATCACTCATTATGTGTGTTCTTGCCCCTCTTCGTCGCCTTTCTTCCATCTTCTTAACCACTCGATCGAACAGGCCCATGATCAGATTATCTACACTGCACCTCTCTCCCCTCGTGTTCATCGCCGTGCGTTCAACGCTTCGAATCAACTCGCGTGTCTGAGCTTTCTTTTCGCTCACATTCCTCCACAAGCGCTTCCCAATCTCTCAACCCTCCTATTCCAACATTCTGCTCAGTATGGAAGCCAAGCTCACATGGACGTATAGGCCAACGATCCGTCATCTGTCCACTTCTCCATTTCATCCTTTCCACCAACTCTCCAATACTCGATCGAGCAGGTCTAGACGGATATCACATACTCAGCTCTTCTTCTCTCACAGATACCATATGTTCATCGTTGCGAACCAACCCGCATGCCTACTGTTTTGTATTCGCTCACAAATCCTTGACAAAGCACTTCCTGGCCTCTCAAGTTTCTTCTCTGTAATTCAACCCAGTGCGAGTATGAGACTGGGATGAAGCTGAACGCTAGCTATCCACCATGTGTGCTCCTAGTCTCTTCTTCGTCCCTACTCACAAAACTCTATGTCATCAACCACTCGCTCGAACATGTCTGCACGGATATCATGTGCTAACCTCCTCCCCTCTTATACTCCATTATGAGTTCAACGTTACAAATCAACTCGTACGCCTGCTGTTTTCCGATCGCTTACAGCCCTCAACAAAACACTTCCTAATCTCTCCAAATCTCTTCTCCGTAGCTCTACTCATCACGAGTAAGAGACTCAAACCGCCCAATACGCCAACCATCCATCATCGGTGCTCCTCCACCTTTATGCGTTCCTCTCTTCCAACACTCCAACACTCCAACACTCCAATCACTCGATCGAGCAGGTCCGTATGGAGACCACATGCCCCCTTACTCCCACTCCGCTTCTCAATGATGGCTACACGTTACGCACTAACTCGAGCGCCTGGAACTTTGTTCTCCCTTGGCGGTAACTCTACTTACCTCAACGAAGAGCTAGAGAAGGCACTCTGGAAGAAGCTTGTGCTGCGGCTGCAGTGTGAAACTGGGTATGGAGACAAGCGACGGAAGTATGAGTTTCGGGTCTCGATCGAGTGGTCTCAAGAGGCGTCTCCCGTGGTGACGGTGGATGGCGACATACTGTATGCGGTATAGCATGAGTGGCGCAGCGTATAGGGAGGATGGATAGGGCGATCATCACAGAAGGAGGGGTTCCATTCGGGCCCCTGAGTTGCAGTTGGAGTACCTGCTCAAAAAGTTAGTGTGGGTTGTTTCGTCTAAGAAGAACGACAAGAATCCTCGATCGAGACGCACCAGTGTTTCTTGTCCTTGCCACGTCGCTACGGGATCTACTACTGTTCTTGTCAACATCGCGGGCACACGGTCAAATGATCAGGAGGCAAGTGGTAGAATGAACTGGTTCCATAACTCTCTCGCTCCTCTCTTCTGTGATTACGCTCTGTTTCTGTCGATACTGCAACTTCTGCTTCTTCTTCTTCCTCCTCCATTACGTGCCTTCTATGGCTTTTGATACTGTCTCTGATGTCCTCTTGCGTTGACATCTCTGCGCGTTTCTCTCTTTGCTCGTCCTCCGTATCCTTCATGTTCTGTTTCATCCTCATGCATCGTCTGCGAGATCTTCTGATGTTCCTCTCTGCTGTGGTTGGTGGCTTGAAGTTTTTGCTTGTAGCTTGGTTTGACGTGCCCATCTCCTTGACTGTCTGATGCCCGTCTCAATCATACGAGCTACCCAGGACACGGCGAGCAAGTTGAGTGTGGAATTCACACATGACAGGATTTTCTCTGCGCACGCACGACTCGTGGGCAGCGTTCCATCCCATAGGGGCGTACTTCCACTCTGAGTGTGCATAGAAAGCTGCAGTGATTGCTTGCTCTGTAGCAGCGAGTCAGTTGAGGTTTGGTAAGCAAGAAGTGAGAGAAACCTACGGGCTTGATAGCAGGTGGCGGGGTCTTCATGGCACCATCTGGCGTAGTGCCAGTGGCACCATCCGCATCCGTCGGGGCAAGGGTTGCCGGACTTGTGGGCGCCTCTGGCAGTAGTGACCATGGGCTGAGTCAAGTGCATGTTACGACGGTCGTAGTTGGTGATAGCAGACGAGGGGAAGGGGTGCTGCATCAGCTCATGGTTGGCATACGAGGGGAATGATTGCTGCATGGGCACTTGGTTGGCAGTCGAGGGGAAGGATTGCTGCATCAGCTCTTGCTGAGGGTCCTCGTGGTCGCTGTCGATTGCACGGAGGAAGTAAACAGTACCACCCATGTTTTGGGAAATGTAGCGCGTGGGGGCTCCAGTGCCGGTCATGGAGGAATCGCGACCTGTGGCACGGAAGGAGTTGTTGACGGAGTCATCGCGCTGACGAGTGCTGGGGCGGAACTCGCTGACGTTGGGGTTGAGTGTGTTGTTCTGCATCACAGCAGGGACTGTCAGACCAGGGGCTGTCAGAGCAGTAGAGGCTCTGAGCAAGGATGTCAGCGTACAAGATCTGATCAAGGGGCAGCGAGGTGATGACTGACTCCTGGACGCGTGGTCTGATGCCAACGCCATCTTGGTTTGCGTCAGGATCGGTACAAGCAGGACATGGGAAGGTGGCCATCTTCTGGTCGATGGGTTGGTTGCTTGGGTTCATGATCTCAGCTATGCCCATACGCGTGCCTGATTCGTCGTGGGTAATAGTGTGCTGGCAATCCAGCCACGAGAAGCATGTCAACTTCATGTTGGACTGGAGAACCGTGATGGTGTTGGGATAAGATGCGTAGCTTTGGGGCAGGCTCGCGATGTCGGTTGTTTTGGAAGGAAAGAAGGAACGAGACAAGCGGAAGGCGCAGGAGTTTTATAGAAGCCGTACGTGAAAGCGCCGCGCTTCCACGACAACGACAACGACACTAGTGTACGGAGTTTTCGATTCTCACTTCTCATTCGCCGATTGTTCGTCCTCGTCATCATTAGAATGTACCTACTGCGAGCACGATGGTATGTTCAGAGGTATGTATTGTATACCTACTATCTGTATAGGAATTCAAGACGATATGGAACTATTTCAAGGGGTTGACAAGGGCATCGAACAGCTTTCTACAAGGCATGCATGACGGAAGAGGACTATCTGTATCCCAGAAAGCATCGAGAGTGCATAGGCGAGCAGTCGTTGCAGATACGTAGATGGTTTCCTGAGCATTCACTCACTTCTCTTACCAACCTCAAATAGCGAGATGGCTCCGAAAGACGTCCAAGCTTACGCTCACGTTGATGTTCCCGTCTCGTCAGTCCTGGTGTGAAAGTTGGGAATCGCAGACGACAGATTACTGTGAGTTGCGAGCATTGAACCGGCTCGTCAACGGCATCCATCGACCACTCAAAGGCTTGGTAGACACGTTCGGTACGCTTGCAAGGACAACGACATGTCGGCAGTAGATAGCCGTCTCCTGGTTGGGCATTGAAGGTTATTCGTCGGAGAGACTGACGGCTAGAGTCAGGCGAGAAGCGTGAAAGGTTGCTCAACACCTCTGACCGTGTCGCAGTTGCTATAACGGCAGAGCATTGACGAGTGACTGCAGTATGCTCAAACCATTGACGTAGCGCTTTGTTACACGACGAGTTAGTCTGCAGTACCTGACCAACTTGGTCCTGGTCGGGACAGTAGAATCCGTCTGTGCTTCAGTGAAGCCATCATGGATTGCCACAGACCATGAACTCTCACAGGTCTGGAACGACAAGTCGCCGGAGTGAGTTGCAGGACCATCACAGACTTGCTTCAGCCTGAAGGTACCAACCATCATATCACCTTCTACGTTCGACATTGTCCCCATAGAGCCCGAAGTTGAATCTAGCCCTGGGCGGCAGGTTCTCTTGAGAGTCCTCAGTCTTTCCTCTGCAAGTCAACAGCCCATGGAGACTACCCTGGTCGTATGTCACGAGACGGCCGACCATGACACCCGTGTCAATTACTTCAGGCTGCGGTAACAGGATTTCCATACCGCCCGCAAGGTAATCCATAAGATCTTTCACTCTCGGCAATGGTCTGTTACCAAGAAGTCTTGTCGCTTCGAGTGCGTACAAGCACTCGCAGCGTCCCGCGAGCACGACAGCTTTGCCGCGGTATTCGGCAGCGACCACGATAGGCGCCCTCATGGCTCATCGAGTGTTGATCTACATCCACCAGAGCTTTCTGGATCACACAGTCGCATTCATGTGCCTTCATAACGAGTTCAATCTTCGAAGCCGTTACAGACCGCCCAAGGGAGTCTGTTCTCATGGTCGCCTGCGAGCTGCAGAGCCGTCAAGTCGCAGCGAGCCACAGAGAGAAGACTCAGCGCTAGGAGGGTTGACGAGGAAGTCAGGACGGGCACAGTCAACCAGTCTTGCATTCATTTTAAAAGGCATGACAATGATGACGAAATTTTTGCACTGCTAGGTGAATATTCGGTGACTTGAAAGTGTTCTGATTCAATGCCTCAAGTACTGGCGCTCTGATGTGGAGCCAAACTGGTAGTTATGCAGCAGAAGGCACGTTACGTGACAGCTTGGCTTAGATATTGTTTGAGCACAGCTTTATTGAGTAGCATCTATGCGAAAGAGTCGCGGAGCCACCAAGCTGCAGAGCAAGTCACCTCCGTGCTTTCTGCTCCAAAGCCACTCTCCAAGCAGAACACTGGAAATTCTTCCGAAAGAGTGTTGCAAGGGTCATGTGTGCTCGACTCGAAGTCCGGATTAGCACTCTCCCGTATTGTAACACGAGAAATTGGTTGTAAGCTCCGCTGATGCTTTTAGTGCCAGTGAACGGCTAGCGTTGACCAGGACCAGATTGTTGTCGTGCATAAGATACCTCTGAGCACGCGATCGGCGGTCGATGAACTTCGTCGTGCATTTTTACCACTCATAGATCGACCTGATGTGGAATCCAGATATGGCATACAGCAAGGGGTTTCAGCGATTAGACTCTTTCTGTCTTGACGGTGCCTTTCACAGCAATGCCACCTTCTGGAGTCTCAGCCCAGACCTCATACTTCTGATCATCGGACTTTCTTCCGCAGATCTTCAATGGATCGTATGCATAGAGTGGTGCAAGATTCCTGTACTCGACCGACTTGATCTGCTCATGGCTTCCCTGTTTGACCAGTCGTTGTTGTAGGATCGTCAACATGAGTGTGAATGATAGAGGTCCATGGACCAGTAGATGTCTATGGCCTTCCACGTTCTGGCAATATTGTGTGTCCAGATGAATAGAGTGAGCATTGAAGGTCAATGCACTGTACCTAAACAGTAATTGTGCGTCTGGACGGAGTGTATGGTGGAAATCAGGTTGATGCTGAGGCTTCAACATCTTGCCCGGCTTTTTGGCGGCAGCAACTGCTGCTCTTGCCTCTTCTGGAGATCTCTCACGCATGAAGACAATGTTGCGGCGTTCGATGATGTTGGCAGGTCCAAACTCGACGTCGGAAGGCATCCATAGCCTTTGTCTAATCTGTTCCTCAAGAGCAAGTATTTTGTCTTGTTGACCATTGCCGTCTGCCATGGCAGTCTCTTCTTCTTTGTTCAAGGGTGCGATACGACGTTCAATGCCGACAAAGACTTTCTCATCTCCAGGCTTGCCCTTGACAGACACGTCTCTTATCCCCTCGAGACACACTGCACGGCTATTGTCCATGAGCAAAGGCTTGTTAGTGTCGAATAGAACGCTGCCGCCAGCCCACATGCGACGGACGAAAGGGTCACCGGGCGAATGATCCGGGTTGGTGCCGTCGGGAAGCAAGTCTGAGGGTGGTTTTGTGGGTTCGAAGTATAGCAGATGGTGAGGAATTGGCATAGGTAGTGGCTTGTTCGGTGCCGGAGGTGTGAGGGGAGCCCTGCAGGTTCCTGTCAGCAACGCTGTAGATTCTTTGTGAGACCCGTCTACTTACCGTGTGTTTGGAAGGAAGTCGGCCAGCGACACATTGAGTCTGAACGAGTTCTGAGACGTCAAATCATCAAAAACTGGCCGAATCTTCCTTGTCGTCATCTCGGCCTCGAGGTGTGAATATGAGGACTGCCATCTCCGTTGTCTACCGGCGAGTCTCGACAAGTTCAATCGTACCGCCCGTGTACACGCCATTCTCGATGCTGATGTTTGTCAACAACTGCTTGTCGTTGAACAGCTATATTGACTTGTCTGTTATATCTTGTCGTCGGCATGTCGAGTGCGAGGCCGAGTCGGCATCGAGGAAGCTTTCCCCGCCTCTGCCCCGCCTCTTTCTTTTGACCGAGTCTACTACCGCGTCATTTGCTTCTCCTGCTATCACGCATATCACCTCTGCTCTCGAGGGAATTGACTCAGACATCTCAATTTGCGATTGCGCTGATTAGATCTCGAAGAACACAAATGATCATGAAAGCTAAGTCAGTTCAGCGCGGTAAACCGACCCGTGGAACAAAGACCATTGGTCCCCGAGCAAGACTTGGATGGAAGGTGTAACGACTGCTCTCTATCTGACAAGCTCTAATAGCATCACCATAGCCACGAGACCATGATATATGACAACGTCAGAAGGCATACTCCACTTTTAGGTCGGGCATGCACGCATCTCTTACTCGATATCATCATGTCATGATGTGGATACAGCAAATTGGACGCCAAGCTGGGTAAAAATACTAACCCTTGCTGACCACCTTGGCGGTCTTGTACTCCTTCATCAAGGTGATTCCAACGAAAAGCTATAACTTTGTATTCCTGGTTCAATCTCGATGGAACAGAACCAGTCATGAAGTCCGAAACATCTGTTCGATATACAGAAATCGAGCACTCGCTTAGCTTCTGGCAAGCAGCCAGACTATACTATCCAGCAGCACTATGGGTCCTCTACGTCAACCTTGCAACCGTTCTCAAAGGTATGGATGGAGGTATCACTGGAAGTCTGATTGGCCTTGACCCATTCAAGAAGACATATGGACATCCTTACAACGATACCTATGTCGTTCCCGCTGCCTGGGTTAGTGCTTTTGGCTACGCAAACAATATTGGTGGTGTCCTTGGTGCTCTGTTTTCTGGTGTCGTTTACGAGAGATGGGGTCCGAGGAAGATGATTGCGGCGTGCTCTCTGGGTTCGATTGGAATTATCTTTATCCAATTCTTCAGTACTACACCTGCACAGCTGTTCGTGGGCCAAATGCTCAATGGCGCCATCATCAGTTTCTTCCCTATATGTGCATCGGCATATACTGGCGAGGTCTGCCCACTTGCCTTACGAGGCGTGATGGCCTCATTGACCAACCTTGCATTCAGTACGTCCTGCCGACCTAGCAGGATCAGAGTCTTGTGCTGATAGTCGATAGTCTGCGGTAAATTCATCTCCTCAGGAATCATGAAAGGCACAAACACCATCTCAACCTCCTGGGCCTTCAAGATCCCCATCGCCACACAATGGGCTCTCCCCCTATTCATGCTCTCCCTAGTCTACTTCTGCCCCGACCCACCTTACTGGCTCTGCCGCAAAGGCCGCCACGAAGAAGCCGCTCAATCACTCAAACGCTTTGCAACCACCAAAGTAGACACTTCCCTAACCCTCACCAGCATCCTCGAAACCTTGCGTCTGGAAGAATCATCAAAGCAAGATCGACCGACCTATCTCGATTGTTTCCGCGGCACGGATCTCAGGCGTTTGGTCATTTGTGTGATGGCGTATGACATGCAGGCTTTCACGGGCAATATGCTATTCATCAGCTACGCAGTCTACTTTTTCGAAATGGCGGGTTTGGACTCTGCGGATGCGTTTTCGATGAATCTCGGTCTCACCGCTCTGGGTTTCGTGGGTACGTGTGCTGCTTGGCCTCTTCTCTCTTACGTTGGAAGGCGTCCTGCATACCTTTTCGGCACCATTGGTCTCGCCACGATCATGTTCCTCATCGGAGTCATTGATTTTGCACCACGAGCGACTTCAGCGCCGACGTGGGCACAATGTTCATTGATGCTTTTGGCAAACTTGATCTACGACACCACCATCGGACCTTTCTGCTACGTCATGCTAGCCGAAGTGCCATCAGCCAGACTCCGCGGTCTCACCATCGCATTGGCTACCGTATCCGTCCAAGTGGTGTCCATCATCTTCGCTATAGCAATTCCTTACGCAATGAACAAAGACGAGGGCGATTGGAGAGGCAAAGTGGGCTTTATATTCTCTGGTCTAGGGGTTTTGTGCACGCTCTACTGCTTCTTCTTTATGCCTGAGACACGCAACAGGACGTTTGAGGAACTCGATGTGTTGTTTGAGCGGAAGGTGTCGAGTAGAGACTTCTCGGCTCACAAGTTTGACGATGTTGAAACAGAGAGTACAGAGACGGTGTTTGCAGAGAAGCAATTCGTGTAAAGCGCTGTCGGTCTTCTGGGTTGGGAAAAGTGGCAGGCTGAAACATAGACAGGCTTCGAGAACTCAATCCAATTCTAGGGGAGAAAGCTGGTCGTGTATCTCTGTGCTGTGTTGGATGGCTTCTTTGTGGCAATTGGACAAGCTTGGTTAGAAAGGCGAAGCATGTTAAGCCTTACCTTGAACCCGGAATATGTGTCATCCACTTAGAGAACATTTGAACATAGCAGCAATTGCCTTGCAATAGTGTTGATTCATTCTCTTGTTCTGTCTTACTCTGCTGCTTTTTCTTTTCTTCTCAACATACTAGCCAGGCCACTTAGGTAACAACAAAAATCAGGGAATTGCGCCGTAAGAATATCAATTTTGTCCGAAACTCATTCAACACCGAGTCTGTTGAAACGTGCGTCAATGTTGACCTCAACTTTGACGAGTCTTTCCTTAGTCCTTCTGCCTTCAAGCTGGACGAGAGGAGGATTGTCGTCGCTGCTCAGTTGTTTTGCAACTGTGCCCTCAGTGGGCTCGGCGCAGCGGGCTTTCTCGTCAGGCTCTCGCGAACCTTGAAGATGGACTTTTGTGCGACGAATGACCGAGGAGTGGATGACTATGCAATTGTTAGTCGACCTCGTCCTGCGGGACAGATTGATTAAATACATACCTGTACCTCTTGTTGTACGCTTGCGGGCGAGTTACCAGGATGGAGCTCGTAGCGACTCGAGGCAGCTCCAACGTCTTTGTTCTCCGCCAGACTCGGGGCAGCGCTATCGAAGCGCTGCACGCGAGGAGCCGTCAGTCTAGAGACTGGAGCGACGTCCTCGCCCTTTGCGAGGGCTTCAAATTGTCAATCATCGTAGAACTCATCATCAGACTCATCAGCCTCTGCAAGCTGCTCGAAGTTGAGCTTGTAGCGCAACATGGCACCGATACCACCGAAACCCTTGACGAACTGGTTACCTTCAGAGGAACGGTCGGTGACAAATTCGAGGTTAGCACCAAAGTCACGGTATTTCTCGGCAAGCCACTCGAGAAGAGACATTTGCTCGATGATTTCCATCTCTTGGCCAGTCTCCTTGTCCATGAACTGGCTACGGTCAGCCTCCTGCTGCTTGTTAGTGTGGAGGATGACTTCGCTGCCAGTGGAAGACTTGAGAGTCCAGCGAGTGACTTCCAGGTTCTCGAAAACAATCAAAGTCTCGGCGGCACCAGCGTCCAGAGCACGAAGAGTATCCTCAACACCGTAGCAGACCTTGCCAGAGTCCAAGGAAATCTCGTCAAAGTAGGTGTTGATGAGCTTCTTCTCCTGGATGAACTTGACGTTTCCGAGAGTCTCGGATGAGAGTTCGATGGCCTGGTTGAAACCGTTCTCACCACCGTAGGAAACATCGACGACCTTGACAACCTTGGCGGAAAGACGACCATCGAAAAGATCGGACTGGTTCAGATCGTTCTTGAAATCGGCGGAACCGGCAAGAATCAGACCAGCAACGTTGACCTTGTTGTCGGTGATGAAGTTCTGGACGGCGTGTTCGGCGACCTTGCGGACGTAGTTGTGACGCTTCTCCTCACGCAGACGAGCGAAACGCAGGGCAGATTGACCACCACGACCGTGCTTCTTGGGGAGATCGACCGAGAACTTTTGGCGAATCTCACGGGTGTTTCCAGAGAGAGTGCCGAAAAGGGCACCGTTACCGTCCATGATGATGAAACCAAAGGCCTGGTCGGATTCCAGTAGCTCGCTCAGAGCCTCGACGTGGAACTTGTTGTCGCAAAGGTACAAGGAGGTGTTGATGGGCTTGAAGGGCTCAAAGTCGATGTTGATCTTTCTCTCCTTTCCTTCAGCGGTGAGAATTTCACCACAGTAGACGACGAGACCGTTTGTGGGAACCTTGTTGTAGAGCTTGAGGCGCTGCTGGGTCGATGTGATGGCCGACAGAACGGACAGACGGTTGACGCGAGACTTGATGTTACTAGCAGTTCCGTACTCTTCAGCCAACATCTTTGCGACTCGGGAAATCTGATCCTTGGGGGCTGTGAGAGCGTGTCAGCAGGCGAAGCGGAGGTTGAGTGGTGGCAGGAGTCGGAAGGCGCTGGTGAGAGGTGCTCTCAGGAGCATGTCGGGGAGGACGTACGGATGACAAGCGAAATCATGGATGTTCCGTTACCACGGGCTTCTGCCAGACGCTTGATGAGCTTCTTGACCTTCCACATCTCAATGTTCTTCTCGGCCTCGTTGGCCTGCTGCTGTTCACTCATGTTGGCGGGGCGTGTGTTGTGCGAGCCGTGGGATCAAAGGCTGCGGGGCGGGCTTGTCAGTCGAAATGTTCTGAACACTTTTTCTAGAGCTGCGGAGGGGCCCGAGAGACGGTCGCACCAATGCCAGCAGAAACAGCGGCGGTTGGAATGGTGCAGGACCAGTGGAGAGGAGCAACCCGCGCAATAAGTACTTACAAGCTCTGCGCCGAGAGTGAGTGGGTGCAAGGAAAAGAGGATTGACGGTGTCGCGGTCACACGTCGAGTTTGCGGTGAAAGGAAGGTGTTGGGAGGCCACCGCGGCGGTCTCAGAACTTCGCGTGAACGTGCGTTGCGTAGGCCAAGTCGCTCTTTCCCTGCCAGAATTCTCGAGAACTCAAGCCCGCGCCTGCCTATCTAGGACTTTTGGCAGAGGGCCTTTTGCAGCAAGCATGTCCGTCATGCTGCATATGAATTTCAGCCATGTCGCACCCATACGACTGGACTTACGCGACACGTTCTGTCATGATTACATCCTCAGACACAGTCACGTCGATACCAGAAGCCTCTGCCCTGCATGTCCATCTCGAGATGCAACATCAAATGGCCAGAAGTCCTTTCCCGATGCCACTCGGATCGCACCTTCTCCACATCCGCCGAGTCACCCGCGACTCTGGACAAAGCCAAATGCCTACCAGTTGACTGTTGCCATTAGGTAAAGGCCACCACAATGTCTAGATGCTCGTAAACAAACCCCTTCCTCATAGGCCCCTTTCTCACCGCAACACAGCGAGTGTTCAGTACCTGCTGCCACTACCGCTAGGACGTGCTTCCCTGTGCTTGATCCAGCGCTATAAAAGATTTCGATCGCTCCGATCTAGACAGACCGACCAGTATCTAGCCGCACGGCACATTTCTGTACAAAACCCTGACATCAGGTTTGCGCCCACTGTCTACACAAACTTGACCACAGATAAGGGTGCCCTTCCCACTTTCTCCTATATCTATTCAAGTAGCCGTCTACTTTTCCTCGTCAGCTTTTGCCTCTTCTGCTTGTTGGTCTGCCGTGCCTCGACACTGAACCGCCAACAACCGTGCGAGCGACGGTCTGAGGCTCCGAGCACATCGACCATCTTCTTGCAACTTTGCGCACGCGACCTGTTTCCCTTCTTGTTGCTTGACAATCTACAATTGTAACCCAACATGCCGGCCGAGAGAGCGCCCATCCCGTCCAACTGGACCGAGTACGAAAGAGGTGGACGTCGCGGCTCATCAGAGACTCTGGAGAGCCATGTACAGTGGGGTGCAGACGTTCACGATGCCCCTGAACATGCTGCTGGCTCGCCAGATGGTCACCATACCCAGGGACTGCGACATAGAAGGTGCGCTATCCAGACTCTTGTGTGCGTACTTTTGGCTGACTCGATATCGCTAGGTCGTCAATGTCGATGAAGATCAACACCCTGCGCCAGGCTGGTGGCGTCAACAGTATCGACAACTTTGCAAGATCATGGCAGCGTGCTGCTGGCTTCTATGAAATCGCACCCGTCAGACCCTCATTCCGCGTATCCGAGACGGACGAAGAGAGTGAAAGAGATGGCACAGAGTACGACAGACAGGACATCGCGTCATCCTTCGGGGAGCAACGAGGACTGCTGAGACAGGCGCTGTCAGATGGGCGCAAGCTATCCGACAATGCCATCTCGGACGCCGGAGAGCCTTCTGAGGCGGGCACCATCCGTGGTCGCATCCAGCAGGGCGATGACAGCATCTTTCAGATCGAGCCTCAATTGAACACTCCCTTCAGTGGCAGCTATGGAACAAACTACGGAAGTCTTGCTTCAAGGGTCAACGAGTCGTCGATGCGCCATGCGGGTCGCCTTTTCCAGAAGCAGCAAATGTCTGGTGTCAACGATCCGGACAAGGAGCGCGAGCCTCTGCTTGTCAAGCAGGTCGAGGAAGATGACGGCAAGATTGTGAACGTCGTAGTCGGTCAGTCGACGCTTCCTCAGACCATCTTCAACTCGGTCAACGTTCTGATCGGTGTTGGTCTCCTTGCATTGCCTCTGGCTCTGAAATACTCTGGTTGGGTCTTTGGTTTGATTTTCTTTGCCTTCGCTGCCGCCTCGACTCACTACACTGCAAAGCTCCTGGCCAAGTGTTTGGACGTCGACCACTCGCTCATCACTTTCGCCGATCTCGCCTACGTCTCGTTTGGCTCAAAGGCCCGTCTTGCAACCAGTCTTCTTTTCAGTCTGGAATTGATCGCCAGTTGTGTCGCCCTTGTCGTTCTCTTCGCCGACAGTCTCAATGCCCTGATTCCTGGTTGGGGCTCCACGGAATGGAAGATCGTCCTTGGCTTCATCATGATCCCTCTCTCTTTCTTGCCCTTGAGATTGCTGAGCTTCACCAGCATTCTTGGTATTCTCTCATGTTTCAGCATCGTACTTTGCGTGGTTATCGACGGATTCATCAAGCCTAACACTCCTGGTTCTCTGCGCGAGCCTGCAAAGACCTACCTCTTCCCTGAAAACTGGGCAACGCTTCCCTTGAGCTTGGGTCTTCTCATGTCACCTTGGGGAGGCCACAGCGTGTTTCCCAACATCTACCGCGATATGAGACACCCCTACAAGTACACCCGCGGTTTGAACATCACCTATGCCTTCACCGCTACCCTTGATTTCTTCATGGCTGTCGTCGGTCTTCTCATGTTTGGTGACGCCGTCAAAGACGAAATCACGAGCAATATCCTCGCTGAGGATGGATACCCTCAGTGGTTGTCTGTCATCATCGTCATTTCCGTGGCTATGATCCCCCTGGCTAAGATTCCTTTGAATGCACGTCCCATTGTCAGTACATTGGAGATCCTCCTGGGACTGGATGCCCGCGCGGTCAGCAACTCTGCCTCGCTCCATGGAATGTCTGGCCTCAATCGTGGTATCCTCAAAGCCACGATCCGCGTTCTTTGCATCGTTCTTTTCGTGGTCCTGGGTATCCTCGTTCCTGAGTTTGATCGCATCATGAGTTTGATGGGCTCTGTCGCCTGCTTCACAATCTGCATCATCCTCCCTCTCGCTTTCCATCTCAAGATCTTTGGCGAGTCGATTCCTCGTGGTGAGAAGATTATGAATTGGGTGCTGATCGTCATCTCGACCATTCTTGCAATCGTCGGTACAGCGTTCACTTTCATTCCCAAATCGGTTTTGGGTATTGATGAATGAATGCTGTCTGTGTAAGACACACCTTCCACTTTTGGATGCATGAAGTTATGATCCTTTTGTGTTTTGGTATCTGCTTTTTCTTGTACCGTTTACAACCCCTTTCTCGAAAAGACTTTGTTTAATGCTCGTCGATTCATAGCAATGGCGCTTTGTTCCTATCTCTTGTATAATTCTTGGTTCTGCAGCTTTGTAGCGCTTTGTACATCAAGTTTCCAGTTTCAGTCATTCCGCAACCACTCTGAGCAATTGTTTGTGTGGTGTATCTTCACATGTCTTCTTTGTTGTTGATACTCAAGTCGAGAAGCACGCGGTTGGTGCTGAGAATACCTCAGAGTAGGAGGCAATGACCTTAGGTTCTAGAACATGCGCACTGAGCTCAGAAACGGCCGCTATATCGATGCTGATGTCTTTCTGCCAGTACAAACTATCGATACATACATCGCCCACACACGTTGCTCACCGGGTTATCGTCGCTCTGTCTTCAGCACCCATTCTTCGCAAGAGTTGTGCAGTACTCGCTGCAGACCGACGGTGACCATATCTGCGTGTCGCGAGTGTTTGGGATCGCATGTAGATGTCCCGGCCTCGGTACGTTCTTGCGTCCCGTCACGAGGTACTGAACTTCTAATCTCCGCTGAACTGCGATACGTCGATCAAGGATAGGTCGATGGGAGCCCGAGAAGCGAAGTGGGCGTCGTATGACAGCCGCCCCTTGTATTTGACGAAGCGAGCAATATCATGGATGATGTGGGCGATGTTGCCCATGATGCGCGCGATGTTGAGTGATGAGAGATTGTCAGCCGTTGTTTGGTATGGGAGTATATATACTGCGAGCAGCTCCAGCTCAAAGAAGTTTCTGAGGGGAGCAGCTGCGTCTTTCAATCAGATATTCATGTTTCATACACTTGAGTATGCGAGTATCGAAGGGGCGAGAGAGGACCAAAGTCACGACTACATCGAAAACAACGCAACATGCATACAAAGACTCAATAGCTGGATCATGACAAGAGAATGTTTGACATAATCTGCAGTCACTACTGTTATGCTAGTATAAAAGAAGTCATTGCTGCCAACATATGTCTTGCAAAGAAGATCCTATGGTCTTTGACACACCTTGACAAGATCTCGCGAGAGAGGCTCGAAGAGTGCGGCGGGTGTTCAGCGATCGATATCAACGAATGAGAGGCAGAGGCTACAGCGACAATGGCGTCCGTAAACCCAAAGTCAGAACGCCGAGGTTTCTAATCATGGTGCCGAGATGTGCACTGTCTTCGTGCGTGAGCTCATTGCATATCTGATTGAGTACGGGAGGCTGAACTGAGCTTCAAGTGAAGAAGCATAGGAGGATCTTATGGTTCCCGCATATTACGTTGATCGATGAAGACTTACTATGAGTTAGAACGGGCAAGAAAGATGCTAATTCCGAGATAGGCCATGCTTCAGAGGTATGCTCTTCACACGCAAGCTCATGAATAACCTAGAAGAGAGTTCCCCCTTCTGTGCACTACCATTGATGCTGCGTTCGAAAGGCGTCAAGATGTCCGATCCACGTCTTTCTGTCAGGCCAACTAAGACTCTGGCAGTTCTTCCTCCATGATTGTTATTGACAAGGTCCAGAATGATGGACCACTCGAGCTTATCGACCAAGTGACTGTCGTCGCGTCCAGAAAGCTGAGGAAGATTGGGTTTGGCAATGGCGAACGCTTCCGAGAAGTTTCGCGGAATGCAGGAGCAGCGCTGTCAAAACGGGTGATCAGAATCTTAATCCATTGATTCCTAGCAGGAAACCATGTTCATCAAACTCTCAACTTCCATGTCCAGACCACCAGCCTCTTCCTTTGGACCAACCTGAGAGCCTGAAGTTGCCATGAGGCCGCGTACACCTGGCATGCAATGCTGCCGACCAGTCATGATGAGACGATTTGACTTGTATGACAATCAAATCTCTCTCTCTTATTCTCCACGCGGTACCATAGCATTCTGGCCCGTAAGGCCGTAGGGTCCTATCGCTTCCGCAGACAGGGGATCCAATACAATCGTCCGCAGAGAGCGTGGATGACACGCGAGTTATCGCCGATCCCGCGTCAAAAGAAGAAAGTTCCAACTTCCACTATGCCGATCACCTGAACATCCCGCTTCTCATCCTTCGTGTCACCGAACCTCAGGATTACCGCTCTTCTTTCCGAACACATTTTCGGAAGAATCTCCTGTTCTATCCTTCGCCATCTTGGTTCAGAAAGATAGGAAAAGGAGTGCGGAAGAAGCTCATGCTGTTCGGGTCTGACATCCAAGGCTTCAAGTCTTTAGCCGCCACCACCAACTGTTACAACCAAGCTCTCCTAAGCATTTGAGGCAGAAGACTCGGGGCGAATTAAGGCGACGCCGAGAGTTTCCCCACGCCTCTCCATACAATAACCTTTTCGGATCTGGGGTGCGCGCGGGGTACGGGGATACCAATCATCCAATGTATCGGCAACAGTGACCTAGTATATTCTGGTGGCAACTGCCGTCCAGGGATCATGCTATCGGGCCACTTAAATGCTATCTATCCGCTGTTTTTGTCGCTGGCTGCAGTTGCTCCTCTTCCCACTTCCAGGCTTCGCAGGTTGTTCATTCTCAATCGTTCGACATGGCCACTCTCGAGAAGAAAGATATCAGTGATAGCAAGCTCGAGTATGCTGATGATCTCGAGAAAACCAATACCACATGGGATGACAGACCGACTCTTGATCCCGAAGTGGACAAACGCATCACACGAAAGTTCGATACACATGGTAAGTATGCTCTGCGTTCTTCATTGCTGAATGTACTGACTCCCTCTTTACAGTGGTCCCGTGGTTGTTCGGCTTATGGCTGTTAGCCTTCATCGATCGCTCCAATATCGGCAACGCCAAAATTGATGGACTCGTCACCGATCTCAAACTCAACGGAAACACCTTCAATGTTGCATTGGCTGTCTTTTACGTCCCCTACATTCTAGTCGATGTACGACTTGAACCTTGAAGATTTATGATCTAGTTCTAATAGTCGAGCAGGTACCGTCGAACCTCGTCTTGAAGTACTTCCAAGCAGGTTATTACCTTCCTGCACTCATTATCGGGTGGGGCTTGGTTGGGATGTGCATGGGCTTCGTGAAAAGCTATACTGGACTTATTGTTACACGCTTCTTCCTTGGTCTGATGGAGGGCGGCCTCTTGGTACGAGCATTGCTGGACATCATTCTTGATCGATACTAACTTTCGAACTGTAGGGCGGCATGATCATCTACCTTGCGATGTTCTACAGGCGTCATCAGCTGATGTTCAGAATTGGTCTGTTCTATTGTGCGGCCCCATTGTGAGTATCAAGAACCAGGAATTTGTTGCAAACGTGCAGAGCTGAGCTAATTGTCCAGGTCTGGTGCGTTTGGTGGACTTCTCGCTACAGGTCTCGCCAAAATCCACACTAGCAATTACAAAGGATGGCCGTTCATCTTTTTCGTCGAAGGAGGCATCACCGTACTCTTTGGCATTCTTACCATATTCTTCTTGCCGCATACACCAGCCGAATCAAAGTTCTTGACTGAAGAAGAGAAGGAGGGCGCTGCTCTACGCATGCACTTAGACTCCCACGGTTCCGACGCTGCGGACAATGTGAAGAACGAGACGTTCAGTAAGTGCCAATTTGACATTCAGGCTTCTTGAACGCCGAGCTGACCCCTTTCAGGCTGGCGCTGGGTTCGCATGGCTTTCATAAACTGGAACACCGTCCTCCTCTCGCTGAACTTCTTCGCGATCATCACGCCTATCTATTCGTACTCGCTGTTCTTGCCAACGATCATCAAGAGCTTGGGATACAAGGCAGTTCACGCACAACTTCTGACTGTGCCACCAAACATCGGAGCCTTCTTCAGCGTACTTCTTGTCACATATCTTTCCGACAAGTACCGTATGAGAGGCCCCTTTATGTTGGCCGGATGCACTATCGCAGTGGGTGGATACATTATGCTGATCTCGAGCAACCACCACATGATCCAGTATGGTGGAACCTTCCTGGTCGCTGCTGGCATCTTCCCTTGCAGTCCTCTGGTTATGGGATGGCTGGCCAACAATCTCGCTCCGCACTACGTTCGCGCAACAGGAACGGGTGCTCAGATCATGATTGCAAACTGTGCTGCGTTCATTGCTACATTTACATACCTCTCCAAGGATGCGTAAGTGACCCGGTTCCTCTCCCGCACTCTTAGACTAACATATCCGGTAGTCCTCGATTCATCACTGGTCATGCCATCAACATTGGTATGCTGTGTCTGTCCTTGATCATCACCTCCTGGCTGTTGGTCTACTGCAGCTGGGAGAACAAGAAGAGAGCGACTGGTAAGCGGGATAGCAGATTGACAGAGGGAGACGAGTCAATGCTCGGATACAGGCATCCATCCTTCAGATACACATTGTAGATAATGTTCAACAGACGAACATAGATATATGGGTATTCATTTGGTTTCAACTGGTTTTTATCCATCTCCATTTGCAGGCAGTGCGACCCTGCTCTTATCACAGCTCAAATGGATCTACCTTCCACGACTCGCAGGTCGTTCAAAACCACCATGAATTGCCCCCAGTCGAGCTGTCATCCTATTCAAAGTCTACGACAGCCCTCTAGGACTCCGCGTGGATGGTCATGGTGATACTTGCTCCAAGATTGAACTACACACAAGACAAGCATCAATTGGTGACGAGAACCGAGACCAGTTTCATCAACTCAAAAACGACAAACCCCCACGACACATATATGTAGAAAGGTTCGAAGATTACTCAACTCCCAGCCAAGCAGCTGGTCTCGTACAACTTGACTGTCAACATGCTAAGAATAAAGATTGTGCATCGCTTTGTTGTTGTCTCCCCCAGATGAACCAGGTTTTGCCGCGGAGAAGCTTATTTCTGCCAAGTATGAGGCTCAAAATGCTGTTCGTGCAGCTGTTATCATCCACAGAGCTCTCTTATCTTCAGACAACCTCAACTCCTGATATAAAAGTCCTATCGCTCTCGGAACTTCTCTTCACTCCCTCTTGAGCCTTGTCAACATCTTTTGAACACGTTCGGTACCATTGGCTCCGTTGTTGAAACCACAGGTCGTCGCCGCTCTTGTCAACCCCAGCCGCCCCGGCGCAGCGGCTGTTACGTACAGGAAACAAATTCGCAACTGGCTTTGACAAAAACGGCCAAGTCGCCATTTACCACATGATGAGATGACGTCTCGTCAGAGTCCTACATCTCCGGATGGCGCAAAGAACAGAGAAGATATTCGATCGCTTTCCATCAGCGCAAAGCGATCCGAATGCTTTGAAAGCCTTGTTCTCGAAAGGAGAAGGATAGCTTCATTATGACGGTAAGCTTGCCTAGAAAACGAATAGGTAGGAGCGACGCAGTCACATAGTAAACAGCTCGCTTTGAGACGTTCGGACATTGCATCATGCTTTCCCTTTTCAAGTAGTCATTTGAAACCCCGCAACCCATTTCTCTCGTTCCTTGCCATAGCCCGAGGGATCCTCGTTAGGCCACAGGAGTACTTCATCAACTCCAGCTGCTCTCTCACTCGCGAAAACGGGCCATCAGTTTCTTCCTGCACCATATCTATTTTACACCATGCATCCACGGATATTGACCGTCCTCGACTATGATATCGATACTCATCTAAATCGCGTCGTTCCTCATTCCCGTATATCGAGGCTTCCAAAGCCTATATCGCGGTTTCTAGGATATCGATCAGAGGAATACAAAGAACCGCCGCGTTTAGTCGTTGTTTTCTGGTCGTTTCTGGGGTCCCTACTTGGACTTCTGATCATAGGCGCTATCTACAAGTATGCTCCTGGAATTACAAAATGGCATCCTCCGATCATGATTGCGAGTTTGGTATGCTGCAGTGCTCTTAAACAGCCAAAGTTCTGAAACTGATAGAGAATGTAGGGTGCTTCTGCTATCTTGGACTACAACTCCATCCGAACACCACTTGCACAACCAAGGAACGCCATCCTAGGGCAGACCTTCTCGGCCTTGACAGGAGTCATCATCCATAGATTGTTCCATCTCAACTCAAACTGGGAGGATCTCCAATGGGTTGCAGGCGCAGTCGCCTGCGCTGTATCTTCTGCCATCATGGCTACGACAAACACTGTACACCCTCCAGGAGGCGCAACTGCTGTCCTGGCTACGACAAACGCCGATATCATCGCTATGGGCTGGATTTACATCCCTTTCGTAATCATGAGCTCAGTTATCATGTTGACCCTCGCATGCATAATCAACAACATCCAACGAGCATACCCAGTGTACTGGTGGACACCAGCAAATCTAAGGAAGGAGAAAAATATCGAAGACCTTGAGAAGGTGCCCACCAATAACAGTGAGAAGGTGCTATCAGGCCAGCCAATGGGCAGAGCTTCGGATGTCAGCCCGGATTCTGTTGTCATATCACCACATCATCTCTACATCCCTGACAGCTTCGACTTGGATGGCGACGAGTTGGCTGTGTTGTCACGACTACAAGCTCGTCTCCGGTGGGACGCCGCTATGGATGAACGGCCTCGAGCCCAGTCAAACGGGAGCTGATCACGCTTTCGCGCACTATGCTGCCGAAGATTATCACACATACGATTGCACGGACACATAACACATACAACACCACGACAAGCGCGACCAGCTCCCGTCAGCTTGGGACATGCGTCATCTGGTTTCTACTCATGAAGCCGATAGCCACCGAAATCAACGAGGCAGTAATACACTCGCTCTTGGAGTGAACACTGGGTCTCGGACCTATGTCGACAATAACTAGTCTGGTCAGGTCGACCTCATCGTCTACACTCCTCTGCCGATGCCATCACTGTCGATGAACTTGATGGGTGCAGCGATGGTTGTGCTCGCTGCCACTTTGACAGATTGTTCACCAGAAGCTTAACGACTTCGAAATTCTCGTCGACGCTCATGCCCGTCGGGGTATCTACGTTCAGCGAATACTGACCACACTTGTGGCCACCTTATCGACCATGTCAGTGGAATGCAATTCAGCTCAGTTTACTGGTCGACATGTCACTTCTGAAGACGATAGAAAAACATCAATTGCGTACGAGAAGGATTTCTGGCTTGAGAAAGGGTTCATGACGACCCTGTCGACTGGAACTGAAGTGTATCATACACAATGACTTTGATGATAGAACCATGAATATATTGAGTTATGATTGCTTCACTCCTTAGTCCTTCGCACGTAACTATAGGATGATTATTAGGTGGTTGAAGATGCTACCCAGTAATTCCAGCCTGTGTATCAGTACCACCACCATACATGCTCTACATTGAACCTATACCACAGGAGGACATAGGAGCAAAAGTAAAGACAACATATATGGAAGACAAAATCGAGCCTTTCCCTCTGTTATTCCCTATCTGTCTATCTATCTATACAACGCCAAATCACCGCACCGATCCCCAGATCTCACTCTTTCTCCGCGATCCCAAACCTCTCTCAAGCCACGGTAATGTTACCAGTAACATTACCATTGACATCACATCCAGTAATACTGCTCTTCAGATCCGTCAACCAGACCGCCGAGTTGAATTCTCCATAGAACGTCTTGATCTGCCATTTCTTGTCTCCCTCGCCAACACCAGTTCCATTGACTTTTGCTTCTTCAACTTCAGCGACAGCTATTCCTTGGACATTGAGACCTGGAGGAGACAACACGTAGCGGAAAGTGACTGCATTGCAGGAAGACCAGGTGTTGAGCAACTTGAAGGGGACGCCTGGTTGAGCTTGTTCGCCGGCGAGGAAGGAAGCTTTGGTGTCGAAAGTTATTTTTCCCAGCTGTATTACACATTAGTTGTACGTCCAAACACATGGAGGAGAAGGATGAGGAGGAGGAGGAGGAGGAGGAGGAGGAGGAGGGGGAGGAGGAGGAGGACGAACATCAGAGGCAAGGAGGTTAGGCGAGTGCATCAGTGTTGCTACACTATCTGATTGATCCACATAGCCGTCTGCGATGAGGTTGTCGCCCCAGGACATGCTGAAGTTTGAGAGGATCTGGCCGAAACCGTCGGCGATGAGGATGGCGTCGGCGGAGGAAATGCAGGATGTGCTGTCTGTGGTGTTGGAGAATCTGGATGATTTGCCGGTGAAGGGCTGAGCCACGCAAAGGGCCATGAGAGGGTAGATGGCGGTAGTGATGGAGGTACGCATGGTGACTGTTTGATTATCGACAAAGTGGAGCAATGATGGTTTTGGGGTTGTTCTGGTTGTGGGCAGAGGAGAAGGAACGAGATGGAAGATATAGGATAGAGGAGACCGATCGGAGGTGCAGGCCAGACTATCGCCGCTCTTACTGTTCTCGAAGAAGACGCCGTCGCGGCATGGGGGCTGATGAGTGCAAGCTTCATCATACTCTTTACTTAGCCCTCTGCTTTTGGTCACCATCAGCAAGTAGACATCGCTGTACATCTGTCATAGTCCGACTTGGCTGTTGCTTCCCAAGTCATCGTCGACGGATTTTGTCCCTGGTTTATGACCTTGGATGTCTGACAAGGCAGATCGGACAGCCTGACCAAAGACCGACTGGACTGTAAGCGTCCCAAAGGTACGAGTAAGCATGAGGCTGCAGTCTTGCTGCGGCTGTAACTATATGGAGACAAACTTCCGTGGGATATACTTGTTAGGGTACTGGTCCCTGATGCTTACCACAAAGTCTCTTGTATACTATTGGAGCAGCAAGGCAGCTCGCTCTTTCACTAGTGGCTCACGTTCGCGATGGGCTTAGACCATGGAGCGGTTCGGATAGCGAGTGTCGTGTTCGGAACGCGATGCGCCAACAGCATTGCAAGATGGGAGAAAAAAACCATGGACTTGTGAGGTCCGTCCGGATTTCTAGGGGTACGCGGCGGTGTCGTGTCTGCCGAGTGTTGGCCGGTGTCACTCAAGTCCTATTCTTGTCTGCTCACACAGCCTATGGTCACAGCACGGAAGCTCCTTGGTGAGACGTTCAATCGAAATTGTGAGTTGAACCTCCGAAGCGATGAGAGCGCAGTTGCAGATAATCATGACTCTATGTGTCGTGTCTATACTTGTAGGAACAGACGATCCAGGGTCATTGGAACAGCTGCCTTGATGCCGTTGGCCAGCAAGAAAAAAGTAGACAAGGTTGTCAGTCGCAAAGGCCGTCTCTATAGACTCTAGATGATGGATGAAAATGCCAAAAGAGAGGCAACTGCCTGGTCGTTCAGGTCGTACTGGGGCTCGAACCCACTGGGATATGTTAGAATTGGTTCTTGGGACTGACGAAGCTGAGGTTCGAACTTACGGACTCGAGAAGATTTGATTACTCATCAAAATCTCGCGTGCTAACCGCTACACTATACAACCGAGTTGTTGAGAACAATCTTGGCTCAGGTAAAATATATCTACTCAGTATCTTGCCACGCCCACTGGTCGCATGCGCAGTTTCGTTCAACAAGAAAAGCATCTTGCACGTCGCGATATGCTGAACAGTTCAACTGGCTCATTCATCTAGTCGAGCAAAAAGTGGCGAATAGGAAATCCTCCATTCCGTTGGCGTGATTACGCGGCCTCTTCATAAGATAAGACTCTGCATTCCTAATCTAGACTTCTCTGCGGAATTACCAACAGATGACTATTGTGCTATCCTCCTGAATCACCTCTGTTGTCCAGCTTCTCCATACTAATTCTCGCTCTATGCTGTCGTAATGTCCGTCATCGGTAACCCTAAGCTCTTCGGTCCCTGTACTCTAATCCTTCTGACTTTATCTTGCATTACATGTCTTCCAAATGCAGTGACCATATCCTCAATCAGATGATTGTAGATACGACGCTTGCCATAACCAAGTATATAAATACTTTCGGGACCAGAGGATATTAGATATGACTTCTCTTCATCAGCGAACGAGATGTTAAGGCTCAGAGTCTCAAAAACGACAGGGCGACGTAATGTCTCGGAGACGGTAATGTTAGGGCCGTGTTTAGCGATTCGAGTCAACAGCTCAAGGAGTGTTGTGAACGTGTTGCCGAGTTTGTTTTTCATGTCATTGTCCCAGTGGCCGAACTTTGAAAGCGTGAGGTCGATCATTAAATCAATGGAGAGGTGTTGTACACAGGATGATGGGCATGGTAGTGATGTCCATTCAAGTGTATACTCGTCGTTGTTGAGGTTGAGTAGCATAGACCAAGTTCGATCGGCGGCGGAAGTATAGCAGGATTGCATGTGATAAAGATCTCGCATCTCATCTGCAACAATACCATTCGTTCGCATAAGATCGAGCCAGTCGAAGCAGATGGTGTTGAGTTTGACAGTGGTTGGAAGCTCATGACCGCAGTCTAATTCAAGCAGTCGAGTGGTAGATCCGCTTTTTGAATGTGCAGAGGAAAAGACGTTGGTATAGACCATGTCACGAAGCTCGCGTGGCAAGCCCATGAGCGAGTTTGGTCGAGGTGCGGTATGTGATAGCGTGCATGCCATGATTGTGTGTGGTGATCTGCTTGATTGACAGTCGCTCCCATATAATAAACTTTGTATGAGACGGTAAATTAGAAGCATCATGAACAGGGAACCTTTATATTCAAGATGCACGTATGCGAGAAGGGTATTGCGGCATCTTGACCTACCTATTCTCAGGACATGGAATGCTTCATGCCTTGATGCAATGGTGTGACCTCATACGGATGATAAGGACAGAAATCTTTCGTGATGAAATCATCCTTTGAGGCATCACTGAGTAGGAATATGTTGGGAGACTGACAGCGTTCTGCTACACTCGCATGCCAGAAGGGCCGAAAGTCCTCGCTGGGACGACTACATGGTCAGGGTTGATTCCGAGATTTGGCGATGCTCGGAGATGGCAAAAGAAGAAGAGAGCAGAAAGGAAGCTGTTGGGGCAGTCTCACAAGACATGATTGTGCTGCAGAGCTTGTTTGCAGGAGAGAACGCATCTGGTGATGGCTGGTGTGATGGACGAGCTTCGGCTTGATTTCGGATCTCGTGATGTTTTGTTTGTATCCATGTCCAAAATGGGAGTTTGTATCAGTGGCAGGAACACGACCTCAGATCATCTTTTGGAACCACAAAACCATCACCTACAGTCCCATAAGAGTATACATGCAGCTATTGGAATGTCGATGAGAAACACGGTGCAGATGTCCAGCCGAGGTTAAGCGAGCAAGGTGCGTTGAACGATCGTGTCGCCCGGCCGGTGTCCAGAATCTCGCAAGCTACGCGCAGCACAAGGAGTGCGTGTCTGTCGTCCAGACGAAGGATTAAGGCTGCCAAAGATGGCAGTGCAGAGTCCAAGATGAGGCATGGTGGCCGAGTGTGTGGCCGAGGATGCCTCGGCTCCCCCGCAAAAAGCGAGAGCGATCTCCGCAATGTTTAGTGTCCACCTCGGGCGAGAGATGGACTTGATCAAGTTACAAGACACGCCGCTTTCGTCGGCTATTACTCTTGCTCTATATTGCATACCAAAATGTCTCAACAACAGAAGAAGAACGACTTCTCGGAGAAGCTGATGATCAGCGCCGACGGTCAGCTGAAGGCATCCCAAAAGATCCCTCAGATTGCTAGACCATTTGTCAGCGAGAAGGCATTGAAGTACCTCGACATCGTAAGCTTGCCACATCTTGAACCACAGTTCCAACCACTGATGCGAGTGTCTTCCAGGTCGAGAAGTTTGTCGAAGAAGAATGTATTCCCGCCGACGCCGTATTCCAACAACAGATTGGCGACTCAACAGCTGAACGCTTCAGCGGCCACCCCGCCATCATCGAGGACCTCAAGAAGCGTGCAAGAGAGCTAGGACTGTGGAACATGTTCCTGCCAAAGAACCACTTCAAGGAGGGTGCTGGCTTCAGCAACCTCGAATATGGCCTCATGGCCGAGTACCTGGGCAAGAGTCGTACCGCCTCCGAGGCCACCAACTGTGCTGCTCCTGACACTGGAAACATGGAGGTGCTGGCCAAGTACGGCACACAGGCTCAGAAGGACAAGTGGCTCAAGCCCTTGTTGGAAGGCGAGATCCGCTCTGCATTCCTCATGACCGAGCCTGATGTCGCCTCGAGTGATGCCACAAACATCACTCTTGACATCAAGCGTGAGGGCAATGAATACGTCCTCAATGGATCCGTATGTTCATCTTCCGCTCTTTGTTCTGAACTGTGCTAACCTCCATTATACAGAAATGGTGGTCATCAGGCGCCGGTGATCCTCGCTGCAAGATCTACATCACAATGGGCAAGACCGACGCAAACAACCCCAGCCCCTACAAGCAACAGAGTGTCGTCCTCGTGCCGGCAGACACCCCTGGAGTCACCATCCACCGCATGCTCGGTGTCTTTGGCTACGATGACGCTCCTCACGGTCACGGACACATCTTCTTCAAGAACGTCCGTGTTCCGCTAGATCACATCGTCCTGGGCGAGGGCCGTGGTTTCGAGATTATCCAGGGTCGTCTAGGCCCTGGCCGTATTCACCACGCCATGAGAAGCATCGGCGCTGTAAGTCCTATCCTGTCAAATATTGTTAGCTGCCACTGACAATACCAAAGGCCGAGAAAGCTCTGGAGCTCTTCGTCGCTCGTGTCAACGATCCCCGCAAGAAGGCCTTTGGCAAACTCTTGAACGAACACGGTGTAATGATTGAGCGCATTGCCAAATCGCGTGTCGAGATTGACTCGGCTCGCCTCTCAGTCCTGAATGCCGCAATCACGATCGACACCAAGGACGCCAAATTCGCCCTCAAGGAGATCGCCGAGGCTAAGATTCTGGTTCCTACCATGGCTCTGAAAGTCATTGACCGTGCCATCCAGGCTTACGGTGGTGCTGGTGTATCACAAGACACACCATTAGCAAACATGTATTCTCAAGGCAGAACCATGAGGATCGTAGATGGTCCTGATGAGGTGCACTTGTTGCAATTGGGTAGAAACGAGAACAAGAGAGGTCAGTTCTTGTTGAGCAGACTAGCGTGGCAGAAGAAGAAGAGTGAGGAAATGGCTGCAAAGCATGGTATGCAGCTCAGGGATGTGTTGCAGTTGGACCGTGTCATGGGCGAGAAGGCCAAGCTCTAAGGAGTTTTTATGTCTGTAAAGAAAATACTCAATGTCAATACTACTAACGCTGTTCCACGGATTCGTTCGGGCTTCAACTGAATCAAGGAAATGTATTCTCATTCTTCCCGTCTTGCGACCAATGGTTCTTCAATGCATGTCTATAGAGAACAGAAAGAAAAAAAACGACTTTTTCCGCGAAAACCAGAATTACCTCGTCCCAACATCTGATGTCAAAGTTGATCAGAACCAATGGCGTAAGGTCCGATCCATGATGGCTTTCTATGCCTTCATGGCCTCGGAGGCCTTCTTCTCCTGCACGGGCTTGGGTTGACCAGAGCTAACACCCACAAGACGCTGGAGTTGCTCCATAAAGACAAACATCAGAACAGTGTTGGGGCTATTCGCAATACCATTAGTCCCCGCTATTCATTTTCACAGGAAGTTCAAAACCACTTACGCAAGTCTAAGCCATGCAGGCGACCATCCTCTCATGAGGAAACTGATACCCTCTTTCTGGTAGGATTCGGCGAAGATTTTGCTGAGACTGGGTTTTACGCCATTTACGGTAGGAGCAGATTGGACGCGGCTCTTGAGTACATCGGCGGGTGCGCATGCTGTGGTTGCCACGGTGCCGGCGAGGAGGGAGGCGAGGAAGTGCAGGAAAATGCCATCTTTGAGTCCTAGACTGGGGTTTGAGAGCAGCCAGTCCTTTGCGGTTGAGTAGCTGGTTTTTAGTCAGTCTCTGAAATTGCCTGCTGCTATAAGGCAGAAACTCACGTAGCGATCTGAGAAATGTCTGTATACCGTTAGTAATTTGCGTTGATGTGAGCAGAAACCAAAACTTACTCATGATGACACTGCGAACGATATTAGGCGTCAAACCTCTGCTGAAAGTCGACATACCCTCCTCCTTTGCAATCCTATATAACGCACGAATCGAATTGCCATAGTTATATCTCTCAGCAGCAGTCTTAGCACCATCCGCACACATTCTCACCAGCACGACCTCTGTAGGGTTACCGATCAGACCGGCTGCTCCTCCAGCCACACCAGAACACACGACTTCCCAGCCAGCAGTCAGTTTCGTGGTTCCGGTTCTTTGCTTGACTTCCTTGGCAAAGTAGTTGTAGAGGCCGAAACGAGCGGTCGAGTAGGAGCATTGGCGGAGCCAGGAACCAGTCAATCCGGTCCAGAGAGATGGAATACCATCGCGGCTGGCGAATGATACCAATGTTCTGAGGATGTTTGGCGGTTGGTGCATGACTTGCATTCGGCTATTGTTGATATTAGTTTACTGTTTCAGTCTGTAACCTTTGCAGTTCTCACTATTTCGTTTGATCCAGGGGATGTGCTGCAAGATTGATCAATATACAGATACCGTTTTGGACCTTCATTTGACTTACTGCATGTTGCTGCCATTGACGCAGCCGCTCCGCTGGAATCATCTCAGCATACAATCTCATCACCTCTTTTGCAACATTGCATACCCAAGCCAGAAAGGCTGTTGCTTCTTCTTTTGACCGGACATATCCAAAATATAACCCAATGCCCTCTGAGGATGTCGTCGGCAATCACTATCTCTTGCGTTCCGAAATATCGGGAGTAGGTATTTGTTTCGCGGGGAAAAAGTCCTTCGGGGCTGACTTGCGAAAAGTCTTCAAGTCCGCAACGGTCCAAATCCAAGCGGAATGGCCTCTTTCGAATGCAAAGGTCGTCTATAATTTTTCACGCTGGTAAAAGAAAAAATCACAAGCCCCAATCTCAACACGAGTCAAAGAAGCAAGACTGCTTTGACAATCTCCTTTTGCTCTCGGCCAATCAGCGCTTGGCACTCGGGCTGCTCGGGCCGACCTCGACTCGCGCCTTGCTTTCTGTTATGTTGATTAGACTCGAGTTCACACTGTCTTTTCGTCTGGAAGATGAGAGCTGTCTACATCGACTAGTGGGATGATGAGACGAGCACGCCAAGTTTTGAGTCTTGATGCGGGTGCTGTGTCGACGTACGGTCACACGCAGAGCGTGTCAGGCACGCGTCAATGCCGAAACACTCGATCACCTATCGAGGACGACTATACCACAGATGTGAATGTGCAACGGATTGATGAATCGCAGTTACGAAAAAGACCGTGCCAGGTATGCAGCAGTCTTTCATGTTGACGCAGCTTTGAGGTAAAGCCAACCTTAATGATCACTATTCCTGATACGCGTGAGCGACTGGTGTGAGGCCATGGCCTACCAATACGCAACAATGTCATGGACCAGACACGAAGAGGCTAAAAAATCTTGTACCCATGTCACCTTGTCTTGGACATCCAAAGTGGCGACGTCTCCTACACTAAGATGAGGATGCCTCAGAATCGTGGATGGCAAACAATACTCGAAGGCGACACGTCCAACACATCAAAGGGAGATGGCTTCTTTTGTGTCGCCCTTGCTCTGAACGACAACTCGCTACTCTGCCTGGAGATGCGGTTTCCCTGCGCGGCAAGCAGTGCAGAGCAGAGCAGAGCAGAGCAGAGCATACATACCATAATCGGACAGCCCATGGCCTCCGATATGTGGACGCAGCGAAACGTTCAGATTACAAGCGCGCAACTGCTGTGGGTGTATCATCTGCTGGGGTTTGGAGGATCCAAGAAGCGGATGTAAACAAGATGACAACCTCTCTTGCTCGATTCGCCTTGATGAGAACAACTCGCAACAAAAGATACAACGAATCTCACGATCATCAGAGGCTACATGCGATTTACGAACCTCTTTCGCGATGCATCTTTTCTACGCAGGAGCGTAGAGCAGACCGCTTATACCATTACCGGACTACCGATGCCCTCGGTTATGTGATTGCCGCGCTTATAGAGTCCACGCATACGCGATCTCCTGACCATTTGACGTTGATCTAGGGCTCTTCTCAGCTATATTGCTTTTGGAATCGGTAGAGCTGTCCATCGAAGTCGGCAAATCTAGACGCTGTCGGGGGATGCAAATCTGGTTCGTACAGACGATACGGTTCGTGATGCTCTGCCCCGAGATTTTGGCCTCTGCCAATCGCGCTTGCAGTGTTTGATCATCTCCAGGCAGGTAACAAGATCACTGACGTGTCGCAAAGTTTCGTTGTTCGACACAAGGCACTTTCTGTTCCAGACAGTTGCAGACATACCTGACGCTGGAGTTCAGTCTGCGTTGAGGTCAATGGCTAGGCGTCCATGTCAAAGAATCAGAATCCCACCTGCGAAGCACCAAGTCGATCTCACCCCCTTGGTGGCGTTCGGGTATCATTACTGATAAGATGTCTTGAGTGAAGAGCTGTCGTTCGTAAACAACCATATTCGAAAGTTAGCTGGAAGCAGATTGGTCAGGTTAGCCCTGGACGGACTCCGAGGAATTGAACTTGATTGTTTGGTTCGTACCCATGTTGGCTTGCGACAACTGACCTGTATAACAGCACGGCAGTGAACATCGGCTGTTGGACTTGAGATGCTCAGCGACTAAGCTCCTAAGTCGGCGCACTCTTACGGTCTCAGACGAGTAGCTCTCATACCAAGATACAAGGCCTAGTTTCGAGCAAGTCACCCATCCACCCACGCTATTGCTACGAGCCTCAAGGTATGAGTCCACTGGGGTGTATGCTGTGCAGCAATCTCGAATCGATTTCTATTCAGCCGCACACGGTACAATTGCGATGGTACTGAACGAGGCCCCAATCGGCACTTCTTTCTGTGAGTCTTAGCCAAGGCCTCGTTCTTGGATACCTGCTTCTTCGTGGGGAGCCAAGGAAACTAATGGCCACTCCGCGAGGGTCGAGCCAGCCAGAGAATGCAGCCAAGCACAGCCAAGAACGCCCACTCGCGCTGGACAACTCGATCTGGTAGAAACCAAAAGTCAAACAACAACAGTCAGAAACGTGCAATCAATTCCCCACACCCATTCCCCGCCCTGATCTCCGCCGCAAAAATCAACTCTTCCTTCTGCTGACCGCGCTCCTTGTTATCCATCAACTGCCGACTTTGTAGGGTGAGTGTGAAAGAGAAGAGAGATATAAGAGGCTTCCCCCGGACCCCAGACCCCCACACCGTCACCCCAGATCGTCTGCATCTTGTTAGCAACAATCGCAACTTTACCCGATCATAATTTCTAACATGAGGCCTTCTCAGGATCTTGAGAAAGAAGGACACGCTGCCATGCACAAGGAGCTTGCAGGAGAGACAACCCATGAGGTTGCAGAGCGTGGACACCAGGCTACTGACCAGTATGTCTTCCCCTCTCAACCATCCTCTGACCTGGACATTACGTTAACCATTGCCTAGATATGGCAACTCCCTCATTCAGTTCGACCCCAAGGCTGAAGCAAAGCTTCGAAGGAAGATCGACTTTGCCATCATTCCTACAGTCTTTGTGCTGTACCTGTTCTGCTTCATTGATCGTGCCAACATCGGTTAGTCACCACACCTAACACTCCACAACCAACATCATCTAACATATGTCGCAGGAAATGCCAAGATCGCCGGCCTCGAGAAAAGTCTTCACCTAACAGGCTACGACTACAACATCGTTTTGTCCGTCTTCTACATCAGCTACATCATCTGTGAGATCCCTGCGAACATGTGCTGCAAATGGATCGGTCCTGGATGGTTCATCCCCGGTATCTCCCTGGCATTCGGTCTCTGTTCAATCGCTACTGGATATGTCCACACTTTCAGCCAAATGTGTGCTGTCAGATTCGTTCTCGGCATCTTCGAGGCGGGCATGCTCCCTGGTATCGCCTACTACCTCTCGCGCTGGTATAGACGCTCAGAGCTAGCCTGGAGACTAGGACTTTACGTTGTCGCTGCCCCACTTGCCGGAGCTTTTGGTGGTTTGTTGGCGTCAGCTATCTTGAAACTAGACCACTTCGCTGGTCTGAAGGCGTGGAGAATGATCTTCGCCATCGAGGGTATCGTTACTGTCTGCCTGGCGCTCATTGGGTTCATCACCATGACCGACAGACCAGCAACCGCCAAATGGCTATCCCAAGAAGAAAAGGACTTGGCGATTTCCCGTGTCAAGTCCGAGAGAGTCGGAGCCACCGAAGTCCTGGACAAGTTCGACCGCAAGAAGATCTTCAAGGGCATCTTCTCCCCTGTTACTCTCGGCACTGCCACTATCTTCTTGCTAAATAACGTGACGGTTCAGGGCCTCGCATTCTTCGCTCCTACCATCGTTCGCACCATTTACCCTCACAACACTGTTGTCAGCCAGCAGCTTCACACCGTCCCTCCTTACATCGTCGGCGGTTTCTTTTGTTTGATGTTCCCATTCCTCAGCACCAAGTTCGACACCCGCCTCCCCATTCTCATCTGCTCAGCTCCGTTGATCATCGTCGGATACATCATGTTCCTGGCCTCGGAAGTAGGCGCAGTACGCTACGGAGCCACCTTCATCATCGCCTCTGGCGCCTTCGCCTTCGGCTCCCTCTGCAACGCCCAAGTCAGCGCAAACGTCGTCTCGGATACCGCGCGCAGCTCCGCCATCGGCACCAACGTCATGTTTGGCAACATCGGCGGCTTGGTCGCCACGTGGTCGTTCTTGCCCTTCGATGCACCCAACTACCACATTGGCAATGGCCTTAACTTGGCTGTTGCGTCAACCGGCTTGTGCTTGTGTATCTTGCTGTTCTTCTGGATGAAGAGGGATAACAAGAAGAGAGATGGCAGAGACGTTGATCAGGAGTTGGCTGGCACCACGCTGTTGGAGCAGCAGGATATGGATTGGAAGCATCCTTCCTGGAGGTGGAGACCTTGAGAGCCTTTTTGGGGAGGTTCACGTGCCTCAACTGCACGACCATGAGGATTTGTGGATTTTGGAGTTTTATGCGGATGGTGGGGGATTATGATGATATATATCAACTACGAAGATCATGTTTCTATGCTTACTTGTCTTGTGCAACTTCTGATCATCTTCGATGCATGCTTCGCATGGACTGTGGCGAGATCAACTAGCTGGTGTGGAACGAACATACAAGGCTTCGGACACACGCTCTATACATACAGTTATGCTAGGGTGAGGGTTAAAGTTGACGTATCCCTGTGAAGTGGCTTACAACAAAGCCTCCTACACGCACGTGAGCAGATTAGATGTCCCTGTTCAGCAGAAGAGGGGCTTTATGAGACAGCCTCATCCGATGTCAATAGAAACATGCTCAAAGCTTCACCTGCATACAAGACGTAGCAAACAGACCCGAAAAAAGCAGCTGTGTGCTTCACCTCACCCAGCACAACAGCCTTCAACAAGGACAGGATGGAAAGGCATGGTGATAGAAATGTTGAATGATGTTTATAAATAAGATCTTGATTGCAAAATCTGGAAACTAAATGGTACATCTCTCCTGCTCTTTTTTCGTGCCCCTGCTAAGGGAACGTCAATAGCAAGACCTCCCGTTCTACCGCTTGCGGCCGAACGCTGTGATCAAACGAATGTCCAGATGTTTTTGTATCGTGATGTAGCATTTTTGGAGCCCAATGAGGCCTATTGAACCGATCCTGAAGGCCCCGACAAGGCCTATAAATTCGGTCTGAGGCCCGGTGTAAAGCCTGTAAACTTGTTCCTGATGGCTCGAATCAAGCCTATATAAGTGATCTCGAAGGCCCTTGCAAGGCTCTGAAAACGAACCTCCTCAGTCATCCAGCTCAATGATTTGCATGGGCGAGCTGTTCTGAAAATCCTCGGAGGTTTGTGTCAGATCAATGATAGCATCGTACCTGCTGTTGGTTCTGGTGGGCTCAGTGCTCATGCTAGAGTCGTCTGTCAACTCGATGACTTCCATGCCGCTGTTATCGCTTCCCATAGAGTCATCGTCTTCTCCAGTCAGATCGATAAGGTCGCATGTTTGTCTAAATCTTGTGTATTTGGTGTATGTAATGATTTCTGTCTCGGGCTCGGGTTTGGGCTCGAGCTTAGGCGTGATGGGCGAGTCGGGCACTGAAGGTGATGTGGGAGTCCTTCTGCGGCCAAGTCTCATGCCGAAGATGCTCTCATAGTCGATGTCGGAGTTGTCGTCAAGATCGTTGTTCCCAGATCCGATACAAGCATCATCATCCGGCGAGGCTTCTCTCGAACGAGGCACGAACCAGGAGGAACTTTGCGACCCATCGCCAAACACGATGTCGTCGGTATTGACAGCATCGTCATCCATATCGACATCCTCACTGATGTTTTCCATGTCGACGTTTGGATTGTTGTCGTCTTCCATGTCAACAAGATTTTGATCATCATCGAGCAGATCTTCCTCATTGTTCCCAGTTGCAGAGCCGAGCAAGCGACGTCTACGCAATCGACTAAGCTCGTGCTGCCAAGTTCGCTGGTTGCCGTCGTCGCCGTCATCATCGTCGTCGTTATCGTTACGGTCTGGTTCAGGATGATCGTTGCGATTGTTTGGGTCGTTGTCAGCGTCATCGTCGTCACCATCCCCTGCTCTGGCTTCAAGCCTTCTCATTCTGCATTGTTCGCATTGGCATTCCTGAAACAATCTTTTGTGTGCATCAATGATAGTCTGGAACCTGTCAGCTAGACACTCAAATTGTGCTGAGCCATGACATACCTGAACTGCTTGCCAGTTCTGATTCTCGAAGCTCAAAGAATCGTCAAATACCTCGAGAAGCTCTTTGCAGTAATCGCGACGCGCCCTCCGGATAGCCGTATAGCTGCGGCTGTTTGTTCCACTGCGAAAGATCTTGCGCTTGAATTGAAAGGCTGAGCACCATGCGATATTTGGGATGCCACCTCTTGTATCCCATAACTCCTTCATATGAAGAGTGATGAGTTGCTTCGCTCCATGTGAAAGGTGCATGGAAACAAGGCAACCCTTTTCTTATGGTTCTTCTCCTGCCACTAAATGATACCGATAGTAGGAAGCGTATCCTCTCATTGCGATCCAATGCACGTGTGAGACCTCGAAGAACATCACACCAGATACTGTCCTGTATCTTCTGATTTGCGATGTAAGTCTCGACTCGCCTAACATCCGGTGTATGTCTCCAACCGACTCAGGTGCGAGGGCGTCTTCATCGCCGTACACCCGTTGAGTCTGGCCCGACGGCATGATTGTGAAGCTCCTGAGTGTCGATCTTGGTAGTGTCCAACAGCCCGAGAGTGAAGGCTCGACTCTTGTGCCGTATTCGTTCTTAGGAAGTATCAGTGACTTTGAGAATCGAAAGCAAGGAAAACGTGGCGTGCAGTACTTGTAGTGAGGAAGTCTTGGCTCGTTGAGCTGGAGATCGAGACGTGAGTGTCGGGTCCAGAGTAAGTGACTGAGGTGTTGAAGCGAGAGAAGTCTGTCAGCCGGAGATGGGCTTCTCAAGCCAGAATGAGTAAGGTGTGATGGGCTGGCTGTGAGCGAGACGCAACGACTGACAGAACCCACTGCCGATAGCTCGTAGACTTTACGGTAAGAACGCCTGAGCGTGCTCAGCCACGGGAGTCAACCCACTCTGTCGAGTGATGTGTATTTCATTGGTCTAGAAGTCAAAGGAAAGCAACATAAGCTGCGCAAGGACGGCCGCGGATGAACCGGAGGGAATATACATTCGAGGGGCAAAGAGTCGTCGTTCGGACCATGTGAAGTGGAAGAAGACTTAAAAGAAGAAACAAGAGGAGCAAGCTCGCAGCGCGGAAGGAGCGAGTGATGGACCTGAAGAGCAGGATGGGGTCAACGGAGTTTGGAGTAATGGCTTCGAGCACTTGTGAATGTGAGGTTATGGCTGTAAGTGGTCATGCGTATAAGTTTCAAGTTGACCTCGGGAGCGGTGCGAAAGCACACAGAGTCGTGAGATATAAGGCTTGGGAATCCAAGACGTTTTGTGAAGATATGTACTCGAATTTATGCAGTCGGAACAACATGTCTATCGTCCATTTTGGTGCTTTGTTAGGTCCTCATCTTCATCACTGATGAGACCCTCTAGCTCAAACTCTTCGGCGTCCCTGATCTGGCGGTCGCTCGCGTCCGGGATTGAGCGGGCATGACCGTTTGGCAGAGCGTGTCCATTGAGCCTGCTTTCCGGATCAACAGTCTTGCCATCGGTTGGAGAGTCTGCGTAGTAGGTGTAGAGACGAAGAAGCATGTTCACGACTGTCACAATTGTTAGCTTTGATGTTATTCAGAAGAAAGAAGTCTGCACTTACAGAGGAACATGAGGAAGGCGAAGCTATAGAGGATCAAGATGTAGGCGACATGGGTGACACCGGCTTGAGACAAGAGCAGCATCTGCTCCTCGGTGGCGCCCATGAAGAGGAAGCCACTGGCATAAAGCAAGAAAGGAGGCAGGAATTGGAAGCTGTTGGTTTCCTCTCCATCATCGGAGATGGAGTTGGCATCTTTCAAGACGAAACTGATTTCGATGATGCGAGTGATGCCAGCAGCCATGAGAGTGTAGCCGAAGACACTGTGTACCATGGTGCTCAGATGTAACTCTTGAGGGTGACCACTCATGGCCCAGCCAGTAATGGCGATAACGATGGCGGGAATCAAGTTGCGCTTGGAACGGCCACGGCGGTCACGGCTCAGCCACATGCCCAAGAGACCAGCGCACCACCAGATGACCCCCATACTGGTATGCTGCAAGTCGTTGCGTACCCAGGGAGTACCCCATCTGTGCTCGGTGAAGGTATTCACGCAGCCCCAAGCAGCGATAACCATGCTGTCGTAGAATTCCTGAGAGCGGCCGGTGCGACGCAGCCAGATCTGACCAACCAGAAGGAGGATGGTGTAGACGATGCCATATGCGATGAAGGCGGACCCCATGATGAAGTGGGCAGCACACTGGCCGGTGTGGTCGCCCTGGCAGAAGCCCAAGGCAGTGATTCCACCGAACAGCATCTGGACCCAGGCAGCCAGTGGGATGATCTTGCCCAGTATGCCGTGTCCAGAGACAATCCATTTCCTGATCTTGCCCATGAAACCACGCTCGATGTGGAGCCTAAGATAGATGCCCATGGCGGCTTGAGCAAAGACCATCATCATCAACCAAGGAGCATATTGGGCGTGTACGTTCTTGCTGAATTGGCGACCTTTGTGGGCGTGACCGAGGAAGTAGCCTAGAACAGCGAGACCAGTGGCAGTGACTTGGACGGGGACGTGCCATCGCGAGCGCACGATACCGAGGACCATGCCAGTAGGGAACAGAATGCCCCATGCGAATATCTGGACGAGGATGTGGATCCATAACGTTGTGTCCTGATGAGAGTCAGTCTCGGTTCATGTCATGCTTATGCAGAATGGAAGCTTACCAGAGGATCCGGTGAGATGGCCTCGCCTTCAGGAATCTTGTCTTCATGGTGCTCATGCGCCTGAGCAGTCGAGACAAGCAGAGCGAGAAGGGTGGCGGCTTGGACGCTCTTGCTTAGCACTGGCGCCCGCAGTTGCAGTAAACGAGCCATCTTGTTGCAAGAATGACAATCTTCAGGTAGTCGAGTCCAAGTCTCAAGATGAGGTTTTGAGCATCCCCTTTGTCCTACAAGGAAGGAACTCAGGGTTCCTTCCGAGCCCACCTTGATCGATCCAGAAAGTTGCTGACCACGCGTGTCCCGCCAAGCCGCCCATCCCCTATCTCAATTCATCCATGTTTTTCTACCATCTGCTCCTATTCTTTGACCAATAGATAGAGACAAGGTTTTGCTTCTAAAGACTATAGAGAACCCAGATCAATTCATGGTTCTAGTCAATTCAAACCATTGTGTTTCATGAGTTTGCATTGTCCTTCTAGAACGTGTTCGGGAATGCGCGGATCAAACTTATCTCCCCTTATGTCCGTACGGAGTGCGAATCCGACCACATCTTGTTCATATCGTCCTATCACTGAACATCTTTGTTGCGCGTTGGTCGTCGTAGAAAACGACTTTGACAATCAGTGACTTGGAATAATCTGATCCCTCTCGGTCAGCGAGCGAAGCAAGCAAGCAAGCAGCCTCTTCGTAGAAGCTGCAAACATGGCCGAAGATAACTTCCCTTCGTCTCCTCCCGTTCCTTCCAACCTCAACATGTCGTCCAAGGCGTCCTCTGGTAGGGATACTCAGCTCGAAGCCCTACGTGTCCGTCAAGCTGCTCTTGAGTCGACTGTTGCCGAACTGCTTTCCCAGCGTGCTTCTCTAATCAACTCCACCTCTCCCACCCTTGATACCCAAGAGTCCGAAGATGCAGAAACCCGTGCAAAGCTTGCCATGGATGCTGCCAATGCAAAGATCAAGTCTCAAATAAAACAGCTACAGCAATACAATGACATCAAAGACTTTGGCACTCAGCTGATGGGACTTATCGCTGAGAAGCGTGGCTGCCGTATTGGTGAAGTCCAGGAGGAGTTTGGTATCAATCCTGATGATTGAAAGGCAAGTACTTTCTGACGAAGAAAGAAAGCTCATCGAGCAGTCTGTATTGACATGTTTCAAGCCATCACATCAAGCAAGACCAAACATCAGCATTGAAAACCCACCATCAGCCCTGCAGCTATTATCCATCCCGGCATACTGGCCTGCTCCCTCGCTCGCAATCGGTCCTGAGGAAATGCACAGGAGGAAGCCGAAAAGGCATAACGCGGCAGAGAGATTGTCCTGGTCTGCCGAGATCGTGGACATTCGGCGATTTGATGGCTCCATTCAGAAGTGAATTCGAGATGATTATATTCCAAGCTTGCTTCACTTGCTTCAGTTGTCCTATTGTTCCCTATTGATTGGTGCCTTTCAATTGTCTTTGCCATTGTCGATTCACTGTTATTGTCGACTCGGCTTTATAAAAGTTTGCTCGGCTTCCACACACTCTCTCTCTTCTTCCTCAACACACGCAAGACATCTGACCAGCAACCACATCACCACAAACCAAGATCCTGTCTTCCGTTGTTACATCCCTTCTACTATATCTTCTGTCAAGCTATTCTCTACCAAGCTACCATCACTGCCTCCACTCTGCGCAACTTCCAAGCAATATCGCAGCAAGTTCTCGCGCACTCTCACATCACAACAACAACAACAACATCTCACTCCGCCTTAATATATCAACCGCCAAAACCGTCACAATGGTCAACTTCACCGCATTCATCACCCTTGTCATGGGTATCACCACGTTCTTCAAGAACAACATCCCCGGCGCCAACATCTTCACTTCATGGAGCCAGAAACTTCTCGCCGCCCCCCCTCAGCCCTACTACGATCGCGAAGGAAAATTCACCATCACCTACCGCGGCTACGAGGAGGAATACACTGTCATCACTCCGGTCTACCCCACCACGACCTTCTTCACAACCACCTTCACTGCGGCACCAACCATCACTGATGCCTTCGCTACACCCACGGCACTCCCTGGCAAGGAGCTCATTCTCTTCACCGGCACTGTCACCTCACCATCATTCTTCACATTGGCAAAGGAGTTTGTCTGCGCCATGTTCACTCTACCACCTGCCGTCACTGCCAACGCCGCTTCAGTGGTCACTGCCTTCCTTTTTGGAACCCTTCTCCTGCTCGCCTACGTCGGTTTCCTGGCCTCCTCTCCTCCCGTCATGACACCCGAAGATCTCCTTTATCTCGAGGAGCAAGTCTACGAGAAAGACGAGCTCCTCAAGAGACTTCGTCGCTGGCATGGCGAGGACCTCGCAGAGCTTCGCGGCCGCCTGCAGGTCCAGAGGGAGGGGGCAGACGAGCGCCTGGCCACCACCATCGCCAAGCACAACTCCGCTATGGCCGACAAGGACCACGAGATCCTTGCGCTTCGTCAGGAACTGGCTGGCGCCGAACTCCGCGAGGAGCAGGCCCGGTTCAAGAGCTCTGACGAGGTCATCAAGATGCACAAGGAGATTGGTCACCTCCGAAGTGTTGTTGATGACCTCGATCAGAAGCTCGAGGACGCTGGTGTCCTGGCTGCCCTCGGTGAGGAGGCCCAGGAGAAGATCAAGGATGCCGATGAGCGCGCCATCGCCGCTGCTCAGCAGGCCCTTGAAGCAAGCCTGAAGGTCGAGGCCGCCGAGAAGGCCCTTAAGGAGAAGATCGCTGGCGAGAGGAAGCGGGCCCAGGCCGCCATTGACGAGGTGGTCGCCAAGGCCAATGGTCTGAGGGACCAGGTCAAGATCGGAGAGTACAAGATCCAGGACATGAGGGCAGAGGTCAAGGATCTGAAGGCAGGAGCAGTGGGGGCTGCTTCTGTCCCGATGCCACCTATCCTCGAAGGCAAGTCCACGGTCACCAAAGAAAAGGAGGTGCGTGACCGTATCCAGACGGCCGCCTCCACTTTGGGTGCTCTTCCGGTGTTTGCACCTGCTGCTCCTGACGCTGCCGCCGCTGCTCCCACTGTTGCTGCTCCTGAGCCCATCGCGCCAGGAGCACAGCAGGAGCAAGTGCGCCGCATCCGCCGCCGTGCGCCTGTCGGTCCTTTCCCAGACCTTCGTTCTCGTCAGGGTGGAAAGAAGTAGGGGGTTAGGGGATGAGGAGGAGGATGAGGAGAGGAGGAGGAGTTTGTTTGTTGTTGTTCTGGGGTCTGCTTTCTTTTCTAGTGTTCTTTTGGGGGGGGATTTTTTTTTCTGGTGTCTTCTCTGGCGTTCTGGTGTTTTGGGGGTCTGCGTCTTTTCTTCGCCGCTGGTCGGTTGAAGCTTTTCTTTTGTCTTTCTTTTTCTTCTTTTTCGTTTGGAGCAAAGCATGGTATGATGGAAGATGGGCAATGATGATGATGAAATGGTACCAAAAGCACTCCTGCTTTCTACTCTCAATGTGACTATGTTTCCTCAAAGTATGGTATTACAATGTACGAACGTGACGTTAAGTTATGCTATGTCCACGGAAGACATCTACTGCAACAGCGTCTCAATGAAATGAGCTGTGATCCCGAAAGCATGCTGCATTTTGATAGCTATGATATCCCGACTTCTCCTTCTAGAGATTTGATGGTGACGGGATGTACAACAGGAGACAGCTCATCTCCGACAGACTGATCCACTATACTACTGCTATCAAAATGCAAAGTCTTCTTAGAAATGTGACACTATCCAAAGAGAACGATCATCTCTCTATGGACAGAACTATAATATGAAAAGGCATCTTGCCTCTCCATGGTAGCCATCATATGTATACCACATCTCCACTGGAGATCATATCCACGGTTCGTGACAAGTAGAAAAGGCGGTATGAGGTAAAATATGGATTTGACTCGTCTCTGCCTGCAGAAACCATTTTTTGGTCATTCTATCTATACAAGAATGGAATATTCAAACGACCGAAGAAGACGAAGAAGGAAGTTTAGCGGACTCAGGCTCTGCTATTGAGTCACCTCGCAAAAAGACAGGCAATTCAGTCACCGAAAGCCTCTCATCTCTCATACTGCGTTCGAACTCCTTGGGATTCGCGGTGAGCCAGTGGAGTACACAGACGGAAAGGAAAACTGTCGTCGGAGTCAGTAAACGATATCCGGTAGAGAAAGATAGATGTAGAACTTACTGTCCATATTGCACTGTGTAAAGCAAAGCCAAACGTGCTCTCTCCCGCCGGTGACGTAGAAGATGGTGGAATTGATGACGCCCCAGCCTAGGATCAAAAAAGTACCGATTAGCGACTTATGCGCTAGTCCGCGGATCCTGCAAGGCCTTGTCGAGGCAGGCAAGACGACAACATCCGAGTTGATGTCAACCTCGACCAATTCGACATCGGTGGTTTTGTTCGTGCTGCTGGGTCTACCAACGTGGCTGATGCGATTCAAGGCTTTGCCGAAGGTGGTGAAGCGTTCGGGTACCGATGGGAACAGTTCTGTACGTCTGGTGCGTCGAAGAATCATAATGAAGACGCCAGTGAGGACGATGTATGTTACAATCTCGTAGACTTCCAGCGGTGCCACGACTTCTCGGGGAAGACCTTTGCGGCACCTGCCATCATTGTTGGCCATGTATGCGACAGGGTTGAGAAACATCCAGATGAGTAAGAAGGTAGCAAAGACACCCACACATGCTGTAGATAGAATCCAGATAGGATCATCACGGCGGCGGAGGTAGTCCAAGTTTGCGATATGTGCTCGTTCGATGAGGAAGAGTTGCGTCGTAAGTCTGCCGGTGAACAGGAAGCCGATGCAGAAGTAGATTGCTGTCCGACAGAAGCCGCTAGTATGAATGCCAACCCCAGAGATGGCAATGGCTGTTACGAAGAATGCGATCGAGACGATGTAGCTGGCGTAGACGAGGAACCGTATCCAGGAGATATGACGAATGCTTTGCCAGCGGACTTCTCTAACCCGGCGCCCTAATACGATGTCAGAGATCGGTGCGATGTAGGAGTGTATAGTGTTGACCTACAGAATAGATAGCATGTAAGTAGTAATGGAAGACATGACAATGAACTGTATATCGCTATCCCTAGCAAGGAACTCTGTTGAGGTGCTCGAGGTCCAGGCTGGTCATCTTCGAAGATGGCGAATAGACGCCTTGGAATCAGTTCTGCCATCTTCATGATGAGATGTGGTGTAAAATGCGACCACCAGGGATTGTATCGAAGGAGCAGTAGAGGCAAGAACTTCAGGGCAGAGAGATTGCGTGGTGCATCTCCATTTAAGCAAATGATCCAGAGATCTAGAAACAGTAGAAAACGCACCTGGTACCCAATGAGATTTTTGACTTCAGGGTAGTTTTACATATATAGGATGATTGCATCTGGCCTGCGCCGTTATAGACGTTGGTGTTGACTCGTTGGAGTCCCGTCAGAGACCGGAGTTCACGCCTGATTTTCGACTGGAGTCACGGCATCATGACAAAGTCTGTAGGGAGCAGAGTCCAGTGATTCAATTCCATCATATTTGCGACAGAGATGATATTCGTGTAGTACAGTACTTCGAAGCTTGGGGTTCACAAAAGCCATCTTCCGTTGATCTTCTAATCGAAGGAGCCGATGGGGCGTACACGTATCTGTTCAGACAACGGCACCATAGAAGGATAATAGCTGTGTGCCCTGAATCCACAAGAGCGTAGAGAGCCCTAACGAATAACAGTCGACCTCGGTTTGTGAGAAGATTGTCCTCGAGTCCCATCTCGTGCCTGTATACTGACGTGATACAGTTCTGACTGTCTCCTCGGCTTGCCCAGCTCTATCGTGCCTGGTTCGCTGATTACACGCGGTGGACAACGATCGGGTCTCAGCCTTACCAATGGACAAGCACGATTAGGGGAAGCAACAATCGGGGTCGGCGTCCAGATCTCCTAGGAGATTGAAATGATGCGTCATCACTGTCTCAAATGGACTTGAAATCATGGTCGGAGTAGGCGGAAAAATGATTGAAGATGAACATGTTTGATCAAACGGTAGACCAGAATGACCTTCGGTAGGACTTGCGTCAGGTGGCAAGGTTACGGTCGGCTGTCTCTTCCGCCCGGTGCATCCTCAGCTACCGTCAAATCTTTCCCAGATAGCAACCGCCAATGATACCGGGGAAAAGGCTGCCTGCAAAAAGCCCTTGGTGAACTAGATCAAGCAAATCTCAACGGCGTTGTAGCGGTTTTCAGCTGAGTCGGAAAGCAGAGCGGTCGGATAGACCATGAGGATGTCGCAAGGTTGTCAAACGGTCAATGAACTTGACTCGTGAAGCGTGCCTCATGCACATCATTCAGCTCAGCGGCGTCAACCTTTCCTCGGATCCTCGAATTATGATACTCACACGATGCAATACAGATTGAAAAAGAAATGGGGATGTGAAAAGCTTTTGCATATATACGTCCTCTCGCAGCGGGGGTCTAATTAGGTGGGTATCCATGAAAGAAAATGTAAAAGGCCGCGTCCATGTGGGCGAAAGACATCGATGCCAAAACGAAATACAAATAGGCATCTGAAGAGATAACTAGATTACTGTGCCTTGCCCAAACTCTGCAGATTGACAAGCTCAAAGTAGCGTCCTCTCAGGTGTAGAAGCTCGGCATGTGTGCCAGCCTCAACCACCCTTCCAGCATCAAACACATAGATCATATCCGCGCGTTGAATAGTCGACAGACGATGTGCGACGGCGATGGTCGTACGGCCCTTTGCTGCCTTGTCCAGTGCTGCTTGGACCACTTTCTCCGATTCACTGTCTAAAGCAGAGGTGGCTTCGTCTAGGAGCAAGATTTTGGGATCACGCAACAATGCTCTGGCGATTGCAATGCGTTGCTTTTGTCCTCCACTGAGCATCGAACCCTTGCTGCCGACGATGGTGTCGAAAGCGTCGGGTAAGGACATAATAAAGTCGTAAATGTTGGCGTCCTTGCATGCCTGTTCGATGGATTCCTGCGGAACGTTCTCCCTGTCGGCACCCAAGAGGATATTCTCCTTGACAGTACCCTGGTAAAGAGTAGGCTCTTGAGAAACCAGGGCGATCCATGAGCGGTAGTTGTTGACGTTGAGGCTCGAAATTTCCTTTCCGTCCATATAGACACCACCAGCCAGGGGATCATAGAAACGTTCCAATAGTTGGATAGTCGTCGACTTACCACAGCCACTGGCACCGACGAGAGCCACGTATTGACCGGGCTTGACGGTCAAGTTGAGACCTCTGAGAACTGGCTGTTCGGGGCGAGTAGGGTAGCGGAAGTGAACATCCCTGAACTCAATGTGACCCTCTACGCTCGAGAGCTTCTCGCCATCCTCGCTCCAACTGTCGATTTCAGGCTTGCGGTCGAACAAAGCCTTGAGCTCTGCAGCGGCTTGCTTGGCTTTACCCATGTCAGGAGCGAAGGAGAAGATGGTGCCGGCAGATTGGGCGCCGAAGATGACAGCACTGAAACACAGGAAGAACTGGAAAGAGCCAATCTCGAGCTTAGCAATGAGTGTTCTGAGCGAAGGTTAGCAAAATTCCAAGATTGAACATACTAGCATGAACTTACCCTCCATACCAGAATCCGAGAGCAGTACAACAAAAGATGAGTGATTGAGAAGCAGCATAAAGACTGGAGGAACGCAAGATGGAGATCAAGGACTTGCGCTCTTGTTCAGCGAGCTGGTCATGGTAATGGAAATGGACGTCGTCCTCCCTGGTCAAGGAGGCGACAGTGCGGATAGCAGAAGTAGCCTCGCAGGCATAACTGGCAGACTTCTCATAGGCCTTCTTAGCTGTGGCCTGGAAACGAGCCAGCATCCAGAAACGGAGGAAACCGCAGGCGAGTAGGATTGGAACGGTCGAGATACAAACCAGACTGAGCTTCCAGTTGACAGCTAGAGACACCGTGAAAGCGGCGATCAATGTAACAATGACAGAGAGAAGCGTTCCCAGAGTGACACCGGACATGCCGGCCAGATGCGTGGTCTCTGTTGACAAGAAGGAGGTCAAAGCACCAGCGGTATTCTCTTCCTCATCGAAGAAAGCGATATCCTGGCGAAGCATAGTCTTGAAGGCTTGTTCGCGAGCCCGGTGAACAAGTCTTTCTGAGCAAACGGCGAAGACATATCCCTGGATGAGGAAAGCAGCGAGTTGCACTAGGGCAAGCATGAAGTACATCCATGACCAGAAGTTTGCCTCGTGGCGAATTGTGGCCTTGTGCTCAGGAGTGTCATTTGGTCCAGATAGAGCAGTGACCGCCTTGGCGAAGAAGACGGCTTGTGTTGGGTTACCACCTCCAGTAATGACCGAGCAGATGATACCGATAGTCATGTAGAGCCACTCCTTTCTATTGAAGCTGGCGACAAGCCTGATGAGGGTCCACAGAGAGTAACGATGCTCGACCTCAGCCTTCTTATTGGCGAGAGCAATACTAGACTGCGATTTGCCGGTTTGAGTGCGAGCAAGCTTCAGGCCATCCTCAGTTTCTTCTCCTCTGGTGGCAACACGAGTGAGGTTTTCGTCCTTCTCTTCGACCAAAGCAATCTCTTCCTGATCTTTGTGCTCGTTTTCAGCAGCAATTCTTTGAGCTTCAACCAGGTTGAAATAAGCTCCCCTGCTTTCAAGCAAGACATCGTGGGTACCCTGTTCCACGATGCGGCCACGAGACATTACAACAATATTGTCAGCACCCTTGATAGTAGAGAGTCTGTGAGCAATGACAATAGTTGTTCTGCCAAGAGCGGCTTTATCGAGAGCGGCCTGCACAACGCCCTCGGATTTGGTGTCCAATGCTGATGTCGCTTCATCTAGGAGCAGAATTTTAGGGTCACTGACCATTGCGCGAGCGATAGCAATACGTTGTTTTTGTCCACCGGAAAGAAGAAAACCACGCTCGCCGACGTTAGTTTGATAGCCTTCAGGTAAGCCAGTGATAAAGTCATGGGCGTTGGCGAATTTGGCGGCATTTTCGACCAATTCACGAATCCTTTCCTCAGACTCGGACTCGTGGGCAGTACCGATCAATCCATGACGAATATTGCCAAAAATAGTCGTAGCAAACAGTGTAGGTTCCTGACTGACGAGTGAAATCTGGCGACGAAGCCAGCGTAGGTTGAGACCAGAGATATCTTGGCCGTCAAGGTACACGGTACCACCAACCGGATCGTAGAAGCGTTCGACGAGACCAACAATGGTAGACTTTCCTGAACCAGATTCACCAACCAAAGCAGTCGTCTTGCCTGCGGGAACAATAAGACTGACATCCTCCATGACAGTGACTTCCGGACGAGATGGGTAGATGTGACGAATGTTGCGTAGCTCAATGTGGCCTTCGACACCCTTCAAGGTCTCGCCCGATTCAGAAGCAGGATCCAGGGGGGACACGCGGTCGATGGTAGCGAAGATTTTGGCGGCAGCGGCAACACTGGTGGTGAAAGCCTGGATGTTGGGAGCGACGTTGCCTAGAGCGAAGGCTCCAATCATAATCGACAATATAATGGTCAGAACTGTACCAACGTTGATACGTTCGCTGACGAGGTAGCGCGAACCCATCCAAAAAGCCAGTGAGTAATTCAAGTAGACGTAGCACATCAAAAATCCAATCATCGAACCAGTGACAGCCTTCATCTTGAAACCCCAGACTTCAGCCACAGCAAGATGCGTATCGTATGCTCTGGTCAACTTGGCTTCGGTGTTGAATGCTTTGGCGTTTCTGATAGAGCTGATGACTTCCTCAGCAACAGTACCACCTTCGGCATACGAGGACAAAGATGCCTTGTTGAACTTGACAATGAAACCGCTCATACCGCCCATAGTGAAGACGATAGCAAAAACAGTCGACATAAGAATCAAGGTCAACTTCCAGTCCTTGATGAACGACACCACAAACGCAGTAATGAACGTGGCAAGGGCGGTGAGTGTCAATCCTACCTTCTCGGATATACCATCCTGGACAAGGTTGGTATCTGAAGTGATACGGGTAGTAATTTCTCCTGCACCAAGTTGATCAAAGAAGGCGATGTTTTGGCGGAGAATGGCTTTCAAAAAGTTCTGGCGAATCTTTCCCGCAATATGCTCGCCAGTGTAAAGAAATCCGGCCGTGGCAATATACACAAACACAAATTCTCCGATAGCCAGGTAAAGGAAATACAGACTAAACCGCGACAGCTCAGAGTTGAAGTGTTGCGAGGTAATCTCGCCCAGGAAGAACCTGTTGAATGTCGTTGTAAGTCCTCCAAACACGATTGTCATTAGTGGCAATAGAGCGCCTCCAATAATGGAAGAAAGTGCACTCAGCACTATGAGTAGTTTATCGGTGCTTGTCGCGTAGCGGAACAACATGAAGTAGGTGACTTTGACAACCGGAATGTCCAGTTGACGCTTCAAGACAGCCTTTTCATGCTCGGGCAGATGAGCAAAAGGATCTTCTTTTCCATCGTCACTATCTGTGTCTTGCTTTCCTTCCTTGCTCTTGTATCCCTTCTCGTTGATCGGTACAGCAGGTGTTGGTGCTGGTGCGAGCGGCAACGGTGCCTGGCCCAGTTGTGTCTTTTCGTAGTTGGTGACTTGGACATCAACAGTATCGTCGCTGCTCGACACATCTGAACTGTGCTGCCTATCGTTCACAGGATCCATATTGTCTTTGGTGTAGGGGGCTATAGCCGCCCGGGGCTTGTTGACAGCGGGGAAGAGGTGGTTCAAACTGTGTGGGGCGATGTAATTCTGGCTTGTGATGTTGTTATGTTTGGTCGTATCGAGTAGTAAGGCGTCACAAAGGAGCGAGTCGAAGAAAGAAACAGGTCGAGGACACCAGAGGTTGGTCGAAAGAGAAGAAATTGGTTTCAGAAAAGGAGCAATAGCTCGGGGACCTAGTGCCTAATGTCCAGGTCGCATCGCCCTTTGATTGTAATGTATATTCCTCCGTCTGGAGTAGCGGTATCATTACCCTGGGTATCATCCACCCCCTGAACGCTTTCGCAGCGGCGGAAGACATGCTTAGATAGGGGTGCGAGTACCCGACCCACATGTCAAAAGAATCCTTCGGGGTGTTAACCTTCCGAATGTGCACATCGCTCTGAGATAGACACCGAGTTTGCCTAATCTGACACGAACAAGTAGGCTTCACGTGCATAATCTGCACTGTAAGAGGCGTACTGCTCGTATTCTATCGCATAAACTCGTACAGCTAGCATAACTGACCTCGGGGTCTCCACCCCGACGCCGTTGAGGAGATGACTGCTGTACGACTTACGTGTGCGAATACGAGTACGAGTACGAAGTAGGCTGAAACCACAAGAGAAGCGCAATGCGACGAACGACGTACGATAGCATAGACCAAGTACAGTCGAGGTCTACCATTTCTTTGGAAATCCTCGAAACCGCTCTGCTTGTCGAAGAAATGACTTGAAACATTCACATACAAAGGTGTATACTATCTGCCCAATGTATCATGATCGTGATTGTCAGATAAAAACGGCACGTCAGGCGTCAGTGTACGTGGCACCTGGCTACACAAAGTAGGCAGGTGAACATCGCTTATAATCCTTCGAAGCAGCATAGATAAGGATTGTTGAAAATGCCATCCTGAAGCTCGTGACAAGTGCAGTAACAACACGTAAGTCCAAGCGGGATTGATAGATATGTAAGTCTGTGAGGATAGTTGAGAATACGAGGTTACATGAAGACCAGAAGTTGTTTTGCCTGGAATAGACGACCTAATCAATGGTCTTGGTAATGGGGTGGACTGTCAGTATTAATGGAAAGGGAAGAGGAGAATAGCATTATTATATCCGCTCGTAAGCTTGCCGCAAGCACAAGTCATGGCATCGAGTGTGTCAATCTAAATTTCCGAAAGTCCTATCGACAAAAGAGAAAAAGAGGGAGCATAACAAATGGCCCTGTCGACGAAAAAGAGCAGAAGAAGCAGCGTGAGCGACTGATAATAATCCTGGAATGCTGAATGCTCGGATGTTGAACAATGCGAGCAGAAGAAGTCCAGCAATAGTCAAGAGAGCTGAAGCACTGCAAATAGACCACCCACAAGTCTGGTTCTGTAAGCCCGAGGGCAAAATGTTGGAAGGAGGAAATGTTCCAGATATGGATGGTGTTTTTGGGTCTTCAGGTTTTTTGAAGGTTTGTTAATTGTTCAACGGGTATACCTGATCGGCCTCTTGGTGGCGCGACCTGACCTGGTCTGAGTAGCGACCCGGCGAGTCCAGGAGTCAGGAATCTCCTCCTCGTCCGCCGCCTTTACGGCTTTGGAGTCAGAGGAGCCCTTGACCAGAGGCTTGTCGTCGTCGTCGTCGTCGTCATCGTCTGAGTCGGCCAAGATGGCCCGATCCCTTCTCACCCGCTTGCGGGGAGGTTCGTCTTCGTCGCCCTCCTCTTCCTCGCCCTCGGCACCCTCTTCCTCCTTCTTGTCATCCTCGTTAGCTGTGGCTACAGGTTTGGCCTCTGACTTTGGGTTGACCATTGAGAAGGGACTCAATCTCGGCTCTCAATGGGAACATCACTGATCAGAAGATCTTTGTGCCTTTTTATAGCGTTTAGACCTTCGTCGATGAGATAGGAGATACAGACTTTACGGAGAGGGATGCTAGTTCTCGTATCTCCCGTGCTCTTCCTCGATGGATCAAGCTATTGAAATGCATAGTTCCTTTAGCAAACAGAAAGCATACACTGAGAGACGTAATCTTATCTGCTCTCTTTAAACTCGTCTTACATACACAGAGAACTATGCATCTTTACAGCTATTCGCATAAAATAGCTTTGCACACCGGCAGGAAGCAGTCGCAATCATGGGTGTGTACGGTAGAGATAGACGGGATTTTGAACGTTATCGTTTTGGGAATCAGGGGTGAAATTTGACTAACGCCAGAGTCCTATGCAAATACCGCTCTGCCAAACTGTCAGATAGAAGGGTAAATATGAATAAAAGCAAAGCCTAAGGAGGGGGAATCGTGCGATTGAAAGCATCAGAAACAAGAACAAAATACAACAAAAGCAGTTTGGGTAAAGTGAGCATGGATGGCATATTGATCTGTCGCAAGCAGTGCAACTTTTGTGGTCAACGAGCAATGATGCCTGCATGCAGTGCTCTACTTTGTTGGTGAGGTGAGCTCACGCAGTTTTTCGTTCTCGATATATTGTGAGAACGGGATGGTATTGTCGTCGAAATCGTGTGGCTCGACAGTGGCAGGAGGCGATGACGGAAGCGGGAGATTTTCAGGTCGCATAGCGTCTCTTGCATGAGTGTCCAACGCATCCTCCAATCCCTGAGACTCGGAGAATTTGCTCGAAGCAACTCGCACTCCATCTGATCGTGGGCTATTCGCATCGAAGTAAGAATCCAAATCATCGTCACTCGACAAGACTGTCGGTGTGATCAGATCATGTTGAAGATTGAAAGGATCGGATAGCTGTCTAGCAGTCGGTGTTCTATCAGCGGGATTGGCTTGCCATTCCTGCAATGTGGGTATTTGAACATTCGACTTTCCAGTGTCGTCAGGACCGGCAGCATTGTGAAGATGGGCAAAGGTCAGAGCTTGGCTGACATGGTATTGCAGATTAGCATCCGGTCCACTCTCATCAGTACTATTCTGTGTCGACGCTGAATGCTTCCGGGCGAGTTCGCGACGCATCTTTTCCTCTGCCCAGTCCGCACCAAAGGTAACGACAGAAGCTTGCTTGCCATGAACCATGAATCTGGCTGCCTTTCTTTCCAATCCTGGAGCAGACTCAACAAGGTCATCACCACGGCTTCCGTCCGAGCGAATGGTACTGGCGCTTTCCTTGCCTCTCCGGTGACGTTGGGAGGCGGATGTGTCCGAACGACCTTCCCTCAGCGTGCGATGCAGGCTTCTTCTTCCGCTCTTGATCTTGGATGCGCTTTCTGGGGTTGCATTTGATGATTCGGGAAGTCCAGCCGAAGTATGCGTGACAGGGGTCGCCGATGGTACCAGAGCGTCCCGTGCAAGAAGGGCTGCTTCATGATCACGACTATCGTAGCTTCGCGTGGGTGTCAAGCGGCCATTGCGAGAAGCGCCGTCGGAGGCGGCGGACGAGAGGTGCTTATCTCCATCGTGTACGCTGGAAGCGACAGACAAACCAGCGACACTGTGCTTGCGGATGACGGACTGCACAGTACTGGTAGTCGAAGGTCGACGAACCTGATGCGGGCTGTTGAGGTCCAGTGGACTCGCAGGCATTTGCCAAGCGTCCCCAAATCTGAGGGCATGTTCAGGTGGTGTTTTGAAAACATCTCTGTTGAAGACGCCCTCAACCTTGCCATCCCCGTTATCTAGTCGAGGCGAATGGGCTGGCGATGGGAGGCTTGTTTGTTGGCTCACGACGGAGTTTATGGTTGGGACTGTCTTTTGCAAGCCACTAGTCTTGCGAATGTTCGGCATCGGCGCTGGTAACTTGCTGTCGAATATGTCACCATCTTCTTGCAGGTCCAGCGATAAAATATCTCTGTGGCACTTGGTTCGCCAGATGTCGCGTCTTATCCATTTCAAATTGGCATCCATGCGTGCGGTCGCGTGACACACATCTTCTCTTGTCTTGGGCTGGATAGGAGCAAGGATCAGCAGATGTCGAGCGTTGCGCATCATGTTCTCGAGATTTCTGATCGCATCAGTCACCTCTCTCTCCGATTCTACTATGGTCTGCAACATGATCTGTCGACGCGCAGCCAGCACCTGCCTCACAAGCTGTGGAGTCAGATCCCTCTTCTCAACAGTAATTTGTCCGTCATGTGTAACGGTCGAACCCAGAGCAGAACCAATGGATGCATTAACCGACGAATCGACAGACGCTGTAGAGTTGAGTCTGCCACGGCTATTGACCGTGACATCTGTATCCGTTCCGCCAATGAACCCTCTAATCCTGACACCGGCAGATCTAAAAGCTGCAGCATAGTTGATTAGGGCAATCCAGTCGTTGACTTCGGACTCGTTCTCGGCAAGTAGAACTTCCTCCTGGCCACCATGTCGAACCAAGGTGAAGGCGTCCTTGTGCTTTGAGTAGCTACGATCAAGCAAAGCAACAGCGTCGTCAGTCTTGATAAGGGCATCTGGCTTAAAATCCTGGATTGGTGGTTTGAAAATGACAGGCGTGTTGGTACCTTCTTGCTTCACATGCGCGTGGTATTGTGTCATCAATCCCTTCACCCAAGCAACGTTCTTGAAGAGATAAAGTTGAGATCCTGTCAAAAGAGCACCCCACTCCTGCCAAGGAGATCGTGTCTTCTTGCGCTTCGTTGACTTTCGCCACAAGACACCAACTTTTGTGACCTTGAGATCTACCAAGCCTATGGCCGATTCGCTGGGATTATCGCGAGTAGCTTGTGATTCAAAAGCAGCAGGTCTAGAACGAGCAGATATGATCTGGAGAACCGCGGTGTTCACGAAAGCCTTCTGCAGTTTCTTCATATCGAAGAAGTTTGCGGTGCCCAAGTAACTGTAAGGGTCTTCCATGGTGATCGACTCCTTGATCGGAGGGCGAAGAGTATCCAACTTGCCATCGCAGATCAACGCGTATGGATCGATGGGTCCGCTGTTCTTCCTTCCAGGATCGGGTATGCTACCCCGGAGCTTGCTTTTCTTCGGCTTGAAAGTCAGCAGGCGTTCTCCGTTGATGTCCACTTCTTCCTCGAAATGGATAAAGGGAGTGTAGCAAATATTGTCATAGAAGCAACCCAGTACATCGTCCGAGACATTCTGGCCACTAGTATTCTTGATGTAGTCATGTTTCTGCATCTTCCGCTTGTTGTTCTTGTTAAAGGCATCAGTATGCAGCATCATCAACGAAAAAGCGACGATATAAGCTTGATCAGGCGACATGAAAATGCCAGGATTACATTCGTGGTACCGGTCAGCAAGCGCTTGTATGACCCGATCCACTTGCTGGGTTTCCTTTGGCAGTTCCGCTTCCAGGAGGAACTTGCGCAACGACATATCGATGGGCTCTCCGAAGAAAGAGAACTTGCGACAGTAACTTCGCAGAACAGCTTGAGCGAACGGATCGGATGACTTTGATAATATGCCAGCAATAAGACTCCGTGACACAGCAGCCTGCAGTCGCTCCAGGTATTTTCCTGGAGTGTCGCCATCTTCGCGATCCGGTATGACCAGAGTTTCATGAACGCTTGGGGACAACGAGTTTGATTTCGAGTGGAATCCAGGTGAAGAGTTGCGATCTCGAAGATCTGAGTTGTGTCGAAAACGATTGAAACCGAGAAGCCCACCCAGACTAGTTCGTCCTGCAGTTGAGGTCGAGTTGCGAGCGCTGGATGACATAGGTGGCGTAGGAGGGGTGCGATCTTCTGATCTGCGTCCAAACGAACTTACGGTTGAAGACCTATCTCGCAGACCGAATCGACGTGGAGGGTGGAGTATTGGTGAAGAACCGTTTGAATGAACAGAGTTTCTCGAGTCATTCCGGAACAAAGGAGCACCTCCATGACCAGCAAGAGCTGCAATAGACGACTGTGCAAGTTGAGCGGGAGCGGGTGAAGAGGATAGGAACAAGCGCGGGCGTGAAGCCTCGGTATGGCGTCGTTGCAAAGCACTCAGAGGCGGAGGTCGTCGCTGTCTTTCTGGTGACTCGATGTTGGAGTGGGTTGAGATGGCGCTGGTCGATGGTCGAGGTGTGCCATGAGGGGTCTCTGTTCCTGCTGGAGGGTGGGGTGGGGACGACGATTTACCAGGTAAGGGGAACAACGACTTTTCCTTCTTTTTACGGCGTGGTAGTTTGAACAGGGTTGTAGTGGTGGAGATGGTATGAGTGGTGGTGGTCGTAGCATAGGTGACATGTTCTCCAGAGCTTCGTTGTTCTCCTGACGAGTCCGATAAGCGAGTGATAGGCAATGCCAGAGCCGAGCTGGATTCGTCACCGTAAGGTGGAGGTGCGACAGCGTCGGGCACCAGGCGGTCGATGTCTACAGAGCGGCCTCTGCGCCATGGTCGATGGTCTTCGGTGGATTCTCGACGTTGTTTCGACGGGCTGAGTTTCGAGATCTGGCGCTTGAACGGACTCTTTGATTTCCTCGGGCGGTGGACAGGGTGATTGTGTTCATCCATGGTGGGGGCGGTGGTGATGATTTGAGGGTTTGGAACAGGTGCTGGCAGATGGTTGTGAATAGGGGTGACGGAGCTGACGAAGATTGGTATACATACTTTGCGACTGATGCTGCAGCGGAACTTGGGGGACCGGAGGAGTTTTGTTGGAATCAGCATGTAGCTTTGCCTTGGCCGAGAGCTGACCGTCGGAGAAATGCCTCCATCGCAGCATGCTAAAGCGAGCGGTAGCCGGAGTAGCCGTCTGTACTGGCGGAGATGGCGGATCAAGACTGAGCACGTCGACGGGAGAGAGAGGCTCCTGAGCACTCATTGGGCGATTGGTGCTGGGCACAGGGGTGGCATAGCCCGAGGCCGAGTTTCGAGTTGGCGCATCTTCCTGAGTATTACTACGGATGTCGCTCAAGAGATTGTCCAGAGTACTGCGGCGACGCGACATGAGAGGCATGGCCGGCAACTCGCAGGCAGCGGATTCTCATTTGACGGCGTATCAGCAGCGCGTCAACGAGGAAACTAGGCGTGCATATGTCGAACGGGGATACAGATTGTAGATCTGATGGTTACTGAAGGGGTGCAGGAAATTGGAGATGGCGGGTCCGGGGGTAAACGAGCGTGTCTCTCTCAAGGAACGAATAGCAGACTTGTCACAGGCGAATTCGGCGAGATGCAGAGATTGGGAGCAGGAAATCAGATTGGTGTCAGTGATACAGAAGTCAGACTACGAGCAGGAAGCGTAACTGCCTCGTCAGCACGCACGAAAAGGTCCCACATCCCACTGAGCAGGGAAGGCACGAAGGATGTTGCCAAGCTGGGCCCGGTCCTGCCTCTCCACGCTTGGTCCATCATGATCCGCGCCTCCGCCCAAGCTGTGACTTTCTTCAATCCAACTCAAGTGACTGCCTACACAGAAGCATCCAACAATGCGCGCCTCGTCGTTGCTGCTGCTCGTCGTCTCGACTCTGCTGGCCCCGACAGCTTCAGCAGTGCCCTCATATCCTCAACCACCACCGCTTCCGCAGCAAACATCACATCGTCCGGCATGGCGCTCCGTCACCGACGCCATCGTTCGCAACATCTGGAGCCCGCCAGCAGACTCTCGACCTGAGCCTGTCGCCAATTCTCCTTCGCACCACAAGCACAGTGACGATGTCGTTGTTCGATTCAACATCAGCAATGCCCAGGACGCCTCAAGCCTCGCCGACGCTGCCGACACTCTCTTCCTCGACTTGTGGGAATTCACCGACGATTGGGTCGATATCAGAATGCAGAAAGACTTGATACCGTCGTTGCTCGGCCTGTTACCTTCTTCGCTACACCATTCCCACGCTTTGCTCATGGACGAGTTCGCTCTTCAAAATGCTATCTCAGATACATACCCTTCTTCCCGATCAACCCGTATGCTGCATCAGTCCAACGGTCCTACCCACCATAATGCTTTCGCTCCCAAGCTCGGGGTATCTTCGTCAGACAACATCTTCTTCAATGACTACCAACCTCTATCCGTCATCCTACCGTGGATGCGCCTCATGGCTTCCCTTTTTACTACCCACGTGCGTGTTGTGAATGTTGGCACTACCTTTGAAGACCGACAAATTCCAGCCCTGCGCATCGGCGTCCACCCGACCAACAATGATTCTCCCACGCGTCGCAAGACCATCATGATCACTGCTGGTCTTCACGCCAGAGAGTGGATCTCAACCAGCACTGTCAATTACATTGCGTACTCGCTCATCACTGGCTACGGAAAGAATCATGTCATCACTGCTCTTCTCGAGGAGTTCGACTGGGTCCTCGTGCCCACTGTCAATCCAGATGGCTACACTTATACCTGGGAGACCGATCGCTTGTGGCGCAAAAACCGTCAACAGACTTCTTTGCGCTTCTGCCGTGGACTTGACCTCGACCGAAGCTTCGATTACCACTGGGACGGTGCCGCAAACACAAAATCGAATCCCTGTAGTGAGTCTTTTTCAGGCTCCGAGCCCCTCGAGGCCATTGAGGCCAAGACCCTGGCAGGCTGGATCCGTAACGAGACTGAGCACAACAATGTTGACTTCGTGGGCCTGCTGGATCTGCACTCGTACTCACAGCAGATCTTGTACCCATATTCGTACACCTGCGACGACAGTCCTCCAAACGTGGAGAACCTACAGGAGGTCGCTGCCGGCCTGTCGAAAGTCATGCGTCTCTCAGGCGGACGCTACTACCAATCTGCTCCCGCTTGCGAAGGCAATGTCGGTTATGCCGCTACCGGCGACCGCCAAGTATTCCCTCGCTTCGAGACAGGCGGCGGCAGTTTCCTCGATTGGTTTTACCACGACCTGAAAGTCAAGTATACTTACCAACTCAAGCTGCGCGATCGCGGCACCTATGGATTCTTGCTGCCCAGGGATCACATTGTCCCTACGGGCAAGGAAGTCTTGGATGCTGTGATTTACTTTGGAAAGTTCCTGGGTGGCCAGCTTGACTTTGCTACTGCTGGAGATGAAGAGCAGAGTGATCGCGAGCAGACTGAGCAAGGCCAAGCCGGCGTGGATGAGATCGAGGAGATGATTGACGATGCTGACGAGGACGTAATGGTCGAATTGAGGCGGCGGAGATGAGCCTGTGTATGTAATCATAGTGTAGTACCAGTCTAATTATCCATCCTTCATGTCAATACTTGTCTGTTGCTCCCAACACCTCCTTGCCTTTATGTGCAGGGTCACCGTTGCCTCACACCACTACCCGTACAGAAACATGATCGTGATGCTGTCTTGTTGATTTCATATCTCTCAAGGGTATATAACGAAAGGCCTGTACAATCCCAATCCAACCCCAAAACACCATGCTGTTAGAAAACAAAGCAACGTTAGGCCCATCTTTCCTTTTCCCCCCTTCCTTCGTCAAACTCATAGTGACAATGCTAACTTTTCGCACACTTTGGACTCACGTGGTCTCTGCAGTCTTCGTCTGCAAATTCGGTGGCCGCCAGTCCATCAGATCAAAGGCTTCTTTGCTCCAGGGTCCAATGTCTTCGTTTTTCTTCTGTTCTGCTGCTATGGCTTGTGCGGCTCTTGTGGCTAGTACAGGGGCTGGTTTGACGATCGGAGGTTTGACAACCGCAGGTTTGACAGCTGGTGGTTTGACGACCAGAGGTTTGAAGGACCTTGCGTTGATCGAGCTGGTCGCTCTATCGGTTGGTCGCGACGACTGCTCTTTGCTTGGTCGCACAGATGGCTGAGCGATAGCGTCATCGAAGATAGGGTCATCAAAATCCTGTGCAGTAACATCTCCAAGCTGGAAATCAGCGAGCAAAGGATCTTCAGGCGAGTCTATTCGTGATAAGACAACAGAAGTCGTCTTTCTCAGGCCAGTGCCATTCGTACCCTTGTCCACAACAGGGCGCTGTTCAGTCACATCTGAGGAACTCCTTTGAAAGACAGGCTTCTTCTTTTTCTTCTCCTCGAACCTTGCAAGCCTTTCTTGTATGCGTCTCTGAAACACTGAACTCTCGGGGTCTTGATCGACTGCAGGTTCCACTCTCAAAGGCTCCTTCACTGAACCGCGCATAGCACCTTCCGTCATAGTCTCAGAGCTTGACGGACGCGAGTTCTGTGACTGGAACAGTAACATCTTTCTCGGGGCTCCACCGACAAGCTTCAGAGACTTTCCGCGCGCTTGAGACTCGGGGTTGACCACGGATGGTGGTTCCTTTCTCAAAGGCTCATCAGCTCTGACATCTGCGACCTTCTTCGTTGCTGGAACTCGCAAAACACTGACTTCCTTCCTTGGTCGGGCGGTGTTGGGCGCAGGTACAGGGTCGACATGTCTTGGCCGATCTGATGCTCTCGCCGAAGGAGACTCGACCACAGTTGGCTTCGCTGCTGTCGGTCGTCTATCGGTGGGACGCAAATGGTTGGACTGTACTTGGTGGTGCGCCGGACTGTCAAGCAGACGAGCAGGAGAGGACGTTGCCAGTAGTTCAGCATCAACGGCACGACTTGCAGCTTGCGCTGCCGAGACATCCTCAGTGTCGGAAGAAAGTTCAATAACTTCGGGCCCCTGGTTCAGGCGGGAGACAGGATTAGCCCGCGGTCGAGTAGAGATCTGATTGCGGTATTTTGCCGCCGTGGGTGTTGTCTGGACTGGAGAATCAAGCCTCTGTCGTTTGGGTTCTCTTTGATCCTGGGCTTCAGCAGCCTGCAAGTCCCTGATTCGTGCTTCATAGGGAGATTCTGTGGGAAGGGAAGCCTTGCCAATGGGCCGTCTTGACCTTCCAAGCAGAGTGTTGAGAGACTTGTGCTTCATTGGCGTTGTCGAAACAGCATGAGGAGTCCTGGGAGTGACAGATGGAACGGTAGGATGTGATGGTCCCGGTCGTATGAGCATTCGTGACGAGGCGGGGTTTTTAGCCGGAGTCTTGTCCTTTCTGTGCAACAAGTCTGAGAGGTCTGTCTGTATGGTACCTACCCTCTCAAACACTTGGACCATGATGGCACCTTTCTCAAGGGTCATCTCATCGCCCTCTTGAAGGTCATCGCCGCTGGTCCAGTGAAGGTCGCCGAGGAAATTTCTAGGAACATCGTAGACCATGACACGCTTGTTGAAAGTATGGTAGCGCAAAAAGCCATCTTGCCATCTCTTTTGCTTTCGCCTTAAGTCGTGGGTGTAAAGGCAGTTGAATTCATGAACTGGAGCAGTGTTCTGAGTCTGAGGGACCGCGAGATTTGGCGAACTACGCAGGACTGCTGCCGTCATGATCCTCGATAGTGGTCTGGTATCTCGGTCGTCGAATCCGTCATTGCGTAGAGAAATTGTGAGCAGTTTGAGGCTCGAGAGGCGTCGCTGCAACCAAGTCGAGAGCAGGCAGTAATTACATGGACCATTTGGGAAGCCGCGATCGATGGCCGCCCGCCGCAAGGAAAGTGCTGCTCTTGGCGCGTCGTCACGCGTCACTCTCGCGGAGTTAGGGCACGTTCCGCCCGTGATAGACAATTGAACATTGCGCAGGAAGCCATGCCAGTTTCATGACTTCATCCGCGAGATGAAATGAACATGGATTCCACTTGGACCTTGTGTTCAAAGCAGCCCAGCACCGCGCAATATAGACATTATATCATGGTGAATGCATGGTATGACTAGTGGACAATGCCTTGCAAGTTACAACCCGCTTGCCAGGTTCTGCCAGGCCGAAAGCCTTGGCCCCGCTCGCAATACACGTAGTCTCAACACCGACCATTCTCGGAATCCTTCAACTTGATTGTCCTCTCACTCGTTTTTCTCTTTGTATTGGTTTCTTCTTGCTCCATCATTCACGATGCAGAATGTGCAGCGCAAGTTCGGTAAATTGATGAAGCGGTCTGCCGACAGGTCAGATGTCGGAGGCATTCTTAGCGAGTTCAGCACCGCAGACCTAGCCCTTGGCAGCGTACGAGAGTACTGTACTTGCAAGTGATTGTACAGAAACTGACCGGCAAATTTAGTTCATCGACGCGACTAGATCATGGCGCGATGCTTGGGACGAAACTTTGAAAACACAGCTCTTTGTTGCCGAAACATTGCATTTGCTGTACAAGCCGATCGAAGTCGAAGATGATCCGGACAATCCTATGCAGCACAAACCTGCTCCCACTCCACGAAGATACCTGGATAAGGCCAGTGATTTGCAGTCAATTTACTCGAATCTTGGAAAGGATTTGAGCAATGAAATCAACTCCATCGAACCAAAACTTCTTAGGCCTGCCATGGATGCTAAAGATTCTCTCAAGATGCTCAAGAAAGCGATCAAAAAAAGAGAGGACTTGAAGGTCGGTCGGATCAATCACTCGTCCCACAGGTTCTGTTGACTAACCCTTGTTTGCCAGCTTGATTATGAGCGTTACAATTCGCGCGTGGACTCCGCTCAGCGCAAGGAGACAAGATCTGTCAGAGAAGAGAATGCTTTGGTCAAGCACGAGGGCGATCTTGCTCGCTCCAACGCCGTGAGTGATTACATGCCGATTTGGATTGGATGAGAACTCACAGACTTTCTAGGAGTACCAAGCTGCCGACGAGCAGCTCAGGAGAATCTTGCCTCCTGTCTTGGACGGCCTATCAACACTCCTGCCACATCTGCTTGCCATTCAGATCATGATTCAATACCAGCTGGTGGGCCAGATGTATACGCAACTCCATGAATATTGCCAGACGCACAAACTGCCTTCACCCGCTCCAGCTCTGGAGCAGGTCGTCTCGACATTTGAAAACGAGTTCACACCATTTCGCGAGGATCTCGAGCGTAATATCAGGACTATCTCGACTGGCAAAGCCATACACCAACCCATGAGTCTTCCTGACAAGCAGCAAGGCACTGTCACTGGACTTGGTCTACGCAACACTGCCAGAGGAACTTTTGCCAGGAGAACGAGCAGCCAAGGCTCGCTGCCTAAGCCTAGTATGCCAGGACAGTTGCGCATTGGATCAGCCGCTGTAGACGACAACGAGGAAGCACCTGTGAAGCCTCCCAGACCTGGTCGTATATCATCTAGTACCAGATTGCACTCTCACTACGAGGACAAGGCCACACTCAATTCGCACTACGAGGACGAAGAAGCCCCTCCAGTAAAGCCACCTCGACCCGGGGCCGCTCCCAATGTTGACATGGGAAGTAAACCACGAATCCCCTCGAGCTCCAAACCTACGCCGATGGCTACGCCGGACGGAAACACTAACGGTGGAGCACCCCGCCCGGTGTATTCTGCTTCCAGCACACCTAGCTCGACGTCGACGCCATTCTTGACACCTTGTTCCACATCGCAGCAGGCAGACTACTTTAGCCGAGAGCGCAGGACTTCGACGTCTTCAGGGACGTTCAGTGTCACGGGCAAGAAGAAGCCTCCACCACCTCCGCCTAAGAAGAGAATACCATCATCGCAAGGTGAGTTCGTTACGGCCATGTATGAGTTTGCTGGTCAAGGGTCGGGAGACCTGGCTTTCAGAGAGGGTGATAGAATCAAAGTGGTGAAAAAGACTGGGTCGACGGATGACTGGTGGGAAGGAGAGCTCAACGGGGTGGTGGGCAGCTTTCCTGCAAACTATGTCAAGGTGGGATGAAGGCAGGCTTTGTAGCAAACTAAGTCAAGAAGGAATAGAGTTGGGCAGCTGTACAGGAGGCTTTTTCAGTAGGGCAACGAAGAAGGTGTGGAAGAGGCTTGGCCGCACAAGATCTGCAGGGACGAGTTGTCTTGCTCGAGCCAAATCTAGCGGGAAATGGCGGGGATCGGCGCTTCGTCGTCATGGGATTTCGGTTGTTGGCGCGAGGCCGTCAGCGTGAATCGCGCTCTGAAACGACAGAAAGATTCGCATCTGCTGTGGACACGGAAACGATCAACACTGCGAATGTCCACGTCGCAAAAGACTCGGTGCTCGTCTCCCTTCTCCACCTTTTACAACCCACATCCGATAGCATTCTCCATACAAACCCGACACGACTCTCCATCTCCACTCCCCGTAAACCCCCACTATCAGACCCGCTACGACGCCGAAAGATTACCTCAGGCACCAGAAAATGGACTCTGTACTCCTCGACACGCCAGTGACCAAACCAGGACCGCCCAGGTCGCCGCCTCTAGCCTTCCAAAGGACGTCCAATGATGCACTCTGGGCTCCGTCGGCCAACCCACTGGTCATGCAGTCATTGTCGCAGGTCTCGTCGCCCTACTTCCTGGCCACTTCTCCCACCGAGGACGACATGCAAGCCCAGCTCGACAAGCTGAACGAAGCCTTGCGTCTACAGAACCAAGCTTTTGTTGCCGAGCGTGAGAGCTGGCAGATGGAGCGAGAGAGGATGCATCGTCGCGTCAGTGCCCTCGAAGCTCTGCTCAAGTCTCCCAATGGCCAAAGGTACCCTCCAATCAATACACCCAACACAGACGCGTAACTGACACCACTCTACAGCCCAGCACGCAGTCCTGCCATGTCCCCTCAGAATGGCGCGAGGCCCGCTGCTCCCCAACTTCCCAGCATAACTGAAGTCGACACTTCTCGCTTGTCTCCGGAACTGCCTCGTATCAAGAGAGACGCTGCTCCTGCTCATATCGACATACCCACCCTACAAGACGCCTCTGTCTTCGATGATGATGCGACTCTAGAGGAGGTACTACAGGGCGATCTCCCGGCTTCTCCACCAGCCACCCGCAACATCCTCAGCCCTCCGCCACCCGCCAACAGGAGACATGCCGGTCATACTCCTCTCAAGGCCCCCCATCCCGGTGAATTCAGCCCTGCCCTGAGTACCCGCTCAGACAAGGTAACCGACACGCCAACCCGCTCGAATACTCTTATGAACGAAGTCATGTCACAGGATGACGGTGCCGATGAGGATCGCCCGCTAAAAGGGCCCTTACACATGCCTTCGCTACCATGCAACCCGGGCGCCGAAAACTTTACCATGGACATGCTGGATGCAAAACTGAAGGACATTTCTGAGCATCCAGAAGAAAACGAACCTCTGGTCTGCAAAAGCACCCTTCTCGCTGCAGAAGAGGAACCTTCCGAACCTTCGTCTGCTCCCGGAGAGAAAGTCGACTCGGCCAGCGACGAGTCCAGGGACAAGACCGAATCGACGTCTACAGAAAGCAAGGACAAGGGCAATCTAGACGAGGGTATCCGACTCCGTACAAAGCCAAGTTCAAATTTCGGTGCACCCCTTGGCTCAATGGGTGGATGCGGATGGAGACGTTAGGACGACTCTCTTGTTTTCAGAAACAAGCATGGGCTGGTTACCATGTGTCTCTGACTCACGAGTCTTTTTTGCTTCATTTCATTCTTATCACAGCCTTTGCATTAGAGATTCCTATTCGCTTGCATAGAAAGGGAGAAGAGAAAATAGATTTTCTGGGTTCGGTGTTTTTTTTTTTTCCTTTCTTGCTCTCTTTTTGGCTTAGCCACTTTCCGGTTCCCATACTGATACCCCCCTTTTACAACACCACATCTTTAGATCCTCAACGTGCTACAAAAGAGCCAGGCAGCGATTGCCAATAGATAGAAACAGCAGGAACTGCTGGGGCTTCTTTTGAGGAATGCAAAGAACATGTTCTGGGTCTCTTGGTGGCCTTTTCACCACTTCATCCCTTGCTTCTGTCAAGCCTTTCTTCCTAATCTTCCCACGAGCTCAACGCTTTTTCACATGCAACGTCTTACATTCTTTCGAGAATAGAGCACGCGTGCCACATGTTTTGCTTGACGATGCTTGACACTTGACTCGATAGTCGCGACCCTTTGCTTTGACACGCAACGAGCCGTGTTTCTGGTAAGTCAGGTCCTTGACCTCTTTTACATGCACTGGTCTCCAGATCAGGCTACGGCAAGGCTAGACAGGCATGTAATTTGTACGACTCTGGTAGAAAAGTAAGGATGTCAAAGATGGATATATGGTCCTTTGCTCTCTGGTTTCGGCAGAAGTTAAAAAAAAATCAGCCTCTACAATCATTCTCACCTTTTGGGTTCTTGTTTTCGACTCGGAAGTGATCTCGTCAAGCTTTCAGGGCTTCCCTAACTCTTTCTCCAGCCTGAATATTTGAAAATAAGGCTCTTGCCACGAGGCTCTATCCCAGTCGTACCTGAGGCCAAGGATGAATCCGAAACAGCTATCACGACTTCTACTTTTCGTCACCATACTATCATTGTTCACGCTCTATACCTCTGCAGCACCGACGTCATTTGCAGAAGTAGAGGAATCATGGCAGAGAGGTCTTTCTGAGGTATGTATCTCTCATTGATCGATCCCTTTTCCTTTCCCTCCAACACAGCCCTCTTCTCCCCTTCCGTCTTTCTTGTTTTCTCCCCCCACAAGATCATCACATACTAATTTGATCAAAAAATCAAGAGAGACATACACAAGGAAGCAACTCAACCCCCCACGCCATCCTACCACTCTCACCTCAATTCGCCTTCAACTCCCGACCATCTGTCCCTGCATCGTCGCAACAAAGATACAGATGCAGAAGACACAGAGTTTGTGGGCATGTTGGATGCAAGAACCATGGCGGTGAGAAGGAAATTGCATCGAGTGATTGGAAAAAGAGGTGGCTTCTATATATTCGCACAAAAGGTTAGGATTTACGAGGCAGAGACAGAGGACAAAGAGGTGTTGAGGCCCGTGAAAAACAGACGGTGGCAGTTTTGAGAGAGGCAATGATTTGGGTTCTGGAAGACCCGCTCTGACTATCGTTTAGTTGAAACAGTAGAAACCGAGCGAGAAGTATGCTTTTTGGGTTTTATGATACCGAACACCCTTTTTGACGGCCTGGGTCTTGATGAATGAATCTCTCTCACGATTAGTTTGGCATAATGAGAAGTTCCTTGAAATTATGATTGGATATCTGAGTTTTTGTGATGTAGAATCATTTCTGGTTTGTTTGATTATATTAATGCCGTTGATCTCGTGAATCCTTAAACTCCCACCCCTCTCAAAAGTTACGAGTGATCACCTTCTTCTCCGAAAAAATAACCACGAAACAGAAAAACAACGCCTGGTATATGAGTAGAGTGAGTGCCTGCCAGACGACTGCGAGAAACTCGTCCATCTACAAGGCCATGGTGTTGTCGTGGTTGATGCCAGGGGTGACACTGGCCATGAACTTGAGGAAGACGACAAGGTACTGATCAATGCGAATAGCGACCTCGTCATCCTTGCCCTCATCAGTCAAAACCTCCCACTCATCGTTCTTCTTCTCCTCACTCTTCTTCTTATCCTCATCCAACCTCAGTCCACTGGTTTGATCAACCAAGCCCTCCATACCTTGACTCGAAACCTCTTGTCCATTCTTCATCTTCTGGATTCGCAGTTTGAGAGCAGCATCGGCGCGGTCGAGTAGGATTTTCATGACGCTGGCGTGGCGGCAGGGATGAATGGAGGCGGTTTTGATGGGCGGAGAGACAAAGTTGAAGTCCTCGAGGGTGACGGTCTTGTCTTTGTAGTCGCCGACGATGTCTTCCATCATGGCCAAGGGCGGGAGGGGTTCATTCGAGGATGAGTATCCGGAGAGATAGAGTCGTGGTGTCATGTAGTATGTGGAGTAGGTTATGTAGATGGTGTAGTAGCGGCGGGTACTAGAAGTCAAGAGGTTAGCGATGGCTTGATGAAGCGTCACGGCGAAAATGGGCTCACTCGGTCTGGCCGTCTTGAGCCTTGGGGTCGCGGATGATGGCTTCAGGGTCATCGTCTTCATCCTCGATATCGGGGACATCTTCTTCGTAGTCACCGCTATCTTGCTCGACATGTCCATCATCGTCAACGGTACGGATGTCGCCTGGACAGGACTCTGGCTTATTGAGATCACCGCCGGTTCTCAACCAGCCATCGTCGTCGTCTCCAGTGGGGTCGAAGGTCTCGCCCTCCTTGACCAAGTCGTCAAGGCCTTCCCTGCCAGCAAACTTGTCGTCGTTGAGGCGTCGCTTGCATTCGACACCACGAGTGACGAGGTACTGCTTGTTTTCAGGCAGATGCGAGACACGCTGAGCAGAGGTGGCAGCGGCAGACCATGACCACGAAGTGAATTTGCTTGTGAGGAAGTCTCCAGCCAGAACGAACTCGTCAGGTGTGAGCTTGCCCGTCTCGCGGAAGTTGGAGGTGGTCGAGGGTTTGGCGTAGTCGCGTATTGTGTCAAGCGCGCTGTGGATGTATGAGTACATGGTTGTGTGTGTTGGTGATGAGGATTGGAGATGAAGATCCGAGGTGGAGGAGGGAAACAGAGTGGAGGATGCGAGACAAGACAGAGCGGTGGGTGAATCATCAGGGTTGTCCTGATGAGCGGGGCACCCCGGCGATAACAAACACCTGACGCCTGATAACTCCACCCTCATTATCTGCCTATTCGCGTCACATTCTCAATCATCACAAGGCTGCCGTTTGCACTGACACGAAAGAGATGAGAAACCACTGCTTCGTATCTGTTTCGCTTGTTTTGAAATACAGTATAGACTTGGTTGCTCTCAAGTCAACATGAGATTGCTCATCTGAAGCTGGTACCGACCATCATGATCACCAGATATGCATATTCTCTCACAACTTGCCCTCACGTCTCAGGCCCTCGTACATAGCCACAGCAGCCAATGCCTTGCTGTCCCTGCCTCCCTCGCGGAACAAGTTCTCCAGTCTCACTACCTTCAGCGTAATCTTCTCACCGTGATCGCGCAGTCCTGTCAACTTGCCCTGCCAATCCTTGAGCTGTTTGCGTGGAATGCGCTGCTGGTGTAGGAAGACAGGCACAAATTCATCACAGCCGCCAGCAGAAGGATACATTGCCTTTTGCAACTTCTCTCCGTCCGAAGTCTCGTCTTCATGGCCAAATGTGAGCTTTGTTAGGTCAATGAGTTCGTCCTCTTTGATCTTGAGGCCCGTCTCCTCTTCAATCTCTTTGGCGGCTCCTCCAGAGAATGTACCTGCATCGTCCAACATACCCGCCGGAAGCTCTGGGAAACAGAGCGATCCAGCTGGGATACGGGGCTGTACGGTAAGCAGTACGTGCTTGTCTTTTTCAGAGCCCTCGTCCACATCATCAGGTTGTAGGATAAGCTGTGAAACCTGTCAATGAAACGTGTTGTGGCTTTGTCACCTTTGTACTGTGCACACTTACCAGCATAGCAACACTGCCTCCTCTCAAAAACACAGAGCCAGGGAACTTTTCTCCATCATCATTTGTCACTTCTGCCTTGAACTTGATGAACCCGATTCGTTCTCCGCCGAAAAAGTCGACGCTTTGAATGTCGATCTTTCGGAGCTTGTAGGGCTTGTCGTGAAAGGTGTGGTTCTTCGATTCTTGTTGCTTGAGCGAATGTTGAAGAGTTTCTGACCATGTCTTGAAGGCTGGGAAGGAAAGCAATTGCTCTTTTGTGAGGTCACTAGTCAAGTGGACTGGGCACTCGGGTGAGAAGCCAGGCAGTGTGAATGTGCTCATGATTCTGGTGTTGAATGTATGTCTTGTGGGCAATCTGCTCAGTTGTCGAGAAAAGTTGACGTTGACAGTAAATGGAGCTGATCTGAGGAGCATGTGTGTGCAGTGTAAAGGTAAAGACGCATGGTGTTGCGAGTTGATTGAATGTATGTCATGACGTAAGTCAGGCACTTTTCAAAGTGATGCTCTACTTTGCTCAGTCGACAACGAATCGGAATGACAAAGCGACTTATTTACTTATGAAAATGAATGGTTCGGTCATGCTAAGATATCGATTGTTCTAATACACTGGGTATGATGCTTTGGACTGTTGTTGTGTATTTTGGAATGAGACACACAGAGAATGTGACGAGGCTACAATGTACAAGCTGTGTTCAGAACAAGAAATACTAGATTCCTCCCTCAGCGGCTCTTGACGGCAACAACAAAAGAATGCTGAGCTGCGACAGAGCTCTATGAGTCTGCCATAGTATCTCGTGATATGAATCACGTTGCCTATGACCTACAAACACAACCTGGGAGGGCTTCAATCGAAAGGCAGGGTCATCCCCCTTGATGATTAGACATGGTCAAAAACAAAAGATCTGTGTCTACATTGATGTTAATACAGCTGAGAATATTTGACCTAGAAGCCACCACTCATCTCAGATAGCGCAAGCTTCATCCTCTGGGGGTTCATCTTTTCAAACCGATCGACCGTCATCACAAATGTGCCCCTTCCTTGGGTCAGACTGCGCAGGTGTTTCAAGTATCCCACCATCTCTTTGAGAGGTACTCTTGCTACAATCTGACGCGTCTGGCTTCCTACACTGACAGATCCTGCGCCAATACTTGACGCCGAGCCACCGAATGGATCAGGTGGTGAGTAGATTCTAGTCGGATCAATCTCGATGTCGTCTCCTGAAGCATCGGTTTCGTCATCAGCGCCGAGAGATACGACTTGTCCTCCTCTGGCAGAACTGATGTCGTGCACGACGCCTCCAAGACTAGGCTCGTCTACGGTGATTGTGACGTTCATGACGGGTTCCATCAATGCGGTGCCGGATCCAGCGTCTGCTGCCTCGCGCAAAGCTTTCTGTACAGCAAGGCGAGCAGCTGAAGAAATGGCAGCGGCATTGGTGGTTTGGAAGAGATGCTCAGAGGGGTCGAAGGTAATGGTAATCTTGGTTGAGTGGAGAGGATAGCCATGCGATGGTCCACGGGCGAGGGCTGCTGTAACACCTGTCTGCATGGCTGATTGAAGCATCTGCATTGGTAGGGTGGAGGGTAGAGGAGGGAGCTCAGATTCGATTGCAGAACCATCTGGGTAGAGCGTCGGGGTGTTGAGAACCAGATAGTTGTTGTCCAGTAAGGCGAAAACATGTGTGTGGTCGTCAGCTGTCTCCAGCTCTGTTTCCTCAAATGGCATTACGCTCGCAGTACATCCAGCCTTAGATGCCTTACCAGCCACTTCCCTGTCGAAGACTGCAGATGCATCGGATGAAGGAGCGGAGAGGACTTCGCGGTAGCCAATCTGAATGTTGCCAATTCTGGCCTTTGCTTTGAGGTCGTTGATGAGTCTGTCGCGAGCAATCTCCAGATGAAGTTCGCCCATACCAGCCAGGTGAGTCTGTCCACTTTCAGGATCTTCTCTCACATTCAAACTGGGATCTTCTCGAAGCAAGAGTGCCAACGTCTCAGAGATGTGCTTCTCCTCAGCCAAGCTGTTTGGCTCTACACTCGTGAAGAAGACAGGCGGGGGAACAGTGATCGGCCTTAGCTGCAAAGTGTTTATCGGTGAAGGAGGACCGACCTTTGGGTTCACTCCGCTGTACAGAATCAATGTATCGCCTGTACGTGTAGACTTCAATCCGGGGATGACTCCAATCTGACCTGCCTCGATGGAGGAGATCTCGACAGCCTCGTCCGCGTACATCCTCAGCAGGCGAGGAGCCTTCTCAGTGATGCCGAGATTAGTATTGAAAAGGGGAGCATTCTTTGTAATCGACCCAGAGTATACTCGAACGTAAACCAGAACACCTCGGCGTGGGTCGGTGACTACCTTGAATGCCAGAGCACAGGCTTCAAGACTCTTGATGATAGACATGTTCTTGCTCGCAGCCAGCGCTTTGGTTTTTGGTTGCTTCTTGGCCTCGATCGTTGCGGGCAAAGCAGTCTTGCCCGAAAGGAGATCGTTCAACCCATATTTGGAAGGACCGACACTAGCTTCAGGATCCGGTCGCTCCTGTGGCGAAGGAAGGAGGTCCACGACCGCATCTAGTAGTGGCTGGACACCAACATTGCGGAAGCTTGCACCTGAAAACACAGGCACAAGTTTTTGTGGTTGCTGTAAGGTACATCTTCTAAGACTTTCTGTGATATCGACTGACGGGATGGCCAGATGATCTTCGTCGTGCTCGAGGAACTTCTCAACCATCTCATCGTCATGCTCACTCAGCAGTTCAACCAAAGCAATTCTTGCTTTCTTGATCTCTTCTGCGAAAGCCGAGTTGTCGGCTTCTAGGCTCTTGAGGGAAAACACCCTGAGTGCCTTACCGTCACCACCTTCTTCGTAGAGCAAAGCACGAAGTCCCACGGCATCACCGACACCCTGAAGCTTGAGATCACCAGGCCGCCACCATGGAATTTGACACAGTGCGGGCCAGACACGTAATCGTGTACCTATCTCAGATATGGTTCTCGCAAAAGCAGCGCCCTCGCGATCAAGCTTGTTGACGAACAAGATCTTCGGGATTTGGTATTGCGTTGCTTGAGTCCAGACCTTTTCAGTCTGCGCTTCGACACCGGCGACACCATCGAGAATACAAACAGCACCATCCAGAATACGCAAAGATCGAAGGACTTCGAAAGTGAAGTCAGCGTGACCAGGGGTATCTATGAGGTTGATGTTATGGCTTTGGGTAGAGCGTGGCAAGACAATCTTGTCCGACGAGAGATTGGTAGCTGACGAAGCCGCTGGTGGCCAGGAGAAGGTAACAGCTGCTGATTGAATGGTGATTCCTCTAGCACGTTCGGCAGGCAAAAAGTCCGTTACGGTAGAACCTTCATCGACATCTAAGGAATATTCAGCACATGAAATTTGAACTGACCGAAAACAGAGAGCAACGACGAGAATGAAAAAGGGATAGCCAAATGCATATACTAACCTCCCAGTCTACGAGTGAAGCCACTGTAATAGAGCATACGCTCTGTGGTTGTAGTTTTACCCTTTTCCAGACTCAGTACCTACATTCCGAAAAAGTCTATGTTGCGACGTACCGCATCGATATGGGCTATGATGCCAATGTTACGAGTCTTTGTTGTGGCTAGATCATTGCGACGGGGTGAATAAGAGGCAAAAGATCTAGCAATTATGGATGCAAGAGACTTAGCATTGTGGTGAAGACGGCGACACGGCCATTGTGATCTTAACAGCATCACAGAGCAATTGTCAGACAATAAACAGATCAATGACCTGCAGCAAAAACAAAAGATGACTTTTGGCAAGTTGGTGGAAAAATCAACAGGCACCAGTTTGGAGATGGACATGTTCGCGGCCCTCGGCTCTTGGCAGGTGCCGGTCTGGGGCAGGTGCGATGTCATGGTCTCGGGCAGGTGCGCTCCATCGACCACTAGCATTTCCAGCGACCAGCCAGACCTCGAACACCGACTATGGATTATTCTTCGGCCATAGCCAACGATGCAGGTCGTGATCCGTGGGCCTCATCGCCCCAGCACGACCGCTCTACCTTCCAGCAACCCAACAATAGCCACGGCGCGCAGCCTACCAACTCGTTCACACACCAGCCTCCGGCTCCTGACGGCGACGACGAACACCACGACGAGAACGCTCAATTACCTCCCCAGAACAATCAGTATTCCTCGCAACAGCCTCAGTCGCAGCCCTATGACAACTCGACCCGCCATGAGCCTCAGCGCTACCACCAGACTCGTCCGCAACACCCCCCTCAGCAGCATAGCCACCTGCAGCAACACCAACTACCACCACAGAGCTATCAGCAACAGCAACAACAGCAGCAGCTACAGCCTCAACAACCGCGAAAACAGTACAAGCTTCAGGCCAAGATTACCGCTCTAGAGCGAACCGGTCGCAAGGACCCCGTCTTGCGCTTCGACGTCTATGTATGCTGCAACCACAAAGTGCTGCCTGCACTCAGCTGACACGATATCCAGACAAACTTGCCCAAGTTCCGCACCACTCAATTCCGCGATGTACGACGTACCCATTCCGAGTTCGTCAAGTTCGCCGACCATCTCATCTCGTCCAACCCCGACGCCTTTGTACCCGCCGTTCCCCCTCCGCTCACTGCTGCTGGCGTTGGTACTGAGGAGGATGAAGTAAGAGTCAAGGCTTCAATGCAGCGCTGGCTGAACACTGTCTGCTCCAACAACGTTCTCATGCGCGATGAGGAGATGGTCTTCTTTGTCGAGAGCGACTTTGGCTACAGCCCTGTTGTCAGACGCAAGCAACCCGCTACTGGTGTTCGTCGCAAGTACATCAAGCAGTTTGCTCCTCCTCCTGATGACACCCCCGAGCTTCTCGAGGCTCGTCCTGTCGTCAAGTCTTTCTATCTCGGAACCATGGATCTTGGCCAGAAGGTTGACAAGGTCGTCAAGTCGCGTAGAGGTAGGCAGCTACATCTTCTGATATTCGATCTACGTACTGACTTTTGTAGCTCTTGGTCTGGCAGAATCCGACTTCGGTGTCAAGATGGGGCACATGCAGGTTCAGGAAACACACACAGGTTTGGCCAATGCCTACAAGAAGTTAGGCAAGGTTGTCCAAGCTGTTGGCGACTACCACGCTGCTCAGGGTACCGCTGAAGCCACCACCCTGGCCGACCCCTTGCAATACCACTCCAGCGATGCCTTCATCGTCAAGGAAACTCTCACCAACCGTCACATCCTCCTGCGCGAGCTGATCCAAGCACAACAAGCTACTCGCAGCAAGACAAGTGCCGTCGACCGACTGAAGTCTTCAACCTCGGTCAAGCGCGATAAGGTCGACGAAGCTCTCGCCGCTCTAGACGAAGCCCGATCGCACGAGTCGCACCTCAAGGAAAAGACCGATCGCGTGACAGAGAATCTCGTCCACGAACGTCGTGCCTGGGCCGCTCGTACAACCTCTGACCTCCGCGCCGCCCTCCGCGAATACGTCATGCGCGAGATCGAAGCAGAACGCCGCACCCTAGCCACACTCGAGCAGGTCCGCCCAGACGTCCGCAACATCGACGCATCAGGCGGTCTCTCACGTCTCGGGCGCGAAGCCCATCCCGTGGTCCGTCGCACCAGTCTTGCCAGCAGTCAGGGACCCAAGGGTGATGCATGGAGTGGTGTTCCACGCAGACCAGATGGTCTGAACCGCAGTATCAGCGGCAGCTTTGCTGGTACAGGTACTGTTCCTGAAGACGCCGAAGCCGAGCAAGCTGAGGAAGCCACGACGGGAAGGAAACGCGCGACTAGCAGTGCAAGCAGCCTGGGCCGTTTGGAAGAGGACGACGAAGATAGAATCGATGCGAGAAATGCTGCCAGCCGACTTGCACAGACGACGTTTTAGATAGGTTTGGTCTGACATAATTCGTGTGTCGTCATCCTATCCTCCTTGTAGATGTAGTCAATGTGTTCAACTTTTTTCCCTCCTCCAATGTTTCCCAGATCTTCTCCAGCGGTTTTGTCAATGACAGCACAAAATTAGGAGAATAGTAGAGTAGTGTATAGAGCCACGAATTTGATGGATCTAAAGCAAGGGTCGGTCTTCGAGCGAGCCATTTAAAGAAAGAACGTTGGAGTGCGAGATAACATTGATACCTTTGGCCTGAACTCAACCTATAGTGGTGTCCAGGTTGAAGAGTGTCAGGGGAGTCATCTGGTGGAGGTGTTCAGGACCAGTCCACCAAGGTGATCGAGTACTCGGATCCGTTCACACCAGATAGAGCCTACAAGATAAGCAAGGGAGCACAAGCGAGGTCATTTTCAGAACAGTTCATACGACATTTGTCTAGGCAAAGGGCTTTCGTAGAAACAAAAGCCACTTCTGCATCTTCTCTCGCTTTGGTCTCGAGGTTGTTTTTGGACAGCCAGATGAAGTTTATATCATTTTCTTCATATTTCTCTCATCCTTCCCGTTCGGCAGGGCCAGCCACATGGTAAAAGACCATTGACCAGTTGGGAAACATCGACTTTTTGGTTGTGCAAAAATTTGGAATCTCATTGCCCCTAATGCCGATAAAAAGAAACTCCCCTGAATCAATTGCCTGACCTTGCAACAAACGCGCTTTATCGTTTTTGTGTCATTTCAGATAATTTTGATCAACCCCGTTCAAAAGGTCATCGTTTAGGCGGAGGCGTTCTGGGGGCCCTTGGCGCCCTTGGGGGTGCCGGAGCGGAAGCCGTTGCTGAACTTGCGGGAGACGAGCTTCAATGAGCGCATGCGGCCGGTACCGGTGGTCTTTCTTCTCTTGGCCTTCTCGCCCCAGTTGACTGTATTGCAATGCATGTCAGAATATGTGTCTCTCATGTGTCAAGGGAGCAGTATGTATGATGGTTCGGGTGCGTGGAATTGATAGGTCGAAGGACGTCGGTCGGTTGTTCGTAGACCAGAAAGGTAGTGTCGAGGATGTATTGATCGGAGGTAGAGGAGCAGGTATGGGATCGGAAAAACGTACACTTTCTGATGCTAGCGCTGGGGTAGCCGCAGTTGGAGCAAGTGTGCTTCTGGACGTGGAGAGAGCGGGAGCCTGTATTCGGTCGTCCGTCAGCATTTCGGTTCCGGAGGAGATTGGTCGGACGCAGTCGTCGTGGTCGGTGATGGGAGTTGCATACCGCAGCGTCTGCACAGAACGTGCGTCTTGTTGTGGCGCTTGCCGAAAGATCCAGTACCCTTGGCTGCGCGCAGAGTGTTAGTTATCCAGATCCCATCGCTCGAGCAGAATACACGGGCAGCGACTAACTCATTTTGAAGTATCGACTGTGCGGCTGGCTGTGAGAGGGTCGGTCGTGTCGCTGTCGAGAATTCTCAAGTGCGTGGAGTTGCAAATTCGCGGTAGTGCGTCGCCCGACCGCTTCGGTCTTGGCAGCTTCGGTAGATACTCGGCTCCACCATCGCTCCTTCCTTGACCGTACACTCTCCAACATCGACACATTCTGTACAAAGACACAGTGATCTGTTGAGAGTTGTAAGTACGTCGCTCTTCGATGGATCTGGCTCTTCACTCTTTTCTTCACCATGCGGTATGCTCTGTCTTCTTCTGAATGCCGGCCCTCAACACATGGTCATCACGATCAAGTAATTTTGGTTGTGAATGTACTGCACATGCTCTTCTGTATAGACTCGCCTCATCGTCGGAAGTATTCCCTCTAGGCATCTAGCATTTGATCACTCATGTCAAGGATCAATTTCTGAAAAGTATTGTGTCTGGGTTTGCCAACATCTACATATCATTCAGTCCTCTCATTCGTCACTAACGCATCGTACTTTTGCTCGATGAGCAAACCGAACATGCTGTGCTTTAGAAGCAGCTTGGCTATTCTTCGAATTGCTTCTCTCCTCGCCAACCCATCAAAACCATACATGAAAAGAGGTATACGTCTAGAATCGAAAAAAGGCCAGCCCCCATCCAGAAAGGTAAAAGTACATAAAACATTATTTGGCAACAATGGCCTTACATCGCACTTGGGTAACGACCAGGAGGAGTCAGTCCAGTGGGGTTGGGACGAGGCATTCCTCCTCTACCACGACCGCCTCGAGATGGGCCGCGCATACCAGGCAACATAAAGTCTGGGTTTTGCCCAAGAATCATATCGTTTTGCTCGTTTCTGCGCTGCTGTGGAGCGCCGGTTACCGACCCTGGGCCGTAGCCTGGTGGCGGACGCCAGTTGGGGTTGACACCACGCTGACTAACTGATGTGAAGTTACTGGTATCGGACATGGCAGGAGAAAGTGCACCCTCGATGTTCTCGTATGAGCCGTCTCTTTGCAGAGTAGGCCCTTCGTGATCTTGACCAAAGTTCAGGCGATCGGGTGTAGGGTGACGCACAGTTGGTATCTGCGGACCGGGAGTCAAGGTTGTTGGAATCGGAGCGCCCACCATAGACGACTCGTCAGGAGCAGCGAAGCGAGGGTCTACGTCTTCGTAGTATGATTCAGAACCAGCGCGTCTGTGACGAGAATTTGTTGGTGATGCTTGAATAGGCGAGAGAGGAGGTACAGAGTTCATCTGAGCCGCCGGTGCGGGAGCGTGTCTGGGAACAGGAGGTGCGTCCCAGCCAACTCGTGGCTGCACATATGTCCTGTAATTTGAGTCAGAATGCATTCGATAAACATGGCTTCGGAAGACTTACGATTCTGAGTAAATGCTTGAAGGAGTGACTGGCTCACCACCACTGGGTTGTCTCTGGTTGACGGGCGTAATGTCTCTGCGTGGACGTGGCAAGGGCTGACCTGCGCCAACCATTCCAGGCATATTGTGTTCACCGTAGTTGGTGGGCGATTGGATGGCAGGACTACCAGTCCTCTCGTCCATCTCGATAGCTTGACCGATAATCTCACCGTCCTCGGGAGAGCCATTTCTGCGAGGGAAGGGGCCGACACCAGGAGGAGGAAGAGGATCGTTGCTGTAGCCTGGGGGAGGACCGCGCTGGCCACGACCCATCATTGGACCAGCCATAGGGCCGGGACCAGGACCGAGGCCCATACCTCTGCCTTGTGGACCGTTCCAACCAGGAGGTGGTGGGCCACGCATACCTTGAGGACCGCCTCTGCCAGGGCCGGGACCGTAACCACCCCTCGGGCCTGGGCCGAATGAGCCACGAGGACCATAGCCACCTCTAGGAGGACCAAAGTTTCCGCGAGGAGGATAGCCGCCTCTGCCACGTCCATAGCCAGGAGGAGGAGGTCCCATACGGTTCGGATTCTGAGACTCGTGTGCGCCATCAGAAGTTTCACGCATCAACATGATCGGAGGCTGGGCATTCTGTTGCATGTTGTAAGGATCAGTGGGTTGAGCAGGCATCGGGGGAAGCTCATCGTCCATAGGACGAGCGCTGGGAGCAGTATTGTTGCTGTGGAGAGACGGCGCTCTAGCGTTGAGTGGAGCACGGTCATCACTTCTTCTTTCGTTGCTCTTGGTTTCGAAGGATGCAAACTGAGGCCCTTTGTTATTGTCGAACGTGCCGTTCATCGGTGGAGGACTGTCTGCTCTGGGCAGCTCATCGGCCATCAGGCGCTCATTCTGCATATTGTTCATATTGTTGTAGTAGTTGGCACCATTCATTTCGGCGTTCTCAGCAATACGCTTCTTGCGAGCCTTTCTCGATACCAGAGTCCTTCTCATGGCGCAGGTAACAACGCCCGAGGCAATGATGAGAATGGTGGCTGCCAGAACGATCCATCCTCCCCACTGCATGTGCGGAACGAACAGCAGAATGTCGACCAGGAAAGCCAAGAGAGCAACCAGTAGGGTGGGGAATGTCAGGATGAGAAGAGCCAGCAGATAGCGAGGAGAGTGGGCGGGCGAGTGGAAGTGAGCGGCCACAGCCAAGCCGAAGCAAATGAGGGTCAGGAGAGCTGCGACGGGATGGACGATGAGGATGGACGAGAGCGAGGCTCGGGTACTAGACGGCAAGGAGAACTCGTTGTTGTCGGCGGCTGAAAAGAGTTTGTCTACAATATGAGTTAGAAAGGGGTGTTGTCGCAGGCTGTCAGATGCAGCATACCTGTGTCATATCCGACTCTCATGCCGCTGCATTTTCCATTCTGGCAATAACCAAAGACACCAAAATCAACACCATCGAACTGGGCCAAGGGGATGGCTTGGATAATGGGCGTCGAAAGGGTGCTTAGCAACAGCAAGACGAAGGCGACGAAGAAGAGGATAGAAAGCGGAGTCGCTGGCCGCAGCATGATGGGCGGCTCGAGAATCGACCTTGTATGAAGTAGGCGAAGACGACGACGACAGCGGTATTATAGTAATGTACGCGTGGGGTGGGTATAAATGTGCTCCTGCTCCAGAGCGAGTGTGATCTCTGAGCTTATGCGCTCGAGGCAAGAATGAAGGAGAATGGAGGCGCAGCAGGAAGCACCGCGTGGATTAAAGGAAGAGAGTTTCTTGAAAAGCAGCAGATGTGAAGGAGAAAACGCGGCCAACAGATGTCGTCGCAAGACACGGCGCAACCAGCACGTCGTTCGTGGGCAGAATTGGAGAAGGGGGGCTTGAGTTGTGGCGTGCAATCGAGGCAGGCCTAACCACCGTAGCTTTCCCATCTTCGACCTTCTTGTCCCCTCTCCACACCAACGACCAGCTCGTGGCAGCCCGGCCAACGCCAGTAGACCCGTTGCCGCAGACTTGTTGCTGTGCCCGTCCTTTTCTTCGCTTCTGCATCGCCTGCGCAACTGGCTAACGTTCATCCTCTTCCATCTGCTTCTCTCCACTTGCAACCATCAATGACATCTGCGACGTGCGAGATTCATGCCGTCTCGAGTCCATCATGAGCACGCGGCACCCCCAGAAGACGCGAAGCCACTAACTTTTCCTAGTCCAGCCTCAATCAAACTTGATTTGATGTGCTGCGCCATATCTCATCTCTTATCCATGTCGCAAATAATCTCTGTTTCGCATTACATTCTGGTCTGCATGGTCTTCAGCCAGGCTGTATTGGTTCAGACGTCTGTCACTTCCTTCGACACAACTCTCGTCTTCGTATACGTCCTTCTATCTTGCTTCTGAACTTCTCTCGAACCCCTCACGCTCACTAGCTTTAACCTTAAATCCCCGCAATATCTGCTTTTTGACGACCCCTTTGGCACGAGCGAGGAAGGCCGGCTTGGCCTATCAAGCCCAACATCAGCCAACGCATGTCTCCTTTGATGGATTCGTACAGATAGCCGACTGCCAGCCGCTTCTCACCCGCTATCACGCGAGACCAATATCTGCAGCCGGAGAGAACAATTCATATAGGCACATAAAGATCAGCCCGAAGCTGAAACGATCATCTGCAAGCGTGCTGTCGAATCGAGACTAAGGCAGGTACCCTCTTCTTAATATCATATTCGCTCTTCCATCAACCATTGTTGAAACGCATTCTTTTCTCTGCTGCTCGATTGCCGGGACGCAAGAGTGTTCGCTATCGTAAACTATCGATGATGATAAGAACGATAGAAAACACATTCACGGTAGAAATGTCGGCTCTTCGGTCTTCACGGCCAACCAAGCTCACCAACAGTCTCGAAACGCTATGAAACGAAAACATTATGCAACTGTCAGCTGTTCTAGCGACAGACGGCACGTCATATGCGTTTGAGGTCTGATATGTCAAACTCTTCGAACAAGCCTGAAGGACTTCGTCATGACCTATCGAAATAGACACTACCTGATCTAAGATGAGCTAAAATAGTATGTACAACTCGCTAGTTGAGGCAATGTTGGGTTCTGTTCTAAAAGCCATGGCCGTGGTCCATGTTTTGCATCATATTCATGAGCACTTTGATGTTCTGGACGTAGTATTCTATGCCACCATGAGTAGCCCGTCTTGACCACGGAAAGTGGAAAGTCTCTCGTGTTTGTCCACGATGACCACTCCAACATCTTGCCGGATATGTCATATGGTATATACACTCTAGTTAACTACATTCTCAGAAATTTCCAAGCTGTGTAGTTAACAGTGTACTTCCAGCGAATTGTGATGACATGGTCATTGGAGGCAGGGTGTTACCATCGACGTGAGTCGACTGAACTCGGGTACTCCGGATGACGATCCGGATTGCGTCACTGCTGGTCCTCTCATGCCACAAAACATCTCCCAGCAACCCAGCAAAAGCATCCTTGCATTCGGAGAGAGCAGAGTTCATATCAAAATGTCCAAAGTCATCCTCTCGATCAACGCAGGTTCATCCTCAGTCAAAGTCTCTGTCTTCAGAGGAAGCTCCAAAGATGCCGAGCCCTCTCAGCTCGCCGAAGCATCAGTCGCAGGTCTAACTGCACCTCCCTCAACACTTACATACAAACGTGGAGATGAGAAGATCAAAGACCAGGAGATCAAAGATGTCAACACGCAGGAAGACGCTTTCAAGTATATCCTCGAGCACCTTATGAATGATGACGGTCTGCCAGAGCTTAAGAACAAGGAGGACATTGAGTTTGCATGCCACAGAGTGGTGCACGGAGGAGACTTTGATAAGCCTACGAGGATTGACAGGGAAACCTATCATCACATCGAGGAGCTGTCTGATCTTGCACCTCTGTAAGTTTCTTGCATAGGATATCTTGACATAGCTGATCGATATCATAGCCACAACGCAGGTGCCCTGACCATTGTCAAAGCTGTTCACGAGCAACTGCCCAAAGCAACGAACATTGCCTTTTTCGATTCGGCATTCCATTCTACGGTAAGTCTGGTGTGGAACAAAGACATGGATTTGGTCTAACATCACATGCCTCAGATCCCAGAGCACATTCGAACATATCCCATCGACCAAGAGCGGGCAAAGCACAACAAGCTCCGCAAATACGGTTTCCACGGCCTCTCATACGCATTCATCACCAGATCAGTAGCAGAATCCCTCAACAAACCCATCGACTCCCTGAATATCATCGCTCTTCACCTCGGCAGTGGTGCCTCTGCATGTTCCATCGTCAACGGAAAGTCCTTCGACACCACCATGGGCTTGACACCCTTGGCCGGTCTCCCCGGAGCAACTAGATCAGGCTCCGTGGACCCCAGTCTGATTTTCCACTTCACGCATACTGCTGGTAAGCCCAGCCGCAGCAGCACAAAGGACTTGCACATCACCGAAGCCGAGGAAATTCTCAACAAGAAGAGCGGATGGAATGCCATCGCCGGCACCACAGACTTTGGCGTCATCACCTCAAAAGCAGAAAAAGGAGACAAGAATTGTCAACTCGCCTTTGATCTTTTCGTCGACAAGATTCTGAACTTTGTGGGTGGCTACTATGTCAAGATGGGAGGTAAACTGGACGCTTTGGTGTTTGCGGGTGGTATTGGAGAAAAGGGAAGTCAGTTGCGTGCCCGTGTGGTCGAGCACTTGAATTGCTTGGGCATTGAGCTTGACGAGGAGAAGAACAAGAAGCCCGCGGACAAGGAAGTGGTGGATATCTCGAAGTCTGGATCCAAACACAAAGTGCTCATCTGCCAGACAGATGAGCAGACGGAGATGGCAAGGCAGTGTTGCCAGAATGCGGACGACTTCCGCAAGCAAGCCTAACGGAAACCTTGGATGCCTGGATCGGGATAATGACCAAAAACGCAATCAAATGTATAGCATTATCAATTATTGGAAACTCGCAAACTCAATAGATGCTTGCTTCCGCCTTCGCCAATCTTTCCTTGTACCTGTGAGTTTGTCTGAGACCAGGTTCCGCCGTAGTCGTTCCGGAGGTCGTATAGCAGGCTCCGGCGGTGTGATGGGTGGAGGCGCAGGAGGTGCAGGAGTCACAGCTGGAGCGCTGCGGCTTTTGGGTTTGAGCATCAACAAGATGAACATGCCAGCAACTACCAGGACTAGCAGCAAGATGATCTTCCGCTTTGTCGATTTCTTCTGGTAACCTGTGGCAACCTTTAATTCTTTGTCCGCAGCTTTGACTTCAGTCGTCATGTTTTCAACATTGTAATCAATGCGATCCAGCATGCTGCCCTGGTCAATGACCATGGTCTGCAGCTCCTGGAAGATGTTGGACAAGTCGATGATTCCTTGTGCGATGTCCTCGATCTCGCGTTCCCGCTGGGCAATGGTCGAATCGTGCAAACCGGTAGAGCGTTGTTTCTGCTTGGTTTGTAGAAGAGTGGTTTGCGCGGAGCTGCGGTCGATCTCGGAGTCCATAAGGGAGGGGTCAGTGTACGGGTTCTGGACTGGAGAGGCGGCTCGATCGAGGGGTGAGTTCATGCCACCGAGCGCACGTAGTTCTGCAAACGTTGTTAGTCTCGAGGTGTTTCGAATTGGAGGATTGACACGTACTCCTGAGGTATGCAGACTGCTTCTTCCGGAACAATGCGCTGCTATCTCCGACCTTGGTAGCTAACGAGACCTTGAGGTTCTGTGCCATGGTCTCTTCTCCTCTGCTTAGACTTCCGGTCTGGTGCGACTCCTTGACCATGTTGTCGATGCGACGGATGGCTCGTTGACAGGTCTGGAAGCCTCTAGTGATCTCTTGTGTCATGGCTTCGATCTCACGCTCTTCCCTTCTCTTGACCTGCTCATCATCGAAGCCTGGCAGGACATGCTTCTGACATAGCTGATCCAGCTTCTTGATTTGTTTGGAGATGTTGTCCAACCACTCGTTGACTTGGTCCTGGACATCGAGCCAGCGCGGCGGTAGACGGTCCATTTCGATTACAGCATCTCGGTCGTCGAAAGCACCAGCGGACATGAGTCCTCTGGTTTCCTCTGATTCGGCGGCATTGTCGGCGAAGCCTCCTGCAATTCGTGACTTTTTGGTGGTAGGGTGATGTGAATAGGACTGGCGATATGAGATGAAGCTACAGAGAGGGAGACATGGTTAGCTTGATCTAGATAGTAGTAGATGGGCGAGTAGGGTATAAGTACAGATTTGTTCTATCGCGCCACATGATGCGCAGTTATGAGGAGAGTTTCAATCAACATGGGATTAGACACGGCTGCACAGGAAACGAAGGGTTGTGTTGTTCTGGCATGTGAACAGACGGACAGGTATGATGCAGCGGGGACAGGGTGGGTGCTTGGTGCTTGCTGACGTGGGCATGCAAGCTGGAAATGAAGGGCGCTGTGGAGACTCTGGAGAGGCTACACCTGCCGCCGAAACACCAATCTCAAGCATTCGTGCATCCTCCTCCTCTTCTTACAACACCTCCTGTTCCTTGTTTACTGCTCTGGTCGCATACCCATTCGAAACAACAGCTGCCACCACCTTTCAAGCCAACCTCTCCCACATCGCACAAATGGTACCCTTGCCCCTTGTTCCCTGTTCAGCCCCACCATGGGCAGGAGCGGCCTGCTGTCGCTCACAACCACAATGCCACTTGCTGACGCATAACACAGGCCGATTCGCTTACCGAGGAGCAAGTCTCCGAGTTCAAGGAAGCCTTCTCCCTCTTCGTACGTCTTTGCGCCGCTACTCTCTACAACTCTCGTGCTAACTCAACAACAGGACAAGGACGGTGATGGTACGTCGCTCACTCCCCTTCCGCCTCTCTTTCGATCCCCTGCTACGCCTCTCAATTCGACTATTCGACATGACTTCCCGCCGCTCGACGTCAATCCGTGTTAACACTATTGCGCAGGTCAGATCACCACCAAGGAGTTGGGCACTGTCATGCGCTCCCTGGGCCAAAACCCCAGCGAGTCGGAGCTCCAGGACATGATCAACGAGGTGGACGCCGACAACAATGGAACCATCGACTTCCCTGGTTAGTCATACTCAACACCGCTATTGCGCAATCGACGAAGCTGACGCCTTGGTACCCACAGAGTTCTTGACCATGATGGCCCGCAAGATGAAGGACACCGACTCCGAGGAGGAGATCAGAGAAGCCTTCAAGGTCTTTGACCGCGACAACAACGGTTTTATCTCGGCCGCCGAGCTTCGCCATGTCATGACCTCGATCGGCGAGAAGTTGACCGACGACGAGGTCGACGAGATGATCAGAGAGGCCGATCAGGACGGTGACGGCAGAATTGACTGTAAGTCTACACGATATATCGCTCACAAGTGGGCTGCGCTGACGCTGATCGACAGACAACGAGTTCGTTCAGCTCATGATGCAGAAGTAGAGGAAGCATAGCGTACGAGTGCACACGGAGAAGAGCACTTGAGAAACAATCATGCGGTTTTCCATAGCCGTCACGACCTGAGAGATACCTGAAGAGCTTATGCCTATCACTGCTGAAATTGACTTTTGACCAAGCACTTTGAATCGATCAATGCCACACTGGCCATCCTAATTATCCACCCTGGGAAACATGTATAGTCGTACAATTCCATGCATTTGTTTCAGCTTGTATGCGCGCTGTACGTCGATATCCCAGGGACCAAAAGCCTCCCGCAGTTCAAACGTTCCATGTGCGGAACAAGGCCAGAAGCGCCTTCGGCCTTGAATGTGGGGGAGGTATGACGATGTGACTTGTCGGGTCAAAGGACGGGATGTCCTCAGAGCGGAGATCCCTCATTAATCGACAAACAATAATAGCACATATCAAGTGACAGAGGTTCCTTGTTCAAGCGAGCAACTAGGCATACGACGATACACGCCAATTGTAGCAACCGCAATATCCAGAACAAAGCAAAATGGCTGCCTCTCGAAGACTCGGTATCTACGACTCGTGTGCACCCCTCGACATCTATCCAGACTAACAGACGTACAGTAAAGCCGGCTCTCTTGTAAGGCCACTCAATTGCTTTGAAATGCTGCATACTATACCACTACCTTACCGCTTACACTACCATTAGCATATGTGACCTTCAAGAAAAGTTTCGCTCGGCCATCTATGAATATGGGCGTGTGATCAGCACTACACAGAAACTACTCAAGGCCTGCCAAATTCTTGACATTCCTGTTTTCGCAACAACTCAACTCCGGGCTAAACTTGGAGAGACATGCAGCGAGCTTGGCCTCGATAGTCCGGATGGGATAAAGACCCAAGCTCACGCTGACAAGAGTGCGTTCTCCATGTTTGTACCAGAGATCCGCGATGCCTTCAAGAAGCTGGGTGGTGAGAAAAGAGAGGTCATCATTGTTGGTATCGAGAGCCATATCTGCGTCACGCAGACAACACTCGACCTGCTCAGGGAAGGACACAAAGTTTACATCATTGCCGATGCGGTCAGCAGTTGCAACAAGGAGGAGGTGCCCATTGCATTGGCAAGATTGAGAGCTGAGGGCGCTATCGTCACCACTAGCGAGTCGTGGCTCTATGAGTGCATGGGCGATGCTTCGGTCCCAGAATTCAAGCAGATCGCGAGTCTCGTCAAAGAATACAACTCCAAGACCAAGGAGGGCCTCCAGGCTCTGTGTAGATTCTAGAGGCTAAATAACAGACACTCGACAAGTGTGAGCAGGCGCGCGAGTCAGAAGCTGAATGGACTATCTTTTATAGTGAATACGAGTGTGATGACCAACGTGATAGGTCAGCCTGGTCAGCAATATCAAGTGGTGTGTTCGGCTGCTATACTGGCTTTCATGTTCTTTGTCTTAGACCGAGTGCAGCAGTTTCCGTGGGGGCCTCGGTCATTCAGCCTTGCTTTCTAACCCGGCTGCTGCTAAGCGACGGAAGATGCATGGGAAGACGGCATGGACACCGGCGGACAGATATATGGCTCGGAAAGGATTGCCGTTCGTTAGGAGGGAAAAAAGAAATCACTTCCAAGGTCACAAGTACATGGGATATGTGATGATGGATTTTATGCGAGTCGAGTAATAGAAAGAGGTCCAAGCGCGTCCTGATGATGATGTTTCAGGGACGGTGAATGAATAGAGCAAGAACAAAGTGAACAGGTGCGCCTTCCTGTTCTGAGAAAAGCGGAAAAAAGACTCGCGTTATCCTTCGCAACACGCGGTCGATTGCTGTCAGGAACCGCGCAGTGCAAAGCAGGGGGTTGCATCAGAGACGATCGCCGACGTCTGTGTCTTCTCCATCATTCCCTCGTCTAGAAGCACACAAAGCAAAGACAAGGAAACACTTTACCCATCTCTGCCCTTCCCCATTCACAACGCCCACCTCGGCCGCCACTTCCTGGTTCGCTCTGCTCGTCCATCGACTCGCCGGTGTCCGTCCTCGTTTGCTCTTGTTCCCCCGTTTCTCAAAACCAGCGCCTGCAGAAGCCCGTGTTTGAAAGAGACGAAGGGAAATCCAAGGACATTGGACCGGGTGTGCCACAAGCGCCGCTGTTGACCAAATCACTCACGCACCTACAACCATTCCGATTACACTCGCATACCAGCCCAACGATCTCTTCTCGGCTCATCTGGTCTGTCGACACTCGATCCCTGGTCGCTGTCGCCGTACCAGCAATACCCCCCGCGGCCTAGTGATCAAGTCTCCCGAAGTTCGAGCATGAGGATTACCTGCAAGACCAACCCCGTTGGAATATCTACATGACGTCCAGTCATACCCCAAACATGGCAACCGCTTCGTTCGCCCAGAGACGTTCGACAAATCCTCAGCAGTCCAATTCCGTGCCTTCGACGCCGCATCAACATCCGCGAGACCTTCGCTTTCATTCACGATCGCCCTCACCTAGCAAGACGTTAGGTCACAATTACCCTCGCTCAGCTGTCCCTGGGGCTACGTATACTCCCACCGCAGTCAAGCCGACTCAAGCGTTCTGTAGATTCGAGGCCAGCCCGGAGTTTAGAACACGACGAATGCCCTACCTCGAAGGTGGCGAACTCCCGTTACCACCGCCAACAGAAGAGCCCAAGCCGGCTCTAGAACCAGGACAAGATGAGAAATTGAGTGGCGACATGCGAGAGCTTTACGGCCGATTACTGCCGACAGAAGAGAGCGAAGAAAGAAGACGAAAACTTGTCCAGAAACTAGAGGACATATTGAACGGAGAATGGCCTGGTAATGAGATCAGAGTCAACGTGTTCGGTTCTTCAGGTAATCTGCTGAGTTCGGACGACTCGGACGGTATGTCTTCTTCCACTGGACTCTCCTGTTTACGGGCGCTTATTGTTTCTCGCAGTTGATGTTTGTGTGACCACACCTTTGAAAGCGCTCGAGTCCATGTGCACCTTGGCTACAGTTCTTCACCAACGTATGTTGACCCTTGTCATCTCTATCACCATGTAATTGAGCTCACTCCTTTCGCAGATGGCATGCAAAAAGTTCAATGTAGAGCAGGGGCGAAAGTCCCGATCGTCAAGATGTGGGACCCGGAACTGCAACTGGCGTGTGACCTGAATGTCAACAACCCACTGGCTCTCGAGAACACGCGCATGATTAAGACATATGTCCAGATCGACGAACGAGTACGGCCGCTTGCCAAGATAATCAAATACTGGACGAAGAGGAGGATACTGAACGATGCTGGTGCGCGCTCCTTCCTCAGCTGCCAAAAGACCTGTACGCTAATTTACTCTCGCAGCCTTTGGAGGCACTATCAGTTCCTACACATGGATATGCATGATCCTCAACTTCTTGCAGACCCGCGATCCTCCGATTCTACCGTCCCTCCAAAAGATGCCCAGTGCTCGCTCCATACAGGCCAACGGCCAGACTTCTGTGTTCGCAGACGATCTGGAAGAGTTGCGCGGATTTGGCAAAGACAACCATGAAAGTCTGGGTCAGCTCATCTTCCACTTCTTTCGATATTACGGCTACGTCTTCGACTACGCAGAGCATGTGGTGTCAGTCAAGGAAGGGAAACCGATACCACGTAAAGAGAAGGGATGGGACAAAAGCAACCCCTTGGAGAAGGAGGCGCATAACCGGCTGTGCGTTGAAGAACCCTTCAACACGCAACGCAACCTTGGAAACTCCGCGGACGACTTCTCTTTCTCGGGTATACACAAGGAGATCCGAAGGGCCTTTGAATCTCTCAAGGATGGTTCCGGGCTCGAAGAATGTTGCGCTCAGTTTGAGTGGCCCGTCGTCGAGAAGAACATTTTCCAAAGGCCGACACCCAAGCCCAAACCTATTCTCACACGAAGTGCTTCCCAGTCTGGGCGGCCTAACAACGGGAACAACCAAGGACGAGGAAACGGCAATGGCCCGAGGAACAATCGCAATGCGTCCAGTCAGCGAACTAACGGCCGCAGATCTTCGAGTGGAACAGCATATGGCAATCCAAGGATGCCAAATCTTATGAGCCCGCCGGCCGGGCCTAATCCTGCAGATTACTTTTCGTCCACGGCCATATCAACCGACCAGCTGCACAATCAGCTCTACAAGCAGTATCGCTTTTTACAGGCTCAACAAGAAGCTTTGAGGAATCAGCTCTTGCAACAACAGCAAACACAGGTCCAGTTGCAGCAAGTTCAGGCCCAGGCGCAAGCTCGTGGCCTCGAATTCGGAACCTCGCCTCGTTCGCGACAATTCGCCAATAATGTTTCCAGTCCGCACAGCCCGCGGACTTTCGAGAATTCACCTACAGCCGCACCGCCGCTTTTGCCTGGCTATCTTTACCATTATCCGGCGAGATACCCTCCACCTTCACCTTTGTCTCAGTCAAGGAATACCGAAGATAACGTTGTTGGTCCTGCCTCACCCTCACTGCAGAACTCAACCCCTACTCTGCGAAGAGGCGTGCATCGCGGTTCCATCACCGAGAGCACACCCAATGCCTCGGCTCGTTCGCAGTCTCAGCCTGGACGTTCTTTCCCCAATCCCATGACTCTTCAGGGTCTAGCTCATCCAGGTTACGATGTGTCAGGGGCTATTGCCACTTCTTACATGTTGCCGCGCTCGGTGCAGCAATTCGCTCAAATGCAGCCCAACGGCTCAGTAAGACAAGCCAATGGCACCTTCTCTACCGAGACCGCCATGCCTAAGGAATATGTCGGGTACTACGTCGGGCAGTCTCCTCAGCTTGTCCCCCAATTTCAGAGCAGCAATCTGGTACAGGTTCCACAGCTAAGGGACATTGTTCCACCATCTGACAGACGCATATCTCCTGAGCTCGGGATATCCATCTCCGATGGCATGCGTCATCGGTCTCGCTCGCCTTCGCCATTTGCTGGTGGTCGTCGACAGTCAAGCTCGGCGTCTGCACATCCCATTGCTGGCACTCCACCTTTCACCCAACAGCCTCTACAGTCCGTCCAAGTTCAGCCCAGGCCCAGTGAAAACCAAGGACCTGTCATTGTCAATGGATCTAACACGACAAGCACGAGACAACGACAGCCTTCTGTAATCATGGCCTCGACTCCAGTGGTTCAGAACAATAACAACACGACTCCTGACTTGGTTCCGACCGAGCAGATCCAGCAGATGTCGTTGGATGTATCCATGTTCCATCCCAACGGCCAGCAGCATGGCACGGGAGAAGCAGCTCCGAGGCACTTTGCTCACCCCACGAACGGACACACAGTTGAGCCTTCTTTGCCAGCCCATGTAGCCCAGAACGTACCGACACCTGTTTGGAGGCAGAATGCCCCTGACCCTCAGGGTGTGTCCAACCATGGTCCACCCGTTTCAAGGGCCCAAGATACGAACCATGTCTCTCCATCCAGCCTCAACGATCCCATGCAAGCTGCCGCACTTCACTCTGCTATGGGGCCGCTTCTATCGCCAGTCGCAGAGATCCGTACCCCGTCGCCTGCAATGGGTCGAGCCGCCGATGCCTCGAAGCTTGCACCTCACCACAAGTTTGCGCAGCAGGTACAGATTGTCAACGGTAAGCATGCAGAAGCAGCTTCGAAGGCTCAAAATGGGAACTCGAATCGCAGTGATGGTGGCAGACACCAAGCTCCTACAAGCAACCCAAATAGCTCCTGGCAACAGGCACCAGCAAGAAAGGGACACAAGAAGAGCAAGTCCAACACGGCGTCCAAAGGCTCGCACGCACCCAGGACTGGTGGAGGAGAACCTTTGCCTGCCAACGAAGCCGATCGAAAGGGGGGATGATCGAATACGATGCGCTATGAACCTGGACAATTGGATACTTGGTTCGACTTCCTCCTTGTAATGCGGGTTTGCTTGAGGCTGGTGATTGCCACCATCTGCATGATCGAGAAGAGCACTGCTCCACATATCTGGATTTACTTTACGTTTTGGAAGGCCACAAAAAAGATGAATATACACGAAAAGGGCGTGCACCATATGAGTTGTGCAAGACACCGGAGCAAAAAAAGAGGGAAGCACAGGAACATCTTCATGTTTTTCACAAGATACCACCCAGCGTTTTCCTTGTTTCTTCCATGTCGATTTCATTTCATTTTCTTTCCAACCATTATTTCATCTCGGCATGGCGTGGCATGGGTCTACAATGAGTTTTTGCATGTGGGCGCTTTTGGCAGAGAAAAATGCATATGGCATCGAGGTTATAGCGCCATGGTTCTTCTGTTTTGCGAGGTATAGAAGATGCAGCCGGGGTGAAGCAAAGACACAGACAAAAAGGACAGAAACGAATACAAAAAAAGTTGAAATCATACTGAGCCATGAGGGGGTTCGACTCTTGACACTGCTAACGAGCATGGCAGCTGCCAGTGGACGTATTTTCTCCATCACAATGGCCTCCACTCTTTTCCTCTCCGTCCGGGGCAACTGTGGGGATGATATGCAGCTCCGTCGATCACTTCTGCCATGATATCCCGAACTTAGTTCTTCTTCCACCAATCGCCTGCCAACACTGGTTGCGATACCCTGTGGTTCATGTAGCATACACCACAAGCCTGCCGCAATGGGTAAAAGAGAGGTTAACCCCTCAGTACGGTAGCCATGCCAGGGACATCCTTCTCAGATCACCACCATATGGCAGACAAGTATAAGAGGCTGGCTTCTGCTACTCCACTATACCTCATCAACAGCAATGTCTCCCATCAAAGGTCTATTTCTCGTGTGTTTGACGCTCTCAACAGGCGTAGCCGCGGCCTCAAAGAAGGCCAAATTCAACTGGCATGACACCAAATACATGTAAGGCCTTGGGGCTCTAGGATTTACACATATACTGATGTATACTAGGCTTGCCTTCGGCGACTCGTACACGTATGTGCAAGGGACTGCTGGACGACAGAACTCGACTTTCATCGGCGACTACTTCAACTTCTCGTTCAGCGAAGAGAAGCTGTTGAGTGACAAGATCGTCCAGAATCAGGTTAGAGTTCCCAGGAGTGATGTTCGAACGATGGTAACTAACTCATTCACGTAGACTGGAACTGCTGAAGGAGGACCAAATTGGGTCGAGTATCTTACTGGCTGTGGTCTCAAAGCAGGCCTTACTTCACCACTGTCATGCAAGACGCAGCTCTGGGACTTTGCCTTTGGGGGTGCAGATATTTCGACCAAATAGTGAGTTACTCTGCCTTTTCCTCTTAGTATACCGACACTGACCATGAGACTCAGTACCCCACGTCACCACAACTATACAGTCATGCTAGAAGAACAAGTCCAGCAGTTCCTGACTTATGCTCAACCCACACTGTCCAACTTCGTCGAGCCGTCAAAGACTCTGGTTGCCTTCTGGATCGGCATCAACGATATCAACGACAGTGCCAAATACGCCGTTGACTTTCCCGTCTTTTACGATGAACTCATCACCACACTCTTTGAGTCCGTTCAAAGCGTTTACGATGTGGGATATCGCAACTTCCTCTTCATGAACCTTCCCCCTTTGGACCGCACACCAGGCAACGTTCTCAAACCCACTCCTCTCCCCAATACCACCATGATAAACTGGTGGGATGACACTCTGTCTTCACACATTGACGTCTTCAACATGCAAAACCCCTGTGCCAATGCTTTTGGCTTCGATGTCAATGGTTTCCTGAATGGCGTCTTGGATCATCCTGATAAATATGGGATTAAGAATGTCACAGGGTACTGCAAGAGTTATGATCAACCGTATGTGGATACTGATCCGGAAGCTTATGGGTGTTTGCCGTTAAGTGAGTATGCGTGGTTCAACGATGGGCATATGACTTCGAGGATTCACGAGGTGCTTGCTAAAGAGGTGGGACAGTTCTTGAAGAAGCAGTAGGGTAGATGCCCTATAGACTCAAATCATTGTGGTTTTCTTGGAAAATAGACATGTATTCCTCTTTAAATGGTGGTATCCTTGATGCGCAAGCGAGCATTGTGGCTCTCGGTGTCATAGCCGAATGTGCAGTTTGATGATAATCAAAGAATGTATGCGTAGGTTTATTAGGTGTATCTTATGCAAATCGCTCATCAAACGCCAGACTCGATGCTAATTTATGTGTATCAATGCTCCCAATGTATTTCCCAGACTCCATTACAAAACAACACTCATTTGCGGTGTTTGCTATTCACACTGACAACTTCAGCGTGTCCCCATGCATTCAAGACCATAGCGGAGAGTTGGTCGCCATTCACACAACCACTGTCAAGACCCTTGCTCCATCTCTTGAGATTCAGACCGCGAGGGCTGTCGTGTCCGTAGACCACGACGGATGGCTTGGAGTGTTTGAACAATGGTTGCGATTCTTCGCCGTCGTCGTTGGTGTTGAACATGTCGTTCCATGACCTCCACCACTCACTGGCTTCTGTTGACTCGGTGGTCGAACTGAACAACCAGCTCATAAATGTCGAATGAGTACGTGCCATACGATCGTTGTACCAGCCCCAAACACGCTCCCATGGGATGCCCTTTTTGCGATTTTCGCTAGGCGTGTGATTTGTCGGTGACATGCTTCGCATATTCATCACGGAGAAAGGGTCCTGACGTAGGAGAGGGACAGAGGGAATAAGACCGGCGTGCACGACATTGATGTCATCCAGGATCTTGAATGTCTTCCTCTTCTTCTTCTTGCTAAGAATGTCAAGATCAGAAGTCACTGGAGCCGAGTGCCTTGGTGGAGTAAGTGCTGGTATATGGATGATGAGAGGGAGCGAGCGAAGCCATTTGAGATGGTGCGGTTTGAGGTAACCAAGCAGAGCTTCTCCTTTGAGTCCTGCGCCTCTCGAATTGGTAGAAGTGTCGATCGCAGCCTCGTCGTTAGCTTCCAAAGACTCACCGGTGGAGGCCCTCGATTGCGCAGCCAGCAGGACACGGTCCTCATGATTGCCACGCACCGACAGAGCGTCCAGAGATATCAATGTGTCTATGACGCCAGGCGAATCGGGTCCTTTTGCGAGAACGTCACCAGTTGCAATAATCTTGTCCATATCCTTCCTGAACCCGACAGCCTTGAGCAATTCAAGAAGTTCGTGCTTGCAGCCGTGTATGTCGCCAATGAAAATCAGACGTCTCTTTCCATCCGGGTCGGACCTTCCGCCAGGTACATGGTCCGGGGATATTTGTTGTAGTTGTGTGATGCCGCTAAGTTTGTTGGGCATCTGCTGACCGAATGAGTCCGGGTTGTCGAGACCTTCGACTAGAGCCTGCTGCTCTCGCCATGCTGGCATCAGGAAGCCACTGCACAGGAAGAACAGGGCGAAGGAGGCGACTATGATGAGCAACATTGCGCGGCGGACTTTGCGATTGATGCAAAAAGCATGACAGAGATTGACAAATGAGGCGTCGCTGTCAAGATCGCAGCAATGCGTGAGTTCACGGTCTTCGTCGTCGTCCGAGTCCGAGTCGTAATATTTCCTATGCGAGCGCTTCTCGTCTTGGTGATGCCAGTTGTTTACAACGCGATCGATCAAAGGTGCACTGCCAGGTTGGTATTGGGAAGGATAGTATTGGTCGGAGGGCCGGGACCTGGACGAACTCATGACTGCGTCATAGGATTGGCCAGAAAGTTTAAATGTCGCGAGACAAGAATATGAGACGGGGTGGGATATGGAATAGTTGTAGGGTGTTTGAAGGAGGGTTGATGAAAGCCTCCTCAGACGGCAGCGTGCAGAGAGCAAAGTTGATTACGGACAAAATATTCCTTGACCCCAACGACAAGGACGAGGAGATGAAAGGAGGACCGGATCTGTCGCCAAGACGCGCGGCATTCGTCGGTCATGCATGTTTGTCCACTGCGCACCTCGTGAAGTGGTTCAGGTTGATGGAACGCGGCAGATAGAGTGCGAGTGAGAGTCAGAAGCTATCGAGTAGGTACGAGCGAGTCAAACATCTGCAGCAAAGAAGCAAGGCAACGCGCAAGAGAGCGAGCCTCTTTTCCAGGCAATCGCATCTCGGCGCGGGAAAGAGCGATCCCCGCGCGTCACAGCCAGACGCGCTTTCCACATTCGCGTGTCAGCCGCGACCATCCAAGCAGCTTGTCCTTGCCTTGTACATATTCTTTCATCCACATCTGTACATCACCATACCGCAGCCCATGCCTCGAACGCGCAATCGCGCCAGTGCTGCGCAAGAGAAGGCTGTTGTCGAAGAGCCCGTCGTCGAGGAAGCACCTGCCGAAGAGGAGCAACAAGAAGAGGACGAGCACCAGAGCATCGAGGGTGCTTCGAGGCCGCTGACCTTCGGCGAGTCGCTGACATGGCGCGCTGGGAAGCCTATTCCTGTCTCCGAGCTACTGCGCCGACTGAGGACTCTGCACACAGAGCTGAGCCAGCTGGACCAAGAAGATGCACATCGCGACTCGCTCGTTCCCGTCGCACAGGAGCTGGCCCACCGCAACCTGCTTGAGCATCGCGATCGCGGCGTCAAGGCTTGGTCTGCCCTATGTATCGTCGAGATGTTCAAGTTGCTGGCTCCTGACGCCCCCTTCAAGGCCGCCCAATTGAACCAGATCTTCTCCCTCATCATCACCCAAGTCCTGCCTGCTCTCGGAAACCCACAAGATCCATACAACGAGCAGCACCTGTCCATCATACGATCGCTGGACGAAGTCAAGAGTATTGTACTGCTTACCGATATCCCCGGCGCCGATGGTCTGCTGTACAAGCTGTTCACAGGTGCCTTTGACATTTTCGCAGACACGTCCAAGAACGACAAGGCCGAAGAGTTGGGCAAGAATGTCGAACATCACGTCACAAGTCTGCTCGTTACCGTCGTGGATGAGAGCCCTTCGCTGCCAAACGATGTTGTCGATATCATCCTGGCTCAGTTCCTCCGTCTCGATCCTACCACCTTCCCGCTCCAGCTAAACAAAGCCACCCTCGAATCCTCACGCCCTTTCCATCTTCAACTGCCCCCACCAGCATACAACATGGCCAAGAACATCTGCAGCTCGTGTCCCGACAAGATGTCGCGCATGGTTGCGCACTACTTCAACTCGATCATTGCCGACCTCTCAGATGGTCTCGACAGGTCCAACTCGCGAAAGTCCACGTCTCGACGACGAACTGGCGCCGACGACAATGATGATGAGGAAGATGATAACGACCGCGACGCTCCACCTGCCGGGCCGTCTGCAGAGGAACTCAAATCGTTGGAGAAGGCTCACAGGCTGTTGCGCGAGCTTTGGAGGTCTGCAGCGCTAGTCATACAGAACATTGTTCCGCAAATCGAGTCCGAACTCGCTGCTGAGAACGTCGATATAAGATTGTTGGCTACCGAGACAGTTGGCGATCTGATTTCCGGTATTGGCGCAGCAGGCCCTCCCACCCCAATCGCGCTCGACCCGGCAGCATACCCTTCGCAAAGCATTGATCCACCCTCAGCATATTCCAGGACATACAACTTCCTCACCACTCCCGCTGCTCCGCACGCCTTTTCCTCAGTTCATGCCTCTACGTACCAAGGCTTCCTCAATCGCCGCAACGACAAATCACCTCGTGTCCGATCCACATGGGTGATTTGCGCTGGCCGTATCCTGGTCACGTCTGCCGGTGGCGTTGGACTCGATCCGAAGGAAGAAAATGCTTTGCTTAGATACATCTCCGACATGCTCGTAGATACCGATGAGCATGTTCGTCTTGCTGCTGTCCAAGCCATCGGTCGTTGTGACTTCGAAACCATTGTGCAACGCATAGGTTCGAGCGGCAGCGTAACCACTCCCGACTCTGTCTTGTCAAACCTGGCGGACAGAATCAAAGATCGCAAGCATAGTGTTCGTGCCGAGGCCATGTCTCTACTCGGTCGAATCTGGGGTGTCGCCGCTGGCGCCATTACCGAAGGAAACGAGAGAGTCCGCATGCTTCTTGGTGCAATTCCTTCGCGCATTTTCGATGCTATCTACATCAATGATCGCGAGATTACAGCGTTGGTGCAACAGGTACTTTACGACTCACTGCTGCCCCTGAGCTATCCTCCAATCAAAGCCAAATCCACGTCCAATGGCGACTCGCAGCGTGTTAAGGACAGCCAGATACCGGCTTCGCAAGTCACGAAGGCCCCATCACCTGATGCTATCCGCGCCGAACGTATCTTGGTGCTGGTTCGGGATCTTGAGCACAAGTCAAAGACGGTGTTCTTCACAATCCAGGCTAAACAAAGTAAGATGGCGCAATATCTAGAGGCATTCTTGAAGCGTTGCGAAGATTACAATGGAGGTGTCAATGCAAAGAATGGCAAAGAGGGAAGTGGCTCGTTATCCAGGCTGATCGAGTTTTTTGCACAAGGCCGTCCCGAACCTCTTGTGGCCAACGACCACCTCTGGAAATTTGCCAAAAAGCATGATAGGAGGTGCTATCAGCTTATCCGATTCGCGGTCAACCCTGACAGCGAATACAAGAAGGTCGTCAACGCTATCAAAGAACTGACAAAACGCGTTGAGGAGCAACCCAGCCAAAGTTCTGCGATCTTGACGACCATTCTCCCTATCATCTATCAGGCTAGCGTATTGGTTTACAGCAAGAGTCATGTTCCCACTATCGTTGACATCTCTCGTACCGAGGATAAGGGTCTTGGTCCAGCTGCACATGAAGTACTAAGGGAGATCTCAACTCATAATCCCGAGGTCTTCAAAGCACACGTACGCAGCTTGTGCGCTACACTCCAGGAACAAGTGCCATCGGAAGATAGACCAACTGAATCTGGAATTGTCGAGACTCTGAAAGCGTGCGCAGGCTTTGCGCAGAGGTTTCCCATGGAGATCCCTCGTGAGCGTGCCTTTTTACAAGCTATGGTCCAGTTCGCTCTCCACGGTAATCCTTCGATAGCCGCAAAGCATGCAGTTTCGGTCATTGTTGCGGCGGACGAGAAAAAGGACATGTACGTCAAAGATATTGTCACCAAGTGCGTGCAAGGCTTCGAGTATGGCGAAGATGGCTACCTCTCAAAGTTGGCGGCGCTCAGTCAACTTATGCTTCTGTCTGCCAAGGACACGGAAGACGAACACGATAACATCTTGGAAATCACGATTCAGAAAGTGCTCTTGCAAGTACGAACTGAAGCCAAGCCAGACGACGTTGACTGGCAAGAAGAACCAGATGATGAATGTGAAGCCAAAATCTGGGCTCTCAAGATACTAGCAAACCGACTGAGATCTTATGCTATGTCTGTACCCGACAGTGAGATGGAGTCTGTGGCTAAAGAGTTAGCTGTTCCAGTCTTCAAGCTACTGCATCGAATTGTTGACAAAGACGGAGAGCTTTCTAAGGCCCAGGGTGAAACCCCCAAGCCCCACCGTGCACGCCTCCGGTTGAACGCCGCTATATTACTCCTCAAATTGTGCAGTGCACATAAGCGATTCGATGCGCTAATGGAGCCGAAGAACTTCAATCGCCTTATAGTTGTCGCTCAAGATCCCTTGCCTGAGGTCCGCTCTGCTTTTGTGGATGCCATCAAGAAGTATCTCGGTCAAGGCAGACTGCCTTCTCGCTTCTACACTCTAGTGTTTGTTTATGCTTTCGAGCCAATTGCAGATATCAAGAACGCTGCATTGACATGGCTCAAGGGGCGCGCCTCAACGTTTGCCAGATCCAAGGAGACCGTGATGGAGACCACATTTGCACGCTTTCTCAGCCTGCTCGCTCATCACCCAGATTTCTCCACGGATGCGGACAACCTACAGGACTTCATTGATTATATTATGTTCTATCTGAAGGCCGTTGCTACGCCAGCCAACATCACTCTTATATATCACATCGCTCAAAAGATGAAGGCTGTCAGGGATGGCATCGATGAGAAGAAGAGTGACAATCTGTACTGTCTGTCAGACATCGCGCAAGCTGTTATTCATAGATACCAAGAGCTGCAAGGTTGGACGCTGTCAGTTTGGTCTGGCAAGGTCACGCTTCCCGCTGTTCTCTTCGGCCAACTATCAGGCCATACAGTGGCGCAGGAGATCGCTGATAAGCAATATGTACCAGAGAAGCTGATAGAGAAGATCGAAGATCTGGTCAAGGAACGTCTGCGTACCAAGAAGCGCAAGTCGGAAAACACAAGTACTCAGGTCAAGAAGCGCGCCAGAGCAAGCGAGGGCAAATCTTCCAAGGCAAGCGCGAAGAAAGTCAAGAGCGTTAAAACGCCTAAGAAAAGGAGAGCGTCCAATGCCAACGCTTCGGCCCCAGCGAGTGAGATTCGCCGCAGCTCGCGCAAGTCAGGAGCGAAGAGCTATCTCGAGCAGAGTGACAGCGACGAGGAAGCCGAGGATATCGACGACGCCGACGAAGACGATAGTAACGACGAAGAAAGCAACGCTGAAGACCAAGACATGGATGATGCCGAGGACCAGGAGCGTCAACAATCTAAGGCTGGAAGCGAAGACTCTGAGCCAGAAGCTGTCGAACCAGAGCAAGAGGAGGAGCCAGAAGAGGAGAAGGTCGTATCACCAGTGCCAGCACCACCTCAATCACGGCGATCTGGCCGCGCGGCTCCTAAAGGCAAGAAGGTTGTTCCTGCCGCAGCCGCCCCTAAAAGATCCAGCAGGAGGAAGAAGAATGGCGCTGCTAGCGACTCTGAGTTGAGTGATGCACCGTCAGACGTGGAGTAGTGATATCAAGTTGCATGGCTTCTTCAATCTGTGTCTTTTTGCTTAAAACATGAATATGGCTTTCTTTTCGTTCCTCACTCTGTCAGCCTTAGCAGTGGGCGTTTCTCTGTTTTCCGCCAGCATAGTTTCATCTGTTTTCGTTGATCCATCATGTATAGCAACCAACCAGTATCTAAACATATCAGGGCGAGCTCACCACCTGACCTGCATGCATCGAGACTTGAGCCAACCACCGGGTAATTTCCTCATGCGGCCCGGCGGATCAATCCCTCGAGGCCCGCATAAAGATCAGCAGGGTCGCAGGTGGATAAATTCAGAGAACCGTGATGGTCATCTATGTCATATATCATATGTATCACTGAATATGATATGAAGAATTGGTCGCCACTGGAAAATATGTGATCGATTCTTCCATCATGTTTGTAGCACTGATCCACTCGTTAGAGAGACGAATAGCGTATGCTTCTCCGCCGGCCGAGTGCAGCTAAAGTTGCGAAGGAACCAAATTTTGTTATATGATGTATACAACGTTACACCCAAGACATTCGGCTTGAACCACCTACGTACTATTCGCAAACTACTGCTCGCTCCTATAGCCAGCTCCTCTTTCCCCTCAAGAGAACCATTTCCCTGTTTATTCCAACTGTGCGTTGCATTTTACTTATTCTGCCCAATTCTTTCGAACAGGGCCAGTGCACCGCCCATTACGTAGGGGAACCCGTTTGTTCCGCACGCGGCTCTGCTCTGTTTTCCTGGCACCGTTGCAAAAAAGTATATAGAGCGACCACGGCCCCGGAACGCCATTGTTCGGCAAGGGGAACGTATACGTACCCGCGCCTTTTCTTACTCACAAACTATACCTCGCTGGCAACCCCTCTTCTTGGACCCCTCACATATATACAATATACAACTCGTGACTCGCTCCTCTGCTGGAACTGGTAGGAAAACGAAGACCAAAAAAAACATCGAAACATCAGAGGCACCTGGAGTAATGGCGAGCCCATTTGCTTCAATCGCCAATCAGAGGGTCTCGGCCCAGCGACCGCCAAAAGACAGACCGGAACTGGATTTTGACAGATGCGCCGCTCTGCACAACACAATAGCCATCTACGGCTGGCTACGCAGCGGCCGCAAGGTCGCCGACATGGACCGCAAAACCTGGTGGCAGAAGCGCGGCAATCCGACTTTGGAGGTTCTATTACGACCGTCTCTTGTCAAGTTCTTGAAAAAAATCTTCGATTTGCCTGGAGGAGACGGAAGCCATTTTTTCTATTACATCAGCAGAGTTGCAAAACCTAGGGAAATGCTGTATCTGGGTGATTTGTTGGATGACAACGAGAAGCCGCTCAAGGGAGAGAAGCATCGGTTTATTACTCTGTACATGACGAACAAGGAATTGGTCAGTCAACGGAGTGGCATTGTGTAAGAAGCATCTCCTTCAGATTTCGATGGAAAATCCGTGCTCTTTTTCCAACCTCAGGAGAAATCGAAAGCAGATGATTATCGAGTGTGTCAGAAAGTAAAACAAGGCTAATCACGGGATACAGATACGATCAAGAAACCGGCAAGGCAATCTTCATGCCAACCTTTTTGCACATCTTCGACCTGTACGACCAGAAATTGCCATGGCAAAGGCTAGAATCAATCCTCAGCGCATACATCGACATGATCGAAGCCGGAAAAGCCGTAGCCTTACACGAATCCATTGGTCGCGAACCACGTCTGGGACCAGTACAAGACGCAGACGGCCAAACCTCATGGCAAGAAATCGCACCTTCAGGACCAAAAGTAGACCCTTACACTGGAGCTCGACGGTCACGCTACGACACGCATCCTTGGAGCTTGGTTTCCTACACCCACGGAGACTTGACTTCATGCCTCAAACTCTGGGAAGAACTGTTTACGGAAGTCGAAATCAAAAGTGGATTGCGAGATGAGGAAGAAGATCCGAATACCACACCCCTCTGCAGTCGCTCTGGCCTTTCCGCTGCTGGTGTGCCCAGAGGTTTCGCTTACGATTTGCTTTCTCACGCCCGCCAACCGCGTATCTGGTACGTGGCACCTGGCATCCGCCTACCTCAAGCCTCAGAATTCGTGAACCAGCCCTTCAAACACGTTGCAGCGCGCTACCCAAAGGAAACAGAAGGCATCAAGATGCCATTCTTGTTCTTCCGCGCAGAAGGCACGGTGACTTCCAAACAAGCAAACTTCCGCTGGCCGTTCAGCACAGTGCAAGAAGTTCCTTGCGGCTTGTATCTTGACTCTTACCCAAACAAAGAGAACCCTTTTGAAGATGCCTGTCGTCTTGTTTTGCCCTTTGCAGTGGGAGCAAACAAGAAAGCTAGAACCAGTGATGGTAGATTGATGCAAAAGAGCCATACAGAGGTTTATGCTCACGGTATTAATCCGTTTACTCTACGCCATGGTCCTAAATTGACAGCGATCCTCGAGAATTGGTTGATGAATGTCAAGAGTGGGCATTGGACTGTGGATGAGCAGGGTGTTTCTGGCGGAGTCGAGGCTTGGAAGCAGGCGGACACGGAAGAGCATTGGGATAAGTATGTTTCGGCGCATTTGGCATTGTAATGGACAGCATGGGATTGAAAAGCATAGTATGAGCATTTTCTTTCTAGGCATCTGATATCTTGAAGCATTCTCGTGTCCTAGAAAGTGATGATTTTGAAGCTTTTTTTTCTTTTGGCTCTCTAAGAAGTAATTTGAGCCTCCATGTCAGCTCACTATTTCTTCGGCTAAAAGAGACGTTCCTACAATGGTGATGCTTTTCTAGACCAGGAACAACCCCGGGCTTCCTCCTCTGATACGCACACGTGTGAATTAATAATCATCTGTCAGAGTCATGGTCTCTACGTTTTAAAGTCATTAGGATTTTCTTCCTGTCAGGCATCCCAACTGTGATTTGGTGATTGCTGTATCTCATCGACCGATTTTCAAAGAGCCCGAGGAGATTTCTTTTCAGCCCTTTGTAGACGGAGCCGTTGTTCTCGTCACTATTTCTGGTGTCTCGCCTTAGGTAGCAAACATCCACTCATCTGATATCATCATCGTGTTCTTAAGTCGGGAAACTTGCCTTCGGAAGCTTGATGGAGACACATCCGCTGGACCCTTGGCATTGATCGAAGCTTCTGTCAACCCTTCTTTTTGACACATGCGAAAAAAGAAACCCACGTGTGTGGAAACTTTCGTACTTGTCGCAACCTTAGCAGTAGAGTTTGATGACAAGGGGGTATCTGTTGCACGAGACTCCTACCTTCATACTAGAACTGAGGGTCCTGATAGACGCTGGTGGCTAATTCAACGTCCACAACAGTAGAGAATCCCACAGTATGCTTGCCAAGAATGATAGTAATATGCGCATTCGCAAACCCCAAGGCGGCTATCTGCTGCCGGGTGAAGCGATTAAGAGCAGTAGGTCCTATAATCACCAAGCAAGATCAGCCCACGGATTGTTGTCAAGGCGTCCCGCGTCCCAGAATTCGAGAGGAAAAACAGCAGATGTATTGCACTTGCGCCGTGAAGATCATCGTCACCTCATTGCCCGAAACCCTTGCCCGATCTCCAGCACCGACAATCCCTAGGCCTTGAGATCGCGACTCAGGGACTGAGTGGGATTCTAACGAAGAAGCTCGTGACATCCTCTTCTCCATTCTAGCTGTTCCTTTCTCTTTTCCTTAACACTGCTACAACCAATGTCGAAGCCTTGGCCTACAATATCTCAACCCTTTACAGCATTCTGTTGCTGCAGTGCAGCAGCAATACTCAAGAGCCCTTACGCCAGATGGAATCATGGAGTGACCTTCTGAGCAATCTCGAGTCCGACGAAACAGAAAGCATATTTCTGGCAACCTGTGACCAACGCCTGAGTCACCCCTCGACCACATACCCGCCTCCCGAACTTCCTCGCCATGACAGCGGCGTCTCTGGCGTTGCGGTAGAAGATGACACCAAGCCCTTGCGCCGCTCGAATGCTGCTTCGTCTCTGCCTGCGAACTCTGCAACAACCATTTCTAGAAGAGAGCGACCCACTCAGGACGATCTTGACAGTGCCGTCTGGGTTAGCACAAAGCAGAACGGCATTGTACAATACTGGGCACCTCGCTATGCCGATGTTCACCACCACAACACCGCAGAAAATGTCAGGATTTCACACATGGCTAGCGTAAGATCAGCAGTGGTTGCTCAAAACACTCCTAAAGCATGTACAGCAGTGGACCTAGCGTCAGGTGCCGGATCCTTCGCGTTCAGCCACGCAGCAGCTGGGGTCCACAAGGTTCTTTGCTGGGATGCGAATCCATGGAGCATCGAAGGCTTGAGAAGAGGTGCGATAAAGAACGGGTGGCACATCCGCGTCTATTCTGGAGACAGCAAGAGTGTCAAAATGCATTCGAAGACCAGAGTGATGGCGTTCTGCGAGTCTGGCAATAATGCTCTGGTCAGAGTCCGAGGCTTGAAAGACTCGCTGCCTCCGGTCAGACATGTGAACTGCGGAGCTCTTCCCACATCTCGCGAGTTCTGCGAGACAGCTGTAGCGATTCTGGATCCGAGACTTGGAGGATGGATCCATGTACAAGAGACGTATCGCATGGAAGAGGTGATCTTCAAGGCCAACAAAACCAGATTGGAATTCGAGGCCATTGTCGAAGGACTGGACAAGGAGAGAGGATTCCTGACACAAGCCAATGGTATAAAGAGGAAGCCTGTTGTGCAACATATCCAGCGTATCGGATCGGACGTTCCGGGCATGTTCCACTGCATCATAGATATTCATGTTCCTCCACTTCCAATATGAAACCACTCACTCGTCCAAAGTCCATTGATTCGAATGGTCCTCTTGCTCGGCTCCATCGTCCTCCAACAAAGCCTCTTGCGCCCTCTGCGACGCCAAATAATCACTGTACACACCCGCCCACTTCTCGATCTTATCCGTATGCTCAATCAACTTTTGAATTGAAAAGCAGAATGGTATGAACACATCCGGATTCTGTTTGATCTCATCGGCCGCTTTTGCCAGATCGATGACTTCGGAGATGGAAAGACCGCCTCTACCCCATGTATCTGAGAACTTAAAGTAGGTGCGCTCTACAGCAGCTACGAATTCATCGTGCATGCCTTTAAGTTTGAGCGGGTTGGTTTTGAGACAAGGATGATCGTAATTTGGGTGAGGAAGGTGATAGTAAGAGCCATGGTAGCCATCTATACAGAATGGACACCAGCGATCGAAATGATTAACCCAGGTTTCCTTGGCTGTGGCGATGATCTGGAACACGATTGACCTGTGACCGCCTTGTCCGAGGTCTCCTTGAAACGTGACTCTGATGTCTTTGAACATCCCCGCCGTGAAAGGCAGTGTTCCCAACCATGCGAGTGTCTCGTCTGCGAAACTCAGGCCATAAGTCTTGTCTAGGCCTCTTGTGTATGAAGCTTGAAAGCTGTTCACACGTAAGAAGGTTGGGAGACATTCTTGCCTGATTTGCCTATTTACACAAGCTAGAGCTGGTGTTCGCGTGACTTCCAGATGCATTCTCCGTTCTCTTACTAGAGCGTACTGATATACCCGTACTCTGATCTCTGTTGGTAGATCTAGGAAGGGAAAGGGCTCTTCTGTGTTTAGTCTTGGATCTTCGGTCATCTCTTCTCGGGCGAGTGCCAGTTTTTCATCCTGGATGGCGATCTTGCGTCGATGTTTTGCGAATGCTCTAGCGCCTGAATGATATTGTGAACTGATTGGGATCAAGCCGAGGTTTCGATACGCCTGAGAGACTTCGCTCGATTGAGCGGCGTCCAGGTAAGACATGCCGACTGTCTCCGAACCTTTTCAGCGTCTAGAGCAATGTTTGATTTCCGATGAAGAATCTATGTCGAGATGGTATTACGCTCAGGCAACTTAGTAATGAGGAAATTCAAGATGGAAGCCGAGAGCGACTTGGTGACGTGCAGGCAATCGGCCAAAGCTACCTACTTTCCGCGCAAAACCCTCCACGCAGACCAGTTTCTTGGCACTTCACGAGGAATGCGCTCGGCATGGTTATGCGAAAGACGTGCTTCATTCTGCCTGTGTATTCCATTGGTCCTCACGACATACTCTTCAAAAGACCTATTATTGAACGATTCGTCGCTCTCCAAAGGAAGCATTCAGTAACCCAGATGGTTGCCCGAGATGCCGCTTGACCACTTCCAAACAATGATTATCCTTGCCAAAATCCCAACATGATGCAGCATGATGTTTATGCGCGCTTGATCTCCCATTTCTGGCCCTGAATACTGACTTCCTCGCTGGCCTTTTCGTCGTAGTCGTACCAATCGCCTTCTGTCAAATCAATGGCATCGAACTTTGTGTTTGATTCGACGCCAATGGCCTTCCACTCGCCATCGGGTTTGAATTCGACGAACTCAAGGCCTCTGCAGTCGAATTCGATGATCTTTTGGGCCTTGGGGGTATCGCTGTGGGTGTAGGCTTTGGGTGCTTCCTTGATGGATGCAGAGTGTTCTCTCTGTTTGAGTATAGATTAATCTGCCAGTTTCACTAGGAGAGAGAATATAGACAAACCTTGCAGTTCTTGCACTTCCAGACAAAGTTGGCCTCACCCCTGCTGCCGGACATCTCATTTTGTTCCTAGATGAGATGTTGGCGGTGAAAGAAAGAATGGAACGACGGTGAAGGAACCTACGAATCTGCTCACGCTGACCCAGTTGGGATGGACCTCACGACATGAAGTGCATTGCACCTTGAAGGTGTAGTAGAAAGGGCTGTCTTCGGTGTCGATGGGGGCGAGATCGGTTACACTGTTTTGAAAAGTGTTGGCATATGCATACTTATGATCGATGCCCGCAGCTACATGACCTACCCGTTGAGCTCGGCGGTCAAGAAAAGTGCCAACATGATTCGATGTGATTATGTCGAATGGAGAAAGGTTGTAGTTTGGAAATGCTCACAGTTGCATGCAACAAGCAAGAGAGTAACGAGAACACGCCAAGGCCGAGCGTGGAGTCGGCCCAAAAAATACCGGCGATCAATGACCAGACACGGCACAACAACAACCCTTCCTTTGCGATTCCAAGGACTCGGTGGAAGGGGAACGGGATGCAGCAGCGATAGATGATGCAAACAATTGGGTCTCGGATAGCGCAGACCGGACTTAGCTGCCATTGCCCGTCATGTGTCACAGCCGGTGCCAGCATTGTTGCTAGACGGACCACCAGTGCTGCCGCCAGACGGCCAGTGAGGTGGGCTCTATCCTCGACCTTTGTATACTCGGGCATCTTCGCCGCCGCCGCTACCACGGATGCTGGCTTCAAGCAAAAGAGACGGGAACAATGGGACCGCGCCATCGCCGACATTAAACACGATCTGCACGATTCTGAACTGGACAAGGGTTCCACTACTCAGGACTTCACACAGCCTAAGCAAGAGAAGGATGAACATGTGCAGGATGAACAAGAGAAAGAGGAGACTGTGCTGTGGAAACCCCTCTTCAACGACCCTCAGCAAGCCATTCTCGAGGACCGGCAACAAGAAGCATTCGAGGATGGCGCCATGTGGCCTGCGAACACTGGCTCTCACCTAAATCGAAATTTCGTTGCTCCCAATTCTATCTACGCCCGAACCTGGCATCGCGAGAGAGCCCTCGCCTCCCGCTATTCTACCAAGAAGCTGCGCACAACCGAATTTGCTGTCGACAAACTTATTCTGCGTATGCTCCTACACCTGGATGACCTCGACTCCCGCAAGGATATAGACGCTGTCGTACCGGAGTCATGTCGAGACTTCTTTGGCGCTCCTACTTCCCACCTCAAGGCTCTCTTGCTCTACACAAACGACCAGCATCTGGCGGCCACTACGTTTCCAGATTCTGATGCCGATGCACACCCTGACAGCTTTCCGCGTCAGCACAAATACGGTGTCAATTTTGGACAGGACGAGTTTGGTAATTTTCACCAAACTAGCCAAGACTTGAACAATGCTCTAGGTCAGCTATTTGAGACGCAAAAATCAGGGGGACTGGCCTACAAGGATCTTGTAGCAAAGATTGCTTACAACCTCTACATCTCTCCAGCACCCCCTAGCTTGGACTGCTGGAATACCCTGCTTTGCTACTTCTTAAGAAGTGACAATCTCTATCTGGTCGGCCCTCTGTTGCATGCAATTCGCAATGCAAATGTTCGGCAGAACGAGACCACAATCAGGGAAACACTCAGATACACCATCATGATCGGCTCGCCTGCCAAATTCGCCCGCTTTGTTGATAACATACGCGGTCTGGGAAAGGGTCTGATGCTTGCAAAGTCAACTACCAACATCAGTGATTCCGGTCGTTCTCGTCTAGTCTTGAAAGAGACCAGTAAGATTGTTCAGAAGCCACACCACTCACCGGAAGTCTTTGAGATGATTATACAAGGTGTCTTGCGCTTTGTCGGTTTCGAAGCCGCCCTCCGAGTTTGGAGGGACATGGTCGCAGATGGATGGGGTTTATCAATTCGTGGCCTGACTCCTTTACTCGACAATCGAGCGCGGAACGCAGACTACAAAGGCGGATGCCAGGTATGGGATGCAATCAAAAAGCTGCAAGAGGACAGTAGAGTCAAGGGCAAACCAGAGAAGTTGTTCGCTCGAACTTACACGGCTATGTTGCGTCTATGCAGTGCTTGCGACGACATGGTGCGCTTCGATGAGATCTTGCGCGAAGCACGCGCTGCCAAGTACGAGCATAGAACACTGTTGAAGATGTTCAGAGTAGAGATGCTTGCAGGGTCATCACCAATACCTCAGATGGAAGAACCCGATTCTCACATACAACGGTATATTCAGGACGTCACACGTGCGGAGCTTGAGAGGATTCAAATCAAAGGATCCGAGAGAATGGATGAGGAGGTTTCGGCGATCCCGGAACCTCCTGTTTTCAGCCACACACCGTCGGTACGCCCCCTTGTCAGGTATTTACCAGCGGACGTATTCTCTCATGTTGAGGATGACGAAGGATGGCTGGATTCATCCTTCGACGCAGTCCCTGATCGGAATCTCGAGGATGCCGATGACGAAGATTGGCTGGATTCACCAATGGAGTTAGCAAGGAACTAAGGAGGTACGGACTGTATATACAAGCAGAAGATCATTGCACTGGGATTCGGCGTTTTACAGGAAATCGGGCAAAAAGACATCAAGCGATTGATGCATTGCTTTTGGAAACGGCTGGGCGTGTATGGTTGTTGGGAAATCATGTACAACACAATACCAATGGGAATACGATAGAAGATGTAAATATCCATGTCATTATATTTTTGTATCAACAAGTCTGCTTGCTAGAGAGAGACAGCTTTAGGCAAGAGCGACGGCTGCCTTGTAGATCTGGTAGAAGCACAAAGCCAAACCTGCAGTCCAAGTCATGGAACGAGCGTGACTGGCTTGTTCTGACGAGGTGTTGATCTGAGTACCAAAATAAGCATTCGATGCAACTCACGATGGAGATGACATTTCACTTACGTAGAGAAGAGTGTAAAGAATTCGGATGCCCAAGAATATGGCAGCGAACTGAGCATTGCCAACATCGGTCCTTGTGAGCTTCTCGGCAAAGACACCAGACAGAGTTGCAGCGATGAACAAGGGCAAACTCTCCATGCTGTTCTTGTGTGCAGCTTCGGCACGTTCGTAGGTTGCAAAGACGGCAGGAGGCAGGGTCTTCTTCACGTGCTGAATGTTGCTCTCGCCTCTACCGTTGGCATTCGACCATTGAGTGTGCTTCTTGACGGTCGAGAGTGCGTAGCTGGAAGGTTTAGCTGTTGGGTATCAAGTCAATTGACTGCTACTTACGCGTGAGGAACCACAGCCAGGAAGGTGAAGGCTGGAATGGCAAGGAGAGCGTAGTCAGGCATCTTGGCGGTAGTGGAATTGGATCGTTGTTTGTGAGAAAGTGTAGAGCTTCTAGGATTGGAAGGAATTGGTCTCCTTGTTGCAGTACGTAAGCTCTGTCGGGATCGGGTCTCCTCTTTATAGTCGAGGTCGATGATGACGCCGTTGTGTGTAAGTACGAATACGAGACAATGTGTTATCTTATCAATCAAAGCGGGGTGAGCCCTGTGATTTTCGCCGGTGGCGCATCTGCTGACTGAAGAGAAAGTCGTTCCTTCGAGAATAATTTGTGTGACAAGACTCAATCTTTCTTGCCGTCCACGTTCGCCTTTTGGCCCTTTGTCGCCTCAAACCACTCCTCAGGCACTCTACCGAAGTGCTCATTTGCGCCACTCGTCAACTCGGCGGCGTAGATTCACCCAGCTCAAACCAGTTTTCACTCTTATCAGCACATCGTCATGTCGATGGACCTCGACTCGGTGTCGATGGCACCTGCTGCCCAGCGCGAGGTGACCAACGCGACGTGAGTTGGCCTTCTACCTTGCCTGTTTCCTACCTGTACTCACAAGTACCAGCATCCTCTGTTGTAACTGCGGTGCTCCCATCGACGGCACCGTCGCAGCCGGCGCTCTCTGTTACGATTGTATCAAGCTCACCATCGACGTATCCCAAGGCATTCAAAGAGAAGGAACTCTCCACCAGTGCAGAGATTGCGATCGTTGGTTGTCACCACCCAACCAGTGGCTCGTTGCCCAGCCCGAATCGCGTGAACTCCTCGCCCTCTGTCTTCGCAAACTGCGCGGTCTGAACAAAGTCCGCATCATCGACGCCTCCTTCATCTGGACCGAACCTCACTCTCGTCGTATCAAGTTGAAAATCACTATCCAACAAGAAGCTTTCCAAGGCACCATTCTGCAGCAGACATTCGAAGTCGAGTTCGTCCAGGCCAACCAGCAATGCCCCGATTGTCAAAAGAGTTTCACACACAACACATGGCGCGCCGTCGTCCAGGTCCGCCAAAAGGTCACCCACAAGCGTACTTTCCTCTACCTCGAGCAACTTATCCTCAAGCATGGCGCCCATCGTGATGCAATCAACATCAAGGAAATTCACGATGGTATCGATTTCTTCTTCTCTGCGAGAAATCATGCCGAGAAGTTTGTCGATTTCCTCAGCAGTGTTGTGCCCATGAAGAGCAAGAAGTCGCAAGAGCTGATCTCGATGAATGTCCACACTTCCGAAAAGACGTACAAGTTCGCCTTCTCTTGCGAGATTGTGCCCATTTGCAAGGATGACCTGGTCGCTCTTCCCATCAAGCTCGCCAAGCAGATCGGAAACATGTTCCCTCTCGCCCTCTGCTACCGTGTCGGTACCGCCGTCAACCTGCTCGACCCCAACACTCTTCAAACCGCCGAAGTCGCCACACCCATTTACTGGCGTGCTCCTTTCACCCCAATCGCAGATATCCCTCAGCTTGTTGAGTTCATTGTCATGGACATTGAAATCACCGGACCCACAAAAGGACGTATGGTTCTTGCCGACTGCACCGTTGCCCGTGCCGCTGACCTCGGTGTGAACGATACCACATACTTCTGCCGTACTCACCTTGGTGCTCTCTTGAACCCTGGTGACAGCGTCATGGGATACCTCCTCGCAGGAACCCAATTCAACAACAACGAATACGAAGAGATCGAGAGCAGCAAGACATACAAGTCTGCAATTCCCGATGTGATTCTGGTCAAGAAGCACTACCCTCGCCGCAAGAAGGCCGCCGGCCAGAAGAGAAACTGGAAGCTCAAGCGTATGGCCAAGGAAGAGAGCGAGATGCTGCCCCGCAAGCAGGACCAGGAGCGCCTCGAGCGCGACTTTGAGCTCTTCCTGCGTGATGTTGAGGAAGATGAGGAACTTCGCCACACAATGCAAGTCTACAAGGCACAGCAAGAAGCCGCCAACGAGATGGAGATGGAGACCGATGATGATGACGATGAGGAGGGTCCTCAAATCCCTATGGACCAACTGCTCGACGAATTCGAGGAGATGAACATGCAAGATGCCGAGTAAAGCTCTTGTATAGGTTCTTGATTACGTGTTTCCTGGCATGGTCGACTTCCTTGGAACAGGTTGATCCACACAAAATGGGTTACGGGATGTTTTCCTCACGGCGTTGATAGCATGTAAAGGCGTTTCTCATGTCCGTTATGTTTCTTATCTTTTTGGACGTTTAGAGATATCCATCAATGTCAGTCGCAAAAATCGCGGCATACTCTTATCACAATCACACGATGCTCTTTACGATCTTTCCAACCATATCTGACGTGCACCATCTGAGCATTCTTTGGCTCGTCTTTGTTTAACGTTCATGTCTTTGCCCAGCCAGTGTCAAAGTCATTGTGACTTCTTCAGCTACCAAGTCTAAGTTATCCTTGTGGGCAGGAGGTGCATTGAAGCTGGCTTATCACTGTCCTCAATGCAGAAACGGACAGCGTCGTGTCAATCACGCGTGCAGAAGCTTCGCTGATTGATGCAAAAATCGAGCGAAACTTCCTATACCAATGCTCGAGGATGGCAATCGGCGACTAGCATTGAGCACTGCCAATAGAGGGTGGTAGTAGGGGGTTTGGGTTTTCGAGGAGCTTTTGAGAGGCAAAGATATTAGAACTTGAAGATTTGTGGTACAAGTGGTAGCCGAGGTGACACGGACGACTGCATCGTGTCTCCCTTATCAATCACTATACGAATCGACGGCTACTTGTACCTAAGCACTAGCTTCGCCCTCAGCCTGCCTAGAAGCAACACTTCCACCCTTCCAATGACTCTTTGGATCGCTCCACAAAGTTTTTGCCTTGCTCTCCTGACCAACAGGTCCCCAACCACCGCCACCCGGCGTATTGATAATAATCCTCTCGCCAGGCTGGAATGCCGCGGTATTCTTGCCTCCGAGGTTGATATACCTGACCTCCTGCTCCTCCTCCACTGAATCCTTTTGTTCAGGTGCCTTGACTACATTGCGCACCCACAGATTCTTACCGCATTCCGCGTCTTTACCACCAGCAAGACCGTAAGGGTGGTACACACGACGTTCGCTGAGGATGGAGACTTGGACAGGGATTCTGAACTCGATGTCACGGACAACGCCGTCGCCGCCGTTGTGTTGGCCTTTACCTCCTGAGCCGGCGCGTAAGCTGAACTCGCGTAGAATGACTGGGTATCGTCGCTCAAAGACTTCACTGTCTGTGATGCGTGTGTTTGTCATGTGTGTATGCACGCCGTTGGTGCCATCCCAAGTGGGTCCAGCGCCTGATCCTCCAGCAATGGTTTCGTAGTAACCAAAGCCTTTGACGTGTTCTTTGCCATCTGCGTTGCCGCCGAAGCCAAAGGTCAGGTTGTTGCAATCGCCTTGAGAAGCAGCGCAAGCTTGGAATGCCTTCAAGACTACATCTGTGACTCTCTGACTAGTCAACACGTTTCCGCCCACCACGGCTGCAGTGGCTGAAGGTGACAAGAATGATTTCTTGGGGATCTTGACGTGGATGGGGGTCAGACATCCTTGGTTGAGGGGTATGTCTTCGCTGATGAGACAGCGGAGACAGTAGATGATGGCGCTGTACGTCACGGCTTCGGGTGCGTTCGTATTTCCGTAGACCTGTCGATGTTGTTAGTGACAAGGCGATGGACGAAGCTGCTTGATCTTACCTCTGGCCCTGTGCCTGTGAAGTCAAATACGGCCTCGCCCTTTTCTGCATCAATCTGGACATTCAACTTGATAGGACTGCCATCATCCATGTAATCAACAGCTGACAAGTCTTGACCCTCGAAGCGCTTGCTGACGTCCTTGAGTAACGCACGAACACTGTTTTCGGCATTTTGCTGAATGCTTGTCATATAGAACTGCACGACATTCTCGGTGTAGTCGTCGATGAGTGTGTTGATCAAGTTGATGCCCTTCTGGTTAGCAGCGACTTGAGCCTTCAAGTCGGAGATATTGTCAGCCAGGCAACGCGTACCACTGCATCCGGGATACTGTGCTGGTTCATCGAGGAGAAGCTCGGTGATTCGCTTCTCGTTAAACCTGCCCTCCGAGACCAGCTTCTCTGTCTTGATTGATGCTCCTTCCTGGAAGAGTTCTCGAGAGTGAGGGGGCATGGATCCAGGAAGGATACCTCCGATATCTGCGTGATGGGCACGGGAAGCGACATAGAACACGATTTTATCGCCACTGAATGCTGGCGTGATGACCGTGATGTCAGGCAAATGTGTGCCACCGTACATGGGATGGTTCGAAACCAGAACGTCACCTCGTTTGAGCTTGCCCTCCCAAATCTTTGCCTGCTTCTGAACACACGTAGACATGGAGCCCAGATGCACAGGAAGATGAGGAGCGTTGGCGACAAGACCACCTGTCGAGTCGAAGAGAGCACAAGAATAATCCAGTCGCTCCTTGACGTTGGTGCTGACACTAGTCTTCTGTAGCGCACGACCCATCTGCTCTGCAATAGCCATGAAACGATGAGCAAAGATACTGAGCATGATGGGATCAACGGTCTCGGTGTCGAGCTTCTTCTCAGAACCATCGCTCTCGCCAATATTGATGACAACGTGTGTGTCGATGATCAGAGCAGAAGCGCCCGGCGTGACGACAATAGTCTGAGTGCCGTCAGCAATGATTGCAGGTCCTTGGATACGGTCGCCAAGTTCAAGATCCTCGAGCTTGTAGATAGAAGTCTCCTGTCGGCCACCCTCGAAGTACACCTGCGATTTTCCGTAGACCTTCTCGTCTTTCTCAACATCTTTTGGCTTGACTTCTTGCAGCTGTTGGTCGACGGTCTTTTCTAGGCCTTCGAAAGTCTTGCCAATACCGCGAGCTCTGACGTCGTCGACGATGATATCTCTGTCGGGCAAAGTGAAGCCAAACTCTTGCTCATGCTGCTCGACGAAGGCTTTGCCGAAAGCCCAGTCGTCGCCGTCGAATTTCTTCTCAGCATCTTCCTTGCTCGGCTTGATGATCATCAATGCTGATTCGGTTCCTCGATACCTCATGTTGAGGTACTCTTCGAAATGTACATGGTCTTCTTCGAAGCCTTGGTCCTTCAAAGTGACCTTTGACTTTTTCTTGAGCTCCTCCATCTTGTTCTGGAAGTACTTGCGAGTATCACCGTCGTCAGAATAGACCTTGGAGTCAGGCTCTTGCCGTTCGTCGACGACATCAGCAAGTGCCATGCCGTAAGCTGAGAGAACCGAGGAGTATCTGTGGACGAGAATTTGACTGATTCCTAGAGCTTCAGCGATGGCGACTGCGTGCTGGCCGCCGGCACCACCAAATGTTGCGAGTCTATGCTTCGAAGTATCATGACCTCTTGCTTCAGTCAGACTGCGAATGGGTCTTGTCATGGTCTCATTGGCAATTTTGATGAAACCATAGGCGACTTCATCGGCGGACATGTTCTTGTCCTTGACTTCTTGGTTGATCTTCTTTGTTAGTTCTTCGAAAAGCTTCTTGCTGGCATCAGGGTCCAATCCTTCGTCTTCGTTCTTGCCGAAAATCTTGGGGAAGAAGTCAGGTAGAAGGCGTCCAAGGAACAAATTCGCGTCGGTAATTGTGAGTGGTCCGTCTTTTCTGTAACATGCAGGCCCAGGGTGTGCACTTGCTGATTCTGGTCCGACAACGAATAGACCATTCCTAAAGAACAGTCGTGAGCCTCCACCAGCAGCGACTGTGTTGATATCGAGCTGAGGAGATTGGATGGTGACACCAGCGGTCGTGGTCTCAAAGACGTGTTCATATCGTCCTTCGCCGTATCTTGATACATCAGTGCTGGTTCCACCCATGTCAAAGCCAATGACGGGCGTTTTCGTCTTTGGGTCGTATGAGGTCAAGGCATATCCAACCACACCGCCAGCAGGTCCGCTCAAAATAGCGCGCAGTCCCGAGAAGGAGTCTACATCAACTAAACCTCCATCTGATTGCATGAATTCACATCGCGCTCCTCTTGCGCCTTCCTCGTTCTTGACACTGGCAGTGCCCAGTCCGCCTTCGAAACCTTTTTGGAAGCCGTCGATGTACTTACGGATGGCAGGAGTAAGATAGGCATCTGCACAAGCGGAAGTAGCGCGAGGGACAAGCTTGATCATGGGCATCAGCTCGTGACTCAGACTGACGTGCTCGAAGCCAATCTCCTTTGCAATCTTGCCAACTAAGGCTTCATGGTTCGGGAAAGTGTAGCCATGCATGAGACAAACTGCGATACTCTTGAGACCAGAATTGTATACATCCTGCAGTTGCTTGCGTATTTGATCATGGTCGGGTCTCCTGAGAATGCGAACAGCTTCGCCTGACAAGCCGGTAACAAGCTCGGCATTCTCGCCAGCCTCTTCGATAGCCTTTGCTTCTGTGTGGTTCCTTGTAGGGTCCTCGGCGTAGTCTTCCAGAGTGACTCTCTCTTCAATCTCAACGACAGTCTTGTAGAGGACCTCGGGCTTCTTTATTGCCAGATCAAAGATGTTTGGTCTGCTTTGATTGCCGATCTCTAGGCAGTCCTTGAAGCCTTTGGTAACGACCATGGCGATATCTTCGCCTTTTCTCTCCAGCAAAGCGTTTGTTGCTACGGTTGTGCCCATCCTAATGCTTTCGATTTTGGTCGTGTCTAACGGCTCGCCTCGGGGGATATCTTTGCCAGTGAACTTAGAAAGGAGACGGCGAATGCCTTCCAGAGGGGCATCATCGTAATTTTGGGGGTCTACAGAGAGAAGTTTGATAACGACATCGTCTTTCATGTTGCCTGTGCCGGGGTTGCCGACACAGTCGGTGAACTGGACTTTAGTAAGTAAGGTGGATTGGGAAGGGTGCCTAGCGAGAAACTCACAGTGCCACCACGATCAATGGCGATACGAATGCCGCGCTCGCTTCTCTTTTCCGAGGCCATGATGTGCAGATGTGATGGGTATACACTCGGGAGTTTGGTGAATGTCGACTCTCGATACAGAGTGAGGTGTGGCGGGGATCAAGTGGTCATATGGGCAGTAACACTGTATGAAATGGAGACGCGACAAGACGGCAAAGGAGAAGGCGGGAGTTTATACGGATAGCTGCTTAACAATTGAGGATAGAGGATCGGAGAGGGTCAGCTATCGTGTATCGCTGCCCCACGGCATTGTGACGTGCGTCGGAACTGCAGGCTGTCGTGGCGGGGAACCACGGACATGTCTCTGGCAGGAAGATATGATTCTTTGTCGGCTCGGTGTACACATGAGCAGCATATAGAGTAGCAAGTCGAAGAATCGATTTAGACAGTCAAGCCGAAAAGAAGTGATTGCGAGATGTGGAAGTTAATTGCTTGTCTTGAGACTGAGCGACTCGATGGGCAGCTTCCGCACGGACGAGTCGCAACCGGAGGGGACATGTGGGAGATGATGGTGCCTGCCTCATGTTTATCCTTCAACGTCTGCAATCAATCTGTCGCGCAATGTCGCCGTCGCCCACCTTTGCGTATTGATCATACTCTGTGACACGACCGGCTACATGATTGTGCAATGAACGACTCCCACCCTCGATCCATCGCTGCCGATAATCCCCTGTACTCGTAGACAAGAAGCGCCATGGAAGACCACCCGGACCACCACGACCATGATGAGGATCAAGGCTTCGATGAGCAACCCAAGCCGCGCGAACTGCCCGCCGACCTGCCGCGCTCTCTCGATGACCGCAAGGCTTTCTCTGGTTACGGCAATGTCGAGACCGAGTACTACGATGCCTGGCAAGGTATGCAGCTGCCTGACTTGTACCACCATGCCCCCTGCCTGACCATCAAATCCGACAGGCCAGTCCCAGTTTCTCACCGCTCCCACCATCGCTCACTCGAACAATTTCAACCTCTCCCTAAACGAACCCGACAATTACGATCCCTCGGAACACGACCTGGCTGAGCACGACAGTCGGCTGGCCCACATGTTGGCAACCCAGGTCCGCAGCAACGACGACGACAACGATATCGAGAGCACAGAAGAAAACCTCGTGAACGACAAGAACCTTTCCGACCCCGAAAAGAGACAGATGCTACAAGACTTCCTCTTCATGGCTGCCAGCAATGGTGACCTTGGCCGCGTCAAGCGTTTGGTCAGAGGAAGCCCCGCCGTATACATCGACGTGAATGCTGTGGATTCTGAAGGTACTCCTCCGCTGGTCTACGCAAGTTGCTTCGGTCACAAAGATGTCGTCATGTCTCTATTGGATGCTGGCGCAGAGGTCGACAAGCAAGATAAGAATCAATGGAGTGCTCTCATGTGGGCCATGACCAACCGTCACAAGGACATTGCCAAAATCCTGTTGGATCACGGCGCCTCAACCGAAATTCAATCGTCTACTGGAAGGACCGCTCTCGATTTTGTTGCTCCAAACAGCGACATGTCAGAGTACCTCAACGACAGTGGCTACCAAATCGGGACTGCTGGTGTGACAGACGATTTCTACAATGCCGGCTTCTCCCAGGACCGCTTCGAGGAAGAGATGGCCGAGAATGAGATGAAGCGACGCATGATGATGGAAAGTGCTATGAACCTTGAAGTCGATCTGGGTAATCTTGGTTTGGACGAGCAACCGGAATCCGCGGATGAGTTTGAGGACTCGCAGGAATTTGTCTGGGACAGGTGCCTCAACGACCAAATGTTTGTCTTCCAGGAGAACGACTCGGATCGCATCCTCAACATTGTTGTCACCGAGATGACTCCCCAGCGATCAGCATCCCAAAAACCTATACCCGCCAACATTATATTCCTCGGAGCACGATATGCACATTACCACTCCAGCCAAGAATTGTTGACCGAGTGGTTGAATGCAGCTCAAGACAAAATCTACGCAGTCGTAGAAAAGCACCAGTGGGACATGACTATGCTCGCTTTCTGGATGTCCAACACAACCCTCTTATTGTACTACCTAAAGAAGGATCCCGGACTCGCCGAAGTGACCTCGACATTCCAAGCCAAAATGGCAGAGCTGATCCACGAGATCTACGTCCTGATCATCCGCGACGCCGAAAGACGAATGGACAAAGTCCTAGACGAAGCCATGCTTGACCACGAAACAATCCCTGGATTCGAAGACATTGCATTTCAAAACGAATGGAAATTCTTGCGGTCGAAACCAAAAGTGAAAGCGCCTGAACCGCTAGAAAAACGTTTCAGACCTCCCTCGCCGAAACGACGGGCCCAAGTGTCTCCGAGGAATATCACTTCCTTGCTTTCTTCGACGTTATTTGTGCTGGATCTCTACGATGTGCACTCGGTCATCACCACGCAAATCATGTCGCAGTTGCTATACTGGCTCAGTGCAGAAATCTTCAACCGCATCATGTCCAATAAACGCTACCTCGCCCGCACAAAAGCAATGCAAATCCGCATGAACATTTCCCAACTCGAAGACTGGGCACGCACGAACAACCGCGCCCCCGAACACTTTGAGAACGGCTCTCTAAACGCCACAGGCGAGAACATCATCGAAGCTGCACGCAAGCATTTGGCACCAGTGGTTCAATTGCTGCAATGGCTTCAGTGTTTTTCGTCACTGGGACAGGATGATGAAGCACTGGATACCACGTTGCAGCAATTACCGGCGTTGACGACGAAACAGTTGTTGCATGCGGTAAAATACTATCGTGCAGAGGTTGGCGAGAAGATTCTCCCCAAAGCGGCGCTCAAACATGTGGAAGAGAGCAAAAGGCAACTCGCCCACAAAGCTCTAGAAGAAGCCTCTGCACCACCTCCCCCTCCCTCTGCTACCTCTACAACACCAGCGACATACGCAAAAGACGCCAAACCCCCACCGCCTGCACCACCCATCCTCCGCAAAGACGAAGACGATTCACCAGAAGGCAACCTCGTCGATCCCGCTTTGCTGCTTCCTTTCCACCTACCCACATCAACGGATATGCTAGTAACCTACGGCGCAGGCTTCGGCGGCGTGAACAGAGAAAGGGAAAGAAGATATACCCCTACTGTGCCTCCAGATTTTTTCCAAAAATTGGATCCGAAGGGGGGCAGGAAGGATTTGTATGAGGATGCCAAGTGGAGTGACGAGGATGTTGATTTGGGTAGTTAGACAAAGAGTATGCAGAGGAGAATCTTGTTCTTATCGAAGCTCTGACTAGTGTGCTTTTTGGCTTCGTGTGTGAGCAATGTATATTGTGACTTGTGCTGTTGTGTTGTATTACGAGATTTGGCACAAGAGAGGAAACCAGAGCATCAATCTTGAAGTGTCGATCTGAGGAAAATTGAATGAGATACTAGTCGATACACAAAACAGAACGAAAGAACCCCCGTATACTCAGACTAACAGCTGTGAACGATGACCATCTTGTCAAGTATGCAACCTCGCAACCTATCCTCCGATCCGAACATGCATGGAAGTCAGAGACATCAAGGCCAAAATACCATGATGTACAAACGAGATAGACACAACGAGCAGAGCAGAGTTGCTAACCACAACGAGAGAAATGGTATATCCACATCAAACGACTGTCTGCCAACGCGTCAATATCATCCCGGTGTTGTCAGAAGATGGTGCATACCGACCTGAACGCGTACACAATTCTGATTATATTCCAAGTCAGGGACGAGGATCGCGTGTATTGAACAGATATCGAGAATACGCATGACCAGAATATGCCTCGTCAGAGTCATCACTAGAAACTTCGGGCAATGCGAGAACGTTAAAGGGAGCAGAAGACGCAAGAGGATCCAGAGGAGTCTTTGCCGTTTGAGATCATTATCGCGAGGATCTCAATTGCCTGATCTCTTCTTCCAACCGTACAATGCTTGACAGCTGTCGCGTGATTGTCCGTCGAAATTCCCTGCGTGTCTCAGAGATGACAGGCATGTCTTCATCGTCCGAATCTTCGTCGCTCAAGGTTTCGTCGCCCCAGTCATCATCGTCCGAGTCTTCCTCGGTGGTATCAGAGGAGTCCTCCGAAGTAATATCATCAGAAGACCGAGAAGAGTCGGAAGACTCGGAAGAGTGGGAAGAGTGCGAAGAATAAGAAGAGTCAGAAGAGTTTCCATCACTAGAACTGCCATCCGAATGAGGTGACTCGTCTTCAGATTCCTCGAGAGAGTCTTCGGCAGGGGTTCCAACATGACACCAAGGACTAAAAGTATGCGCATCGTCATTATCTTCCTCGTCTTCTACGGCCTGTCCCTCGAGGGTCTCATCAATGACACTGTCGCTGAAACCATTCTACGATGCTTCTGTCTCCTTGTCGGATGCCTCTTTCATGACTGTGTCTTCCTCCGATTTTGCTGTCGTGTCGTCGGGACCCTGTGGTGATTTGAGTGCTTCGGCCTCCTCGGTTTCCTGGATCTCTTCTGTAGCTGGTGCGTCTGGCTTGTTCGAAGGTTCTTCCACAGCCACTGCTGCTGGAAGATCTTCTGCGACATGTTCGACTTCCGGCTTCTCTTCCGCGACTTCGACTTCGGCAGCTTCCGGCTTCTCTTCTATCACCTCTCCAACTTCTTCCTTCTCTTCTACTACCTCTCCGACTTCTTCCTTCTCCTCCACTGCTGTTCCGGCTTCCTCTTTCTCATCAACCGTTTCCATGGGATCGTCCTTATCTCCAAGTGCTTCTACAGCTTCTTGCTTCTCTTCTGCGACTTCTTCGGGTCCCTCGTTGTCCTGTGTGACCTCGCGAGCTTCGTGCTTGTCTTCTGCTGCATCGACGGCTTCAGAGACAGTCTGTTCGGTCGCCTCGGTGGCTGGTGCGGTGATCTCCTCTGCTTGTGCCATGGCTGACGGGATTGGCTCCTCAGCCTGAGGCTCTGATGGTACAGCAGCTGTGCTTTCAACGGGTTCCTCTTCCTGAGGCTCCTCGCCTTCGCTGACTTCGCCATCTTCGCGATCGTCATCCTCGTCGCCTTCGTCGCCCTCCTCGCCGTCTTCATCATCGCCTTCATCGTTATCATTGGCGTCAGGCTTCGGGGTAGAGTCGATATCCATTGCTGAGTCGTCTCCATTTGCATTGAAAGTCGAGGGTGTGGCGACGCTAGCTCCGCCTCCAGGGGTCGAGGTTGCTGCGGCATTGTGTCCATCATTCGGGTTGAACATGACCTTCTTCTTGCCACGGCCAGGTCCACCCTTTCTGATTCTGCGTGGAGGAACAGGTTTGCGTCTCAATGGTTGTTGCTGTGGCTGAAGTAGGTCGGTTGCAACAATGACACCTTCAGCATTGGCAATGCCAACACCTTCGATAACTGTACCAGGAGCTGCCTGTACTGGCGCGGCATCAGCCATGATGGCATCTTCTGCGACTTCGCCTTCGACAGTTTGACCTTCAGCAACCAGTACTTCGTAGACTGTAGTGTTGCCATCTGCGTCCGACTTCATAATCTTGGTTTTGCGTGTGTTTGCCGACGAAGCCACGGCATTTGCTGCTTGCAGTGCTATCTGTGTGTGCAGACTGGGAAGACCCTTGCGGCGTTTAGCAAGGAACTCGCGCTCGGGCTTTTCGAGGTGAGAAGGCACTTGGCTCCACTTCTTGGATTGCCAGCCCGTTTGGACAGGTTCGCCCTCATCTTCTTCTTCCTGTTTGTCGTCTTCGGTAGGTTCCTGGGGTCGTTTTGCAAGTCTGGGTCTTCTTGCTTCACGCAGCAGTTGTTGTGTCCAAGGAGCCAGCTGGTGTGAGTCACGTGGCATGGGCAACTCAGGCAATGCGTCACCACCTTGAGCAACCTCTGTTGGTGGCGGAAGACCTACAATGGTCTCTGACTGAGACCATTGGCGAACAGGAAGGCCTTCGAAAACATCATGATCGGCCTGGGAGCGACCAGAGCGATTGCTGCGGCCTCCAGCGCGGAACTGTTGAGCCATCGACGTCAGTTTGGATTCTTGAGACTTGCTCGGTGGCCGAGAAAGCTAAGGCTTGTTCTTCCAGATAGTGAATTGTGTTGCTGTTGGAATAATATTTGTGTGAAGATGATGGGTTAGAAATAGGTAGATGAGAGTTGAGTCCTGTGTATGTTTTTGGGATGGGAATGCCTTGACTGATGTTGAGCAGGATGGACGCGGCTTCGAGAATCTCGTGATCGATATTCTCCAAAGATACGTTGGGAGTCATATTCTTTTGAATAAAGTGCTCAGGGAAGACAATCGGGAGTGCGTGTTTTTGAGGGAGCATGATGCGCGGGAGTTGAGGATGTGCAGTGAGAGGGAAGGGTCAAGCAGAGAAGCGCCGAACAGGAAAGAATAAGGCGAAGAGTGGGACAGAGAGAGGAAGGCACGTACAGGAGCCATGACCTGTGTTTTTCTTACACTTCCGGGTCAGAGAGTTTCAAAGACGAGTCGCAGGTCCAGACAAAGTTCGATACCTGTCTCCTGATAACAATATCGCTGTTGCCTGTGGATAATCGTCTCTTATTAACGCACTCTTTGTGGATGATAAACACCTGTTGCTTGGTTGGCGACAGCGCGTCTCCCCTCACGGGCCGACGACGCGACTTGACGGACGTCTCGGGAGTCTCGGCGCCCGGCGACTCTTCGGCATATATGTTGACTGGTTGCTCAGCAGTCTGCGTCTCTGCAGCGGGACCACGCCATGATACTGCTTATGTGGATATGAGATACTAAGTGTATAGGATGATCGTATTGACTCGAATGTGGTATGTTTACAGTTCAGCCCAATTGGGCGATTGGTATTTTAGAAAGCATATGAAACCATGACTCCACCTCCGTTACACCCGAAAGTTGACAAGCTCAGTCCCAGCTAGCATCCATGTTAGCATGTGCATAAGTAAAGTGTTAAGAGGCAACTGCAAAACTTACCCGTGTTCGGTCTGTCTCATGATGTCGTTTCTGCCGCCGGTCTGCTTGCCGGTCTTGCCTCCCTCGACTACTAGCCTGTCTAGCTGGAAGAACTGGCTGACGACTGTTTGTCTCTGTTACGTGAAAGTCAGCAGCCATCGCTTGTAAGTTGTGTATGTTGGGTCGTATGTGCAGCTATGCAGTGGCCGTATGGGAAGTCTCAGCACCACGCCGTCTTTGCTCTTGTTCAGGCCCGGTGCCACTGCATATCGCGATTGCCGCATAACTCCTTCCTGGTCCCGTCTGAAGACTCACCTTCAACATCTGCAACTCTGTGTTTCCCTTCGACAAAAGCTCTTGGATCTTACTCGAGTCGGACTCGGCAATGTGCTGGCGGAAGGCATCCTTGGTGCGACGCACGGCGTACTCGCGGAAGTTGTACGCGGCGAACTGGTTTCCCTGGCGCAAGAGCTTGCGGTACTGTGTCGAGAGACTGTTAGCTCGGTGTACTCTTCAGCGGCGAATCGTGGTATCGCAAGACGTGTTTGTCGGACAGAAGATTTCGCATTCGATCGAGATGGATGAGCCGTACCAGAGAGCGGACTTTGATTTGTGATGCGCTCATGTTTGTATGTGCGAGTATTGCGAGGCAAGAGATTCTTTGACAAGTTGTCTCTGCGGCGATTCATCAGCATAAGCTTTCTGCTTTATCGTATGCAATGGCTGAGCGGATGCAGACCACAGAGTGGCCAATTTACCTACCGTGTGTTTCGTCGCGCAAGAAGTCGTTTAACAGCAGGTCAGTAGTGTATAGTAGGTACTTACCTATCTCCAAAGCAAATGTTGCCGCTATGTCATCCAAACTGACAGACCGAGACTCCGAATCTCCGTCCGACTTTCGGATGCTTGGCAGGGTCTGGACCGATCGATTGCAGCAATTCATGAGAAGAAAAGAAGAGAAATGGAGAATAAAGCCAACTTCGATATGAATAATGATCAAATGTCGTGTGATTAAAAACATGCTAAGCCCTTCGCGAAACAAAAGAAACAAATACCCAAAGTCCCGTGTCCTGCAAGATCATTCTTTGACGCCGTGCCAGGTATACCCCTTGTCCCGATTCCCACCCATCCTTGTCCATTGCGCTATCAATCATCGGCCTTGACTGCTCTCATAGTGCGAGCCATCTTGACTGCATCCTTGTTCACCGCTCTGACCTTCATTGAGCCTTTGGGGATGCTCTTGTTATCCATACTACGGCGAGCTGGCTTGGTCATGCGGGGACTGGCTTCGACTGCTCGTGATGCCTCCTTTTTCTTGATGGAGGACAGTCTTCCGAGCTTCTGGGTCTTCTTAGGCTCCGGTGTGGCCTTGGGTTTGCGTCCAGTCATCCTTGTGGTCACTTTCTGGACGAAGCGTCTGGCTCCATTCTTGTCCTTGGTGACAGTGGTTGTGGTGGTCGTCTTCTTGACTGCAAGATCTGCAGGGATAATACCCTGCTTTTGAAGCAGTGCAATCTGCTTGTCCTTGCGGGCCTCCTCAACTCTGGTCTTCTCCATAGTTTCATCGACGTATACCCAGCCCTTGGACATCTGAGGAACCTTGCGCTTCTTGAACAGTTCCTTGTCGACCTCGGGCGCAGCAGTGGCACCGAAGAACTCGCCCACTTTGCGCTTCATGCCGGCAGCCATTCCTTCCTTCTCCTTCTTGGTTACGGGCTTGTTGGCGTCCTTGGGTCTGGGGCCTAAGACACCACGGCAATTGGTCGCACCACAACGGCACTCCTGAACATTCTTAACCGAGTAAGGGCTGGGAGATCGTGTCAGATTATGTTGTTAGAACCAAGGACCGATATTTGACTTACTCAAAGTTGTAGTCGTAGGTCAGTTCTTCACCAGTAAGAATGCCGCGATCACCAGCGAAGAGAGCCATGCGCGGATGGCCTCCAACGAAACGCTTGAGCATCTTGCAGTTGGGCTCGCACGAGTGGTTGACGAAACGAGCAATCGAGCCCTTGGTAGCATCAAGGATCATGCCTTGATCAAACTCCATCTGATAGTAGTCCTGTAAGATGTCAGCATATAATCCAGTCTCTCCTGTATACTAAAACTCACGGCCTTGTCCTTGTAGTCTTCTCTAATTCTTCTACCAGCCTCGTTGGGTGTGATGATCTCACCAGTGTACTCGGTGATGATTTCATGCGGCTCGTAGGATCTGCAAGCGCGTACACCAAAGCCTCGGTCAGGAGTCTTGATGACCTCGACTCCTGCATTGAAGAGATAGTATGCTGACTTCTTGTCGGCCTTGTTTGCACGCTCCGTGCGGACTGCGAGTCCTGCAAAGTCGCGGTTCGTGCATGAGTCTCCAAGACCGCAGTTGTTCGAATCACACTCGTAGTCCATGGCACGGTTGAGGCAGTGTTCTCCACATCCAGGTTCAGAAGATCCAGGGACTGGTGGAATGCAAGTGCACAGAGATCTCTCGTAGTAGGACTTCTTCCAGTAGTGGACGGCATCACCAACGAAGCGGTTCTTGTGAACCTTACCCCAGTCCTTTGGCTTCTCCTCACCACGCTGATGATGGACAGGAGCAAATACGTCGTAAGGGATGGTGAAAGGTCGTTCTCTTTCAAGGTAGGAGAACATAGGTAAGGCGACAAGGCTGTTGCGCTTTTCCGGCTGGGTAGCATCAGGAAGGAAGGACGTCGACAAGGGGCGGGCCTTGCCAGTGGGCTTTCGCGTAGGTTTAGGAACGGACATATCATCGTAGCTCGAAAGGTTTTGGCCGGCATATAGACCTTGAGTCTCGTAACGTTTTGTCGGCTTTTTGCCCTTGGAGGAGAAGACCTGTGGCATTGTGATGCTGAAGCTTGATGAAAGACGAGCGAGCTTGCTGGGTCTTTCAACACGTTCGTGTTGCTCCTCGACGATGTTGTTGTCCTGTTGTGCCCCCTCGTTCGCGTCCTTGGGGCCCTCGATTGCCAGCAGACGACGACTCTGTCTGCGGTCCGTCTTTTCTGGTTCGCTTGCTTCTCGGTCACGCTTGCCAAGGACACTCTTCACTCTCCCCAGAGCACGGCCGGTCGTTTCAATCAACATGTCCATGGAAGATCTGTGTCGACGCTTCTTCCTGTCAGGCAGGTCAGAAGCTCCAGGCAGGTTGTCCATCTCCCAGTCCATGTTGAGAGCCTTGACACCCTCGTTGAGCAGCTGTCGATTGGGAGTACTGCCCGAAGGTTCAGGGGCGTCTTCGACGAGGGTATCACCAGAGAAGTTACGAGCAGCTTTCTCCTGTGCCATTTCGAGGCCAGCAGAGGTACGGCGTATGCCAGAGAGAAGGCCCAGATTGTAGGATGCAGGACCAGACTTGCGACGAGACGAGCGACGCGTCAGGTCCGCTGCAACTGTCGCGTTCATCTCCTCCTTGTCGGCTGCAGATGCGAGATGGTCCTGTTCGGAGATGCTGGTAGGAGGGGTGGACATTACAGCGAGAGCAGCTGATGAGAGCGAGCCCTCACGCGCGCTGCCACCGACTTCGATGTTGGATGCTGCTGAAGACGAGCTCGTCGAGCCCGTTGAGACTCTGGGGAGAGGTAGGCTCTTCCGTTGTTTCGCCATGTCCCTGGCGGATGGTACGGGATCGAGGTGGTAGTGGTTGAAATCAAGGTGGGGACAGACGCGAGAAAGAGACGCGCCGACCAAAGAGCCGTTGCTATATTCGCTAAGCCTATCTCAAGCAAGATCTCGCGGGGTTCTGGATGGGGTCGATATCTCTTTCTGCTGTTTGACGATGAGTTCAGAAGGACATGGCTCACTCTGACAGGCAGGGGTCTTCAGGGATGGTGTGTCCGTTTGTTGTGGCACGCATCCGAGCAGAAGTGGAGGATAAAGTTCCCGCGCCTCAGTCGCGTCTTTTGTGGCATTCCGCTCCCCTCAGCAACACCCGTGCTCACCATCAACACATGCATGTGCTTGTACATGAGATTCCACTCGCGCCTCGGACAACATATGATTGGCATGTTTCGAAAAGTGACTTGATTCGCTGATAGGGGTATAGAGACTAGATATATATGTACAACCAAGAAAGGAGCAGCAAATGGGAACAAACCCAGCGTCGTGAACGTGAACAATCGTCACAGTGCTGCAACATGAACAAGAAGCTGCGAAAGTAAGGAAAGGCATTAGTGGAGAATATTCATCTCCTGGGTGTGTTGTTGATGGGAGTCAAGGTCCGTTGTCCTTGGAATTCACCAGTGTTACTGCTGACAGTCGCACCCTTGATCTCGCCCATCTCCATCTCCTCCTTCTTTTCTGACTGCTTAGCCATTCTAGACCTCCGCTCTCCGAGGCGTTGATCGCCTTCCTCGTAGCGGTGTCTGAAACGCATATATGTTGGCGGCCGAGGCCTCGTGAAGACGCTGGCCCAGTTTCCAAAGATCGAGTGCTGGCTGAATGGTCGATGGCGATCCTTTTTCTGGAACTTGTGACTGTTGAGATATTCTCTGGTTGTCTCACCCCTGCCCATGAGGAAGAGATGGTAACCCCAGAGACTCATAGGATATGTGAGAATGAGGAAAGAGTATACACACATGGCAGCCGGTACACGCCAGACATTGAGAGCATGTCCAAAGTCGGAGTTGTTCCGCTTCATCCACACAAGGATATGGGTAAGACTGGCTGCAAGTAAGAATAGGCCCAAGACTGTTCCGGATGCGACAAATGCGAGGAAGGAGCGGTAATTGCGTCGTCCAACACAATTGTTGAGCCAAACACAGTGATGATCCTGAGTCTCGATACACGAGTCACAAACGCGGCAGTGGTGGGCACGAGGAGGGCGCCAGATCTTGCACGATTTGCAAAACTTGATGGGGACTTCCATGGCAGTAGTACCATTGCCACTTGCAGATGGGCCAAAGGATCTAACAGTGACCCACTCTGTAGTTGACGGTCCAATAGCTAATGGATCCTCGTCTGCTGGGGTAGGTGGCTGAGGATGGAGATTACGTGGGATGATCTGCAGCCTTGGGTTAGCATAGGAGGTACAAAAGGCTGGCCGGAAGACACTCACACCAGGTTCAGAAAAGGATGCGTGGATGTAAGAAGAAATACAGATGAAGAAAACGTAGGCGAAAAGGATGGGTATTGCTGGAGAAACGTGACGCCATAGCCACGGAGCAGAGAAGCCAAAGAACAAAGCAGCAGGGATGATAGCAAGGAGTGCAGTAAAGCCATTAAGTGGCCGTTGGCGAGTATTAATAAGTCTGCCATGCAGAAAGAAGACAGCATTGCCATTGAAGTATTGATGGTTTCTCCCGTTATTCGGCTTAGGGTCCGAGGCGATAGGTTTGGGCGTGTAGTTGGCAGGCGAAGGGGGTACAGATGGTAGCTTCTCGTGGCCGTCTCTATCGGCGCTTCTGCCGTTGACCCTGCTCGAGCGACTCTGGCGGCTCCACGACGCTCGAAGAGAGATGGGTGATTTCTGAGCCTGCAAAGATGAGACAGAACGCGTAGTACCATCTATGTCTAGTGCAGGTGGCTTTCGCAGAGGGTATTGGCTCTCTTGACTTTTGGCACTACCGAAGGGCTGAAGATCTCGGTTGGACTCGTAGTTCGGGGTTCCATTTCCTCGAGAGGTGGGTAACGGAGGAGCATCCGGGTCGATTCGAGGCCTGTTGCTCTGTTCGATGGTCACGATCGATGCATTGCTATTGCGCGAACGGTGAGTCCGGCGACCACTGTCGGTACTTGGTCTTGCTATAGGAAGTTGCGGGGTCTTCGGACTCGTAGGCGGTGGAGATTGCGGCGGAAGGAACGCGCTCGAGATGAGATTTGGGACGTGGGTGCGGCGAGAAGGATCGGTTTGGTAGCTGCCACTGCCACGGCCGCCCAGAGAGGGCACGGGAGAGCCTACACGGGCCTGGGGTGCGGCGGATCTTGTGCGGAAAGATGAGTTGGTGGTATTGGTGGTGGGACGAGATGGTGGAAGTCCTGCTTCTCCGACAGGACCGGTGTTGGTAAGGACAGTGTGGGTGTGTTGATGGTCGCTGTCCGGACCGTGGTCGTTGTATGGAAGGCCACTGTCGGCCATGATCGTCAAGCGCCGGCGATGATCAATGCATGTCCTGTTGTTGTGTACCGCCGGTGTTTGTTGTTTGTCGAGTCGACAGCGCACAAGTCCTCCAGATGCACACCAGAACGACACGATACTAGATCGGAGAAGAAACAGTGCAGCGACTTGTTTGCTGGGTGCAGGAAGTCGTCGACCGTAACACACGATCAGCGCCGTTTCCAAATTGCACGCCCAAGAGTCAAGCCGTCCGTGCCACCTAAACTCTATCAACAACTTAATTTACCATTGTCGGGGACTATCACATGCATGGCCTCTCGGTCTCTGAGTGAGGTGCCTCCTCCCATGTAAGTGAGCCGATTATATCGCATCCGTGAAGGAAGTTGCAGGTCGATAGTTCCCGCCCTATGAACGAGTACATCTAGGCTCAAAGTTGGAGTTGAAATGCGTGAGATGGAGTCAATATTATCCATCATGACTGGGCACGCAGTATATCCACCTCTCGGTTTTTTAAATCTGCACACTCTTTCTTTCTTCAGCCCAGAGAAGGACCTTTCTAGGACTACGCAGAACGATCGAGGGCCCTCTTTCCAGGATGCCACGAGAGCTCGTGCTACAGATAGCCAAGTCTTTACCAACTGAGAGCAGCTATTGTCTAGCACTCACCACGAGAAGCCTACTCTACGATCCAGAGATACGGATTCTTGGTGGTCTGGATACCGAGCGGACCGAACATCACCGTCGCAGACTGCTGCCCTTGTTAGCCAAAGACTGGCCTGACAAGACCTTTTGCGATTACTGCGCCAAATTACACCCTCACAGAGACACACCCAAAGTATGCAAGGACTGGCAGCGTTGGTCATCTTGCCCTCGTAAAACATTAGGCATGTGGCTCCATCTGGACCCTTGGGACTACCATATACAGTTCGAGGATGTCTACAAGGTTATGGAAAGCCATCGCTCGGGTAGAGACGACCTACACTCGATTACTCTGCACACCGATTGAGAGGCCATGGATTACAAGGATATGGATGCTCTGGACTGCAAGATAGATCGACTCACTGAATCTCACGAAGGAGTCAGAAATCTGGAAAAACGCGCGAACATCAACAAGGGATGCTTGAAAAAGCTGGATGTTGTGCCTCTGATACTGGACGACTCCTTGATCATGACAACCACGCAGCGAATGTTCTACCAGGCCGAACAGCGCGATGATTTGCTCAAGAACAGCATCAGGCGGCATGTCTTCAGGCCTTGTTCACATTGGGATTGGACGCCTGGAGAACCGGACGGTCCTCGCTGGTCGCTCATGTCCAGTGTAGAAGAATACATCACTCAAATCCTCCATACGAAGACCACTCCACGCTCGAACAAAGATAATTTGTGTCTCTATGTACAGAGTTTCGCTCCAAGTAAGTGCTATAACTGCTCGACAGAGTACAGCTTCCGCGTCTGGAACCACGGTAATCTCGGGATCGAACTTTGCCTGGAGACCTGGACAAAGCTAGGCTCTTGTAGAAGAACCGGAGAGTTATGGTGGCTCACTGCTGCACACCACACATGCGACACATATAGTCGCGACCACTGTGCAGAGATGCAACGGCGACTTCCATTGTGAGGCCCTGCCCTCGGGGCTCCGAAATTCGATTTCCTATTGAAACAAAGCAGTACTGCCGTCCTTGATCCGTCTTTTCTGCGTGCTTTCAGGAACCTGTGCAGCAAGGGCTATTTTGTCGACACGAGCGCAACGGCGCCTGATAACTACGCCATCACGGCAGGGAAATCGGAACCCAAGAAGATGGCCGAGCAGTATCAGAAGAAAGCCGAGCACTACCGGACAAAGGCTGAGTACTACCAGAAGATGACCGAGCAGACCAAGCGACACAAAGATCAGAGTCCTTTTGAGTTGGGGGATACTGCTGCAAAAGATGAAGCTGAAGAGAGTTTATGGTCAATGACTCGGCTTCTCTTGCTGATGGCTTGCGTAACTGTACTCCGTAGAGTTGCACAATTCCTCGAGCAGATGGGAAGCTACAATCAAGAGCCGTAGAATCATCGACTCTCTATGGACTCAACTACTAGTCAGGATAGACTGTGCCTTGCGATAGGATGAACTTGTCTTATTGCTTGTCGAAGCACACTAACATAAATGTGTCTCGAAGCAACGACTCGAAGCTGAGCACAAAAAAATAACAAATGTGATGTTGACGGCCAACCAGTATATATAACAGATTTATCTCCTGACGGATATATCATATACTCTTCAAGAGACCATCAGCAGTGTTTCCAACAGTACAACACTATATTCGACGACATATCATACCATCGATGTGAAAGACGAATGTAGCTCGTACAACCCTGCCCCGAGCGGAGCGCCAAGCATCACCCCATCATCGGAGCGGAAACCCAAGCTCGCCAATTCCACGATTCGACCCGCAAGCAAGCAACTCCATACCAGCAATTGGCACTCTTCCACTCAACCACACCACACACACCTCACACACACACACAATGGCCTCAATCATCGGACGCGCCGCTTTCCGCGCAACTCGCCCTCTCCGCGCCTCAGGCATCAACTCGGGCGCCGAAAACGCTGCCTCTGCCGCCAGCCGCGAAGCCGACAAGAACGCTCTCAAGCAGGGCGCCCGCAAGGACCCCGAGCTCTACGTACGTCGACAATACCTCTGCTGCCTCCTGCATACCCAGAAAGATGTTTCGAACGATTGCCTCAACCCAATTGCTGCTCGAAGCCTCCACACTTGCACTGCTATACTGCTACGCATTGTCACGCACCAACCAATGACAGCATACCCAATTACTAACGTCTTCTTCGCAACAAAACAGATCCTCCTCACCATCATGTCCGGCGCCTTCGGTCTCGCCGGCTGGCACTTCTCGCGCAACCCCACTTCCTCCTCATCCGAGAACCCCGTCAGCATCGCCGCCGACTCGGAGCCTTGGAAGACCGGCGGTGAGGCAAAGTACCAGTACCACCCCGGTGGTGACACCAGCAAGCCCCGCAAGGATGCTCCCTCTGCCCTCAACGAGGTCATTGTTCCCAATGTCAACCTGCCTAGAGTGAGTAGTCGGAAACATGCGATGAAACATCAAAGGGACTGCAATGCTGATACGTTTGAACAGGAGCTTCACGAGAAGTACAACAAGTGGGGCAAGGACGGTTACTAGACAGCTTCAGCGATTGGCTTGTAATTGTATAGATACCAACTTAACCCAAAGCCGACTTTTATTCTTTCAACCTCAAAATCTCACGCTTCTACGAATCATCTACCCTGGAGGCACATACAAAGTTCTCTCGAAACAGTACATTGTCTGTCTTTATTTGTCTGTCTATAATACAAGTTGTCTGAAAGCAAGAGAAATGTAGGACGCATTAAAAACCGACTGGCTACAAGTTGTTCATCCGCTTGACCCTCTCCCACGTTCTTGTGCGTCCCGACTGCCTTCAGAGAGAAGCCATAAACCAATCCACCGCCCCTTATGTTTCTATCCTTAGTACTTCAAGTTCGAGCCGACTCTGTGCCTTCCTTCAGAAGGGCGAAATCCAGAAGCACCAGCACCACGTCCATCGTAGACACCAAACTTGCTCTCAGATGGTAGAGGTCTGTAGCGCGCGTCTCTACTGATGCGCTCTGGAGGTTGACTCCAATCCTCGCCAAAGAAGCTGTTGTTGCCGTTCGCGCTCTTGTCAATGCACCATTCTGGAGGATCACAAAACGGAGCCAGATATCCGCGACGCTGTTCGAGAGGGCCTTGAGTATACTGCGAGAGACTCTCATGCATGGACAGAAACAAGCGTGTCGTGACCTCATTGAATGGCTCTGATTCCCGATTCTTGCTTGACATTGAGCAGACAGGAGGAGTTCCGATGGGTCCAGGGTTGGCCACAGGCTGCGAAATGCTAGGTTTCTGATTGTGTGCAGTCTTGATATACTTGAGATGTTCATTCTGACGCTCGGCGATCGAGAGACCACTGTAAAACCAATCGTGAAGCTCCTGCTCGTGGCTCTTTCTGCTGGCTTCGCTCGGAACGTCAGGGCTACCCATGAAGAACGGGCCATTGAAGTTTTGAGGGCTTGGTCTCGAGTAGATGGCGAGCTCCTCGGTCGTCATATGTGGTAGGTTCATGTCAACAATCTCCATCGTTCTAGTGTCGGGTGCGTAGTCGGGCTCGCTGTCACGAGGGTCGAATGGAACATCATCATCACTGCTTGTCGAAGAGGCTGCCTGTCCGACAAAGCTCGAAGTACCCTCACCGATCGGAGTGCTTGACCAGGTGAAGTCATGGTGCTTCACATTTGACTCTTGCTTGGTCATTGCTGGTATCGAGGGAGACTGGCTCTGAAATGGGTCGTGGAGGACAGTTCGAGTGCTTGTACCATTGTTGATGTTGCGAGATGAAGCAGCACTGAATATCTTCTCAAGATTCGCTTTTGTGAAGCTACGCTGTGTTGATGCGGCTGCTTGACCAGGCGAAGCAGTTTGTGGCTGTGTTTTCTCGAGGAAGGTAGAGAAGTTCAGGTTAGGAACAGACGACTGGAGCTGTGAAGTAACCGTTTGTGGCGCAACCTTTGGAAGAAACGAGCTCAAGTATTGGCTGAACTCATTCGTACTCGGACGCGTCGAAGCAGGTTCCTCGGGATTGGAGAGTACGGAGTTGTTGCTATTAGGACCGTAAGCTCTATCTGTAGAAAACGCCCCGAAAGACAGGTTGTTCAGAGTAGTCAAGCTATGAGGTGGGCTGCTGGATGTCTTGTTCAGCATAGAACTTGCAGCTGCAACGGAAGGTATGAATTCACGAGGCATCGAAAAGTTGATGGGTGCTGGTGCCACAGGGGCAGTTGAGTACTCGTACTTGCTGCGAGCACGAGAGTCGTAACCTTGTGCCCAAGGCTCGAGTTTTGGTCCGAGTGATGATATACGAGCCCGATATCTCTTCTCAGGGAGATGGTGTACAGGTTCTGATCTAGTCGGGGTGTCGGCAGCCGAAGGTCCAACTACCACCTTTGGTGCGGCGCGTTCAATCGGAACCTTGGGCATATAAGTCTGTAACTCCTTCAAGCCAAATGGAAGGTCCATCGAGGCCGCCTCCTGCTGCTTTGCGACTGCCCTGAAATAGCAAAGACTATGCTGGAGGAGCGAGTGTAACTCGTTCTCGCCTTTGAGTCGATGCGAGGCCAGGGAGCCTTCAGTACGCCTGCGTGAGTTGGAGAACTGACCGATATTGTACCACTGGTAACCAGATTGTGACCACTGTTGAGCTGAGATGTCTCGGTTGGGATGTATAGCGAAACCAACTTGGCCGTTTTTGTTTCCAACATTGCCCTGGAAGTAAGCAAGGGGAGGTAGATTGTTGCCAAAAACTTCATTAATCTCCTGCCTGTTGAAAGAGACAGCGATAGCCGATGACTTGCCGTCGACTTTCACTTCATGCGCATTGAGACCGACAGCAGGCCTAGAGGAGGGTTTGGTCTTCTTGTTGGTAACGAGTTGGAAGTCTCCATCATCTGCGCTGAGCATGGCAAAAGACGCACGAGGTGGCTCGCGGCTACGGGAGACAGAGCTGTCGCGCGAGCCAGGATGGAAGATTTTAGCGTGGACGTCCATCGGACTCCCCTTTTTGGAGGTGCGGCTTGTGTCACCGTCGCTCAAGTCGGGGTGATCAATGTCTGGGCAGTGTCTGGAGAGTCTGTTTCGTGTTGTCTTTGGGTCAACAAGTTTGCTCAAAGGTATGGTGGGATCGTTGTCGATTATTCTCTTGCTCTCTCTCTCGAGTCGTGCTGTTGCCAGCTCGGCGAGGCGAATCTGCTCTTCAGAACCAGAGTCGTGGTTAGACATTCTGCCAGTTTCGCCGGAATTCAGATTCTTGCTTGAAGACTTGGGTGAAGGTCCCGATGAGGAAGAAACATAAGGCTTGTGGGTAGATTGGTGGCTAGCCCGTTCGTCGTCTATGTCTTCGGCCTTGATAACGTTGATGTGGCTGAAAGGCTGGTTCTCCCTCCTAGAGCTCACAAGCAGGCGGCTGGCCGGAGTGCCTACTGGGAGTCGGCGCTCGGAGATGTTGTGCAAAGTGAGCACGGCGCGCCTCTGCCAGCCTAGGAGCAGATTGCGTGTCAACTCGTGTCAGGCAGAAGGTGGCAGGCAGCCATTACACTTACCTCGGACACGGCGGCCGGAGTGACTTTGGCTCGCCAGGGTGAAAGAGTGTGGATTTCTTGTTGTTTTATGTAGCGATAAGTCGAAGAAGTCACCGAAAGGAATGAGACAAGCGTGCGAGCAAGGATGAGCCGTCAATCAATGATCTCTCGACGAGTTGGGAACCAGTGTGAGACCGAGCGTGTTGTTAAACGGAGTTAAACTGGAAGGAACTGGAACTGTTCGGCTGATAGCGACTCTCTGCCTAGATGCACAACACTCTCCGTCCTTGTGTGAAAGGGAAGTTCACCTCGCCATCCTTGGCTGTAGGGCACGAGGCTAGATGTATTCAGGCATACAGGACATATCTGAAAAGCAAACAGCTTGATGCCCGATGATAGAGACAGACTCAGGACAAACACTAGACTCTACATTCTTTGAGCCCTGAATAGCAGGATCCTCACCTATCTGTGGCCTGACTTTGATATGCATGTTGTCTCAGTAACTTCGTCTGCCCAAGTGTTCTTTGCTTCCAGTTCGAACACGAATTGTCAGACATTCTATGCTTCTGCTCGAGATTTAGCATACAATTCGTCAAGCTTCAACCTGCTTCGCCAGTCATCAACACTATGTATGATACCACAAAGCACTTGCCTCGTCCAGAACTAAGGGCAGTAGAGAGTGTCTTCACAGATGGTGTCGACAGATCGTCCCAGCGGCACTTTACCAATCTTTTCTACACTAGTGAGACACATCTAGTCTGGTAGAGTGTTTTTGACACAAACTCAAGCCAGTCGGATCGGGCGAGATTGATCTCGTTACAACACTCTTTACAATGGACAGCAAACGGACCATGATTGCCTTGGGCGATGCAGATAAGTGGGAAGGTCGCGGTGAGCTCAAAGCTCTCGTTAAATATCACGTTTGCAGGTTGTCTTTGTTCATTGACGCCGACGAGGAGCCGTGAGCTTATCTTATCTCTCTCGATCGGTAGATCTTACGATCTTCATTGCTTCTCGAAAGTTTGAGGAAAGCATGTAGATGCTCAGGTGTACCTTCCTGTACCTTCTGATAACGATGGTATTGCAGTCTGCAATCTCTATGCAAGGGATGGCAGCGAGTCGTCGGTCGCTTCCATCTCCTTTTTACACCACCGACCTGAACATCGCACAATCACCATCACTATAAACTATTAGCTAACCCTGTTCCCTGCAGCATATTACTATCTAGACGGATGTTTCGAAGACCAGCTACAATCGTAACGGCAATTCCCTGCGCTGTTCTGGTGTATCTCAGTTTGACGCCTGCCGGACACTTCCTGGCACGCAAGCAGTTGAAAGACTTGGAGTCACAGGACCAGGACAGCGAACCTGCAGTGATGAAGCATCACAAAAATGGCAAAGTAGGAGGCCATCAACATACAAAGACACATGGGCTCGAAGGATATGATCATGAGCATGTTGAACAGGTCGAAGACGACAAGCAAAAAGGACGCTAAAGGCAGCCAAGCCAATCGCGGGGCAATGGCGTATGCTAGAGCACGCGCGCGATAGCGACGACCTCTCCACCACCAACAAGTCGTTCTCACCTGTTTTACCCGTTGCGCAATTCAACTCTGTACACGCCTTCGACGGGCGCATACACCATCTTCCACTCGACCATGAACCAATTCCAGCCCAGCCCGTCCTCGAGGACAAACTCGACAATGCAGGCCATGCCCGATTCGAGGTCACAGAGCTTCGAGGAGATCTACGGCCCACCTGAGAACTTTCTCGAGATCGAGGTGAGTCTCGTAAACATGTTCGTCTTCAACACTTGCTGACATGATTGTCCTTTGCAGGTATGCAATCCGCAAACCCACGGTCTTACACCCTCGTCGCGCTACACGACCTATGAGATCCGCCTGAGCACAAACATCCCCTCGTTCAAGCTGCGCAACAGCAGCGTGCGCCGCCGTTATTCAGACTTTGAGTACTTCCGCGATATCCTTGAGCGCGAGAGCGCCCGCGTCACCATTCCCCCATTGCCCGGCAAGGTCTACTTCAACAAGTTCGACGACGCCGTTATCGAGGAACGCAGGAAAGGTCTCGAGAGGTTCCTCAAGATTGTCGTTGGCCATCCTCTGTTGCAGACAGGAAGTCGCGTGCTCGGAAGTTTTGTCCAGGGTATGTTCCTGCTTTTGAGACAGCCAAAAATGCCTGGACAGTATCCGCTGACACCCATATCCAGACCCCAACTGGGACCGCAGTGCCTGGTAGATCCTACTGCCGCCTTTTCCTCTCATGACGACCAACTTTATGCACATTTCCAGAAGAATACCCTTTCCTAGTCTAACCATGTTTATTTGCCATTCTTCCCTGCGGTTCAGCGATATTTGGGCGTTTCTTCCCTCCTCTTGCTCTCGAACGCGCCGCTTTTGCTTGCAGCTGTACTTTGTATGGCTTGCTTCGCTCATGAACAATCATATCAAAATATACTCCACGTATTACTCAAGCCCTTCCAAGAATTCATATCGCAGACGCCAACCAGCGCCCTTTGTCTGAGGAGAGCAGCTTCCTTTCTCCCATCCTCTCATCTCTTTCAAGCATGCCATCGAACCTTTGACGATTGTCAACACCCTTTGTCCCGCTCTTCGCCCGCCAGGTCCCGACGCAAAGAATGAACAAAGCCATTGTGCTCACCCTCGAGCGTACATAGACACATCTCTCAATTTGCTGTTGCCATCGTCTCAAACTCCCAAAGAACCCATCCAACACTACTTACCCACCGCAGGCCCACCACAATGTGCTCTCACACCGACTCCTCATCTGCCTCCAAAACCCTCTTTGGTCGCCCTATTGATAGTCTCTGGTTCAACTGCCCTGAATGCGGTGCTCGTATGTTCTATTCTACACTCTATGGTTGGTACTGCGGTGCCTTCTGCTCTTCCTCAACGATTTCTGAGGGTAGGATCTGATGTAGAGGTAAGTGGTGCGTTCTTTGTGTAATTTTCTCTTACTCTTCTGGTAGTTGGGATGGGGGTCTGGTGGTTTGTACCAATTATCATTAATCAATTTCTTCTTTCTTTTGTTAGCCATCTTTCCAACAATATATCCCATGTGTCTTTGTTTTTTCTCCTTTCCGATTGTAAAGATATCTGTTTATCTGACTGGTTCGTGTGAAGTTTTCATTCTGTAATCACATACCGAAGTGGTGTGACTCGAAGTGTTTATTTGCTACTCCATCATCGACTCACTTTCACAGCAATGGGTTTTCAAATTTGACATTTTTTCTTTCTTTCGGTCATTGCTCGTCTCTTCTGCTCAGATGTTTTATTCTTGTATAGGCCTTTGCATTTTCTGATCTGCTCACTGCGAGGATTTTGCGACTGCAATCACGTGTATTGGTGAGAAAGCTGAGTAGGTGAGAAAGCTGGGTAGGTGAGGATTTGAGCTGAGCTGGTGAGCCTTTTCTGCTGAGCAGGTGAGGATTTGACCTGGGTAGTTGAGGATTTGGCTGAGTCGGTGAACTTGTAAGCTGAGTAGGTGAACTTCTGAGCTGAGTCGGTGAACTTTTGACACACACGCGATAAACGACTGCACTCTTCTTCCACACACGAAATGAACAACACAAGAATCACAATCACAATCACAACCGTCATCTTCCTCAAGCAAGTGCAAACAAAACAAAATTGAGGGGAAGTGGAATGTAGAAGAAGTTTCATTTCGTATTGAGGGTATCGTGTCATAGTCGGAAAGGGAGGAGGGGAGGATATAAGCATATTTCTCATCTATCAACGCATCTCTCCTGCCATATCTTTTGCCTCGAGCGAGTTGCTCATTTCTCCGTATTCTGTATCGTGTCTTTCGTCGTGAAGGGTTGAGTTCGCGGGCTCGAGTGTAGGGTGGATGTCGATGAGTTGCGTCTCTGGGTCTGGTGCGAAGTCATGTGCCACTGCGTGCTCGGGCTCTACTTCTTTGGGAGCTGCCTGTTCGATTGTGGTCTGCTCAGTCTCTGGGCGTAACTGTGTCGACGCCTCGTCTGCGTGAGGAGCTGCCAGCGCTTCCTCTGTGTATGTTGGCGTCCCGTGATCTACTCGTTCGATAATTGGCGTGTTGGGCATACTATCATCCTCCACAGGGGCAGCAACAACAAACACATCGGGGTCCCCAATTGCTTGCTGTTCCGATCTAGCCGGTGTTCCTCTTGTCTGGAGCAGCTCTCTGCTCGTAGGTCGGGGTCTCTTGGGTAACGGTGGAGGCTGTCGTGACTGTTGTTCGCCAACATGATTAAGCTTCTCGGCTTCCTTGGTTTGCTGTTGAGAGGAAGGGCTCGCTGCTACAGGTTTACGCTTGAGGCCCGGCAGGTTCAGACCTGATGACGCCCAAAGGCTTCTCTGAGGTCCAGGAAGTGGAGTGCCCGGTGGGGGCAAGGGCATCCCACGACCCATCGGCTGGGCCAGCAGTGCTGCTTTCAAGGCATTCGAATCAGGTGGTTGAGATGGCAATGACACTGACGACGACCCGCTACTAGCTGACGATACTGAAAATCTCTTGCCTAAGCCGCCACCGAAAGAATTCCCAGTCGTTGATGCCGAAGACCCATTTTGCCTGTTGAGAACTTGCCAACCCCACTTTTTAGCAGCATTTGCGGCCGTACTGAGGTGTGATGGAGTAGAACCCGACGGAGACGAGGTATCCAAGGATTTTACCGAAGGTGACCTGACGGGAACGTCTGCTAGGGTGGGTAGTTGAGGTTCCACCTGCTGTTTTGTTGCATGGTGTTCAAGAGGTTCAGAGCTTCGGCGAAGAATCGAAGGATCAACTGGAACTTCTTCTCCTTCTTCTTGCATCGTGAGCATCGAGAATGTTTCAGACTCGATGGGCAGAATATTTTCGGTTTGGCGAAGTGCCACTGGAGAGGTGGCCGCTGACTGTGCTTTCGAGTTGACCTCTTTTACCATCTCGACGGCGTCCTTCTGTCCTTTTTGCTTTGTGTGCGATCGTACTGCCTCAATGTTCGAGCCCTCAGTGCTAACCAAGGGCGTCGCTGCGGTAGAGAACGAATTGTGACGCAAGTTTCGTGGCTTCCCAGGCGGCGTGCGTGGACGGAGCGGCGGTGATGATGGAGTCACGACTGGAGTGGATACAGCAGTCGTACTGGTTGATGCGCCAGTCGGGCTCTCGATGGTCTCTCCCAGAAGGGAAGTCGCGGATCGCCTTGCGTTCTTTCGGAAATTGAGTTTTTGCACTGGCTCCAGAAGGCTAGGCATGCTCAACGTTTTGGCCCCGGTTTCAGCAAGAGTATGGATGATGGTATCTTCTGAGTCTCCGTCGCCAGCGCTGTTTGTGAGCTCATGTGCTGCAGTTTCGACAGAGCCAGCGTCTGCCATAGCAGCCTTCTCTAGACTGGTAGGCTCCTCTTCTGTAGGCGAAGGCTCGAATATGCCACCTCTGTACTCTTTCTTCAAAGTGTCGAGGAACGGACTGTCGTCCCAGTTGGGGAGAACGATC